TCGATTGCCTTTTGAATCCAAATCTCAGTAGACTCATAGATCTCTACTTCCAGCTCCCGCTTTGGTGGCATTATTTAGTTGTGGTTGTAGAGGTGAAAGGGGGGGATGGATTGCGGCGGACGAGGGAAGACATTGTAGACGTGTCAGACGCGTAAATAATTACTGATTAAACAAAACCAAAAAATAATATCGACAAACGTGATATGGTGGCCAGCACGTTTGCTACTCTCCACACGAAGCCCTCCTACGCGCATGCGTGTGCAGTTTGAAGCTGCCACACCAGCCAACCTAAAGAGACACACCGAGACGACAGTTGGGCGGGGGGGGGGGGGTGCACGAGGAAGCTTCATTCATTCGCACTCGAAAGCAATGAATAAACCAAAAAAAGAGAGCGTCAACGGGGGAATGGTGATAGTTACTTCAATCCGAATAGCGATAGACGGAAGTCGTTTTAGAAGATCATTCATCATTCCTCGACACAGGGGGAAAGTGAAATTATGGCTCTGAGTGAGGGCTTCCGAGATAGACTCCAGGGAGAGGAAGATAAGATAGGTAGGCGGAGACGTGTGAAAAGTGGTTCTTTGACGTCTGTTTGTTTCGTGGGTACGAACTGTATCATCTGTCGTACCTAGACGGTGGGCGTAGGAGACGAGGTTGTCGCCAATGACTATAGGCTGGATAGGTATGCTCCAGCTGTCGAAGAAGATATAGTTCTCCGGCGAAAATGCATGCTTGCCACTTCTCACGCCCACTGATACCGCCCCCAGCGGCAGCAACCAACCCGCGCACCAGGTCAATGTCGTAGTCTCGCGCAGCGGCCAGAGCAACAACATTTGACTTTAGCCATGCATGCCCGCAGACATGCATGGCCAGGAGGAAAGACCTTTGCTGCGATCGCAGCAAAGGAAGAAAACCTCCACGTACAACTTGGCAGTACAACCAAGTTATACTTCTTTCTGAGCCAGCCTTAAACTGACTAAACATTAAGACCTTGTGGCCGCGCTCGATGAGAGCCGAAACACAGGGCGCTGGAAGTGATCAAGGTCTTATCCGAGATCGGCTTATCACAAAATGGCCAGAAGAAGTGGTGTGGAGTGTTACACACCAGACGAAGCTGCTGGGTGGTGAAATGAAACGAACGCAAGGGAAAACATCGAAAAAAACGAAAACAAGACCGCGGCGAGGGTGAGGGGGAGGGAGAAGGGGGAAAGGAACGGTCAAACCCCAGGAAAGCAAAAACAAGAGATATAAGTAAAAACAAGGGGGGGAAGAGACCACCAGGTTGCGCTTGCCACCGCAAAGGTTTTGAGACAGCAGACAACAGAACAGTCAAGTGAACCATGCAGGAATATCGATTGAAGAAAGGGAAGTTGTGGTTGATGATGTGAAGAGAAGGAGAGAAGAAGTAGAGGAGGAGGAGCGGAGGTGGTCTTTTATAGGTGGTTCAGGAGCCGCACGACCACTAGACCCCACCACAAGTTTCGCCGACGGCTAGCCACCAGCAACAATTCAAAGATGCACGTCCTATCACCCATTGAATCACGGGAATCCAGCCGCTTGCTGGGGATGATCGCGACAATTCAAAGGTTCAAGCCCTATCACCCATTGAATCGCGGGAATCCAGCCACTTGCTGTGTATGCTGCGTATATCACTCGATCGCGAGCGCGAGGCCGGTGACGTCATTAGCGCAGTTCGTCATTTATCACTCAACGGCTGGGACGACTTCGATTGTCTGGGTTTCAATGCTCGTCTCTCCAGGACAGGGCGGAGGACAGGGAAAGTCACATTGGGCCGCCTGACGAAAGCTCGGCTGGACAGTGGCGTGGAAACGGGGGGCGCACGTGTTGATGATACTGCCATGATCTAGATACCTAGGTCACATGCAATTAATGACTGAACAAAAAAAAATGTCCGTCTCTCGATAGCGGACTAGAGAGTTGCGGTGGAGGTGGGACGGCACAATGGCGTCGGTGGGCGCGGGTGCGGGGGGCAGGCCGAGCGGTAGAGGAGGGCGTGGCGGGGAACGGTCATTGCGTCTTCCTGCGCTCACATGCTGTCGGGAAAGGCCAGGGTGGAGGGCAGGGAAAGCTACATCTCGGGCCGCCTGACGAAATTTGGGTTGGAAAGTGGCGTGGAAACGGGGGGGTGCACGGGTAAATGATATTGCCATGATCTACATAGGTCGTATGCAATCAATGAATGAACAAACCAGCGGCCGTTTTACTTTGCAGGCAGCAGCAGAGACAACCCCGACCTTTTCTGCTAAGCCGGGCCTCGAGGGTTGGATCCGTCTATTGTTGCTACAAGCTGAAACCGTCTGCTTGCTAGACTGGTTGCACGGATCCATCAGTTCCTCGCTGCTACGGCTGGGCAGGCTCTTTTTTTCGCCGCCGCCAGAGGGCGAGTCCCCACCAAAATTTCCTCATCAGATCAAAGGACTCTGAGCAAGCAAACATGCGCCTATCGCCGGAGAAGGGCCAAAGTCCCCTCGCGCGCTGGAGTAGTGTTGGCGGCCACGATACGACGTACGTGGTTGAAGAGCACGAACTAAGGACACGCACGCCAGGAAGCAGCCATGGATCGCGAGTTCAGACTGCGGACTACAGTGCAGTCGGTTCGGAAGCCGATGTCGTCGTCTCGCGCAGCGGCTAGAGCAACAACATTGGCTTCGGTCATGTGCGTCACACATGACCAGGAGGAAAGACCTTTGCTGCGATCGCATCAACGGAAGAAAACCTCCACGTACAACTTGGCAGTACAACCAAGTTGTACTTCTTTCTCTGTTCAGCCAGACTTGAACTGGCTGAAGATGAAGACCTTGTGGCCGCACTCGATGAGAGCCGGAACACAAGGCGCTGCAGCGGCAGCAACCATCTTGCCGCTGGAAGTGATCAAGGTCTTATCCGGGATCGGCGTATCATGAAATGGCCAGAAGAAATGGTGTGGAGTGTTACACACCAGACGAAGCTGCTGGGTAGTGAAATGAAACGAACGCAAGGGAAAACATCGAAAAAAAGAAAACAAGACCGCGGCGAGGGTCAGGGGGAGAGAGAAGGGGGAAGGAACGGTCAAACTCTAGGAAAACAAAATAAGAGGCAAGCAAAAACAAGGGCGGAAGAGACCACCGGGTTGCGTTCCGCACCGCACGGGGTCTTGAGACGGAAGGCAACAGATCAGTCAAGTGAATCAAGCAGGAGTATCGATAGAAGGAATGGAAGTTGTGGTTAATAATGTGAAGAGAAGGAGAGAAGAACCAGAGGAGGAGGAGCGGAGGGGGTATTTTATAGATAAAGGTTTGAGGAGCCGCACGACCACTAGATCCCACCACAAGTTTCGCCGATGGCTAGCCACCAGCAACAATTCAAAGATGCACGTCCTATCACCCATTGAATCACGGGAATCCAGCCGCTTGCTGGGGATGATCTCGAACTGTCCTTCTGCGATTATCACTCGATCGCGAGTGCGAGGCTGGTGAAGTCCTTACCAAAGTTTGTCACTCATCACTCGACGGTCGGGATGACTTCGATTGTCTGGGTTTCAGTGCTCGTCTCTGTAGGCTACAGCAGAGAGCAGAGAAACTCACCTCGGGCCGCCTGATGGAAGTTGGGTTGCAAAGTGGCGTGGAAACGGAGGGTGCACGGGTAGAATTTGCTATGATCTTGATAGGTCGCGAGAGAGATCTTCACAATCTGGCAAGCCGCAATTTAAGATGTGTGCAAACCTGCCTCGTCCAACACAAAAACCGTCATGTGCATAATGACCACCTGTGACCTCGGGGCAACGACGTGGTATATCAAAAGCCCTTGACGGTCACCGACTCTCGGGAGTCCAAAAGACAAAGCACCGATGAACAAACTCTTCCGCACAGTATATCACTCGCTCATACCCGGCGGAAACATAAACCACCCCCCGACGTCTCAAAACAAGTCCCGGAAGCCCGGATTTCACCAGATTTGCTTTACGACACTGCTCTATCCTATTGCGAGCGTCGCCTCGTAAAACGCCCTGGCGTGGGTGGGTGAGTTACAGCTTTACAGCTTTACAGCCTCACAGGACGGCAATCGCTCGGCAGCTAGGTGCACTGGTGCAGGCTGCGTGCGCGAAGCGACTTAGTACGTAGAAGTTGGTACCATCCACTCCGGCAGTGCATAGCCAGTAAAGTGCGCAACGGATTATGGCGACGAATTGTTCTCGTAGGTTTGCGTTGGTCTCGAGCGGGTCTCGTATGTACTATCATATATAGTAGATTAGGTAGGTAGGTATCTCTGCGCTCGATTCCGCCTATATACTCCTGGATCCTCCCGACCATCCTCCCGACGTTCATCCCGGCGTTCCTGTTAGATGTTATGTGTTGGCTGTCGGTAGTGTTCACGGCTACCGGCCGCCAGCGACGCAACTCTGCCGCGCACGGCCGTTATTGACGATCTGTTTATGTACGGCCACCCAACTCCACTCGGGAGCCGATGCGGGAACCCGTTTGTTGGCTCGAGGGCCAACATACAACATATAAGGAGGCCTGCTCTGGCCGGAAGGCTACTGCGCACGGTGTAACAGTGTTGTGTTGGTTGTTCTCGACGTCGATTACTTCTAGATCCCACGTGCAGTGTGCACCACCTCAGTTCGATTTGCCGTCGATCGCCATGTCCATATCCATGTCCATTTATGTAGCCAGGCGAGTGATCTGCCGCGCACAGCCGTGATTGCCGATCGAGAGATATCACTCCTCGCACGGAAAGTCCTGGTGAGTCTCCAAGTTCTAGTCTAGGTACGTTCGCCATAGTCTAGATAGGCTGCATGCGGAATAAAACAGGAAGATCTCTCTCTCTCTCCCTCTCTCTCTCTCTAGTCTAGGTAGCCGCATGCGAAATAAACTGAAGATCTCTCTCTAGTCTAGGCACTTCGCAGGCATCACAGGAGATGATTAAACCAAAAAAAACACCAGTATTGCATCATCAGCAGCAGACTTATAGGCTATCTAGGTGCCTCATCACTTCAAGTACCAAGGTCTTTGAGCACTGTGGTATACCTATTTCCCCCACTCTCCCCACTTGGCCCATGATACCTCCTCGAGACCCAAACAGACCCAAGGACGGAGACAGACACGCCCATCAAGCACGATCAAATTGGCCGGATCATCATCCTTAAGTAGCGACGGGTGACAATCATGAAACTGGATAGATACTTCATACACCCAGATATTCGCATTTACTTCCATCCCAACCACGTTCCTGGTGGCTATCAAGACAGACGAGACAAGACAAGAATCACAAGAAACGTAAGATAAAATAAAAATACAACCATCTATTCCCAGTGCACTGCAGTGCACAAACAATAACACTTAACCAAATACAAATACACTCAACCAAATAACTATCATGCCCCCAACGCCCCAGCGCCTGTAAAAGTAAAAGTAAAAACCAAATACCCACCAACATAAACGCAATAACTCAGAGCAATCCCCTCCGTCTTCTACTACGCCCACTTCCCGAGCAAACTCATGAGCACCAACCCGGCGAGGAGACTGAACGCGGCAGCAAGAGTCCTGACAACGCCCGCGTTCCTCAGCTCGCCGCCCATCCAGTCGCCCGCGAGCATCTCGACGCAGCCGACCCATACGAGTATCCCCGCACTGAGCGCGTCGAGGGTGCCGAGCGCGATGAGTGTCTCCCTATCGTTGCCATTGAAGTAATTCCTAACGCCGATGCCGATGGCCATGCCGATAGGTGTGATGAGTGCGAACATGGTAGCGAGCAGGATCTTGACGGGGTTCAGCGCGCCCTGCGGCGAGAGGCCGGCGATGCGCGTGCCGAGCGCGAGGCCCTCAAAGCCCTGGTGGAAGATGATCACTACCAGCAGCGTCTTGAACACGCTGTCGCCCGCGACGACCAGCGTGATCCCGATCAGGATCGAGTGGAAGATGATCCCCATCTCCATCACCAGCACGGAGAGCTTGTCGTCGCCGGGCTCGGCGTGAGTGGGGGCGTGGGAGTGCGCGATCTCCGCCTCGGGCTTCTCGCCGGATGCGATCGAGGCACTGGGGCTCTCGCCTGAGGACTCGAGGTTGGCTGGCGCAGCGGCGGCGCGGCGAGCGTTGCGCGCGTTGATGATCCGGTTGCCGGCGTATTCGACCGAGAAGGCGAGGAGCAGGCCGGCCATGACGACCGCGGTCGTCGTCGCTTCGTATTTCAGCTCGCCGACACAGTCGTTGGTAAACATCAGGTCGGCGTGGGTCAGGAGGTGGACGAAGGCGGTAGCGATGATGACGCCGGTGCCAAACTGCTTGATCAGCGTGAAGGCGATGTTGGAGCCCTTGACCTTGGTGAAGCGGCGGAGCAGCAGCGGAAGGAACACCGAGATGGCGGACGTCGCGAGCACGATGAAGATGCTGCCGATTCGGAGCGGGATGTTGTATTTCCTGTCGACGCGCGCGCACGAGCTTGCTAATGCCATCTGCTCGGGCGTTCCACCGGTGCAGTGCTCGACGCCGGCGTGGAAGTGGCAGTTCTGTTGGGTGGTGGCCGCGACTGTTGTGGTCTCCTCCTCCTCATCGTGGCCCTCATGGTCTTCGTGGGCTTCGCCGGACAGACCCTCGATGAAGACGTCGTTTCCGGCAGCGTCGACACAGAATGTTTCTCCGTCGTGGGTGTGGCAGTCGTTGTAAGCGGTGGGCAGGGCAGTGGCAGCGGCGGCGTTGGAAGCGGTAGTGACGACGACCTCCTCGCCGGCGGGTTTAGGCATGCATAATCTAGAACACCATCGTGATCAGCGCCCGTTTCAGTCTCGGGGGGCAGCGGAAGTGACACATACTGTACTAGGTCGTGCAAGTGACAGTCATCAAGACTCGTGATGGTTGGCGATGCAGCAGATGAAGTGGCTGACTGTGCATGCACGGCGCCGAGGAGGGCCAGTAGCGGCAGTGCGCTGGTGTGGCGTGTAAACATCATCACGGGCCGTGTGTATAAGTGAAGAAAATGCCGTGGGGGCTATGATTTAACCGGTTCAATGCGGAGGGAGGGGAAGCAGTTATGAGAACGGGAGAGAGCAAGCAGAATATTCTCGGTGGGGGGAGAGGGGGTTTGAGGGGGTGGATGTGGGGCAGTGTTCCCCTTTGTATGCTCCGGCCTTTCCACCTAGCAGAGATAGCAGAGCCCGAGTAACCCCCAAGGTGTTTCTGCTCGCTCTCTTTTCTCCGCGCCTTTAACTAGGCTAGCAGGACCTAGTATCGCACGTACGCGGACGACGTAGCTGCTCTACCAAGGCTCCTTCCTCCCAGTGCGTTGCCGTGAAAACTCAAACCGATCGGGACTCTGGGCACGGACGGGGCGCTGTGAGACTGGTTCCGTGATTGTGGCTGGGCGCCCGCAACTCTTCTCGCTACACAAGTCCGTGGCAGAAAACCAACCCCCAAGGTGTTTGCGGGTGCGGCCGCCATCCTACTGAGTCGAAGCGAGGCAATAATCTCCACTGCGGAGATACGCAACGACAAGACTCGAACTCGAACTCGACAGCACAATCGACACTCGACTCCGGTGAAGCCTGTTGTTTTTTCCTCTTTCTCTCTACTGAATGACGCCAAAGTCCAACTCGCTTGCGATGTACTCCGTACCTCTGTAACTCCAGAATGTAGTTATCTCTGCGAATAGAGTGTCGGAGCTACATCCCTCGCATGAATACGAGAACCTTGTGCAGAGCAAGTAGTACCAAAGTCTGGAGTAGAGTATCACTCGTATGTATAACTCGTATAACTACTCCCCCGCCCACCCGCCGTCCCAACGCCCTCCCCACGGCAAGGCACAGACAGCGATGCCGGTATCTGCGGTATGTGCCATCATCCACGCGGCGCAGAGCATATGGATCTCCAACGGCTGCGGAAAATCGCAACATACCGGGTCCCGACAGGACGTTATGGCGACCCGGAGCACAGGAATGGGCCGATCCCGGGACATCGCATGGTTGTGTCTCCACTTTGTACCTCCTGGAACACGGCCCGGAGTCGGCGTGAGGGGCTGTGCTGCAACGGAAGTCGTGGAGAAGACTGGCGCTCTAGACACTATATCCGCATGCATGGCACTCCGCGTAGGGACGGTGCGAACGAGGGCAGAGGTGCAGAGGTGTGCATAGTGCATACTGCTATATAGAGTAGGAGGTATGTCGAGAGAAACGGTGTGTGCAACCTAACGTCAGGACTGGGCGCATTCGTTTGAGCACCCAATGGGACTCGGGTCAGAATCCATTCGCTGGCTTGGACATCAGCTCGCAATCAATCTCCAGAGGCCACCGCTATGTACGCAGTACGTACTAAGCTAGGTATCAATCATCAGAGCTAGGTTGACACTCGAACGAATCTTATCTTGGCGACGAAAAGTCTCTCATCCCTCGCGAAAACGAATCCTGGCCATCGATATGACATCTGACGGGCGCATACCCAACAGGGTACATACCGCAAGTCCGCAACCCCCAAACGTGGTGGCCAGGGCCCCGCCAAGCAGCCGGTGAGTGAGACGGCATGACGTGGAGTCGCTGTCACCAGGCCAGACCAGACCACCGTTACCCCGCCCGGGTGCTCACAGGTATGATGCCTAGAATCTAGATGTAGGCTCAAGAGAGTTATCTGCCGCGATATATAACCGTATAGAACACGCAACCGTGTCACAGCAATTTTATAGATGCGCAAAGCCAATTGCCGCCGCGGTGACGTGCTCCGCTTCCTGCGCGTCGTATTCGTCGTGTCCATCGCGCCCGTCGTGTTCATCGTGTTTGCTTCTCGTTCGGCGTCACGACCGTCTGCTTCGTATGTGCATACCCAGTCCGTCGAAGCACGACATTGTGCTTCAGTCGTTGGGTCGTTGGCTCGATGCCGGTTCCACTCGTTCTCCGCGGGCTCTTCCGGCTGATTCTATGGCCGTACAGCGCGAGAAGTATCGTTACATAGTAGAACACCTCGTATGCCACCTACCAGGCACCCACTGCATCGAATTGCGTGCGCAGAGGAGCCGGGTCGGCACATGAACGGCCAAGGCCTCTGGTCCACTCGCCCACTGCCCCACTGGCTGGACAGACAGAATCTTCCCCTCTGCTGCCCGCGGCCAATCGAAAGTGTCGGGTCGGATCGTTCTCCGCATCTGTCCGAACTGGTCAGCAAGTACCCAATGTACACAGAAGGTATTTCGTACATACATGATACATAAGATACCGAACCCAAGCCAGAACGCTAGATCGTGCGGGGTGTAGCTCTATCCGAACGATTGCTGCCTCTGTCTCTGGAGAAAACTGAGACTGCAAGTCTGCAAGTCTGCAGCGGTAAGCGTGCAGAGCCGCGGGCGGAGACAAGGAGGAATACGCTCGCTGAGTTTACAGCTGGGGGAAGTGGGGCCCGCCGGTCACAACTGACGAGTACTCTACTTGCTCCTCGCGTGTCTCTCTCGAGTATAACAAGAGGGCCTGGCCTTCTCGCACGCTGCCGTGTGGGTACCTCTCTGGGTACCGGGCGTGTGTACGACACGATGTACTCGCTCCTATGGCCCGCGTGTTTGCAAGGCCAGGCTCCATACGCCCGCAAAAACGGTGACCATCGCAGGTCTCTGACGCGGGCAGCGGGCCGCAAGCCGACCGAAACAGGTCTCGCATCTTAACTCGGGTCATCCGTACCTGCGTTGCGTGCCTGGTGCGTGCGTGCGTGCGTGCGTGCGTGCGTGCATTCGCAAGACATCATCAACCACCCAGGTTCCAGGCTTACATACCCACAAAATCCTAATCCCACATGGCGAGAAAAACGTTAAGCATCGGCCAGCCAGGCTCTGGCAGGCCCTGATCCCGCTACGTACTCTATGTAGGGGCTAGATCCGCGCACCTTGGTGGCCCATCTTTGGCCCATCTTTGGCCCATCTTTGGCCCATCTCCGGCGACGAGACCGGAGGACAGCTGGACCGCGGGGCAGCTGGGCCGCTGGACGGCGATGTATAAATCCAGAGGAAGACCGACCGGATTACCGCTGCCCCACCGCACCGCTGCTCACCGCACCCGCTCCACCTCCCGCCAGCCTCGTCCGTCGCATCGCATCGCATCTAGCCAGCCAGCACCGACACAGCCATGTTCTCCCACCTCCTGACCGCCTGCCTGGCTGTCTCCGCCGCGGCCCTGTCGCTGCCCAACATCTCGAGCACTCACGAAACCGCCTTTTCGCTGCCGGCGCACACGCCCGTGATCGGGCCACGTACTTCCCCTCCCCCCCGTTCCCCCTCCCCTCCTCTCCTCCCACTGAAACCCCGCGTCTCTAGTCAACATAGAACTCCACGCGACCTGCAACTCCACCAACACCGCGCAGCTTACCGCGGCACTCCAGGACACAGCAGAGCTGTCCCTCGTAGCGCGGCAGTACCTGCTCGAGAACGGCCGCACCGATCCGGTCTTCACGAAGTACTTTGGCGTCAATGGAACTACCGCTCCCGTCGTGGGCGTGTTTGACAATATTGTGTCGGCGAATAAGCCCGGTGTGCTGTTTAGGTGTGATGATGTTGATGGGAACTGGTTAGTACCCGAGCGATGGGGAGGGATGGGGGGGATGGGGAGGGGGGTGATGGGTTAAGGAGTGTGGGCTGATGATATTGGGGATAAATAGTGCGAGGGACGCCACCTGGGCCGGCCACTGGCGCGGCAGCAACGCCACCTCGGAAACCGTCATCTGCGATACTTCGTACGTCAAGCGGCTGCGGCTGGCGCAGATGTGTACGCAGGGCTACACCGTTGCGGGGAGCAAGACCAATGTCTTCTGGGCGAGTGATCTTTTGCACCGGTAACTACCCATCCCCACTTTCTCTGCTTCCCCCCGAGCTCCGCTGACAAGTGAAAGTCTCTTCCACGTCCCTTCAGTGAGCGAAGACGCGATCCACCATACCGCCGACGGATACGCCGAGACGCTGGAGCTGGCGACGCACGAGGACGGCGAGGCCGTGCACAACTCCGACTCGCTGCTGTACTTTGCGCTCGAAGTGTATGCGCTGCGTGTTTCCGTGCCGGGTGTGGGGTGCTTGGGTACTGCTGTCGCAAAGAAGCCGAGCCCGATGACTACTGCCATCGCGACTCCTGCGGCAGCGACGACGTTGGCAACTACCACCATGCCCAAGAAGGAGTGCCATACCCACGCTGATGGAGCTGTGCACTGCTAGTGCTAGTGCTCCTCAGAGGAATGGATGGATAGATGATTGGATGGATGGATGTGCGAGTGCTCCAGTGAGATACCAGGTCGTGGTTTATGATTCGTCTTATTACTTCGCACATCGATAATGTGCATGTACATACATAAAATTCAGCTTTCTGCATTTCCCCGTTTCTCCCCTTCGTTTGTCCTTACACGCCCGTTCAGAAGTACGACGCCGAGACCGCGAAGCCCACCGCCAACTATCCGTTCCCGTCAGCCTATCCCCCTTCCCCCACCCCTCCCCCATCCCCGCCCAAGAAAAGCTACTCACCTTAACATGCTCCCGCACATGCTTTACATCGATCGTCTCCAGCATATCCCCTTCAGAGTGAATCCACAGCATTAAAGTAATTCTCACACAAACGCGACGGGGTACCCAGCCTCCGTAGCACTAGCATGATCACTGCACTCGTATCCGCACCGCGTCTCTACCACGGGGAGGACGGTGTACACCTCCCCCAGCTCCTCAGCTGCTTTACGAATGTGTTTAGTGGTGTGGAGGTGTGGAGGTAAAGTCCGCCACTATCTATCGCGAGCTGGTCGTGGTGGAGGGGGGGGGGGTCATATCCTTTCCTTTCGCCCATTCCCGCGTATCAGTCGTCACTCGTCGAGTGATTTGGGTGGGGAGGGGTACTTGGTTCAGCAACGCGACAACATCGACCCCGCGATGACCTACCGGCTGCCGAGGAGCCCACCATTATCTGCCGCGTACCAGTGTACCAGTGGAATTCTACGGCGTTGCGGCGCGAACCCCGTTGATAGGAGGACGCGGAGAGGAGGACGCGCGGGGTTTCGGGGATCGTGAACTGCCCGTGCAAATTAGTCTTAAGGGGGGGGAAGGGGAAGGGGGGGAAGGGGAAGGGGGGGAAGGGGAAGGGGGGAGGGCAGTGGTGGAAAGGGCCAGGGAGAGGCAGAGGGATAGCGGCAGCGGGAGGAAGGTGAGGGCATGCATTGTTTCTTCTTTTCGTCTGTATATCTGCTTCTGCTACGTTGGGATGCCATGGTGATGCCCGGTGGTGATGGGTGGTGATTCCCGGTGGGGCGGGGAGCAGGTGCGTATTTATTTATCTCCCATGGCCCCATCCACAGCTATGGACATAGGTATATCAAAGTACCAAGTACCCAAGTACCTCCCATCATCAATGCCCAATGCCCTAGAGCAAGAGTGTAAAGCATTCAATTTCCGCTACTAGGAGTGGTCCAAGAGTGGTGCAACCATGCAGTCAAACAACCACCACTCAACCGACCTAAGCAATAGAGGCGGCCAATAGGGAAACATCCGCAAGCGCTAGGAACCCTTAGGAATTCATTCCCATATACTACACGGGAGGATAAGGAGAATAAAGTCCTACGGGATTGAGACCATAGCGCGGCCTGAAATCACGGTTTGAAATGAGCGGGGAGGGGGGTCTGCCTTCACAGTTCACAGTTCACCCGTAGTTGGCCGCTAGCGGGGCTACAGAGTCCCTACTGCACCGGTACATACGTGGAGAACCTCCGCTACACCAATGAACGTAACGTTCCTGAAGAGTTTCTCACAAGCCGAGCCGAGTGAGGTCTCCGTTCCTCGGGGCGTAAACTTGACACAGGGGGATAGTGGCGATCTTCCTCCGGGATTCATGGATATACTAGGTAGTAGGTATATCGGTTCAACTTGCGACAAGGAATGGAACTTGGTAAGTCAGCCTGAAGGATCCTGGTCAATGTCAATGACAACGGCCGAAGCCTGTTCGAACATTGTTAATGTCGGTTTTTGCTGCAGATTTGCAGTGTAAACGAGAGTGGGCGCGCCCGGCCGTGTTCGAATGGCAGGACTTCCCCGGAAGGCTACATACCTGAGGTATGGGTATTTCGGCACCTCTGGAGCATACACACGTGTATAATAAACCTTCTGCTATCGCTCTTGCCTTTATAGCAACGTGTTGCGAAGAATCGCCGAGCAGAAACCGGCCCAGCTCAGTGCATGTCATGAAATATCATTCGCCTCGTTACAAATAAGAAACCAAATAAGAAACCAAATCAAACCCCCGCGTATAATCATGGTACACATCAGAACCCATTCGCCGCATTCTTCTTCCCCGTCAACCTTTCCACCACTCCCTCCGCGACATGTCGCGACACCGCCATAGTGGTAACCATAGGATTAGCGCCACTCGCGGTCGGCAGGATACTCGCATCCGCGACGACGACGCCCTCATGTCCCCAAATCTTTCCATCGATATCGACGGCGCCATCCTGTGGCGTGGCGCCCATGCGACAACTGCTCATCTGATGGGCACTGGCAAAGATAGCATTAGGGCTAGCCAACTTCGTGTCCCTAAGCTTCTTGAGCCAGTTCTGGAAGTGGGGGTCCATGATGCCCATTTCGCACTTGCCCTGCTTGACGAACGCGGGGAAGCCATTGATGGGCGCATAGATCTTTTCTGCGCCCTCGGTGAGCGCGATCTTGGCGATGGCTTCGATGCCGACCAGCATCCACTCGCGCTCCTTGGCGCCGAGGGAGTATGCCATCCGGGGCCGGCCCATCTCGTCGACGTAGACGCGCCCGGTCTGCTCTTCCCGGATGATCCCGAGGTAGCCATCCAGCCGCGGGTAGTTGAGGAGATCCTGTTTCCACTCCTCGCCGCCCAACCAGGGTAGCCCCGACAGGGCTAATGCGAGACCCATGATGGGAGTTTCCAGTCGCACACCGTGGCCGTGACCATCGAGGTCCTCGAACGACGAGACAATACTGGTGAGGGAAGCTCCGACGAGGGGATACCTCTTTTCGGGGTAGTAGGCATACATCATTACGGCGGGATGCAGATGCAGGTTTGCGCCGATCTGAGGCGAGGTGAGGCCCGAGTTTAGGAGTAATGCGGGAGTGTAGAGGGATCCCGCCGAGACCACCGTTTCCCGCGCTCGGATCACAACCGGTATTTCACCCTTGCCGTAGATTCCTGAGATGCCGACGACGCGCTCGGGGTGCTCGTGCGAGTACAGCAGCGACTCGCACTTGAACTCGGTGATGAACCTCGCTCCCGCACGAGAAGCGTCAGGCAGGAAACTGTTGACCGTGCCCATTTTCCTCGCGTGTGGCGGGCATCCGCACCCGTACGAGCAGAATGGGTCCTGGTGATCCACTGTCGCGTTCTGGGGGACGGCTGCAGCCGTATACCCGAGTTTCCGGGCACCGGAGAGGAGTGCTGCGTTTCGGTGGTTGTGGCTGGTGGGAGTTGACACGCCCATGCGCTTGCAGACGGCATCGAGATGGCGTTGGAAGTCCGGCGTCTGGAAATACGGAAGGTGCATATCCTCCGCCCAGGCTTTTCGAACGTAGTGTGGAGTGTGGAGGGAAGCACTCCAGTTGACGGCGCCACCACCTCCGAGCAGGGAGCCCGCCAGCAAAACAACACTCCCATCGTCGGTGGTCGCTGCAAGCCCACCCTCGAATATAGTCTCGCCCGCTACGTCCTCGTGGAGAGGAAGTTTATCATTTGGCACCCTACGGCTCATTAGCAGGTGGTCCCGAACGATCTGGGTAGTCCCCTCGGGCTACGAACCAAGGTCCCTTTTCGACGACGATGACCTTCAGCCCCGCTTCCGCGATCGTTTTCGCGGCAACGGCACCTCCGCAGCCCGAACCAACGATCACCACGTCCACTTCGAGCTCGGTCGGTCCGTCGATCTTGATGAAATCAAACGCATTGTAGAAACCCCCCTCTTCTCCCTTCAGCGGTTCCGGCGTGTGCTGCTTCCAATCATCGTTCTGAGCCCAGGCAGCGACTGTCGCAGTGTCGGAACCGAGAAAATCGATCGCGGGGTAGATCTCGTCGGTGGCTTTCCGGAACCACATCATCTTTGTGTACTGGGTGATGCCGACGGTGAAGTTCCGGATCGGCGGGAAGAGGAGGTAGGAATCGGTCGAGATCCATCGTTTGAGGTTAGTCTCGCGGTCTTCGGCAGACAGCTGGTGAAAAGGCGTTGCCCCACTCGTGAGAAGCAGACACCCGGCCTTCGAGCTGTAGTCAGCAGCGTCAGTACCGAGAAGAATGGGGCGATAATAGTCTGCAACTTACTTGAGCATGTTGAGAACCGATCGGAATCCTTCCTTTACACCGGCTGGCACCCGATTCTCGAAGAGCTGCTCGATGCCATGGCGGAAGGCCACGTGATTAGCACTGGCCGAGCAGGCCGCGAACTTGGATACGACGGGGTCCGAAGAGTCGGGGGACGGAGTGGCGGGAATGATGATCTCCGTGATCGAGAAAAAGGTGCGCCATTGGTCTGCCGTGAACGATGGCGATGTGAACGGAGGTGTTGCGTCCAGTAGGATAGGAGCTGACATGGTTCTTTCCTTCCGTTGTATTTTCTTTTTGATGTCGCAATAAATTTCCAAATTTGGATTTTAGGTTAAAGATCTGACCACCTGGGTATACGGGTAGATATCGGCTAACTGTGAGAGATCGAGCCTAAAACCTGAGGAGCAACAAAGATACCGAGCTGATGAAGAAGAGAGAAGATGCAGCCACGATGAGGTAATGAGCTGATTGTGGGGGAGGAAGAATAGTAGACACTTCAAAAGACGCGAAGAACCGAAGCACTCCGCTCTATATATACCAGCATATAACAACCGCATGTAAGTGCTGTGGAGTATCCACTATCTACTGCCCAGTCCTTGGCTTGTGATGGAGAAGGTGTTCGAATGCTTGCCCGGTTTACGCCTCTTTCCCCCCTCTCCCCCCGCCTTGGTAGGGATCTCGTTCGCTGATGATCCTTCACCCCCTTCGGGGACTTTGGCCGTCTCGGACAGATTCCGCGGCATCAATCCGGTTATACGCACGCGGTCCCCACCCGCACAAGCCAATTAGCCCACCGCGAGACATCTTCCCTCCCTGCTCCGACGTTCTTTGGTACGCCCTGTCCGCAAGCAGCACACGAACAAGGTCTTCACGGGTAGGTAATTTACCACGGACCTACAGTATGTACCTACCTACATACATGCGTCGGGGCGGACAGCAGGACGAAGAGGAAACTGGCAGAGCCCGATTCGCGGATAGTTACTCCACTGGACAGCTGGCGGGTCAAGATTGTATGTAGATCCAGGGACCATCGAACAAAGTTGGTACCTGCTCGCTAACGATTGTAAATTCAGAGCCGTCGATATCCACTCGCTAAAGATCGTAAATCCAGGGCATCGAATGGAGTAGGTATTCGGATACCGGTAGTAAACACCTGGCTAAAGGCAGAGAAGCAAGCAGCGCAGCACTCTTCTTCTGCACCGTCTACCAATGTGCTCTACCGTCCTGCTCCGCCGTCGCAGTGTCGCACATCCGAACAACCAAAAGGCCAGGCCCTCAACTGACGACGACGAATCCTGCAAGCAGCCACAATACAAGGCATCTATCTACAGTGCAAACATACCGGTAGCACCGACTCACCGAGGGATGTAAGTATATATCAGCATAATCCCCACCACCGCCCACCTGCCGGCATATGCATACCATGATACTCTAGACTCTGGAGTCTAGCCAAGGGTCCGATCTTTGTGGGGAAGACGCGAATGGTTAGATCGCGCTCGGCAGGACGGTGCCCACAACGGCACCACCGAGGTTTCTGACGACTGTCCTCCATCGCCAAGGAGGTAGTACGGATCGACGCGCGTGCTAACAAGAGGCTCGAAGTAGAGTGTGCGCCGTTCGGGCTTGGTATGTAACCAAGAAGTTGGTTACCGCAACACCTATGCATGTACCCCACCGTGTTATCGGCACTAGGACACAACCGCGAGTCCAGCAGTGCCCCACTGTGCCCAACGCCTCAAACTCCAGCCAGGTTCAGGGACGGAACGAGCAATCGAGAAGTCCATGCCGATTCCTGAGGCAAATGTTTCGGGGAGTTGTGCGAAGTTTCGGCACCCAGCGATTACCCCGTGGGGTCTGCTCTCTCGGGGTGGCTGTCCGAGTCGATTCGGAGTCTAGACATAGATAGTACCGCCAGACAAGAGTTTCCCAACGCCAACAAAGGTTCCACGGATCGCGGATGAGTGAATACTCTACGTATGTAGCAGTAGGGTTGTGCCTACTTCCTGATTTGCCTGCTGTATGCAAGCCGGTCGGTGCGCTGTGGAGTACCATGGGCTCTGGCGTCAAGATCGACCCGGCTCTCCAGTACTAGTAATAAGTAGTTAGCGGATCCTCGAACAGCCATAGTTACTCTATCTACGTCCACGTGTATGCCCACTCGGGACGTACTTTTGCGAGGATTCTTTCGCCAATGCCTCTCCCGGTCGGAAAGCGGCGGGTCGAGGGAAGGAGAACACACAAGGAGAAAGAGAATGTGGATGTTGATCGTCTAGGTATTCTGCAGAGGATGATCGAGAAAGAAGAAGAAGAAGAAGAAGACCCGGCCATGCCCACCAACGTTCAAGATTCTCACCACGTTGATGCCCACTACTAACCGCATTCGCTTCCTCCCGCTGCAGGAGTCCTCCCTCACTTCCCCCTCTCGCCGGCAGCTCCTCCATCGCTGCCACGAGACGCTACCGACGCATAACCAGTGTCGCAGCGCACAATTCCCCACTTCGTCGGCTGACGCGGCTTCCAAAATCCGGGGCCGAGGGGTTAGTGGTGCGGTGACACTTCTTGGTACGTTCTGCTGCCGAGGACTGCAGATCCAGTGCCCATCTGATCTAGCAGTCAGCCCAGCCGAGCGCTTGTAGTCTACATAAGTGCGTACAGTCGTCCTTACTTGTTTTGGTACCTTTAAGCCCCACATACATATAAAGTATACTCTGTCCAAGTTCCTATCCGTGGCGATTCCCCCACTGCTCCAGAGTCCACCGTAATATCACGGTCGGTGGCAGGATCACTACGGCCTAGATATGTTAAACTCACGGTCAGTGGCAGGATCACTACGGCCGAGATATGTTAAACTCGCGATCAGCAGCGGGATATCCACTCTTCCGATTCCCAAAGACGGATAAATTATTCCATTCGTGCATACAGGTATCAATCCCAACCCATTGCCGCGACGTCGCTTCAAGGCATGTCGGAACCTTTCCGCATGCTCCGCGCATCGCGGAAGGAATACCGGGACCGCCTGCTGTAACAGTTACACGATAAGTTAAAACAAGCCCGGCTTTTTTATTTCCGGCGTTCGGAAGTACCATCGCCAGCCTTAAACCTTCAGGCACTGGGGCCCTGCCGATCGTGAATTCTAGGTTATCCGATAAGATACTACCATATACCGGTGATCTCTCTCTGGCCTTGTCGTTGTCGGGATATGCCTGGATGCTAGGTACCTCCGGAGTACGTCCTCCATCTCACGCAGTACCGAGTACCGTACCATACATATACCGCACTGCAGATGCCTGGGTATCATGTACGTAAGAAGTTGGTAGGGAATCGGAAGCCGCTCGCATGGTCGTCGCTCGTAACGCGCCTGTCTGTTTAAATACTGCCGCCGCCGGGCTTCGCGAAACAGCGCGGAGCTTCCGTACTTGCATACTTGCTTGAGTGCTACCGCTGAAACATAACTATTACCAACCGTACAAGTAGATCGCGCGATAAGTAGAACTATTAGAGTACCTGGACCACAGTTTCCCCACAGGTATCAACAAAACATATTAACAAGGCGACTGTCTAGTATCTACTGGTTAATCCGACGGTCCGCGGACAGCGGTTGTCTACCACCACCACGAGAGGAGCATATGGAGGATAGATAGAAGATTAGATAAGATACGAGGAGGGGCTAGTCGAATCGGTGGATCCGAATAGCGGCGATAGCCGGACTAACCTGATCGGGTGGAACCGAACGTTGTAGGTAGCGGGGGAGAGCCATATGAGATGGCTCTTCGAAGTTGAATACAACCTTAACTTCTCAATCATCCTTCATTTTCGCCGTTTCGCTTCCAAGAAGACGTCAACAGCGCCACACCTTCTACCTACCCCTTGATAGTCGCCCACCGTCTTCATGCGCAGCGGCGCAGGGTGGACTCATTCCTCTAGACTCTAGAGCGGCAGTTTGAACTGTTTGAACCTCAGAGGTCCCAAGGCTAGGTCCTGCAAGTGGTCGACCGGGACATCCGGACGGGAATTCGCTGAGGCGAGTCGTTCTCTTGATCAACTGGCCGACCAGGTGAGCGAAAAACCCCTTCTTGGGACGAATGTTAATGTAGCGCCAGGCGCTGTCAAATACGTATCATATGTACAGTGAGGCTTACAGAGTCGTTACCGAAATACTCGGATACTCCCGGCCGATAGTCTACAGGTGTTGCGGGATGCAGCCTATGGTCGCCACGCAAACCAGGCTTCGGATCGAAAGAGGCGCTTCGAACGCGATCACGCAGAACCATGGTCAAGACTACTCGTGATTCGTGTGAGGTTGGAGTTGGAGTTGATTGGGCTCATCTCATGCAGGGTGCAATCATCACGTGTCCTACCAGTATCGAATCGTGGCACGGAAGAGTAGAAGCACAGTTCAGGCCCAGGCCGACGCAATACTGCAGGGAGCTACTCTAGGAACTTGATTCGAGTGACGGTCGCGACTGCACCTTCGCCGCGCTTACGATAGGACCGTTGTCAGACGCTCTGCACTGCACTACATTCCCGGGGGCGTCCTTTTCGTCTGTAGCCAGCTCATATATGTAATGCGAATATTTGTGATTTATCTCTCCATATTTCGCTGCTCTTGATTGGCGATCGTACATATCAGGGCCAGTAAAGTCCCTCCAACAGCCCGGAGGAACAACCCAGGTGCCTGTTTGGCATATGCATCCGCTGTTCGACATGTTCTTCCAGAAGGTTTACACTGTCCCGCACTGGGCACACTAAGCAACGCTCATCCAGCGAGGCAATCCGAGACATCGGCCGCTTCCCACGGTGTATATAGTATATGGGGATACCTATCCACAGCTAGCGGAAGAGTTCAACCGCTCATCTCCGAACCTAGCAGCAGCAGCAGCAGCTTCCAGCCGACACCGCAAACGCTATACACACCCATCCTCGCTGAAGCCGTCCGTTCCGTACTTGCGCTCGTACGTACGATACGATACGATGGCACCCGTCGAAGTTCCAACCATCCGGTTCGTCAGTCAGGGAGAAACCATATGCACGGATGCGACGTGGACCAGCGTGACAAAATTCATCCTTCTGAACTACGTGACGCACGTTTTCACGGTCATGCAGCATCCGGGAGCACGGAATCCGCAGATCTTTTCGTGGATGCTCACGGCGCTGTTCATGCCGTTTGCGGGCACCTGGAGGGCAATCACCGTCATCATGTCGTACCCCAGTGCTCGCCTTTCCTCGTGTGCGACCGCGCTCCGATGCGGCGCCGTTTACATGGTTGTTGGCTGCAATGGTGCCGGTGCCGTGATAGTACCGACAGCGTTCGCGGCAAAGGGGATGAACCTGAAGGACTTGTACGTTGTGGCTGCCACACCGGCGCCTCCTTCGATACGTGGTAGCAGCTAACCTCACTCAATCCCTCCAGCCAGTGGAACGAGTGGCAGAATGACTTCAAGCACGTGCACGGAGACCACCCAGTCGTATGCGACACCATTCGCAAGCCTCGGGACGATGCCCAGCGCCGCGGCGCGGCCCCTACCGACGACGATACTACGCGATACCACCTCGTGCGCATCCCACCGGACGCGCGGATAGAGCCGCTGCACGAGGGTCTACAGCTCGAAAACATGGAGATCCCGAATTCGTACAGCTTGGTGCAGGGCGCAGCCGCAATCGCACAGATCTTCTTTGCGAGCAAGGAGCTGTACGCCTCGCGCGGCGACCAGGTCGTGCGCTACGGCTATGCGGCGTTCGGGCTGACGGTCATACCATACCTGTGGATGTCGTTCCTTAACCTCGTTGCGGCGATATTTCGGCCGCAGTACTCGCATGTGTATTTAGTGCATTATGGCGAGCCCGCCGGAGACGCAGTGGCGCCACCGGCGTGCGATAACGAGGGAGGGGAGAAAGAGCCGCCGCATGTCGACATACACGAGGTTGGTGGGAAAGAGCTCGAACGACGGCGGAAACTGGACGGAGAATTACGGGATTCTGTTGTCGGTGCGGTGGGAGTGGTATACATCCGCCCGGAGGCTCTCAAAGAGAGGCCCTACTATACGGTGCGAGTTCTACCGCTACGCGGTCAGCCACCACCTCCGGAATGAACATGTATCCTGACGGATTGAGATGATGTGTTCCAGTTCAAACCCTTCCTGGAGAGCCTCAAGAAACACCACGGAATACCGGTTAAGCCCGTGCTTGAGCACTGGGCCACACTGTGCAAGGAGATCGGCCAGCTCGTCATATGGGCCTTCTCGCTTGTGATCCCGTACATCGTCATATACATCATGACGCGCTTCGAAGCAGCCGAGAGCACCACCGCCCAGCGCTTCGCTGTCGTCGGCTGGCTCGCTACGGGACAAGTTCTGGCACTCATCCTGCCGTTTTTGCGCTTGTACGGCGAAAGCCGGGCTAAAACGATCTACAGCGGAATCATGATCACGTTCCTGATCCCCGTCGGAGTCTATTCGGTGGTGAATGTTTCTAAGATGATTCTGGAAAAGGGAGTCTGCGTCCAGTTGTGACCAATTGATTTTTTGCTAGGCTTATGTGTTTCGTTCTTTCATTTGATGTGTTGGATTATTATCATTATTTATAGGCTTTGGTGATGTGTCTACCGAAGATATCGTTTGGCTGATGCCATGTGCGTGCTCCAGTGGAGACATTGCTGCTCTCCCTTGAATCTAATGGGTGTTCGTTACCAGAGTTGGCCTCAACTCCATGATTTTCCCATCGTGTGCATGACTAAATTGTTGCCGTTTACTCATTGATTGCACGTAACCTAGGTATCTAGATCACGGCAATATTCACATCCCGTTTCTATGGAAATTCAAAGCATAAGACTTGGCCGTATCGACGTAAACAAAACCAGCAGAAACAATCACAAAATACTAGGGTGTAAAGTAGTACCGATTCTACGTTACATCGTCTATTTCAATTTTCCCTACCGGGTACCTAGATAGGTATTCCATCACCACAGCCTGGCAATGGTACCCTCTAGTACCGGCCAGTCCTTTCCTCAGCGTTTGACAAGAGACAACTTTCCCTCAACCAACGCCTTGTGGGTCAACAACAGATCTTTGCGATACCTTGAAACGATTATTGTCTGCAGAATGAGGCGCTCGCTTCTCCTGTTTTCCTTTGACCAGTCGTCGGGAACCTTGAACTTCTGTTTACGTGATTTGAGGAATTCCCGGATATTCTTCCTGGCCTGGGTGGCGTACTAACATCATGAGTCACTGACACGACCTTAGAACAGTTCACTGGTGAAAGACTCGTCTGCTCGGCGTGCGTATCACGGCAGGGATCGGGCTGCTCAGAAACCTCAGGCATCCGAGTGCAAAACCACGACGCACGATTTCGTTGCCTCGGCCGTTCTACTTGAAATACACTGTGATTTGCTGTATAATACTGGTAGAATGCTTGAGAACTCTCGAAACTCGTTTAGTAGCAGGGTAGCCAGAGATCGCGGCAAAAGATGGCCGCTGGAGGTATGCATACCAAAATGTCTCGGAACCCAAAGAAGCACTGCCGTTGAGTGTCTAGACGTTTTCCCACCACATCGACCGACGTTCGGCGATGCTACTACTCCGCTCCACCCAAAGCCCGGAACAGCCGCCTGAGAAACTGCCCTTCGGAATGTCGCTGGAGGCAGGTTCCAGTGCTGGACATCCCTCCGCACGAAGTCCCAAGTGGCCGTTGGTGACAATTAGGATGGATCAAATGACCGGGATTGAACCGTCCCGAGGTGTGGGGAACTTTGAAATCAGTGGATCCGGCTTCGCATGACGCACACTACGGCACCTAGACAAAGATCTTCATGATTGCTCGGAAGGTGTCTCAGCTCAGCCGTATCCACCCCCATCCGCGTCCTCGTCCTCCTCCAGAGCGCCAATAATGTTTTACTTTGATATGCACAACATGAGAAACAGAGAAGAGAATGCAAGAATGACAAGGGAATTACCTGCGGCACAATGCCTAGTTGTAGCGGGTCTGCTGTCTTTTCGCATCCATAACTGCCTGCATCCGGGATGCAGAGGCCTGCACAGAGCCTCAAGCCGCTTTACGGGATTTTCTCGCAGCATAGAAGAAGAACCTGTTCCAGCTTCGCGTTCACGCTAGCTGGTAAAGTCAAAATAGGTAATCGGCTCAGAGCTCTCGCTTGAGCAGGGTCTGGACGAGTTTGTTTTCGGGCACGGGTCTATTAGAAGGGGTCTGGGGAGATGGGACTCAGGAGGGATGAGACTCGAGCAGGATAGGGCGACGTTCGAAAAAGGACAGCATAAGTTTCGTAGTATCATGGATTTTGTTATCCTACATATTTACAGGATAAGCCGATTTCCACGGCGTGCCATACATACTATACATAACTACACCTTCGAGGACCGATAATAGCCAACGACGTGGTCTAGGTCTCGGTAGACGCGGGATACGGAAAAAAGCGTATTTTTACCCCCCCCCCCCCCCCCCCCCCCCCCCCCTTCACTATACAGTAGGCCTCATGCGAATCGCGATTGATGAAGAAAGTTTTAAGAAACGTTTGCCACGTCTTTCCTGCTGTGGGCTAAGCTTAGACAAGAACTTGCGGAAACTTGGGCAAGGGGCTGATTCGATGAGCGAGAGGCACATACTACCAGTCACCAGTGCATAGTGCTTCTACGAAGTGAGCGGTCCAGGCCAGAGACCATGGCATCCCTAGACCCAAGTGATTGCGTTTGAAGAGGCCAGTTCAATAATGACCAGAGAGCACGTTGCGCTTTCTGATGGCAATGCGGACTTGTGCTCATGGCAAATTGTTTCTGCCATCGGTTCCGGGCTTTTTGAGATACCGTAATGTCTCACTTAAGAGGTAATAGTTCTACTGCCATATCTGGCAGTAAGCTTTCTATAGGTACATATCTCCAATCTTGGCCTCTGATATGAGAGACAATTATGTGTATTTCTGTTTGGTTTAGCTACTTTCCGTTCGGGCAATAATTAGTGCGCCAAGCGCTAGAAAAACAGAACAGAGACATCACCTCTTAAGTGAGTTGATACGGTCATATACCGTACTTAGGAATGTCTCGCGTCTGTAGCTGCCATTCGAAGTGCCCCGTTAAGCTTCGCACTCCTTCAGCTGTGCTGTCTGACCGGAATGATGATACACGAGCGAGGTATGCTGACTACCAATGGTCGCAGATGATGGGTATATGTATGAGGATTCCCCCGCTCAACGAGCTAGAGAATATTGACTTCCTATACATACAGATCCTGCAGTCACACCACGAACAATACTATTACATACCCGATCCTAGCCAAAGTCGTCCATTGCTCGCAAACACAATCATGACCACCGTCAACGGTACAACGATTCGCCAAGGTACTCACAGCGAGACGATATGCACTGATGCGACCTGGACGAGCGTCGTGAAATTCATCCTGCTAAACTACGTCACGCACGTATTCACAATCATGTTGCAACCGGGAGCAGTCAGCAGTGTGTCACTTGCTTGGGCGGTCGGCTCTCTTTTCATGCCGCTGTTGGGCACTTTGCGGGCGCTGGGCATGGTGCTGTCGCCGCCGGCATTCCTGGAAAGCTCCTTTATAAGCGCTACTCGCTGCGGGGCTCTCTGTATAGTTGTGGGGTTCAAAGGTGAAGATTGTGTGGTGCCGACTGCTTTCGCGGATGCGAATATGAAGCTAAACGACTTGTATGTATCAATTTCATCCACCGAACACCAGCTCTCCATGTGGCAAGGCAATCCCAGGCAAGGCTAACTATCGTGCAACCACAGTGCGTTGGGGTTCCATGATTCGGCACAGGTGCACGGTTATTACCCAACCAACCTAGCAGCGCGCGCTTCCTTTCCCCGCCGGATCTTTGATTCCTTCCGAAGCCTCTTTCAGCGTCGACGTACCGATACTGGAGAGATTTACTATCGCATTGCCCCCATCCCCCGCGAGGGGCACGCACACGGCTTAGGGGACGATGTCAACTCTATGCGTAAAATGGAGATCGCAGCTTCGTACAGCTTCGTACAAGGAATCGCCGCCATCGCACAGATCTTCTTTGCGAGTAAGGAGCTATACGACGCTCGCGGAGTCCAGATCGACCGATACGGATATGCAGCATATGGACTAACGGTGATACCGTACCTGTGGATGTCCTTCCTCAACCTTCTCGCGGCGATAATGCGTCCACGATACACTCATATGTACCTGCTACACTACGGCGGCCCACATTGTCCATGTACCCCTCCAGATAGTTCCTTTGGAGCAGATTCCCACTATGATACTACCTTCGTAGAAAGAGAGGAAATCGGAAAAGAACGGGTGGTACTAGGTGTCCGCGAGGTTGATAAGGAACTACAGGATAAAGTTATTGGTGCGGTAGGGGTGCTACACATTCCACCGGCGGATTTTAAAATCAATAATTACGAGAGAGTACGTTACGATCGGATATGCCTCACTCCCAGAGAAAGTTCATTTACTGATAACGTTACGCCATAGATACTAAGATCGTTGAAAACGCCGAAATACAGATATTTCATGATTGCAATGCTGTTTTTATATTCCATCTTGTGGCTTCTCTCAATGATTGTCCCCTACGTCATCATATACGTCATGACAGGTTTCAAAGCGGCTGGGAGCACTTCTGTCCAGCGGTTCTCTGTTGTCGGTTGGCTCGCTATTGGACAGGCGCTGGCAATATTCCTGCCATTCGTGAACATTTTGGGTGGGAAAAAGACACTGATGCCGTACCTCGCAGTGACGGTTACTCTTCTGGCTGCTGTGGGGATCTTCTCGGTGGTGAATGTTTCCAAGATGATCCTGGAGAGCGGAGTTTGCATCAAAATCTGAAAAGGTGGTTGGTTGTGGTTTGGGAGCTTACGGGTTTCTTCTTTTGTCTGAGGTATCGCATTTTGTCTATGGGTTTCGGATGGGCGCTAGAGATTCTGTTGTCTGCGTATGTAGGTATGTACTTGTGCGCGCGTGGGGGGGCCGGGGGGGAGGGGGGGGCAAACCTTGAATCTGGGAGGCGTTTTTGGTGTCGGAGGGGGCGCTGCACCTTACTATCGCGTATCGCGCGAGCTACAAGAGCCGTTGGAGTGCGAACCAGGGGAATCGTATGGGGTGGTCAGCTGTTTTTACATTATTAGGATATTAGAGGGAAAGAGAGAGAGACGAATCTGTTGCTTGGTTGTAGCCTCGACGACGCAGCCAGTCTGCCGCTACCCGTATGTAAAAAGTTCCATGGATCTCGTGAAGAACCTCCCAGTCCAGGCAGCGGCTGGAGGTGCTCCGGTAGAAAGACCATTCTCCGGCCTTCATCCCCGGACGTCTACCTCTGACAGAGTTACATCACCAACGCAGCCAGAACACGTAGTCATTAAGTAGAGCCACCCAAGCATGTGTGAATACAATATCGATGGCCGATGCCGAATCTCAAGCTGAAGCTTTTTTTTATCTTCGCCATATTCCGTCTGACCGTTTCCAATCATGCCAAATTGTGCACACCTGCTGTCTCCTGTAGTCCCGCTCGAGGTTTCACTTAACAGTTTACAGTCCGTTGAAGTCTCCATACCCTCCTACTCCCCCTAGGTCTTCATAAATTCCAGCTCGCCTGCCATCTTCACTCTCCTTCATGACTCCCCTACTCCGGAAAATACATAGCTCCACACACTCTCACTCGTGAAATCGCCCGGGTGACTTCTCATGAAGCAAACAGATTCACGCAATCGCTCTGTGTCGGCACGTCAGTCAACACAGGCTATAAAACGCTAGGGCTCGCTGGGTATCACATATAGCGTGCGGGCGGCGAATAGTTCAGATAACGCACCGCACGGATGGATAGAGGCACCGAAACCGGTGACGGACGACGTGATTGAAAGAACAGAATATTTAAGTTACAACTACTGACGCGGCTTGTGCGCTGTTGTCGGCCAAACCTATGGCTAGCTTACTTGCTAGCGGGGTTGCTGCTTGAAATCTCAGCGGCTCTGATCCCTGGTTACTTCCAGTGTCTCTGGTTCATCGTACTCAATCACGGCTGGGCTACGAAGTATAGTGGCCTCCAGTACTCCATATTCTATCAATAACTCTTTCATTCTGGCCATGAGTGGGAGGAATGACCACCCAAGCCAAATTTTGTTGTTCTGACCGCTGCGCGCGAGAACGACATTGACTGTGTGCGGCGAGCATCTGCAGTGGTCGGTTTTAAGAGTCGTGACAGTGACTATGTATGAACCTAACTTCTGAAAAAGCCACTGCCGGGTACAAGAAATGTTCGGAACCGTAGTGTGGTTTTGTGAGATTCGCACTGCCACGGGCGGCCAGCGCCGGAGGGAGGGCGGTAGGGGTTGTTCCCGAAGAAAAGAAGTATGTAGTATGAAATAAATCAGGCACTCCTTCTACTGGATCTTTTCTAGTATACTCGGGAGTGGGGCTAAAAGGTGCGCTTCTACCTATCAGACACTTGGGCAACGAATCAACGAGAAGTATGTTCGGATATCGTTACGGCTGTGGTTCAATGCAAAAGTGAGGCGCGGTGATGGTGATATTCCTCTCAATCGTCATCAGGATTCAGGATGAGACTCCCGAGTAGCGGAACAGATGTAGATCCTCGCCCAGGTATCGAGCCGGACGGGATTGGCCACAGTATCACTCTCCCTCCTCTCAGTGTGTCTCTTTAGGTCGGCTACTGTTGCAGCATCAAACTGCAAACGCCTGCTCGTGGCGTATGGAAAGTATAAAACGTGCTCGCCTCCATCTCACGTTTGTCGCTATTCTTTTTTTGTTTTATCTTTATTTATTCAATCAGTAAGTGCTTGCGCGTTTGTCGCTAGACACATAAACTCCTCGCTGAAGGAAGGTGTTCATATTTGCTCACTCGTATGTCGAGTGACGTTTGTTGTTGCTCTGACAGCTGTGCGAGAGAACGACATTGACCTTGGTGTGTGGGTTGGACGCTGCTGGGGGGGCGTACGATGTGGCAAGCGTGCATGCTCGCCGAAGCACTATATCTTCTCCAATTGCTGGCGCATCGTTCGGCGTAGGGGACGGTGCGGTCGCGATTGAGATCGAGATCACTGCTCCCGTTGTTGCTCTCTTCTTTTTGGTTAATATCACTCGCATTCAGCATATCTACAGTAGTATGGTCATTAGCAAAAACCTCGTCTACCAAGCCCTCCGTCTGGGTACGACAGATGATAGAGTTCGTACCCACGAAACAAACAGACGTCAAAGAACCACTTTTCACACGTCTCCGCCTACCTATCTTACCTTCCTCTCCCTAGAGTCCATCTCGGAAGCCCTCACTCAGAGCCATAATTTCACTTTCCCCCTGTGTCGAGGAATGATGAATGATCTTCTAAAACGACTTCCGGTCTATCGCTATTCGGATTGAAGTAACTATCACCATTCCCCCGTTGACGTTCTCTTTTTTTGGTTTATTCATTGCTTCCGAGTGCGAATGAATGAAGCTTCCTCGTGCACCCCCCCGCCCAACTGTCGTCTCGGTGTGTCTCTTTAGGTTGGCTGGTGTGGCAGCTTCAAACTGCACACGCCTGCGCGTGGGAGGCTTCACTTAGAGAGTAGTTGTTGCTATCATTTCTTGGTTTTGTTTAATCAGTAATTGTTTGCGCGTTTTTCGCTATTCCTCGCTGTGGGAATGGGTTCATTGGTGCTCACTCCTTCGTCGAGTGACGTTGTTTGATGTCAAATATCTGTCGACACCTTGGAATGTAGCGGTATTTGCTAAAAGGCAAACTTTTGAGTCAGGGCTAGTGCGCTAGAGGTGGTTTCTTGGAATTCCACCAGCTTCACCTATAAAACCCTCCTTTCCTCCCAACTCTTCCTCCCATTCTCCTTCCTCTCTCCACTCATTAACTTCTTCTCATACTGATTTGTGATTCATGCCACTGACTTAGAAATCCTCCTCCCCTTCCTTCCTTCCTTCCTTCCTTCCACCTGAGCTCAAACCTCGAGGTAAGTCCCTCTCCCTCCCCTCCCGCTTTTTACTTCCAGGATAACCTTACAGAGCTATCCTGCTCAGCCGTAGCAGCGAGGAACTGAGGGATCCGTGCAACTGATCTACAAAGTCGACTGTTGCAGCGCCAATAGACGGATCCAACCTTCGAGGCTGAGCAGAAAAGATCCAAGGACGGGGTTTTCTCTTCTGCTGACGGCGAAGTTCTTTCCCCTTTACCCCGGGAGTCCAAGTCGGGTGACAGCCGACTTGCTCCTGGTGGATGACCTCTCCGAAACCGGGTGACAGACGGTTTCGTGTTGACGAGGAAGAAAAAAACAAAGAAAATATGACTTCCGAGTTATACGCATGTAACCTGGCCTACTATCCCCCCAGGTTATACGCGGAGGTTTTCTTCCTTTGCTGTGAAATCCTGTGAGAGAGCATTGAGCAAAGGTCTTTCCTCCTGGCCATGCATGTCATGTGAGAGACGTGCTACATGCGTGGCCAAGGCCCATGCCTCCGTAACCGGGCTACAGACGGTTTCAGAAGAGCAAATAAATAACCAAAGAAGTATAACTTGGTCTACTACCGCCCCAAGTTATACACGTATAACGTGGCTTACTACCCCCCCACGTTATACGCGGAGGTCGTCTTCCTTTCAGAGCAAAGGTCTAACCTCTAGCTATGCATGAGTTAGATACATACGCCATTGGCCAAACGTTGTTGCTCTGGCCGCTGTGCGAGAGAATGACATTTGACTTGGTGCGCGGGTTGGTTGCTGCTGGGGGCGGTAGCAGTGGGCGTTTGTACGATGTGGCACGCGTACATGCTCGCGGGAGAACTATATCTTCTCCGACAGCTGGCCCATCGCTTGGCGTCAGGTACTGTGCGGTCGCGATCTCGATCTCGATCTGAATCGCTGCTCCCGTTGATGCTCTCATCGATGCTCCCATCGTCGAGTCCTTTTTTCCGAGTGCGCATTTATGAATCTTCCGAGTGCACCCCCATGAACCGATCTCATCGTGCTATCAAAATCCATTTCGTGTCCATTCTACCAATCATTCAAAAAGCAGTATTACACCGAAAAGTACAAGCAAGTCTCATCGAGGTCCCACGGCCCCTTAGGTATCACTCCTCCTTCATATAGACGCTCAACCGACTCTTCCCACCACACGCTCCTCCACCACCCGCACACAGCATTCCACACTTCTCCCTCTTCAACTGCTGTGCTGTTGGTGCCAGCGAGTCCCCGCAATAACATCCCCCCGCATGCTCACCACCCGCATACTCCCAGCCCCTCAAATCGCAGTAATCAACGCACATTCCCATAGTCATATTCTTCATGACCACCTTATCGCCCATAAGCGCCCTTTCACCAACCGCCTCGCTCCAGCACCCCAGATCGGCCCATCCGAAGAGCTCTGGTGCAGGCTCCCACGATGTCCAGTTGTAAACCGAGAGTGCGCGGGAGCCACCGCAGGTTTTGCTCGAGTCTCCGGCACATGGCATCGTGCATCCGCTCGAGCCGAGTGTGGCGTTGTGAGAGAGTGCGACGCCACAGTAGCATTCCCGTGAATACTCAACGCCAGAGAGTGGGAGCGAGAGGTTTCTACAGCGCTCTTGACAGAGCGCCGGTGTCAGCACTGCCGACTGAAAGGTGTAAAGCGGGAGTGCCCGGCCGTCAATGCCTTCACTGGCGCATCCGAGGTAGGATTGGTCCAATCCCAGAGAAGACGTTGTGGTGATGATTGCAATGTCTGGTGTGGGTGATGTTGAGGGGGCTACCAATGTATCTTCCGTGGGTGATGAAAGGGCCTTGGTGGGCGAGATAGATGGTTCGTCCGAAGATATTGTTGAAATTTCTGGGACCGTGGTCGGCTGTTTGGAGGATGATTCTTGTGCTGAAGAAACATCTATTGCGGACGAAGACACACCTGCTGTAGCAGAAGGCGCCGTAGACATGTCGACCACGGAAGATGAGATGTCCACTGTGGAGAATGCCGTATCCGTTGAGGATTCGATTTCCGAAAATGAACCGGAAGGCGTTTCCGAAGGTACATCCGTCGAGGATGAAATTATTTGCTCTGTAGAAGACGCCAAATTTGTTTGCGACCCACCCTCTGCCGAAGAAGACATAGACGCCGACGGAAAGTCGTCTTGGTCTGAAGTCGAAGGTACAGCCTCTGTAGTCGAAAATACAACCTCTGTGCTCAAAGGTACAGCCTCTGTGCCCGAAGGTACAGCCTCTGTAAGCGAAGGCGTTATGGCTGAAGCATCGGCCGAGGACGAAGGAACGACCTTTGTAGAGGATACCACATCGGTCTCTGAGCTCATCGTTGACTCGCCTGAGGCGAAAGACGAGACCGCGGATGACAATGCCGGTACAGAAGATGCATCGGCTGAGGATTCCACCTCCGTCGGTGTCGCGGAGGGTGATACCGGTACCGAAGACGCGTCCACTGAGGATTCCACAACGGTAGGTGCTGCGGATGACGATGCCGGTACCGAAGACGCATCCGCTGAGGACCCCACCTCGGTAGGTTCTGGAGGGGGTGTTGCCGAAGGAGCGCCAGTTGACGATGTGACTCCCGTAGCCGACGAAGTCCCCGAGACATCCACCGAACTCCCCGCTACCGATGAAGAACCCAGCTCGGGCAGCAACACCGGCACGTATTCAAACCAGCTCAACGCGTCCGGTCCACCACAGATCTCGTCCAGCTTTCCTGCACACGGCATATTGCAATTTGGAGAACCCAGCGCAGCACCATTTTCCAGGGAGCTGCCGCAGAAACACTCCTGCGAATACTCGAGCCCGGAGTACTTGAGTTGGAGTGTCGTGCAATGGTCGTGGCACTTTTGGCGCGTCATAGTGTCCAAGAACAGAAAACCGCCTGTGAGCGCCCGCCCACCGGTCCCCTCGGTTATACAGCCGAGGTACTTGTAGTTCGGGTTGGCTGTGGGCGTAGCAGATACCATGATCGATGATGGTGATGTGGGGGTTACGGTTCCGGAGGTGTTGGAGGTTGTAGCGTTACCAGAGTCCTTAGGAACAAAACGGTAAACACTCAGAGCATTGGGCCCTCCACAGATTTTGCTTCCATCGCCACCGCACGGCATTTTGCAGTTCGGTGAACCCAACTTGGCGTTGTTGGCGAGGGAAGACCCACAGAAGCATTCCTTCGAATACTCCATGCCAGAAAGAGGAAGTGAGAGTGATCTGCAGTAATTCTGGCAGTCCTCCGGTGTAAGGGTGTCGAAAAACTTGAAGCCTCCAGTAAGTGCGCGGCCTCCGATCCCCTCGGTTGCGCATCCTAAATATTCGTGATCACCGGTTGGGGTAGCGATCGAAGATTGCGAGACAGTAGACGATGACATTGGGGGCTCAGTCGGTGTTGCGGTAACTGACCCGTTCGAAGGGATGGAATCTAGGTCATATCTGTAAAGACTCAGAGCCCCAGGTCCACCGCAGATCTGCGAAACATCTCCGGCACACTCCATGTTACAGTTGTTCGATCCGAGAGCTGCGCCATTGGAAAGAGCTGCGCCGCAGTAACACTCTTGCGAATACTCAATACCGGCAAGAGGTTGGCTGAGTGATTTACAATGATCCTGACAGATTTTGGGCGTCATATCAGGCGAGGCTTTGCCACCACCGGTGAGAGCGCGGCCGTTAGTCCCTTCAGAAGTGCATCCGACATATTTCCAAGGATTAGGAGTAGGTGTTGCAGACGGGTTTGTTGAAGTCGTAGTTGTGATGTTGCTCGGCGTCCACAAACGTCTGTCGTAGAAAAGACTCATGAGTTGACCTGCACCACCACACTATTACCGTTAGCATATATAAAGTGACTCTTCGAGAGTAATCATACGTATTGGTTGTAGTCTCCGGAGCACAGAAAGTTGCACTGCGAATCAGAGACTTTCTTGGGCGGCAGTCTCGTTCCACACCAACATTCCCGGTGATACTCAGTCGCCACGAAAGGCCATACACCGGAGCCCTTCTTGGCACATGATCTCATACACTCCAAGTTGGTATTCGTATCCGTAGAATGCCCTATTGTGTCCATCCGTCGAATAGGATCCCCGTCCTGGTAACACCCAATGTACCTGTGATACGCCTGGCCGTTCTCATCGGTTTCCCAGACCTGCGGAGATTTAGCCGTGCATTCGAATTTGATGACATGTTTTCCGAACGATGGATCGTTGTTATTGAGAGTCCAAACGGTGGTGAGAAGCTCAGGGTCGATATTAACCTGTCCTTTCGGTGGCGAACATATTATCGTTGCCTCCTCAAACTTTCCAGGTGTCAATTGTGAGCCTTCGGCAATGGATCCCAACGCGTTAGTCGCGGCCAGAGGGCCGGATATCGGCGGTTTTGATACGGTCGTGGTAAGAGTGGTCCCACCGATGTTAGTTAATCGCATCTTCCGGAACTGCTGCTGGCCACGGAACGTTCCATTTTCGAAAACGAAAGATGCGTTATTGTATTCGATCCAAGTGCCATTTGACAGTTGCCACTCCAGCTTCGCCTTGGCCGTACCACCCGAGGTACCAAACATTCCCACTGTGATCGTCCCACCATTTGTGCCGATGATCAGGAAAAGCTGCCATTTTCCGTCGCTAGGAGGGTTCAAAAGCACGGTAACCACTTGTTCACTTTCAGCCGGCACAGCACCACCGACGCTAGGAAGATGGGTGAATGTGAATGCTTCAACCGTCGCCGTGGTGTTGGGAGTGAAGAAAGGACCGGAAGAGCTATTGTAACTCCATTTGTATGAAGTTATCTCCAGCGGAGAAAGTCCGGCATTGTTGATGGCGAAGGAGAGGCTCGATGGCTCACCGCCTGTGATAAGTTCACCAAAAGCAAGGACATTAGGCTGAATCTTGAGGACCGGCTTCTGAGAAATCGCTTTACCGCGGATCACGACCGGCGTATTCAAGGCAAATTTCTGTGTAGCTAGGTTTGTAGAGCGGATGTTGATGTTCGTCGACAACGGCCCCACAGACTTCGGAGTAAAGTTGGACTTGAACGAGATTTTGTTGCCGATTTCCATGGTAACGGGAAACGTAGGAAGATCCAAAACGGAGAAATTGTTGAGTGAATCAAGATCAACCGAGTCAACCTGAACCGGGGCAAGTGCTACACAGGTGACACCGACCACCGACGAGTTACCGATACCGACGGTTCCGGCTTCGATCGGCGAAGAGCAATTCAGTGGCATATTGACCGGCGAGCCGAAAGCACTGATATAACCGGTGGACGATGTGACGTAAACTTTCCCATTCCCGAACGCTGGACGCGAGAATTTCGACTGACTGTCGCTGTTCAAAAGCCGGTAGGTGGGAAGAACACCATCCACTGGAACAGTACCATATGCCCTCAAAGTAACGCCCTCCACATCAACAATCCACAAAATACCGGTTCCAGGCTCGCCGTTCATAGTTGTGATAGAGCTATGGCCGACGCCCTGTCTTCCGGCCGCTGACTCTGCGGTTCTTCCCGCCTCCGTGAAGATAGGATTTCCATCTGCAGTTTGGCCGAACTTGAAGGCATATGTAGGGTTGCCTACTGGTGTGACGTACACATAGCCACCTTCAAACGGATAAGTGCCAGCGCTGGCAAAGACAGAATTTGGCAGTACGGTGGTTTGCAATACAGCGTCCTACGTTCAGTCAGCATCTGGTTCTCGATTTCCGGTGGGGTCCTTGCTCACTTTCCGATTCGGGCCCATTTGATAACCGCCGAGATCATCCAGGTTAAGGAAATAAAACTTCCCGGTCTTACCGGCGATACATCCTATGCGCGGTACTTTTGTGGTCGAGAACACGCCTGGCTCGAGGAGGATAAAGCCCGAAGTCCCCAAGTCCTTGTCCATAGCATCCAAGGTATTCTTTTCCCAGGGGACGAAGAAGTCTGTTGTCGATAGACTGCCATTCGCATGAACAGCCATGTTCGCGACTGCTTCTTCCAAAGCGGTTGGAGGTTGGCGACCCGGCACTGGTTCATCCTGCAGCTGGTTGGCGTATCCATTTCCCTACAAGAGATGTTCAGTATCCCACCGGATGACTGAGACGGGAGCACATACGCTGGCGAAGAACAATCTCCCTGGATTATCACTAGCGAGCCCACCTCCGCTCATCCAGATGCCACCGCCTTTCGCGGGAGCCCTTCCGCCTTCGGTAGCAAACCTGCTTACTAGCTCTCCGGAACCGGCATGCCAGCCCATGATCCATCCCGTGAAGTTGTACTGCACGCAGTGGCTGGCAAACCCAGCGTAGACATAGTCTCCCATCTACGGACATCAGTCAGCAAGCCGTGGAAACCGGGAGTCCTGTGCGATCATACACACCTGTATCATAGCCGGACGCTGATGGTGCTTCCCGCTCTGAAAGACCCTCCATGGTGCATTGTCCCCAACAATACCCTCAAGCGGTATAGGAAACCCTGGCTGCTCCTCCAGCGTGATAACATCCAATGCATGGATATAGTATCTGCCGTTTGCCAATCCCTGCCGGTTCTGATTGTTTTGGTCGACGTAGGTCTTCGTCGTGACGAACCACGAGTTCCTGTTGGGATCAATAACGCCGGTGGCCGTAGAACCGATAAGGTCCGAAATATCGTTACAGCCGTCGAGGTCGGCTACTAGGAATGGGATGTGTAGTTGCCGGTAGTTCAGGAGCTCGCCGGTCACGGCATCGAAGCGGTAGACATAGTTGTGCTGGGACACGGCGTAGACGTATTGGCGGTGGCCTGGCGGGGTGTAGATGAGTGGTTGTGCGTAGAACTCTGTGTCCCCCGTCTGTCAGCTTCGTATCCGGGGAAGGGCATAGTAACGTTACGCACGCTCTGCGAACCCTTTGTAGTTGCTCTTTCCCTTTGTGCGCCAGATCAAATCGAAGTTTCCTGACTTGACCACATTGGGGTCCATATTGTGATTGGGCTGGTGGCCACTGTGCAAGTAGGTGTCAGAGTCAGTTCGCGATCAAGAGCATCGCCGCCGCCGCCGTTCCGCGAGGATATACCTTCTAGTATTGCTTCCTATAAACGTCAGAACTCGTACAGCGAACATAAACCGGGAAACGACGATATGACTCCGTACCTGCACTAGTGATCGTATCTGTCTCATGTAGACCCATAACCATCGGGCACGCCACGAACCACAGCAGTAGAAGGCCCAAAAGGCTGCGGATGCTTGACGCTGCCATCATTGTAGCTATGATCATTCTTCCGTCTCTCGTATTGTATCGTAGTCGTCAAAAAGTGGGTGTATCTCCTCGAGGAGGGTGCCTCGAACCACTCAAGGGACAATCTTCGCCGTCCTTTATCAAATTCCAAAACTAGGTTTCTCAAAACCAGCACCACAGGAATGACTGTGTGTAAATAAGAAGGCAGAAGGTAGAGGTATCCAATGACCCCGGTGTTGAGAGAGGTCAGATCGGAGGTACGGTCTGTCTGTCCGGGATGAAATGCAACTCAACTTATACTTTGCCGGGTTCGGTGCACATGTCCACTTCTATGGTTTCACAGAGAACAGAGAACAATTTTAGGATGGAAGTCCCAAAGAACCATGTAATCGGAATCTGACGAGGGAAGGAAGACGACTTCATGCGCACCGTGGCTTGGAGATATGGCACAGAGTGTGTGCAACATGGTCCCTTAAGAGTGGCCAAAGTCAACTATGTACGAGCGTTTTCTCTTTCGCTTGCAGACGGTTGATTCCAAGTCTCGGTTTCGCCATCGAATGGATTCTATTCAAAGCTCGCGCTTGTCGACGCCTTCCCCGGTGCCCGTTCCCTGCCTCGCTCGCTGATCATTCCAGCCTTCCTCTGCTGTTGCCGCAGCCGTCCCAAGTGTGAACACATTCACTTTCCTCCACCGACGAACAGCCTCGCCGCAGCCTTCATGCCTCATCACCAAGGCTCCTCTCTAATCCCTTTTTCTCTTTCCCTAAGCATAACTATAACGCCCCCCACCCATCAAGCAGGCCATTATTTCCCACAGACGCAACAGGAAGGCAGACGCATTCTACCAGTACTCCACACCTGCCGGTGTGGTCTTAGAGTGGCGAGGTGAAGAAACACTCCCAAATTCCTAGTGTTTACCTCGTTCCGAACACACCATCTGTTTCTCCGCTGACGATATATGATACATCCCTCCGAGTCCATCGAGCTTCAGCCCGCCGGCCGGATAGATGCAACCGCTACGATCCGCGCATCAGCCAACATGAATAGCGTTGCGTAGCATAGCGAACACCGTTATCGCCAACCAGGCTTCTTCCCCATACCAGGCTTACAGTCTGGTCTGGTCATACATCCAGGAACAAACTTCTTCCCTCGCACACACAGGCGAGGGAGCGAACGAGTGACCACCTGTGCGCCAGCACGTACTGTCCCACGCAACACCGCACATGCTCCAGCCTTACTTTCCCCGACCCAGGCCCCGACCCAGGGAGGCGACAAAGTAAAAGTGAGACATGTGCCCTCCCAGTGCTCGCTCTCGGCGCGGGTAGCCACCGTTTCGTGCGCCCGCACTTGCTGCTCATGAGACATGAGCAGTTTTCGCGGGGTTGCAGGCTGTTCCATCGCTGTACATTGTACATTGTACATAGGCGGTTACTTCGTACGGACAAGAGCCTATGGAGTATGCAGAGGATGAGAGAGATGTAGAGTACAATATTGCGTACGTACTGGTGGGTGGGGTACATGGGGTACATGGGGTACATGAAGCAGCAGCAGCAGCAGCCAGCTGAGATCATCGCCGCGCCGGTAATTTCAATTGCAATGCTCGCATGCTCGTATGATGTAGGTATGAGGTATGTATTGTGCTCTCTTCGAATCCGCACACGGCATACATGACCTACCCATGGGAACCGTAACACGATGTTTCCACCAGTAGGTATTCTATGTTCTTTCCGGAGCACAGGCGCAAGTGAGCAGCCAGCAACACAAGCACAAGAGCAAGAGCGAGCGCAAGACCCAGAGCAAGCGAAGCCGGAGCTACAGTTGTACTCTGCATACATACATCCATACATCAATTCCTAGGCGGGAGCGGGCGAGGAAAGTGCTGTATCATACTGTATCATGCTGTATCTATGATATGATATCATGCTGGCGGCCGCAGCGGCTGGAAAGAATCGGCATACATAAAGCAATCCATATTGTCGCCGCTGCGCCTCATGCATGTATTTATGTAGCGGTCCGACACAGGGGGCGGGGGCAGGAATCAAGATTCAAATTTCAAGATGGCGAAGAGGTAATGGTGGTGAGCTTATTATGTACAAATACACGGCCTGGTTGGAGTACCTAGAACACGGCAGGACAAACACCGCGTATCCTCCTGTCCGCGTCCAGAAGCCTAGGTAGCGCGTTGCAGCATCCACGCCTCTCGAGCCTTCCGCCTTCCGCCTAGCCACGCGACAGTACGTTTAACGGAGCCCTGGTACCTGTATCCCAGAGTTCAAACCCGTCCACAACGAAGACGCAAGGGACAGTGAGGCAAGTGTACAATACTCTACTCTACAGTGTGGCAAGTAGGCGAGGCGAGTGAGATAGGTATGTCCCACCTTGGCTCGGGGAGATGCATGAGTGAGTGAGTGAGACTTGAGCATTCGGAACAGCGTCGCCGGATCGCGAAGTGAAGTCTTACTCGCTTCGGCGTCGAATCATCAATAATCGAATAAGCGCAGTGGGATGGAGGATGGAGGATGCAGGATGGAGGATGGAGGATGGAGTGCCGTACAGACTACAAAGGACTCAGGAGAGTCGCTGACAAACTGACGAGCTGACGAGCTGACAGTCGAAATAGATATGCACTTCACAGTCGTTCCGAAGATCACTGATTCACCATCGTATGCTAAATGCATGTACTCTACCGACTCCCGAGTATTCACCTGTGAGAGTGAGACATCGCCGCTTCCGCTTCCGCTCCGGCGCGGGGCGGCCATCATACTGTCCTATAGTAAAGCAAGAAAATGCAGCTCGACGAGCCCCGTGAATTCCGAAAGTAATAATACGCCTGGTATACTATATTGTCCATACAATCCCATAATCCCACAAATCGCAAATAACCCGATGCCATGGTACCCGGGCCAAACTCTCCACCCGGACGGTCCCTCGCCCTCCTCCTCTCCCGCCTGCATCTTCCCCACTCATCTCCCCCGCCAGAAAATGAACAACAATGGCCCAAACTAGAAAAGAAAAGAAAAGACAACAAAACTCCAAACGCCATCCACCCTTCCCTTCCCTTCCCATCCCTTCCCATTGATCCCACACCCGCAATCCCTCGCAATCACGTGGACTACACTTCGCTAGACGGCACCAACCTGCCCCTCGAGTCATTTCTCTTTTTCCTTCGGTTGAGGATCAACAGCACCACCGCCAGGAACGCGATTGCGCCCAGGAGGCACGCGAGGATTGTCGCGAGCTGCGTGGTTTGTATCGTCATCTTCGGTGGCTCGGTCGCGAAGACGGTAGCTGAGAGGGAAGAGGGGAGCTAAGAGGAGAGGCGATGAGAGGCGAGAGGTGGTGGTTGTGGGTATCGAGGCGCTGAGAATCGGCCTGGGGGCTGGTGAGGTGGTGGTGGGCGAGGAGGGTGAGCGGGGAGAAGGAGCAGTGCGAGTGCGAGTGCGAGTGCGGACTGAAGTGAAGAGTAACTATGCGCGTGGAAGGTAAGGTAAAGGCGGGATAGATATGTAGGAAATCGATTCCGTCGCTTTGCGATCTATCTCGGTATCGCGGTCGCTATTCGTCGGTCGGTCGGTCTTCGTGGAGCAGCTTTGACAGGACAGGACAGGACAGGACTTGGACTTTATTGAACCGTCGGTCGAGTGGGAATAACTATCGAGATCTCAACGCGCTCTTGACCTGAAGCTCACGTTGGGTTGGAGAAGGTAGAGTAACGAGGAAGACAAGACAAGACAAGACAAGACGCTCTCCCCACGGTCGAGGCCCAGTCAAGTCAGTCCAGCTCAGATAAACCCCTGTGATCGTCGCCGGTGCGGCGCTCCTCCCGTTGACCGTCCTGTTCACTGGCCTTGCAATCTTACGGTCGCATCGAGGAGCTGGGGACGTGCGCTGACTGCTTGGCAGCGTTTCAGCCGTTCTCGTACGGCTGATGTTGCGGCTGAGGGCGGGGGGTGTCATGAAGCTTGTCCCAACTCCAGAGTCCCTGCACAGCACTGCACTGCAGGGTCCTGAAGCTAACCACTCTTACTAGACAGCGTAGAGCGACAGAGCGACGACGCGTACGTCACCAGAGTAAACGCGAAAGGTGTTTCGAAACAACCGCGCTGTCGATGAGAATTTGGTGAAATTTTGATGGGCGGATCGGCTGATGATGGGACGCGAAGTTCCTATGTAATTACGGTGCGCTTGGAGCTACATGTACGCGTCGCACCGTACTGGTGTTGGGGCGTTTGAACTTTGGATCATCAGCGATCACTGCCCCGAGGACCCTGGGGCCTGGGGCAGTGGGGCTTGAGGTACGGAAATAGATGCAGTGGCGGTGCTGCCCTAGAGCTTGGAAGTACTCATAGAGTAGAGATATATGCATAGATCTTGAAGCCGGCGAGGCCGCCTGAACGAACGCCTTGAATGGATCTGATCCGGATCGTTGGGACGATTCGTGACTGTGTTCAAACGTCAGCACAGGCCACAATAAATCTCCAAAAACAGCTGGCTGCGGTATTCGGGGTGCATTCATGCCTATCAACTTGCAACGAGTTGTTTTATTTGTTGAAACTTAAAAGACTGATGGACCGCCGTGCCTTCAAGGTGTTTATGAGTCGGGTGGAAGATTCGGTTCGTCCGGAGTGTGTCGGTATCGGAGGACTGGCATTGAGAATCACATGGGGCTCTGGAGTAGGCTTTTACGGCTTTGGTCTGGCCACGCGAAGGACATGTCGCGAGTGATAGTTAGGTGGTGTGGGACCCAGCGGAAACGACGCCTTGGCGCGTCTGTTTCAACCCGGAGCTGCAGACCTGGGTGAGACGGATGGGCTCGAAGTTGTGAACAGACTGTGACTCGTTGAGACCAGCTGCGTTGGGGGGTGTGACCGAGGGCGGAGAGGGTTGTTGTCATTCGATTTGAGAGCGGGCATGGCAGATGCACGAGCGGCGAAAGTTCGCCGACAGAGGCTAAACCCACTACGGTGGCTTAATCGTTCAGAGAGCTCTTATTCATTTTGTCGACCGGTTGTTTGCTTTCTCATATTCTGTTCATCGCTCTCATTGTCGCTTTTTCATTGTTTTCGTTGCTTTTCATCGTTGTTCGCTCTCGCTATTCAACTCGCGAGGTTCTTGAAGGACACCTGAAGAACACAGGTGTCACTTTTTTTTCTTACATCGTCGTTTTCTCTCTTCTCAGATACAATCGGTCTGTCGTCTACCTATTACCAAAGTTGCCAGATGGTCCTCCACGTCCTCACTGCTTCAGGCGATGACCTCTGACCGCCAGACTCTCCGCTGACCGGTCGGAATCAACATTATCCCCCAAAGGCTGGAAACATGCAACAGCTTCCTTGCGATTCGTTCGTTTGCCTCCTTTACTCTACTGGTTTACTGTCTTTTCCCAGTGCTTGTTTCAATTCACTTGTGTAATTTCTCCTGTACCTCAACCGAGTGACATGTAGTGATGAAACCTTACGGCGCGCATCGAATTCGCTCGGCAAGTCGACCGACCGACCGCGTGAAGGACCTTCGCGGCGATGCGACTCCGTCACCGAGTCGCCGACACAAATAACTACTAACCACGGCATCATCGAATCCACGACATCGCACACGGCACGGGCATGAGAATCAAAGACCTCATCACTCGGCTGCTCGCCTCTCCTCAGTCCTGAGAGTCTTCTCCCCTCGATGTATCTACTTTTCTATATAGATATGCAGAGTGCTTACAAGCCCGCTCCAGTCAGGGGTATTTCGCGTCGGCAGGACCTTCCCCTCCCCGGCGGGAACCTGCGTGCGCTCGAGTCAGGCGCATGCAGCAGTTGAAGCCACCCTACGTACCCTAGCCCCGCCCCGCCCGTCCGCCGCCGCTGTCGCCGTCGATGAGATTCGTCCGCCTTCCCTCCCTTCCGCCCTTCCATCATGCGAAGAAGCACGCAGCAGCACGACAGCAAAGACAGCACATCACCGCGGCGACGACGAGATGGAGAATCACTTCTGCCAGTTTTTTCCTCGCACGTTAGTTACGTTGAATGCGGAATGACGGCATCCCACCGCCTTTGCTGCTCTGCATCTTGATTTATTCCCGCTGATGCTGAGGCTCACTCCCACGGCCACTGCCAGAGTCAGTTCCTCCCCCCGCCACCTCGCACTGCCCGGCCTGTGGACGAGACTCGTGCTTCCTTCCTTCAATCTGGATGCAAGAGCGACGGGATACCCTACTTAGAGTAACTAGCGGCTGCTCGTGATTGGTCGCTGGCCGCGCCGCACTATGCCAACTCATCCATCCAGATTCCACCATCCACCCTCCATCCCTCGACCGGATCCCCCCTTCGTTCGCTTCGGAGGAGGCGGGATGCGCTAGAGGTACTTTGGTCTCACTTTGGAGAATAGAGTACTCTACTTACGGCGAAGAAATCTTCGAGAGCACATGGGAAACTGGGTGGGTATAGTACCGCAGTGGAGGGGTTGTTTCTCTGGTTTCTCTGGTTTCTCTTGTGCTTCGCGGATGTTCCATCGGGTGCTCGACAGTTGTCGCTGAGTGCTGAGCTGAGCTGTGCTGTCGCGACTCGCGACTGGCTGAGTGAACTGCGCGTTTCGTAGGATGTTATTTTTGGGCATGTGGCTTGACTTTGGCACTTGGACTCCGGAGGCAGCCGTTACGAGAGAAAGAGAGAGGTCGGACGAAGCATACCTAGAGGGAGAAGAGAAGAGAAGGGCAGAGAAGAGCGAAGGGAAACATCCGCACAGTTCACTGGCTACGTACTGTACTATAGGCACCCAAGTAGAGTAGCCATCCAATGCTCACAGCGACCAGGGAGAACATACTTCTTACGGGCTTGAGTGAGTTGAGACGAGAGATTAATTTTGCGTGTGCTGCTCCACCTTCCATGCCAGACAGACTCCAGAGTCCAGTCGTACCCGAGTCGCTTTGTAGTAGCAGTGACCCCATCCACCACCACCCCCGCCCCTCTTCCTACCCTTCGCATCGACTCCTCCACCCCAAACCCACCTCCTCTCCGCATCGCACCCGCCCGCGGACGACCGGTGTTGAAGGATAGCAGCAGCAGCAGAAGCAGCAGCAGCAGCAACGGGGACTCGGATTCGGATGCGATAAGTTTAGAACTTGCTGTCTTGACTTATACCGAGTTTTATCCATCATTTTGTTTTTTCTTCTCGTCACGAGCAGCGACGTTGTTTCCTTTCTTTTTGTTTCGGCATATTCTCTTCCCCCACTCCCCGCTTGTGACGTCGGGACGGAGCCGGTGGTCGACGACGAGCGACACGACGACACGACGAGACGAAGACGATTTACGAAAGAAAGAAAAAGACGGAAGAAGAAGAGGCCTCGGAGAAGAGAAGAGAGTGTGAAGAGAGTGTGAAGCGCGCGCGATACGTTTACGGTAAGGACTCCCGCTGAAGAACATGCATGGGATGGATGGATGGATGAGAGAACCAGCGAGTGAAGGAAACCAAGAGAGAAGACAGGAGGTGGTGTTCTGACAGCGCAGCGACACACAGACCTTTAACGCCCCCCCTCCCTCAGCGCCCTGCTACTACTACTACATCCTACGTGCTCTCTCACCCTTAACGAACACTCCCACAACTCACATCACACACGTACGCTCGCACGAACGCTTCTACGACGCTTCTACGACGCCGCCGCCGACCATACATCTACATACCGATAAACACGTCCGTCTTCGCAACGCTACGCATCTATCCACGTCGGTCGCATAACGGACACTACGAAGGAGATAATGTGAGACCTCCTCCTACCCTCTTCTTCCTTTACCATCTAGATGTAGATCTCTGGGGGAGGCTTGTTGTCGCGCAAGGAGGTTGTGGTCTTGCGTCGAGAAGGCGAAGGTCTGCGGTGCGGGTGAGGGGCTGGGGGGTGGCTGGCATGGGGAAAGGAAACATCCGAAGATTCGCTTGCCGGCTAACACACTTTACTTCTTTCCAGAATCCGAATTCCACGCAACCCCGGAAGAACCTCGCTTCATCGTTTCACGTCCCATCATTACCGACCGATAACTGTACCGCAAAGTAATGACGACAGTGCAACCCACATCATCATCCTCGCAACCAGGGTTTATGCAATTTGAAACTGATGAGTTGGAGCGAACTGGACATGGTGGAAGCGGTGGTGGTGGTGCTGGAGGAAGCGCGGACAACGATGGCGGCCTGAGTGCTCCCCCGCCTCCTAATCGTAAGCGGGGAGATAGCAATACCGAGGACGATGGTGCACACCACAACAATACTCACCACCACCGCGAGCCACATCCGTTAGAGGAGGAGGTGGATGGCCACTATCAACAGTACGGTGATAATGGTAGCTATGAGCCGGAACACGAGGATGACGACGGCGAGGATCATGGCCGGTATGAGGATTTGGAGTACGATGAACGCGGATATAGCGGCCCTTCCGACCAGGACAAGTCGCATCACCAACAACACCACGCCTTTCAGCACGATGTCCAAGCGCAACAGCAGCAACCGGAGAAAGATGAAGCTCGGAACGAACAGCACCATTCCCCGACCAAGCCCTTCGGCAAACCGATGAACAAAGCACTGAAGACCCAATTTGATCTGGAGTCGCAGAGGCACATCGAAGTAGATCCAACCCCCGACACCTCCCCGTTGGTCCAGTTCTCTAAGCTAGTTGCTCCGCAGTACCAGCGGCGGGACCCGGAGACTCTGTCACAACACTCCCAGAGCTCCGCCCATTACTCCTCACGGCCTAGCAACGGCAACGGCAGTGGCAATAATAATAACCAGCATGGATCGTACGATGAACAGCCCGGCTCGGCCGACTTCTTGGATCGGCGAAAACCGCCTCCCGTGTTGGACCGAAATGCCAAAACATTCGATGTTCCTCAACCGCAGCGTTCACCAATACGGCAATTCTCGCAGCCCGCAAGCGACAGCCAGCTTCGCGGGTCTTACAATGAGCATCAGCATCAGCAGAACCGCAATTCCCAGGACATGACCTCGGGAAACTCGCCGAACCACAACTACAGCAATCCGGTGCCCATCCCATCGCGCTCGTATGATGCTGAGTTATCGCGACCGCAACAGCAGTCGCAGCAACAGCAATCTTCGCTCAAGTCGCCGCCGTCGATTACGACCGGCCAACTCTCGGGCAGCTTTAGGCAGCAAGAGTTATCGTCATCTCACCACTCAAACCCAGTGTTTGGTGGCCCATCGCCGAGCAACGTGACCTCCCACATGACGCAGAGCTACAGCTCGCAGTTTGGGGCTCCGGAGCCGGTGCATTTCCCTTCTCATCTGTCGACTTCACCTCACGCTGCGCCTAATCAGACCCCCGCATTCCCAGTCGCGCAACCGTTCCAGCCGCCTCCTGCAGGAGTGCAACCATCCCTGTACTCGAATCACAGAGAGGCACAGCCGGCCCAGCATGGCGAGGGAGCACCTATGGAGGCCAACTTCCCGGCAGGATGGGTTCCGGAAGACGACGACGACGATGAGGACGAACACCAAGGTTCAAAGTCTTCTACTAATCCCTTCTCGCCTGATATCCATGACCAACAACCGTATGGCCAACCACCGCCACAGCAGCAGCAGCAGCAGCTCGCCGGGTCACCGGGAAGCTTTAGCGATATCCGGAGTTTGCAGGAGGGTAGTATCGGCGAGGGACGGTCATATAGCCAACGGAGTAACCCGTCCACCATGTCGCCGGCCGAGGTGTCTGACAAGCCAAGTGCGATCGGGCGCCCGACACCACCTACACAACCACCGTCTCAGCAGAGTGTGCACTCAACTGCTACCCACGCCTCGCAACAGAGCCATCATTCCCATGCTATCCATGCGTCGCAACACACTCACACGTCGCACCAATCGCAACAACAGCCAAAACAGCAACGAGGTGGTAATGGTGGTAATGGTGGTGGTGGCGGCGGTGGGTACGGCGGATATCACGAGACACCACCATATTCGAATGCATCCCCGCAGTCGAATATCTCTGGTTATTCGCAGATTCCACCTCCCGCCATCCCGCCCAAGCAGCCGCTCGATGGTGCGGATCGCGAGCGTGAAAGGGAACAACAGGAGCAACTGCAGCGTGCGGCGGCATTCAGCTATCAGCAGCACCTGCAGAGACACCTCGTTAATGCTTCGACTTCTCCGGGTGGTATGACCGGCTATGGACCTCCGCCCCCGATTGGGCAGCAGAAGCGAGATACCGCACCGCGTGTCACGAGCCCGCTGTCAATTCGGAAGAATGAGCCTTCCAACTTCCGTCCTCCGCAACAGCAGCAGCATCAACAGCAACAGCAGCAACAGCAACAGCAGCAGCAACAACATCAACAGCAGCAGCAGCAGCAGCAGCAGCAGCAGCAGCAGCAGCCGCAGAAGCAGCGGTATCAGCAACAAGAGGAAGAGACTTCTCAGTCTTACACCGGAGGCCAGCGTTCGCCAGGACATCAGCAACAAAGCCCCCAACAAGAGCGAGAGCGAAAGGTGTCCTTTGGGCAAGGTTCCAACTCAGGAAACAGTCCGAAGCAGCAAGCGCGAGGAGGACAGGGTCAAAGAAGTCCACAAGAGCGGACGCACCGGGGCTCGCAATACAATGGTTCGCCACACGGTTCACAAACCGGAACTTCCGGCCCGAAACAACCATACTCGCCTCCCCGCAAATATCATCAACAGCAATCTGCGCCATCACCACCTCCTCATCCCAACGCTGATTCACCTCCCCAGCATGGCCGTGATATGAACCAACCGCAGCCCCAGCGGTACATGATGCCGCCGCTTCTCACACCTGTCAGTGACGGGCCGGCTCCTCCGCCGGCACCGTCCTGCCCTCCGCCCGACACACCCGTTAGCGATAACGGTGGTCAGAGAGGACCCCCTGGAGGCTTCATCAAAGGAATCGCCCTCGGAGCTGGTGCCCCAGGATATAAGGGGTTTATGGGAATTCCATTGATGGGCAAGAGTGTGGGGGATACTCGTGGGGAGGCCAATGATGGCGGAACTCCGACCGGGTTCTTGACTCGGAAACCAACACGGAAGACGCAAGAGCAGAGCCGGGGACCCCCGCCTTTGGGTGCACGTCCCCGTGGTTCTAGTGGTTCCAGTGGATTGGGCAAGATGGAACGACCCGGTAGCGCCGAGGGCGATGATCCGATTCCTCCTGAATACCGACCGAGAGGTGGGGACAAGGACGAGACTGGCGCGCCTCTCAGGAAAGAAAAAGGGTCTGGTGTGGGATTGGGATTGGACGGGCAGCAGAATCAGCAGCAGAGCAGCGTCAACCCAACCCAGCAGATGCAACAGCTAAGGCGGCCGCCTGCTGGCAATGTTGGCAATGTTGGTCGCTCGCCTGAGAAGTTCGTCAAATCGCCGGCTCAGCCGGGTTCACAGCAGAGAAGTCCCGCAGAAGTCGGGTTGGGGGGATACTTGTACTCGAAGCCCGTCCCGCCGCCATCCGTTGGGAACTCTGGAACGTCAAATCCGCGATTCCCCAGTGGTCACGTCACTTCGCCTCTCACTCAAGCTACGAGTCCTACTGGAAACATTGGTACGAGGGAGAGCGTGATGCGTGGTCAATGGGTAGACGACACTGCCGCTGTCTCTGGACCTGCACCGCCTGTGCGGAAACCCGACCCGCCTCAGATGCCGGCCCACCCAGTCTACACTGGATATGAGAATGGAGGTGGTAATAGTTACTCGCAGAACTATCAGAAGCCCCAGTCTCACGCCGCTAGCCCTCTCGAAGCGGTAGTGCCGGATGATGTCGAGAATGTCACTAACCCTAGCGAGAGTCCGACTCCGGATATCCCGCACATGCCATTACCGGGGACCACACAACACCATGATCATTCCAAGAGAGGCATCGGCAGCCAGGAAGCGTTGTTTGCAACATTCTCAGATCTCCTTCCTAGCCTTCCGTCAACTCATGTCAATGCGCTTTTGAACTTTGCCATGTATCTGACCGAGGATATCATCGTTGCCGAGAAGGCCGAGAACCTCAGGATGAACTCTTACAATGCGCCAGGTAGCAAGGAACAATTGAGTCTCTTGGGCGATCAACGGATGAGACTCTACCGGGATTGGGCCGGCCTGGAGGAGGTTGCACGGAGCCGTCAAGTTGCGGCGATGAGGGCACCACCCCCAGAACCAAAGGAGCCCCGACATGCCTACCACGGTAAGAAACACCAGGGAAATAGCGTCGGCTACGAGGGAATGCAGCCACTGCCACCGCCACCCAATTTGGGAGGTCTGGACGAGTTCGGAAGCGATAAGTACCATCACTCACAAAGCCACCACGGATCTTCTCACGGAGGCTATGGTGGGATGCCCGAACCTCCGGACAACTACCGCGACGATACACCCTCACCAACGCCCACCGTTGAGCAGATTGCCGCAGCCACCAAGGTCGAGCTTGAGCTCCTCATGCCGCGTCCTATGCCGCATGTTACCGCTGTCCGAATCGACCCCAGTACCCGCCGCAAGTTTGAGGATGATGCGTCCACTGTGGCCTCCGTCTCACGGGCGGAGAACAGAATTGATATGGGACTTGCCGGTGGAACACCGTACCCCTTCCCGTTCCCCAAGCGGCAGGAATTCGACTACGAGGAGGACCGCCCAGTAGACACGAAGGGGCTTTCTGCGGTTATCTTGTCATTTACGAAGGCGAAGAGCAAGGACGATGGGGAGATCATCGCAGACATTCCGCCGTTCCTCCACATGGCATATGCTGCGCTGGATAAGGCTGTCAACCAGGCACCCGTTGACCAGTACCTCGACAACGCGAGAAAGATGCTGGAGCAGAAGACGAATAACCGGATCAATGTGTTCCAGCAGAATGCCATGAAACGCGCCCAGTTGAACCAGAGCCATACCACCACCGCGTACAATAGTGGTCGTTACACTTTTGCTGATATCGAGCGGATGCGGGAGTCTTTCGAGCACGAGGAGGCCAAGAACAAGATGGAGCTCGATTCCGAGATCTACTCGATCTTCGAAAACGAGTACGTCGAAGTGGCTTACAAGGAGGTCAAGACGCAGCTCGAGGATCTCGGTGGCCGGTGGTATGAGGAGGTCAAGAACTGGTTATTTACCGTCACCGCACAGGATACCCGAGGTACTGGAACGGCACTGGAGTACCATCTCCTGCTCGAAGCTATCGATCTCCTCAACAAGCTTCACGTCACAATGGAGCAGCACGAACACGTCCTTCAGTCTCTCGTTACCGAGCGAAACGCCCGTTACCTTCAGATCTCCGTCGGTCCGCTTCTGCAGGCTGGCGAGACGGTGCGTGCCGCGGATGCCGAGCGCCGTTACTGGATCGATGAGCAGGAGCGGCAAATCCGGAGCAAGATCGAGCGCGGAAAGCGGGTCGCGGAACACCGCAGCTGCGTTGACCGTGTCGGCGAGCAGGTCGTCGAAGGTCTGCGCAAGCGTTACGGCGAAGTCCTTGAGGCTGTCTGGGGTGTTGTGTGGCAGTTCCCGCCCTCGATCCAACCCACATTGCTTCGCAAGTTCTTCGACGAGAACACGCTGCCCCTTCCCAACGCCGAGTCGCCGACTTCCTACACGGTCGCACAGGAGAACGTTCAAGCTCTCGCTGAAGCCGTTTCCACTCTTGGTGAGATAGTTGCGTTGATCAAGCTGGCGATGGATTTCCGATCTGCTCCCGCCGTCCGTGTGGTCGAGGCGCAGCTCGCGATTCAAGTCGCCGAAGAGCATGCCCGGGCCAACGGAGTCACGGCGCCCGCTGCCACCGCAGCGGCCTGCATGAAGGGAGTGAAGCAGCGTCTTCCTGGTGCACTGAAACGCGTCGGCGACGAATGCCGGAGCCTCAGCGAAAATGTCGTCGGAGGCCTGATGGAGGTGTTGGAGCGTCTCCGCATCGGTGTCGAAGAGTTGGCCATGAAGGGAGGACGTGTCGACGTCGGCTTGCACCAGCAGCGCAAGGAGTGGAACCAGAGTGTCATCGGGGGTGGAGTGGGGGTTCCCATCGGCGAGAATGTGTGGCAGCAGGGTAGCGGCGAGAACTGGGTTACTGCCAGTGCTGGATACACTCCTGCGCCGCCCCCTCCGCAAAACCAGGGCGTCAGGTTGCCGCAGCCCCAGCAACAGCAGGGACAGTCTTCTGGCGGAATGAGTGTCAACTCGATGTTGGGTGGATTTAGGGTGAGCAAGCAAAATTCCTTAGGCTTGAAGTATTTCGACTAACGCATAAAAAAGCGATCGGGAGGTCCCAACTCGTACCTTGTTTCGCCCGGTGGCTACAGCCCCGGCGGATTCTCGCCTGCGGGCTTCAGTGCCATCAGCACTAGCCAGCCATGGGGCATAGCCGGCGGCACGGGAGGAAGCGAGGGACATGGTGGCAGTCAGGGTAGTGCAGGATATTAGTGACTGGGCTGGGCTCGTTTTTTTTCTTCTTTCCTTCTCGATTATAAAGCACATGGGATTTCCTTTTTTCTCTTGGGCGGGAATCGTCATTTCTTTGGCTGTGATATTACTTTTTATTTTTATTGCTTTGTCTTCAGAGGGCTCTTCTATACGAGAATGGAATTCGTGATCTTTATGCACTCACGTTTGTGGTGAATACTAAAAATGCGCCGTTGCCAAGGTTGCGGCTCACTGTGCCACACGCGTGACGCAACGCCATCCCCGCTCTTAGCCTCGCGCAACAAATCCCCACCATGCCCGCCGCAGCGGCCACCACACGCCACATCCTCCGGCAGCATGACACGCACCTTCTCCCGTTTCTGGCGTTGCTCTTCCTGCTCAACTCCTTAGACCGCAGCAACATTGGCAACGCGGAGACGGGGGGGTTCACGCGGTACGCGGGGCTCTCGCCGTCGGACCTCAACGATGCCGTGACCGCGTTCTTCATCGCGTTCGTATCGCTGCAGCCGCTCGGCGCCGCGCTCGGCAAGCGCGTTGGCGTCGGCCGCTGGGTCGGCAGCGTCATGATCGGCTGGGGCGTACTGACGCTGCTCACCGCGTTTGTGAGCACGCGTGCACAGCTCATCACACTCAGGGTTTGTATTGGCGCGCTGGAGGCCGGGTTTTATCCTGCGACGGTCTTCTATCTGGGGCTGTTCTATACGAGGTTTGAGTTCGCCCAGAGGCTGGGGCTGTTCTATGGACAGTATGCGGTCGCCGGCGCGTTCGGGGGGCTGCTCAGTTATGTCGTGTTTTCGATCTTTCCCACCGAGGAGGGTGGGGACGGGGGTGCTGGCGGGGAGGGGGAGGGAAGGGGGTGGCATAGCTACCAGGTGCTGTTTGTACTCGAGGGGGTGTTTACCGCGCTCGTGGCCGTGATAACGCTGCTATGGCTGCCGACTGGGCCTGGGACGGCGTGGTGGCTATCGCCGGAGGAGCGGGCGATCGCGCAGAAGCGGGTGCTCGCGGACCGGGTGTCGGACGGGGTCTCGGGGGGGAGTGAGCACTACGATTCCGTGCCACCCTCGGGCTCGGAGGATGGCGACGGCGACGGGGACTCGGACGACTCCCTCGAAGACGAAGGCAGCCTGGGGCGCTCACCGACAGCTCTCCACCACCGCTCGATCTCGCGCCCGTCGTCGGCTGCAGCCGCGACGTCGCACCCGCTGCTCGCGAAACCGTCCCGAAGGAGCTCTACTACCGACGCCGGCGCCGCAGGGAGCGAGCCCTCCCTCTCCCGCACCGACGTCTTCGCCGCGTTCACGGACGCAAAGATCTGGGCGCTGTTATGCCTCAACATCCTGTCTGCGCTGCCAGCGACCGCATTCAGCATCTTCCTGCCGCTGATCCTGCAAGGGCTGGGGCACACTCCACTCGCATCCAACGCGCTGTCCATCCCGCCCTTCCTCCTCGGCGCGACCACGCTCTGGATAGTAACCTACTTCTCGGACCTAACCCACCAGCGCATCCCGTTCATCCTTTTCGGCCTGTCCCTAAACCTGCTCGGCCTCCTCCTCGCGCTCCTCCTCCCACCAGCCTACCTCACAGCCCGCTACCTGGCACTGTGCATCCTCCTGGCCGGCAGCTTCATCGCCTCGCCCCTAACCGTCGCCTGGATCTCGGGGAACATCCGCGCGCCCGGGAAGCGCGCCATCGCGCTCGGCATCAATGGCTGGGGAAACCTGGCTGGCGTTGTCGCCGGACAGCTGTTTGCGCCACAGTATGCCCCACAGTATACTAGACCACTCGCGGTCACCGCCGCGTGTGTTACGGTCAGTATCCTGGGTTACATGGCGTTCTGGGGCATGCTGGTGAGGGAGAATAGGAGGCGCGCGGGGGCGGAGGGGAGGCGTAGGGGAGGGAAACGGGGCGAGAGGGGTGAGAGGGATGAGAGGGCGGGGTGGTTGAGGAGTAGGCTGTGGACGTGGACGGGCGGGAAGGGCGCTTTTACGCTCGCTGGCGAGGAGAGGTCGGATGCGGTTTATGGTTGTTAGTAATTTGTACTCGCTCTAGCGGGTGGCGTTTGGACTGTTGATCTGTTTCTTATATCTATGGGAGATCTTGTTTTTGAGGCTGTTGTTTTTGGAGATCTGGTCGGTGCGGGATTATTATGTCATCTACGGTAGGATGTAGGTACTCTATCGATATCAGACTTTATTTTGAAGACGGACGAGACGAGACGAGATGGGACTCGGAATCTCACTACCTGGTGCTCCACTCTAAATCTGTAGATACGGCAGTGTGTACCGAGAAGGCACTGGGAAGTTGGAAGTTCGGACGAACGTGCCCATCATACCAAGTACCATGTAGGTACATAATGCAGATACTCGAACTGCGATCTTACTCGTGCGTATCTATGGCTGCAGTTGCCTGAGCTTGCCTAAGGTTTCCGTTCGCTTGTCTTGCTCTTCCCCATCTGCTTCGCCTCCCTGACTCAGAAGCCGGAAACTCCGATCATTCCTTCGGGATCCTGCGAATCCGTGTTCCACATACCTTATACATACAAGGTCATACACACCTGTAGATGTAGCTTACGGAAGTGACGGCAAGACTACTAGACCTTAAGGCACGGACTGTATGATATGTGTGTATGTATGTAGTCTGAGCGGGGCCACGTGCGCAGGGATGTCAAGACTGCGACTGAGACAGAGACTCCTCCACTTCCTCTTCCGCTTCCCGTTGGCTAGCTAGCTAACCAAGCAAGCAAGCATGCCTTGACTAAAGTGCGAAGTAACTAATGCCGAAATCCCGCGATCGGCTGCGCCAGAATTCCGTCAGTCAGTTAGGCGACAAACTTTCGTTCGTCTCGGCTCGGCTGTTCGTGGTTCCAGACCACGATCTGGGTTCCAGCGTCCCGAGCGCAAGCAAGAGGAATGAAGGCTGGAGCTGTCGGACGCGGACACGGACGCGGGCGCGGACTTAAGTTGGGGGTCTCAGGAAAATAGAGTTGGCGGACTGACGGACGGACGGATTTAACGAGCGCGCGTGGAATAGAGTTGGTGGGTGGGTGGGCAGACGGACGGACTTTCCGTTGCCCCCCCTCCTTCCCTTCCCTTCCCTCGCCCTGGCGCCAGGCGCCGTCGTTTCTTCGGCACCTCCTAGCCGAACGAAAAAAATAAGAAACAAGACAGCAACAAGCTTTTTCTGTTTCTGCTCCTTCAGCGAACCTTTCGGAATTCCGGCACCCTGCGTCGTGGCCCACAACACCACCACACCACCACACCACCACCACCTGCGCCCACACTACATGTGTCCACAGATTTCGCAGATTCCGTGAGCGGTGACGTAACCTCCCACCATGTTTAAGAGTGCAGAGCGGGGTGATGGTTCCACCCGCGTCGTCCGGCGTCCGGACGGATGCTGCTGGAGCTGTGTGGAAGCTTCGCGGCTGGCCGTGCGATGCGACGAGGCGATGCGATGCGACGACGACGAGGAGGAGTGTGCGGTTGGATACGGTAGCATTCTGGATACACATCGTTCACCGTACGATACCGGTACAGCACGCACCGTCCTCCTGCCAAGGTCCGATCTTGCGCTTCGCTGTACACCGAGGTTTCATTTTGGAGTATCGCACCTATGTACCCACCGGTTTCTGGCTGAACTGAACTGAAGAGGACTTATTTCGTCGCAACGCGTCTCGCCCGGCGGAGATAAAGTACCTTCCCATATACAAAGTACATATCGGTATGTAAGTACCATAGGCAAGTCAGAGCAGGCGGCAGGCAGGCGAGATTGCGTATTTCCAGCATCATCGTGCCGGATCGTTGCCGGATCGTTGCCGGAGCATGGTGAGATAGGGTTGTGGCAGGGTTCGGAGAATTCGGAGGTCCGTGTGACTGGAGGCTGAGGATTGGGCTGGGGTTGCTGAGTAACAAATGTTCGGCGGGTGCGGGTGTTGGGGGGGAGGGGAGAAGGACTTCCGCAGCTCGGTGAGCTTGACGACCTGACGCGGGCAGTCGGGAGAATATTATGAAAGCCATGTGCGAAACTTTTTACTCGGGCGGCCCACGTACAGCACAGATAACTCCGGTGTCCGTTGCAAAGAAAGGGCTGACCAGGATCCGGGCTGACATAACGCTTCTAGACGGCTTCCCTGGAAAAAAGTGGCTTCATTTGCCGAGTTATCCGGTGAAAGGTCTGTCCGCGGTAGCGTGCGGAGTTTCGGCGATAGCCAGGTTTGTAGCTTTCAAGATCAGTCCGCGCGCCACTGGGAACGAACGGACTAGCTAGCTAAGCTAGATAACTATTCTGTGCAAACCGGATCGCCGTCGAACCGGGACGGTGGGAGCGAAGCTTAAGAACAATCGATTTCCGCCCGGAATGGAGGAGGTATCATACAGCAGCAACAGCTTCATACAGATACAGACACAGCTCGGATATCGACTGCTTCCCATTCGACGAGACGAATACATCCATCCATACCAGCATACCTACCTTACCTCGATCACGAACTTGAATTAGAATAAACACCATGGCGGAGATCGTCGACCTCGAACGGGTCATTTCCAACATCAGCGGCTTCGATGTGGAGCGCGAACTCAAAAGATCCCAAACAATCAACCGACAGCAGACCGCACCGGTACAAGAGGAGGGAGAGGCGAGCGGCCTCGGAGGCGCCGATTTAGAGAAGGGACTTAGTGGTCGCGACAGGAAGGATTCCTCGGCTTCGGGCAGTACACTTCATGATGCTGCGAATCAGCTCGAGCCGGCCGAGGAGAATGACCCCAATATCGTCTTTTGGGACGGACCCGATGATCCGGAAAATCCTATGGTATGGATTCCAACCCCCTAGACTTGTTTTGGCATCGGATGCTAATATTATTTCTAGAACTGGCCACAATGGCGGAAAAACGTCGCTGTCGGCATCGTCAGCGGAATCACCTTCATCACTCCCTTGGCATCGTCCATGTTCGCGCCCGGTGTCAAGGACCTGATGGCCGAATTCCACTCGACCAACGTCGAGCTCGGTTCCTTCGTCGTCTCGATTTTCCTTCTCGGTTTCGCTGTCGGCCCGCTCTTCCTTGCACCCGCTTCCGAACTTTACGGACGATCGATCATCTACAACATCTCCAACATCTGCTTCGTTCTGTGCACGATCGGCTGCGCGTTGGCGCCTAGCTTGAACTTCTTGATCGGCTTCCGGTTCCTGGCTGGTACCTTCGGTGCTGCTCCGCTTACCCTCGGTGGTGGTACCATCTCCGATGTCATCCCCGTCGAGAAGCGTGGTGTCGCCATGGCCCTCTTCGCCATGGGTCCTCTCATGGGTCCCGTCGTCGGTCCCGTCGCCGGCGGTTTCTTGGCCGATGCTATGGGCTGGCGCTGGGTGTTCTGGCTGTTGACCATCTGCTCCGGCGTCGTCACTGTCCTGACCCTCATCTTCCTCCGCGAGACCTACGCACCAAAGATCCTCGGCGACAGAGCCGCCCGTCTCCGCAAGGAAACCGGCAACCCCAAGCTCCGCTCCAAGCTCACGTCCACTCTCCCGCCCAGAGAGGTCTTCTCCCGCGCCCTCGCCCGCCCCTTCAAGATGCTCTTCACCTCGCCCCTGATCTTCACCATGTCCCTGCACATGGCCATCGTCTACGGCTACCTGTACCTGCTCTTCACCACCTTCCCCACTGTCTTCCAGGGACAATACGGCTTCAGCACCTCTACCGTCGGTCTCTCCTACCTCGGCATCGGCATCGGCTCGCTTCTCGGTCTGCTCGTCCTCGGCATCGTCTCCGACCGCATTCTCGCGCACTACACCATCCGCTCCGGCGGCGTGATGAAGCCCGAGTACCGACTTCCGCCCATGTCCTACGGCGCGCCCCTGATCCCCATCGGCCTGTTCTGGTACGGCTGGACGGCGAAGTTTGAGGTGCACTGGATCGTGCCGATCATGGGCACCGCGCTCGTCGGCATAGGTCTTCTCGCCACCTTCATGCCCATCAACACCTACATCGTCGACGGCTACCCCAAGTACGCCGCTTCCGCCCTCGCCGCTACCACCGTGCTGCGATCCCTCTTTGGCGCACTCCTGCCCCTGGCTGGCCCGAGGATGTATGACGCCCTCGGACTCGGTTGGGGTAACTCCCTCCTTGGCTTCATCGCACTGCTGTTCCTGCCCATGCCGTTCGTCTTCCAGCGCTACGGTGAGCGCCTCAGGAACAAGTACTCGGTCGGGTTCGAGTAGTTTGCCTCCTTCCTACCTACCTCCTACCTAAAAGTGTGTTGAGTTTGTTGCATCTAAGGCGTTTTAGCGGGGGATATTTCTTATTTTCTTCTCTTTCTTTGGCCTCTTTTTTTATATAGATACGGCGGGGCACCAGTCACGTTTTTGGGCCTCCGCTTTGGGATAATTGGGATACTTGGGATACTTGGATGATTTTATTTTCGGCTGTACATATTGGTTGCGGGATTGTATTTTTTTTTTTTGGTACTCTGTTTGATGGATTATTTTGAAGCATTACTGTATTATGTGGGTTTTGGTTTTGGTTAGATGATGACGGACGGCGAAGAACGAGTAATTCAATATATCACAACTCAATCATTACTTGTTTACCGTGATATCTGGTCAGTGACGTTTGAGCTTCTCCGAGTTGAGTCGCAAGAGGTGATAGAACAAGTGTCGTAACTGAGGAAGTGCCCAGACCACCTCGACTTGCTTCCATGCGTGCATCACATGTATCGTTAGAGTACACGCCTGGCAAGCAAGCAAGCAATCATTTACTGAGGGGACGTGGGGGCAGAGAATGCTTGTATCGTCGCTGAGTGCCGGAGAGATGAGACCTTGCAGGACCTGGTGGGAATAAGTGTTATGGAGGGGAGACCCGATGCGGTCGTTGAACGTTGAAATGTTTTCTATTGCTGCTTTTCTGTTCTGAATCTCGTTCCACATTTCTCGTACCTGTTGTGGGTCTCTCACTACGTAGCTATCGGACACGGCGGAACACAGTCGGTGGCGTTGCTATGACGGAACTCCGGCCCTAGCTACTAGTAGCCGGTGAAGGCCGGGACATGGTTACTGTCACTGCCGGTCCCGCGTGTTTCGCGGGCCGGGTAGAGCGGGGGAGAAACGACGCCAAGGGAACATCGAGGGAGCTCACGATGTGGATTTCGACTCTTGAGGATATGTAAGCAACTACTGTCTGCAGTCCCTTTCGTGATGTACCTACTTTCACTTCTCACCGGGTGGTATTAATACCGAAGTAGGTAGATGCTCATCGGTAGGTCCCTAAGTGGTCACCGCTCCGGGCGATTTAGTGGTGACGTAGCGTGCCGAAACGTCCACTGCTGATAAATCAACCGTTCAGACCACCACCACCGAGGTCTATCGCATTGCGGATTTACAGCAGAGCATCTATATCATTCCGAATTGCCCGCCCCAAGTCCTACTACTGTATCTACAGCACAGCAATCATGACCTCCACCACCCCCACCACCAGCGTCTACTCCGTCGGCCCGTACCACGGCCTCCCAGTACTGCCCTCATCAGCCCGGAACCTCACCGCGATCGTCACCGGCGCGAACGGCACTATACCCTCCCCGCGTGGGCACCGACTTCGCGGCTAACTAACGAGCACAGGCATCTCCGGCCAGCACATCCTCAAAGTCCTGCTCTCGCACCCCACGGTATGGACTCGCATCTACGCGCTCTCCCGCCGACCCCCGCCAGCGGGCACGTCCGCGGCCGACCCACGGGTGACGCACATCAACACGGACTTCCTGGGGGGCGCGGAGAGCATCCACGCGGCGATGCAGGCAGGCGGCGTGAAGGACGCCGACTATGTATTCTTTGCCACGTACAAGGAGAACAGCGACGAAGGCTTGTGGAGCGGGCAGAAGGAGATGTGGGACGAGAACGGCAAGATGCTCGAGGACTTTTTGGTCGCCCTCGAGCAACTGCAGAAGGGGAGGTGTAAGCGTGTCGTCCTACAGACTGGCGCGAAGCACTACGGCGTCCAGTTTGGTGAGGTGATGGCGCCCTGTAGGGAGGAGGATCTGAGGGTCGATGATGGCCCGTATGCTGGGACGTTGAACTTTTATTATAGGTGGGTTGGCTGCGTGATGTAGGCGGAGGGATGGTTGGCTGACGGGTTGCGCATAGGCAGCAGGATATCCTGAAGGAGTATGCGGGAAAGCATGGGTTTGAGTGGATCGAGGCGAGGCCGAGCAACGTCATCGGTGCCGTCGCAGGGAACTTTATGAATGAGGCTATCGCGGTTGGGCTGTACATCGCTGTGCAGAAGGAGCTCGGCGGGCCGATCCTCTTCCCGGGAACATGTACGTCCACGGTCCACCTCCAAAAATATACTCCAGCCCCACTAATCGCAAGCAGGGAAGAAATACAACAGCATCGAAATCCAGTCCTCGGCGCTGCTGATGGCGTACCTCGAAGAGTGGGCGGTTCTGACGCCCGAATGCGCGAACCAATCCATCAACGCGGTAAACGGCGACGCACCCACGTGGGCACGGCTATGGCCCGCGATGCTGGCCAACTTCAATGTCGACCCATCCATGGCCTCGCTGGACGTGCAATTCGCGAGCGCCGAGATCCCCGCCGAGTGGGCCGGCCAGAAGATGGAAATGCCATACCCGCGGCCGCTCGACCGCAAGACGAAGTCGGCGCTGGATCTGCGCATCGTCCTCGACAAGTGGGCACGGGATCCTAAGGTCATCGCGGCGTGGGAGCGCCTGAGGGACCGTGAGGGCCTCAATCAGAAGGTGTGGGATGGCGCAAGTTGGAAGTTCGCGGATGGGATTCTGGCTATGGAGTGGAACCTCGTTATCGCCTCCGAGAAGGCGAGGTGCTTGGGCTTCTTTGGCACGGTCGATACTATTACCGACTGGGAGCACGTCTTTGATGAGGCCAGGAAGGCGAAGTTGCTGCCGAAGGCTTGATGGACTGGTGGAATGGAATACGCGAATGCTTATTTGTTGCTTCAAACCAATCATGATATATCGCTCGGATTGCAGGTTGCGACGTTCCGAATGAAACTTTATTTCTCCATCTAATATAATCACACTATAGCAGGGGGTGATTGCATACTTAAGTACGAGTGCATCCAAGACCATCTCAATACGCACAATAGTTTCTGCGATGCCATTCCCTCGTCCTTTCCTCCATGGTACCGTATCAGGGAGTTGCGTGAGTTGTGTGGTTTCAAATAGATTTGTGTTTTCGTCGTTATGGGTTTGGTCATGACTTGTGACTTGTGCGATCCTCGATGGGGCCGCCGTCCGTTCGAGACACAGCAACTCGTTCGAAACGACGCCGAATGACTGAGAAAAGGGTTTTTGTCGTACGCCACGACCACCACTTGCCATGGCCATCCATCCATGATCCATCCGTCACCAGACGGATCTCTGGAGACTAGGCTGGGGGAAGATGATATCCTGTTTGAAGTTTCCCCAGCTAGCTTTCGCCCCACGCAACCAGATCTTGTGTGGTTCATGAGAGACGCTCGAGGCTCGCCGAGCACTGCAGCAGCAGCCCCCTTCTCCAACCGTTGCCTCATGTTCGAATAGTAGTACTGGTGTATAAAACGCTCCTCGAGAGAGAGAAGCAGGACAGTGACAAAGAGTTACCAATCGGTCACGTTTTCTTTATGAGAAATCGCGAGAAAGCAACGGAACTTCGCAAGTGCTCACTCGCTGTATTGGATCGTACGGCACAACCAACAAACGGGTCAAATATCGTTGTCTCGCACAGCGGCCAGAGCAACAGCGTTTGGCCAATGGCGCCTGCATCTCACTCATGCATAGCCAGGAGATATGACCTTTGCTCTGAAAGGAAGACGACCTCCGCGTATAACGTGGGGGGGTAGTAAGCCACGTTATACGCGTATAACTTGGGGAGGAGGATTTCTAAGTCAGTGGCATGAATCACAAATTAGTGCTGGGCGGAAAAGAATGAGAAGAAGTTAATGAGTGGAGAGAGGAGGGAGAATGGGAGGAAGAGTTGGGAGGAAAGGAGGGTTTTATAGGTTAAGCTGGTGGAATTCCAAGAAACCACCTCTAGCGCACTAGCCGCGACTCAGAATTTTGTTTCGCAGCAAACACCGCTACATTGCAAGGTGTCGACATTTGACATCAAACAGCGTCACTCGACATCCGAGTGAGCACCGATGAACACATCTCCGCAGCGAGGAATAGCGACAAACGCGCTACTCTCTCACGAAGCCCTCCCACGCGCAGGTGTGTGCAGTTTGAAGCTGCCATACCAGCCAACCTAATTAGACACACCGAGACGGGAGAGGATGATACTGCTGTCAACCCAGTCCGGCTCGATACCTGGGCGAGGTCTTGTTTCCGAACAACCCCCACCTCCCCCCCTCCCTACCTCCGGCGCTGGCTGCCCGTGGCTGTGCGGAACTCACAAATCCACACCGGAACATTTCTCGTACTTGGTCGTGGGTCTTTTGGAAGGTACCGTATTATCTCACATGAGAGGTATGGTTATAAAAACTCATATTATAGGTACTAGTGCATGTAAGTGTGAGCTAGGGCGTCTATGGTTAGCGCACCGAGCAATTATGCAACGTCAGGTGTTCAGCCTTCAGGGGCTGGCAGGTATGTTCATACAGCTGAACACACGACTCTGTAGCTGGAAGTATCGTCAACTACACAGTACTATCCTCCTCACATCTCGGAAGAATAATGCAACTATTCGCCATGATGAACGACCAAGTATCGGACTCAGCGCCGCCAGTAGAAACCCTCACATCATTGTTCTCACAGCTTGACAGCTAACCATCTACCGATCCGGCCAGGCCACTTTTCACGCGTTCATCAGTTAAGTTCAAACCTTCACCAGGGCCCCGGAAACAACCCATCGCAGTCGCCCCACGTTGGGTCCCCCCTCCAGCCGTCATTCCTTCCAGAGCCAAACGAAGTCGAACAGTCGACTCACTTCGGACCCAATACCTAGCCGCACCACCGGCCGCTCCACCAGCAGCAGCACCGGTCGCTCCAACAGCAGCACCGGCCGCTCCTCCAGCAGCAGCACCGGTCGCACCACTAGCCGTAGCACTGGCTGCACCACAAACCTCAACTCCAGCTGCCCTTCAAGCAGTAGGAGCCCGGAGAAGTGCCAGGCTGGTAGGGAAACCTCAGCGTAGCCATGTAACTTCTTTCCCGCAAATTACCGACAGTGAGGGTAACAGTGGAATTGAGGATGATGGTGTTGAGTACGATTTTGGCGAACAGACGAGTTTTAGTTAGATTTGTACATATTGCAATCGATTCTGGGGGGGGGAAATCAGTCTATAGAATCGATTCTGTGGACAGCCCGAGAATTCTCTCCGAGCACATAGGGCGCGTTTTGATATTGCGCTAGTCCCTAAGATCTCTAGTCTGCGCTAATGCGCGCTTTAGACCTATAACAGTGACATATATACCCAGACCTCTCATGTGAGATAATACGGTAGGTACCGAGCCTGCTACGAAGTACTACGTAGAGTACCGAACGACGATTGAAGACGTGGGTTACGTTCATCTCCCGCACACCTCCCGTCCATCCAAAATATCCGTCTCCGACTCTCCAGCGAGCCTAAAGGCCAGAGGGAGACTAGGAAATATCTAGTGTGTATTCAAAATTTCAAAACCGCCATTATCTGACCCAACGGTCGAGTGTGGAATCATGAATAATGAAACCGAGTTCCGACATCTCGCCGCCACGGCGCCGCCCGGCCGTGCATATGTTCGGCGTTCACCCGCCTCTCCCATCTCTCCCATCTCTCCCATCTCTCCCACCTCTCCCACCTCTCCCACCTCTCCCACCTCTCCCACCTAACTGGCCCCGCCCAAGAAATACCACAGTATACTCGGAGGCTATACTACCGGTAATGTTGGTACATACGGGATGTCTTCTGCTGACTGCACTATTAGTAATGTCCACCGGTTCTTTCTACTATCTAGATGGAACGAGTGAGCAAACGTGACACGAATCGTCGGAGCCGGGGTGAGCGTCCTGCCAGATCCCACCAAAACTTGCTCATCAGATGGAACGAGCGAGAAAACGTGACGCGCCACTCGATAGAGACGGCACTGGTGGCGATGATTCTCCGGGTTCCCGAGGCTCCTCTCAGCAGTCTCGTGCCGGCCTACATAAACTGTGTTTTCGTCTTTATGGGATTAGTCACGTCAGGACTTGTGAGATCATCATCCCCGATGGGACTCCGTTGCGTTCGAGACACAACTTGAGCAAAACAACGCCGAGTGACTGAGAAAAGACTTATGTCGTACGCCACCACAACTACCACCATCACCAAAACGTTGGTCAATGGTTAGTGTGGTAGAAATAGAACGAAGTGGTAGTAGTTGCCTGAGAGTGACAGCTCGACAGACGAGCGGGCTCCTCGATAATCGGATCACGAACTGTAACGAGGCCGCCACCACCACTCGCCATGGCGATCCATGATCCATCCGGCGCGAGAAGGATCTCTGGGGGAATCGGACGATGTCCTGTTTGAAGTTTCGTCAGCTTTCGTTCCCCCACCGGGGGTCCGCAATGTGGGATTTAACGAGTGATGAGGAGACTAGCAACCCCAAGCAGTGAAAAGCAGAACAGCAGCAATGGGTCCCGTTAATCGCTTTCCTGATTTTACCGGAACGAGCACCGGGAATCGGTGATTGAAACACATCAATCTAAAAATGAGGTGCTGGATGAATAGCACAAGGGAGAATGGACGAAGAAGAAAAGTCGTGATTATTTTTACAAAAAGAAGGAAGGGAGAGGGGGGAGGCGGGTCATGGTATCCTATAGAGTCAATGATTTGCCGCTGCAATGTACCTATCATACACCTAGGTCTGGGCTTCGAGTGGTTACGTTGTAAGCTGCTCCATTGTAAGTTGCCGTCGAGGGTGACCGTCATGTCAAATCATTCGTCGAAAGGCGCATGATGGAATCATGGATATTATGTGTCTTATTGCATGTTCAGGTGTCACTGCTATGTACTTTCCACTGTCCTTTCGCATACTGCACTCATCTCGTTCGTGGCTGCTTAGCATTGTCGTGGCTTCTCACCAGAGTCAGCATCTTTATGCCTTCAAGCCCCCAGCTGAGTCCGGCGACGGCTATCGTCGCATCCTCTGTCCGAGGCTCGGCTTCCTCGTTGTCTACACGAGCTCGTTTCCTTCATGAGCAGTCATCTTTATCATCTTTCTCGTATCAATTACATCAATCAAGTCAAGTTCTTCTCTCAATTCCAACAGATGGCCCGGAAAACGTTGTGGTTTGGGCTTGGCGCGGCGGCGGTGAGTCGGGTGGACGAGGCTGCCCAAACTCAGTAGATACTCAAACAGCATGCATCAGTGCCTCTCAATATAATGAAAAACGTCTCCTTGCGCATACGTCACCATGCCACAGTAGCCACCCTAAGATCTCGATATCCCGTGCCCAAAGGACACGGTATCTCTTCTGACAGGACCGCACCACCTATGCGCTGATGGCTGGAAGCCTGAACGAACGTGGGGTCGTGTCGTGTCAGCAAGCCCGAGAAACCCTGACATCGACTGATGATGGAAAATCTCTTGTATGTGCATATCGACTGAGGATGGAGAATCTCTTGTGTGTGCGCAAATCCTCCGAGGGGCCGCCTCGTACCTGTGCCTGTGCCGCAGCTGGAATTCCGTCATCTTCATTCCCGCATCTGGGCGATGCGGTGCTTTAAGGGGCACCCGAGATGGATGTGCCCAGAATGGTTGTATGAGGATCCAATGAGCAGCTTCGCGGCACACGCCAGCCCGTTTCAATGCGCACGCGGTCAGGAGTTAAGATAACCTTCGCTTCTTTTGCGTCGGCTTGGCGGTAAGAAGCAAGCATAGCGGCGCTGGTCACACACGAGACACAAAGCCGGGGCCAAATCCCTATGATGATCTGCTCCCCGCACGCGGTTTTCAGCACTCGCACAAGGTTTTGGGCCGTGCGGATGCAGGGGACGGCACACCAGCAGGGATTGTCTGTTGGCTCTCATCTCCACCGCTTGAAGTTCACGATGCATTCATTGTGGGCCTGATGCGGGGGCCAACTCAGGAGTCAGGAGAGGGGAGGATTTGGAGAGTATATATCTCGCCCCGCCGGCGGCCTGGGGATGGATGCCTCGCACATCACCACACCGCATCGCTAACTACACACTCTACAACTCTTCACGACCATGCTTCTCCCCACGACACTAACGTTCCTTTCCCTCGCGGTGGCGGTCCTCGCCAGCGTTCCGGCGCAGAAGCCGCTCGGCCAAGCGGAGGACCTGTACAGCGTCCTGCTTACGCAGGAGCAGCACGAGTACTGCTCGGCGTTCCTCTCATACCGGCCGGAAACACACACGCGCACAGAAACCGAGTACTCGACCGTCACCAAATCCCAGCTGACCACGGGGACGGTGTATGCGCCGGCGGGCGCGGCCGTGGTCACCGTCACACTCGAGAAGGAGATCACATTCACACGGACGTCGACCGTTGTCGCGGCCGCGCCGATAGGTTGGTTTTCCTTTATTCATGCACTCCTGCCGTCCGTCGGACCGACGTGAGCTGACAGCGATTGTTTCAACTAGTGACCTCGACGACAACTACGACTACCTCCTCCACGTCGTGGATCTTCACAAACATCAAACCCACTCCCGCTCCCCCCGTCGCTATCTCCTCGGCCTGTTCCCGGCTCGTCACATCTCCGGCGGCTTCTTCCACAACTGTGTCGACCACGGTGCCGACAACGGTCACGGTGCCGTCGCCTACCATCACTACGATCTACAGGAAGAACCAGCCGGCAAAGAAAACGACTACCATCGCGTGTCCCAGGACTACGACCGTATCCATCATCATAACGGCAACTCCAGCCGCGACGGCTTTGGTGGTGACGGCGGAGACAGTGAAGGTGGTTACTGTCACTAGTACTGTCGAGTTTTGAAGGCGGGAGTGGCGGAGATGAGTGTATTGATAACATGTTTTTGGGTATTTCCTCCTGTTTTGGGTGTAATTTTAGTCTACTATCTACTGGCTTATGATGTATCTTGTGTCTTGATGTTGTGATCACTGGCGTGAGTTGGCTTTCCGTGAGACCTTTCCGGCAATACTCGTTTTCGGGCTCGGACGAAATTGTAGCCAGTATCGATGGGCAGCAGAAGGGGACAATAATACGAGAAGTCGTTTAATGCAATTGATGTCTTTGCCGTCCCACGATCCTCCAGATCCTGCAGCGCATCCGGTCTCATCTCCTCGCGTTACTCTTTGCCACCGCCGTCGGGAAACCATATGATCGCCTATTGGCCAGCGAAGAATCGACGAATACCACAGTTGCGATTCCCAGAAAATACTAGCATCGTCTTGGAATTCCTCACGATGCACCCTTCCCGCTAGGTCTTGCGCAGTGAGATCGATTGGAACACTCTAAGACAGCCGGTACACCACCAGAGTTCTCAATCGCCAATTCGCACTCCGCACTCCGCACTCCGCAATCCGCATTTCCCAAACTCCAAACGCCAAACGCCAAACTCCAACCCCCAAATCAAATCAACGCATCCCTTACCCTTACCCTTACCCGCACCCACCTCCAACCCCAGCCGTCAACCGGGCACACCAAAGTTGATCCCCGCAATACAACTCAAGCAAGGCCCCTCTTTCTCCGACTTGACGTACGTGATGTTGCGCAACCTGTTCTCCCACATGCAGTCGCGCGGAGGATCGTACTTCAGCGCCACCGCGCAGTGCGAACCGGCGGCGGCGGAATGGACCACGTGGCCGCACGCTGTGTGCGTTATTGAGTTCTAGGTGCACATGGTTCGTCGCTGGATGTGTGGGTGGATGTGTGTAGTGGTTGGGTGTGGTGGTTGGGTGTGGTGGTTGGGTATGGTGGTGGGGTTGAGTTGTTATTGTTGAAGAGATTGTAGGTGAAGTCGGCGTGGGTAGAGGAGGTTGATGGGGGGAGGAAAAGAGACGAGAGTGCCTGGGAACTGCGGGCTTATATAAGACGTACCCATCGATGATCGACATTCTATGACCGAAACGCGGCTGGGATTTCTATTCCGCATGTCACAGTGGGTTAGAAGGACGGTTAGTTGCGTGCAATCGAAGGACCAAAATCCAGAATCCAGACTCTTTCGAGCGGTACCTGCCTAGTAGTTGAAGGTGGAAATTGTAGCACGGATGCTAGTTACAACTCAGAAGCAGTTCTGATGATGGGATATCCGTACCGAAGTGCTGATCGTTGCATGATAGCGTGAATTACATACCAAGTCCGCAATGCGCATCAGTTTCACCGAACCCGAATGGATGCCTTTCCACCAATCTGGTTTTCGATATAGCAATCAGGGTGCAGGACGTGGAGCACTGGCGGACTAGGTAACAGGTTCACGTGAAGCCCATGGCCCACGGATGGGATCCCGGCCCCGGGCGACATACCGCATTCTCAACACCATGCGGCTCACCCCTATATGATATATACAGACTCTCTAAGGGTCCATTCGGCTTCCGTTTCTGCGGGAAATCGTATCGGATGGGAAGCGCAAAACACGTAACTATGTACATGCTTGATGCTACTTTGGCGGAGAGATATCACGGCAGGAACAGCACTGATATCGCAAGACAAGTATCGATTAGAATACTTTAAGATACACCACTAGAGTTCCCAATCGCCAATCGCCAATTCGCATTTCCCAAATGTCAAAATCCAAATTAAATCAAAGCAAATCAAAGCAAAGCAAATCAAAGCAAATCAAAGCAAATCAAAGCATCCCGCCATATCAACCTCCAACCCGTCAACCCGTCAACCCGCCCTAGCAAGGGGGATCTGCCCAGAACAGCCCGGGCAAGAACCCTTCTCCCTGGACTTGATGTACTTATTTTCGTGCTCCCAAAGGCAGGGGCGCGGAGGATCGTACCCCATGGCCTTCACGCAGAGACAGCCGTCGAAGCCGGATTGGATCACGTGGCCGCACGTCTCGTAGGTGACGAGATTCCAGGTGCACATGTTTCCTGGCTGTGTGTTTTTGTGGGTAGTGGTGGTTGGGTTTGAGTTGTTGTTGTTGAAGAAGTTGAAGAAGAAGTTGTAGTCGTTGTAGAAGAATTTTTAGGTGAGGTCTGCGTGTGTTTGTAGGTGAGGTTGGTGGTGGGAGGAAGAGAGACGGGAGTCCCAGAGAAACGCGGGCTTAAATAAGACGTACGGACCGACATTCTACGCCCGACACGATGCTGGTATTTCTATTCCGCATGTCGCAGTGGGCATAGGAAGGTTAGTTGCGTACAATCGAAGGACCATAATCCGGACTCTTTCGACTGGTACCTACCTGATATGTAGTTGGAGGTGGAAGTTGTAGCATCGATATTACTGCTTAACTACCGTAGGTGCAAGCAGTTCCGTGGATGAGCTACCGGTAACCGTAACGAAGTGCTGATCATTGTATGATAGCGTGAATTACCAAGTCTGCAGCGGTTTCACTGAACCTGAATGGATTCTCGGGCCTTCTGCCTGTGCATGAAGTTACCGATTCCGTTTTCCACATAGCAAGCAAATGAAGGGGGGGGTGGGGGGGGGGGGGGGGGGGGGGGGGGTTCGGACTGGGGGATCTGGTTGACGTGAGGCCCACGATCCACGGGCATCGAAATGAATCGGATCTGGCTGGCTTGGGTGCCGTTTCCGGTGCCTTGTTCTCGCAGACGTGGGCGTTGGGCGATAGCACGGCAGGGACGATGGCCTCGACTGTGGCGACGGTTGTTGTGGCGCTGCTGCCTCAATGATGGGCCCGGTATGTAGTAGCAGAGTAAGTAAATACTGAGAGACCCAAGAACGTGTGTAATCAAAAAACGTGACCAATTAGAAAAGAGGTTTATGATGATGATGTCAGTTGTGTGGTTGTGTTGAACAAGAAATGGACCGACAAGACGAACAGAAAACCAATAACAGAAAACATTTCAACGTTCAGCGACCGCATCGGGTCTAGATCTGCTCTCCATAACACATAGGTCCACCAGGTCTCAACAAGGTCTCTCCTCTGCGGTGCTCACCAAGGCCGCCAAACCGCCTCTTCCTTCGCGCCTCTCAATACACACCGTAGTCGAGGCCCCACTGTCGTCACGGTTAGGTATCGTGGAGTTTGGTCCGAGCGAATGGTTATGTAACCACAACAGGCCTCGCTTGGAAGGGGCTCATAAGCGAGCATCTAAAGAAGATGAAGAGTCGCTTGCTGGACCGTGACGCCGTCTCGCTTCCAGGTACTTTTTCCCAGAGCAAATCTCACTAGCACCACCATGTGCTTGGAGGACCCCGGACTTTGGACTTCGGACGGAAATTGCGGAGCGCACGGAAACTCACAAGTTATGTACTACATAGGGAATACATCCTTCACTCTACCTGTGGAGAGCACGGGTGTCCGATGCTTTTTCACTACAACTTGAGTTCGTGCCATGAAAAGAAGGCATTGTGCACACATCACGAATCCGAGATATTCAACAGTCGATCACTCGGTTTGTGTTGTCCTCTCAATTTAGTCCTCCTTACACAAATAGACTGCAATCATCACAATGGCCACTACCAATTCTCCATGCCCATTCAAACGTCATCCCCGGCAGCAGCGGCATGTGGCTTTGAGCTTTTTCATAGCTCGCACCCATTACCTCCAGTCGACCAAAACTTCCTGATAGCACGACGACGCAGTGGCGAAGACTTCAGTCCAAACGGCGCGACGCTGGCTGCGGGGTGAGGAGGAGAAGGAGAGTATGGTGGAATGCGTAGTCTGGGATCGATCCGGAACGCATTGTCGTAAGAGCAGGGCAGTGGTCTCGGAATCCAGCCGACCGATGCGAGGAAGCGTGCATCCCGCGCAGAGCCCGTCTCTCCGAGTATCCCCACCATCTCCGCAGCCCCCCCCAGCCCCACTAAACCCACGCCCACTCAATCCTCACTCGGCCCTCCCACTCCTCCGCAATGCCATTGAACGCCGTTGGACTAAAATCCAAATCCTCCGGCTCGCATCCCGTGCATCGATCCACAACCGTGACCTCGACGGCTTTCGTGCGCCCCGCCCTCCGCGCCCGGATATTCCGTCCACACACGGGATTTAGGTTGGGATTGAACTCGCCAGCGGAGCCCTTACCCAGGTGATCGAACAGCTCCCAGGCGATTGCGACGACCATCTGCGAGTCTTTGCTGGCGATCCCGCATGCGCCAAGGCCGGTGCCATAGTACGTGCCGTCGCCAGAATACGTCTCTGCCCCGGTTGGAAGGGTAACATTGGCGGATGAGCGGTGGGTGAGGAGGATGGGGAGGATGATTATCAGGAGCAGAAGGAGGAAAATGAAGGAGAGAAGAGCAATGGCGAGGCGGGAGCGGGTGAGAAGTGGATGGAGGTAGTAGGGCTGTGGAAGTAACCGGGTTACGAGATGGTTGTAGCGCTCGCGGAGGGTAGGACGGAGGGGCAGGGACACTGGCGCCTCGAGAGGGATTGCTGTGATGGTTCTTGTTGATGAAGTTGAGGAGGCAGGTTTCGATTCTTCGTCGGTAGGTGGCGTCATGTTGGAAGTGAATTGAGGATTGAGATGCGATATGCGCTTTTGCGGGGGGGTGGTAGTGTTATAGGGGCCGTGGGTTGCGGGCGATTCCCGCAGATGACGTGAACAAGGGTTTAAAGTGGGAATTAGACGAGCTGCCTATGTGAAACGAAAGCAGGCGGATGCCGTTTGTGTGCTACCGGGTGCGTTACACGAGCGGCAAGCCTCATAATGTATCACTCGCTTACGAGTGATAATCGCTGTACGAGTGTTTCAACACAATCCATTCATTATATATTGCCATGGTCTACTTAGGTTGCAAGCAATTGCTGATTGAACAAAAAAAGGAAGAATAAAACAATTCAATTCATTCAAGAGGAATAGACTATAGTTGCAACTCCTTTCAGAACAGCACCAGTATAACAACTGCACCACCCACTGCTTTCCAACATAAAAGAATCTTCCCCCTCCTCTACTCTCCTTGACACATAGCAGCTGACGGGGATACTCTTGGAGTTCCGTCAAGCCTTCAAGCCGTTAAGCGAGAGATTGGCCGTCTCCACCATCCCCTCTACTGCAGACAGCCACCTTTCCGCCACCATTCCGCCGTTTTTTCCATTATTCAACCTTCGCCGGTGCGACCTCACGGCTTCCTCACCCTCCTCGTCCCCATCTCCGTCCGTATCGTACCCGTCAGTGTCGCTGCCACCTTGAATCTTGAGTTCACCGCTAGCCCTCCTCTTCCGAGGCGAGTTCGTCGACGGCCTGGGATTGTGTAGCTCATCGTCATCGCTAGCCCTCCTCTTCAGGGTAGAGTTCGTCGATGGCCCGGGATCGTGGAGTTCATCGTCTCCGCTAGCCCTCCTCTTCAGAGTCGAGTTCGTCGACGGCCTGGGGTTGTGGAGTTCATCCTCACGGCTAGCCCTCCTCTCCAGAGTCGAGTTTGTTGACGGCCTGGGATCGTGGAGTTCATAATCACCGCTGGACGTAACCGCCTTCTTTGTGACAAGTTCGACTGCGTGAAGTAATAACCTTGCGGGTTTCCGGTTCGGTTGGCCCGGGCCGCTGCTGTTCGAAATATCCACGCTTTTTTTGTCATTGCCGATGCTCGAAAGCTCCCCGGTCCGATTCGCATTGTTGACATTGGCAGTGGTGAATCGGGATTTGACCATACAACGCTTCTCTTGCATCGCAAGTAGGGTCTTCCTGGAAAGCGGCGGCCAATGGTACTTTCCAGCATTAATAACCCTCATAGCATCATCTTCGACAGCCGTATCAGAGTCAGATTCAGCACAAAGAGCCTTCCTCTTCTCCTCCAGCTCCAACCTATCCCTCTCCCTCATCTCGTCACTTCGACGATACCATTCCCGCACCATTTTCTGTCTCTGTTCCAGTATCTGGATTTGAATGAACTGTTGGTGGAACTCCTTATCATAGTTCAGCTCCGCAATCTTCTCCCAGCACTCGATGTACTGCTGGTTGTTGCTAATCTCGATCTTGCCGTGATCATATTTTACATGCCTGGAATAAGCTTTGTATCAGCACTCAACTCTATGCTTCAGGATCAAATCACGGGTGCGGGGACTTACTCGGTAAACTTGTCCACATCCCAAAACTTTCCGCGAGGCAGAAACTTAGCCCAGCAGAAGGGGCAAGGGATCGGGTCGGGGATTTGAGACGTCGCTTCCGAGACGTTGTCACCATTCTGTAGCTTTGCGGAGTTGCTGGCGACATTCTCCCTCTCAGCGACCTCAGCTTTGTCGACTTTCGTCACCCTAGAGATCATGCTGTCGAACTTCACCGCTGCCGCGATGTCTTCATCAGTGACCCTGCCCCGGTCGTTGTCGAGACGTTTCTTCTCGGAGAGCAGTTTGCGAGGCTTTCGGATGCGAGCCGGCGACCCGGAAGTCTGACGGGTACGTTTCAAGGGCTTTCGGCCGTACACCCGCTGTTGGCGACTTTGGGGCTTTTGAGAACGTTTGGAGTAGGACTCTTGAGCGGGGACTTCAACGGCGCAGTGGTTGGCTTTGGCGGCTCCATCGTCGGCGTTTCCTGGGAAGTCATAGATGCTGAGTTCTTCGTCGGAAAGATCAGGCTTTTGAAGTATGGTGCGGCGGGGTTTCGGCATTTTGTGGTGGTTGTGGTTTTGGGCAAGGTGAAGGTTGGTGGTGGTATGAAATGGTGATGGTGGGGTGGGTGGGTAGGTGTGCTAAACAAAACAGTGGGGGGAGGAGGCAGGGAGGAGGGGGGTCGAACGAGCCAAGACATTCTAGAAACCACAATGGCTCTATATAACATAGTATATTAGGTATGCAGCTTCATGACGTGTTTAGTTTAAATGGCCCCTCCTAGTAACCGCCAGAATACTTCGGGGAATCGTAGCAAGATCCTTTGCTTTCGTTATCTGCCTCGATACTACCTCAAACGTACAGTGAATGGCTGTCATTGCGGATAGTAGATGGGTCTGGTTTGATGATGATTAGGATACAGTTTCGTAAGGAGTTGAGAATAAATAATTCACTAATATTCCATCCTATGTAACAACTTAAAAACAAGTATCAAAGGGTTATCTAATTCCTGCTTTAACGTAGAATTTTGGCGAAACTTCTCCTCCTTAGGAAAGAGTTAAGTCTGGGTGTAATCAATAAGTTACATCGGGATTCAAGTCATTTCTACCCTCTGCCTTACACACTTCGAATAGCAGATACTCCCCTCGGACAGTATCTAACTCCGTCCAGTCTGTCCGAATGGCTTTGGGATCCCTCTCTACGCTGTCAGAAGCCCTGCAATAAAGATATTCCTGCAATTCACCATCCAGATGCCTCATCTGTACCTGGAACCACTTCTGAGGCGGCTCAATTCCTTCAATTCCTTCAATCTCTTCAATCCACCGCACCACAATGTCCTTACGGACTCGGGGACGTTTTGGATCGGCCGGGTCGGTTTCCTGAAGTCGTCTGTCTTGGTTGACCCATCGGTCGTCGGAATATTTCTCTTCGATATTACCGCTAGATACAGCGTAATCGCCTTTGCAGCTGTTCACTAAAACCCAGAGATACCATTCCTCCTCGAGAGTCATCGGGCGGCCGAGAAATTCCTCACATTGATGAAGGAGTTGGGATCTTTGGCGGCGATCTTCAGGAGTAGCAGGTGATCGGGTCGACCTAAACGCCTCCTCGTGCGTGAGGACGCTGAGAGCCACCTTCCCCTGGTTGCCTGTCTTTGTGGTCACGTGACCCTTCGTCAGCTCGAAAAGATACGCATCCAAACTGTCCTGGTCATACACCAGTAGTTCCTCATTGGTGAAGGCACTTTTATACCAGATCGTCCAAGTCCCCGGGGAGACGGCGGCACCAGCGAGGACCTCGGCTTCGAAGTCGGCGAAGTTCGACGTCTGCCAGGATAGGGAAACCGGCTGATCATTTATCAGCGCGCGGTAGGTGGCACCGGAAGCACGTCCACCGGCCGGGGTGGTTGTTCTGGCAGCCCGGGGCGGGGGCGAGACTATTATCTCGTCGTCGTCGTCAAGCAGCCTCACTTTGAGGAGGTACTCGAATAACGCACGATCTGGAGTTATGTTCGGATGCTCTTGTGAAGAAACCTGTAACAGATGCCGAAAGACCAGATGAAACTTGGATACCGGGTGATTTCGGGCCACGGTGAGGCAATCGGGACAATAACAGTCGCGGCATGAACAGTCTTCCATTATATCATGAGGACAGAACATGCGACCACCTCGCGCCTTTGGAAACTGCATCTGCCGTCCTCGCATGCGAACGACCTCTAATTGTGTATCGAGTTGCCGCGTGCAGAATCGCGAGTATCCGTAGGTAACCTGCTCGATTTTGTTTTTGCAGTTGGAACACTGAAAGTCGCGCACCACGAGTTCACGGAGAAAGCAGAAGCGACATATCTGGTTACCGTTCATTTCGCACAGCTTATGCCTTTCCTTGGAGTTGGAATATACATCGCTGTAGATAAGGTATGGGCCGAGCTTCAGGCGGCAGATTTGACATTCTCCCTCATGGGGATATTCCGTGTTAATAGTGCACATGGTCGAGTTGTGGCTGGTAGGGGGGATGTGGTAGCGTTCTTGTGTCTGCATCGATGTTCAGCCGCCGCGGGTACTTATATGTCCTGTCGTGGACCCTTGAGCTAGACGTTCAATATGAACGGAAAGGGACGATCCTGCTGTTTTCAATTCGACGAGTGCAAACAAGGGACGGCGCATGTGGCGAAGGTATCAGATGCTTGAAGACTAAGTATTTGGATTGCATAAGAAGTAGAGTTGCGCTGTTTCACTAGAAAGGGCGAGTGCCAGTCTATGCCAAGACGAGGCAATGAGTAGGCCCTCTTTGCCCTAGGCTCGTTTAAGCGCGACTCAACTCCACTGCACACCTGCACAGTCTACAATACTGAAAGACGAGCGGTGTAGTCTAGTTACGTTGAGTTGTTATGAAATGACATCTTGTGCGCCCTTAGTAGCATCAAAGCCGAACACTGCCCATATCATCTTCTCGAATTAATAGCGGCAGTCGGCCCAACTGCAATAGCTTAACCCTCCTCCTTCTGGCCGACCCCGTTCCACATGCGCTCGTACGGCTCCAAATAAGCTGAACGACCCACGTTTGCAATCGTCTCTGCCCCTGCAATATCTACGTCTGCAGCAATTGCATCAACACGGAACTCACGGAGCTGCCAGGCCCGGAAGCAGAAAATTACCTGGTAGGTCGAGAAGCTCGAGATGGTGTTTCAAGCCGGAAAGAGGGTGGTATGGGAGAGACTCGAAATATGCGCGTGCCCGCCGACTCTCCTATCTCCTCTATTCTTTTGCAGGCTGATCGGATCCTTCAGGGGTTGCTGACGGTGGGTTGTGGGCCTGTGGTGTTTAGTGTGTCCTTAGCCGATGCGACTCACCCATCTTCGTTTCGTGTTGGGTTTAATGGATGGTATATGTAAGTGGGATATGGCAATGGCATAGTCCTAGTTTTGAAGTGAATTGCATGATATTCTGTAACCCAAATGCCTATTGTAATGGATAGTACTCATTACGATATAAATGAAAAAGTGTATTCCAAAACAAGAACTTTAACGGGCGAAATCGCTCTTCAAATAACACTAGAAAAGTGACGCAAAAATATAACAATCGCGCGGAAACTATTCCGCCTCAGATCCAGCCCCCTTTCCACTGACGGGCAGTTTGAACCCCGCCTTTTCGTATCGCTTTTCGACAACCTTGTCCCTCTCTTCTTTAGACATCTCCTCCCATTTGGGCTTCTTGGCGCGGCTCTTCCTGACGCGGCATTTCTTCACGCGGCCCTTCTGGGCATCGAGCACCTTCGTCTTCGGGATCTTTCCCTTCTTAGCCTTAACCGCCGCTGTAAATTCAGCAACTTCGGCGATGTGCTCGTCACGAGATTCTAATGAAGTCAGTAAGTGGTATCTCTAGAGAGGGAAGCGGAACTTACGCAAGGCCTTAACGCAGTTGGCCAGACGCTCTTGGTAGTGCGCGTCTTTGTTGTCTGCGGGACTCGAAGGACGTGAGGCGGTATTATTGGACATCTTTCTTTGTGCTGTGTTGTCGAGATGTACCGGAACGATTTAGCTTGGCCGAGTTGTAGAAATACAGTTGAAAATGAAGCTTGCTGGTTTGGTACTCAGTTCTTGCTATTTTCGACGTTGCAATAGGGTGATGGTTGATGGAGAAGTATTGCTGGAAGGTCGGGCCGAGCAGTGAGCTGGATATAAATACGATGCATCTATAGAATGCCGATATCAGCGACGACCTTTGAAAGTGATGCATAAGATGTGGAAGTTTGGCGATCGAACCCAAGTGCTGAGGGTATTCTATAGATAGCACCGACTGCCATACTTACTTCGACAGGGTGTAGTACTCTTGCGAATAGCGGAGCCCTGGAGAACGTACATGGCGCCGAGGGCCAAGAGGTGATGTTGACTGGAGTGGGAGGACCAAGCGGTCGTTTTTTCTCTTGTTGTAGGTATTTTTGTTGTTGCTGTTGTCGGTGTTGTTGTTGTGAAGTTGGAACTGAGTCGTGGAAGACCCTCAAGTAGTTACTACTCTGTTTCCCAGTTTCCATCCCAGGTGGTCACTCGCTCGCTCGGGTAGCAGCCCTAACGTCGGAAAGTATGGTCGCACAAGTCGAGGAAAAAAAAGAGTTCAAATCTGCACTGGGCTTTCCAGCTGAATTGACTGGTACTTCGAGATTTCCGGTGGTTCTGTTAAGATATGTTAACTTGCTGCAGCTGTTGCTCGATCTGAACAGTGGGGGGGAAAATCTCCGTGGAATCTCTCAGATGCGGCTGAGACAACCGTGGAGGAATTAGTACATACATGTATAGAAGTATAAAGAAAAGGAGAGAGATTTACTGAGTCCTCGGGGCAGTTTTATGTCACTTCATTCTCATTCTCTCAAAGCGTTTGCTTCGCTTAGGAATTGAGAGGATTGAAAGCACGGAAACGCAGTGCTTCCTGGTCAGTCGGAGAAGGCTGGTGCCGACAATCCGTACCTGTGTCCCGACACTGTTCCCGAAACAGATACCGTCATGCCACACTTCTCAACCTTAAATTCCTATCATCCTTCCTTCTTCTCTTTCATCCCTTCCTCCCTCTGTCTGAATCAATTTCATCCACCGCATCGAAACTCCACTCACAAAAAACACCAAGAAGACCCCTCCCATCTCTTCGATACCTTATAACAAAACGGACCAGCTCAATCTCCCCATGGCGGACAATTCTCTTCCTGCCGACGAGACTACTCCTCCCGAAACTTCTTCTGTCGCTGCGGTCGAGCTTTCTTCCGTCAACGCCGAGGAGTCCACCCCTCGTCCCACCTCTCCGGCGATGGGTATGTCATTCTTCAGGGCTTGGCCGGAGGATGTTTTTGCCCCCAAGGAGATCCCTCTTTCCCGCGAGGAACGCGAGACTTAGGGACTCTCGCGAGAATCAGACCACAAGTTGATCACCAAGTAGCAGCCTCCGGATCCTCCTATCCGCGCTTGGCCTGTGGAAGACCCGTGGACCCTCACAGAGGATCTGAAGGTGGCTATCCACCGGTTTCGTGTCCTGATGGACATTCTTGGGGAATTTTCCTAACCGGACCCTTTCCACGGCCCGCAATTGCCGGACGAGAATGATTGCCCATCTGTATGCACTCACTTCTATCTCCTTTGCTGATTTTCTGATGGATGCTAACGGATGGCACAGCTGGTGCCTCTTCTCGAAATGATGAGGAGTGACCTCAACTGCCCCGAGTTTCTGCTCACGTCGGATGAGGTTTTGGAGACCGTGTACCGCATCAACGCGGACATCTACGAGCTGCTCCTGGTTCGGTTAAGCTTCAAGACCACCCGCCCGAGCGTCTGTGCCCAGACGTACAGAACACTGCTCTACAATCTCGTGAGTCTCCTTCTTTCCTCACTACTTCTAATGGCAAACTGAAAATGTGTGTAAACAGGCGGAGTTGACGGCGCTGCATGGTGTGGTCCGCGCGCCGGAGGAAGGAACAGAGCACAGAGAGAGTGGAATCGGCATGTCTAGTTCTTAGTTTGTTGGGGTTGGGACCATATCATGTATAAAATAAATGGACGTTCCTCTTTCCATACTACTTCGGTATCTTTCAGTCATTGGTGTAGTGGCAGGTGATATCAAGTGGAAACCATGATCATGACGATACCGAAGTTACAATTGAAGTCTCGCTTCCCATTGGCGATACTCCGCAGCCACACCGAGTAAGATACAGAAATAACAGCGCATACACAGTAACAATACACAGAATCCCAAACTGCTTGTACAATGCAAAAATTCTTCATCCACTCTCCAATAGAGCTCATCAGTAAAAAAAACACAGAAAAAATACGGACTCCTCTCATAAACTCCGGCCAGAGCTCACAGAAGCAAAAGAAACATATCGAAGCAAGTAATCATGTATCAAGACTCCCTGTAACAATGTTATCCCCTAGAAAACCAACAAGTAATAAAGTCAATTCCAACCGTTCGCATAAGCCTGGTAAATATGTAGGCCGAACACTCGTTAATGTATCAATAAAACACAAGTCTAACTCAACTCACTCTTCCATGAACCTTCCGGGAGTGGAAGCACGGTCTCCACACTCTTGGATATTCAACTGACCCATTTGCGTAGTCCAGTGATCGGCCTGCGCGGCTTGCCTTCTGGGTTCGAGTTCTCCGTAGGTCTGCCGGTGGGCGATAACCAACTCCTGCCACGCTTTCAGATTGGGGGAAAGTTCGCCACGGCGAAGTGGTGCAGCCTGTACTGGTGCACGCTGTACTGGTGTTGGCTGCGGATTTTTGTTGATCCGATTATTGTCGTTGCGAGGACGTAGGATATCACCACCTCTTGCACGAGGAGCGTCGCGGTATTTCTCGCTTTTCATGGGGACCGAAAGCGACTGGCCGTGTCCCATACCTTGGAGAGGCGGCTGAGTCTCCGCCTGCGGGACATTATTGCCACCAGGAGTAACAGACTGAGCATTCGAACGGCACCTAGCTTGCCAGGAAGGTAGCTTGCGAGGGTTCGAAAGCTTTATGACACCCAAAGGAGATCCGTTGTGAGGGTAGAACGGGCACGTGCTGCCAATGGGAATCTGGGTTCCGCAGCCGTCACAGCTGTATCGTGGTTCTGCTAGAATGGGGGTAGCCTGGATACGGGCCGGGCTAGCAGACCTGGTGAGTGGTGTTAGCGGAGCACTGAATACTGGGGGTATGCGAAGGGAGTGACCTGGTTCGAAGGCGGAAGGGTTCCTGTCTCGAGTTTCCGAATACAACCAGCCTTTGGAACCTATTGTTGACGGGACTTGAAGATCTAGCCCTACGGAAACAATTGAATCAGATGGAATAGCAGTCGAGAGTGATGGATATACCTCCGTCGGGGACGACTAGAGTCATATCTATCACGACCTCTTCCCCTAGCCGAGTTGTTTTGTCCTCGAAGGTCTCCAGTACGGCGGTTGCTGTGATTTAGGAAGATCAGTAAACAAGTAAAACAGTGCCTCGTAGGATTAACGATATACCTTCGAGACAGGGGATGGTGGCGGATAGGCAGGTTGAAGCTCATGGTGGATGATAGGTAGTGATTGCTTGGAAGTTGGGGTTGTACTTGAATGGGACGTGGGAGTGGAAGTGTGAGAGTGAGGGAATGGAAGAGATAGAAGGTCAATAGCAAGTAGCAGAGACCTCTTGGAGTTAGTTACCTTGGAATATTGGCCGAGCCTCACTCTTTGCAGTGCAGCCCTCCTTTTCCGGCAGCCACTCCCCCTCCTCCTTCCCACAAAATAAAAATAAAAATAAAAAGACAGCAACCAGCCAAGCCGGACAGTCGTTTCGTTCCGCCGCCCGCTTTGCGCTGTGGGTACAGTGCAGCAAGGACCAAACCACCTACGGACATCAAACATCACACACGTTGCGATCATCACCATACCAAACACCAAACCCAAGTACCTGAACTCCTCACAGATCTGTGCGAATGGGTATATCAGTCAAGGAAGAGACGGCGACAGAAGAAACTAATTGCGAGAGAAACCCGGCCTGATCGATGTACTACGACACCGAGACGACTTCGACTTCTACAACTGCGAGCGGGCGTGGAAGTCGTGGAGGATAGGACCGCAAGGGCATGGGATAGCTGGGAGGTGGTGGAATTCGATTTGTTTTGGGTTTGCGAGGTCCTGGGTCTTGGAAGATCAAATGGATGGGAATGAGCTTGGTGGTTTGGGTGTTCATTCAGAGTGGTAGCAATGCCCTCATTTTTTCTTCTCGATTCCTCGTTACCCGCATAGAGTCTATCTAGACCATGGCGAGACTCACTGCCCAGCTAACCTGTCTACAATCTCGATAACCGGCTTGTGGTAGTGACTCACGGTAGCAATCACGGTGGGTTGAGGTGGCAAATGAGATGTCAAGCCGAGTGAGTCATAATGAAATACGCCAAATGAGTGACGGCACAAAGTCATAGGTACGCTCTTTCTCCCATTACTCCGCCATGCTACATACATCCATCGCTATACGTAAGTATAGCAGATGTCCTTCTGTCTAATGTCCATGAGCTCTTTCAGCTTCTTTGTCTTGCCCAACGGACCCAGATTAATCTCGAAGTCGAGCGTGATGTTTCCGCCCACGGCGTTGGCGTAATCGAACATGTAGATGGGTCCAGAGACGTCCTTCAGCCGCGCTGGCAGAGAGATCTTCTGCCAATCCCAGAAGAGGCGGTCGAGGTTTGCGTGGTGTTGGTAGAACAGCGGGTCTGCGAAGGTATCACATGTCAGTACGATAATTTCGCCGGGAGGGGGTAGAGGAGTACTGACCACCGGGGGAATTGTAGGAATCTCCCATATCGCCCATGCTGCCACCGATACCGAAGTGGCCTCCGCCGTGGATATTGGTAGTTGTCCAGTTCGGCTCCGCCTCCAGCCGTTTCGCGAAGCGCCCGAAATTGGACTGTTCTAGCACTTCGTTCCACGTCGCCTTCTGCAGGTTGTACTTCACCACCTCCGGCGAGAAGTCACGCTTGAGGCAGTGAGGATTTGCGATCGACGCGTTGTGCGAAGGACCGAGGCCGACAAGGAACTTGTCAGCCGTGAACGGGCCGTCCGGGACGCAGCCTCCGCCGGTGCGACCGGGAACGGGGAAGAGAGTGCTATTGGCGGGGAGGTCCATGTAGGGCCCGTTACCCCCAAAGCCGTCGTCGGAGTTGAAGATCGACCACTCCTCCATCGGGATATCGCTTTCCGCGTCGATTGTCCTGCACCGAAAGTCAGCATTCCGATCCTTCTGTGGAAGTTGGAAAGTACGAACCAGTCCCAGTACGGGATACCAGCTTTCCAGCCACACTCCGTTCGCAATGCCCTCTCAAATTCCATCAGGTAGTACCGATGCCAGATAGCGAACGCGCCAACAAAGTGAATTCTCTCGGTCTGTTGGATGTGCACGCCCTGGAATTCATCAAATCTCGATGTGGCGCCGGGAATATCGGCATTGAACTTTGCGGGCTTGCGGCCGAGACACTGGACGGCTTTGAGGTAGTTCTTCTTTTCTCCACGCGAAAGTGCGCGCCTGGATGTCGGTTAGCTACCGAGTGCAGAGGAGAAGGATATCAGTACGCACCATTCCTTCCGCTTGATAGGATTCCTGCAGGTCGAGGTCGTCGGCGAACCCAACACTTCGGCAGCCAAACTCAGGGCCAACAGTAGTACGGAGGAGAATCGGAATGCAAACATGACCGGAATTGCGAGAAGAAGTCGGTTGGGTTACCAAAAACCAAATCAATGCGGGAACCAACACATCCTTTATGTAGAAAAATTCCCGGCGTCCCGGTTGCCTAACAGGAAGGTGACATCCACCCATAAAGCCTGGACGTTACGCGATTGTCTTCCACGCTATTTTAACGGATTATTAGATTTTTCTCGGTAGGTGTAGCAGTTTTAGCAGGTAACGAACCCATATACCCAGGGATTAGATGCAGCGGCTGATCTGGCGGGTGGCCTGAATGCTTGAAATGAGATCTGATGTTTCCGCCTTTTAAAGTCGTTTGAGATCGCATGGAAGGTCGTTCGTGATGGCTCAAACACCCTTTTCTTTTCTGAGCGGTGTCAAATGTCTTCATAGACGTCCACACAAAGGAGATCTTCAGGAAGTTATAATGACCAAGAGTTCTCTACAACGACCTAGTCATTCCTACAGTGTAGGCAGACGGCGCTAGCTGCCGACGGGTAGGAGTGGTCGCGGCTAAATAGTAGAGTGTCCTCCGGTCTGGGTCGCCTGAAATCTCGATTGCCATGGTTTGAAGAAGATTGGCTGACGGATCCTATGAACATGTAGTATTTATCGCTGGGATGGCTATGTATATCTTCTGCGCCAGGGGCGAGTCGCGACTGCCTGGATGGTGAGCAGCCGGTACCGTAATTGGCGACATAGATCGCTTGCGGGGTGGGAGAAGACCATCAATCGACGGGCAAATTGAAGAGCCACAGGGCTGAATGCTGTTTCTTCCATGAACACCGTCACATGCCTTTCCTGGACGATGGACCGTTGGGATAGTTCGCCCGGTGTATCGGTCTTCTATGCCGGATAGCCGCGATATGTAGTCCCATGCATCACGGGAGTGAGCCGTACCGCAACTCCGACGGTTACGACAGCAGTTGGCGGCCTCTACATAGGAAGAGTCACATGTGAAGACCACATATCCGTGAGCTGGAGTCGGCGGCCGAGTGAGCGGGAGGGTGAGGGTCGGATGTGGGGGTAGAAATCGACCGAGTCTCGCGTGGCGGGGTCACTGGATCACGCGTTTGGTACGTGCGGGGTAGCTTCGAGGGTGGCTGAGCGTAGTCAGTGGTCTGTAGAGGCTCAGCGTAGGTATTGGTCGGTGCGGAACAACGTTTCTACATAGCAGCACGAATCCACTGGGGCATGCATGGTGGCTTGAAGTGGCGCATGGAGAGCTTAGCCACCGCCTCCTCGAGGAATAAAGCAACAGGAAGACTTCTGGCCGCATCACATACTTGGAATAAAACAAAAATTTAGATATCTCAAGATGCTGCGATACTCACATCGAGGCTGCTTCTCACAACGTCCACGTGTTGCCTAGGCTTACTGATCGGCACCTGCCGTGGGCTAGGTTTGCCCCGTGCGGCTCCAATGCGGGTGATAAAAAAACTCTACGCTAAAGATTTTCTTCTTCCGTGCAACAACTCCAAATTATCAAGATGTTTCGATGGATCAGAGTACGCCCCTCATCTCTTCGTCCGTACTGCCGCCTCAATTAACAACTTAATCAGGCCCCCTTCTCCGGCGCATCGAAACCCGCAGCTACCGCTGTAGCGCCAACCTTATCCAATAAAGCAGCCCGTGCTGCCGCCCGTGCCGCCGCGAGGGCTTCCGCCAGCAATGGAGACCCGGCAGCAGCAGCGACAGCAGCGATAGCAGCGGCGGAAGGAGCTGAGGCGGTACCTGTGAAGCCGGAGGACACGGTCGAAACGCTCTCGGTACAGCTGAAGAGGCTTTCACACGAACACGAGGCGCTGCACAAGCATCACACCAGCTCACTGAACACGACGAAAACGGAGGTGAACTCGATCAAGAAGGAGATTGCGAAGGCGCTCGAGAAATCGAAGTCCACCAGTGCCACCGAGAAGAGTCTGTCGAAGCTCACCGAGTCCGTCAACCCGCTGCCGTCGAGGATAGCAGCTATCGAGGCCGCGTTGGCGAAGAAGAGCACGGTTGTGCAGGCGGATCTACACGGGCAGCTGCTGAACAAGCTTACGGCGCGGTTGGCCGCGTTGGAGAAGAAGGACGTGCACCCTATAACCAAGCTCCTGCTGGAGAACAAGATTGATTGGGAAACGATGGGATTCTCGAGCGAGCAGAGTCTCGTCAAATTCGCCAACGACCTGCCGCTGGCTATTAAGACGATCCTGCCGAAACCGGAGATTGCGATGAACGCCAATGCCGGCAAGATTGTCGACATCTGGCCGCACCTGGCGAAGGACGAACAGAAAGTGGTGGCGAGTGTCTTCCCAGTGGTGTTTGGACGCCCCGTGGATCAGTGGGATAATGCAACGCCGGAGGAGAAGGGAAGGAGTATTGCCGATTGGGCGTACATGGCGGTGTGGAAGTTCTCGGGAGGAAAATTGTAGACGCCTAACTATGGGTGCTATTGTATCATTGGATCATGTACTATATTAAGGCGTATGGGGATAAAACTGCTACTCTTCTTCCACTTCACTCAGGGCAATTATTCTTTCACTTCACTCAAGCACGGCAGCTCATGGAGTTCAACGATTGAGAATGTTCATACGGGAAACCGCCATGTGAGACAACTCCAATGGCTAATGAGCCACAGCGCTAATATTGTAGCCAACAACGAACTACTGACATCATCGCGTTGTGGCTGATGCGGGAGCCCGTGTGAGGTCATCGCCGGACGTCGTTCCGGCCAAGACAGCCGCCGATATCAGAGGTAGGTAAGTCCATCTAGTATCCAGGCCATCCGATCCAGACGGGGTGTTTATTGTGGCTTTGCTTGCATCCCGTGAGGTGCCCAGCCTGGTTACATCAAAGCCCGGGAGCTAGTTGCTCTAGAGTAGAGGCTGAGTTCGCGGCTCTGGAATCACAAGGTCCGACTGGGTTTTCGGGGACGGATGGCTCGCTCGACACTCCCCGACAGAATGGACATTAACCGAGTAAGTACTGATGAAGAGAGAGTCATTACAATTATTATGTTCAGTAGGTTAGACCATAGTAGAATTCGCTCGATGACGATGCGTCTCCTGCTCTAGATGCGTAATTTCCTTGTTCAGCCGCTCCTGACTCGATGCACCTGACCTTATCCCTAACGACGACGAGCACGCTGTTTTCATTGTCGGTGAACGCCAATCTTCGGCACCAAATTTCGGCGCCCTACCTTCTGTAATCCCAAGATATCTCCCCAACTCGACATCCTCGATCTCAATTCCAGCCCTACCCTTAGAACCTTTCCGTCCCTCACTCATAGCACTTCCACCGACCGTTGCGGCGGCAAGTACTTGGACTTTTTGCTTCGAACTCCCGCTGTTCCCCCCGCGACGACTCAGCACACCACCAGGCCCAAACACGCTTACCAGGTGTCGTCTGAAAAGTGGGAGGCAGAACGCCAGTAGTGCCGAGGAGAGTTCGATGACGCCCCACATCTCGACGGTCTTTCGGCGGGAGTAGTTCTCGAGAGCGGAGGATCGGTCGCGAAGGATGTGGTTGATTATTGCGTGGCGAACACCGGACGCGGCGATCGAAACTCCGCCGAGGAGGAAGGCTACGATCAAGGCAAATCGTACGTTGGGCTCCAGCATGAGGCGGGAAATGACGAGGAGTGGTAGGCAAAAGACTAAGGACGCGGAGGCTTAGTACTGTCGAGTGACGGGACGGATTTCCTTCCGCTGGGGAGGTATGGGAATGTACTCATGACATCCGTGCCGATATTGAGTGCTGATTGGAATATGAGAGTGAACCGACTACTCAGGTATGCGCACTGGACATATGTCTGGTAATCTCGTGCCCTGCATTGGCCGCATCAGCATATTTGATCTTCGAGTGGTGAGCAAATAAGTACATACCAATTATTCTCCACCGGGAGACACCAAGTCAACTGCAAGATAAGGAGCGCAATCCCACTTGCTGCGACCAGCGCAATGCAAAGGTGAAGCAAGTATCGCAGCCTCGTCTGAGTCCGATTGAACAGTCCCCAGTAAAAGCTTAAGAACGCCGCCTTCAAACACCACAGCTCGATAATATTGAAGAATCCAACGATATATGTGATTTTCGTCCAATAAGGCCGGTACATGAACGTTGCAACCTTCGTCATATCGCCGTTGAACTTGGTGATAGCACGAAGTTCGTCGCGAGATTGCAGCATCAAGCAGCATAGTAAGGAAAAGTTGATGACGAATGCGGATGCGAAGAAGAAGTCCGCCAGTAAGTCGCGAGTCTTCCGTGGGTGATGTCGTAGAAGGATGAATCGTGTGGCACAGATGATTACATCAAGGACCTGAACCGTGATCAGGAATGCGAGGGTTTGTTCTGGTGTCATTGTACCGTCAGGGAGCGCTGCGCCTAGGAGAGATCCATTATTCTTCGTGTCTTTCAGTGTAGGATGGAGGGCCCATACATACCTATATACCGGTGGAATGATCAGCAAAGCCGAGGCGTATCCGGTGCGTCGTGTCATGTCGAGGACGCGAGAGCATGGATTTACACAGGTACTTAAGTGCAGCGACCTGAGCTTCTAATTGTGTAAGTAGTTCTCCAGGATTGCGGTGGCGACAGGCGAGGCCCATCCTTGAATCCCCTATCATTCAGGATGTGCTTCATGCTCGTCCATCTGTGCAGCAGTATGCCCAACCACGGCATGATCGATGCCAGGGCCGATGCTAGATTCCATGATCCTACTGCCGTCCACCGACATGCGGGCGACAGCCGAACGTCGCAAAGAGGCGTTGTAGGGTGGGGGCGGCTTGGCTTCGTCTTTAGTGTCGACGATAGATGTGGTCTGGCTCGCAGGGAGTTTCCACGTAGTGCCTGCCACTGCCTCTAGAATGCGGTTGATGTTTGTTGGACAGTGTCGGTGGTCGACGGACAGCGTAGGATGCGAAATCATCTTTCCACTGTTGCGCATCCACTTTGCTCCTTCGGTTCACTTCCGTAGTTTGTCCGTCCTGAAACTGTCTCGGTGATAGCCTCCTCTCTTTGCTTTTGAAGGCGATCCTGACGCTCGTCGGAACGGCGATTTCTCCGTGGCCGATGGTATGTGCCATAAAGGGCACCTTCCACATTTCAGCTGATGTGTGAAATTGCGTCTCCCATGATCTAGCTACGCAGTAAATGTGTACGGTGATCATGGAGACGACGAGGTAGGTGCATAAACTCCGGATTCCCTGCCACCAGACCTTCCGTAAATGGCATCAGAACACCTGTTGCCGCTGACGCCGGACATGATGATCAGTGTTTTCTTCAGGTGATGCATCTCCGGTTGGTGCGTCTATTGGGTTGGTCCAGCAAACCGATTTGCTCGGCGTAACAGAAGACTGATACCGGCAGGAACCAGGGCACGAAGATGAAGTTAGTTCGTGAGGAGGTGCATTATAACGGTCTGGCACGTATTGTTTCCAGTCCTTGAACCCCGGTGAGGATCCGGGTTGCAGGTGACTTGTTCCTTCAGCATGTATGCCTCTACAATAGGCAGATAGTAGAACTCTCGTAGATTCCACGAGGCTAGCGCATTTACGGATGACGCTGCGCCTCTTGCCCATGCGTCCAGTCGTGGTTCGCGGTATGTAGGTATGTGTACCTAGGAACGCATGACTTTAGCTTGTTCATCAGCCGAGAAACATGAATTCCTATATATGTGGAGCAAGCGACGTCCTTGGCAAATTAACCTGATCGACGTACGGTATTTTTTGTACCCCAGATATCTACTATAGGTAGAATACCGGTATATAGTGAATCGGGATGCTCAGCTGTGGGGAAAAAGTAGCCTTGCTGGGGAATCGATTGACGGGCTTATCTGGAATACTTTAGGTGCCATACGTACCCTAGACTCCTAGTAGAGCAGCATATGTGCTGTAGTTAGCTACGGGGCGGGGAAGCTTGTCGAGAGTCGAGAGTCGAGACGTGGTGGATGGACAGACCAATAAACATGTGAACAAACACTTCCCCGCGAGGATCGGACCCACTTTCTCTGGGCATGCAGGGGCTCGGCAGTGCGAACCAGGTTTCGGATGCTGCAATGCTCAGCACTAGTAATCCGACGCGCCGCTTGTCTCAGGCCGATATCTCACGTGGCTTGGGGGCTGTGATGTTTGAGAAGCCAGCTGCGTCCCGCCAGTGCTGTTGCCGACTTGCCATTGGATGGCTTTTCTCTCCTTGCGCCCAATCCGCCCGGCGTGTAGATGGCTTGCAGGGAGTACATTATATAAACGTCCAGACCTCTGTGGTTCCTCACTGACCTCTCGGTCGACTACCGAGCGACGCGCTGTGCTGGAATTCGCCACTTTCAGTCGACGTCGTGCAGGATCCTGGAAGCAAATTCCGGATGGAGATAGTTCATTCATCGCAGCAGGTAGGTACCAGTATTCTCTTCGATCATGCCATCCGCTGGTACCTGCCTAGTCAAGCCACGAAGAAAGTCCAACCCAACGTCGACCGGCGAGGAAGCATCGACGCGATGATCGATATTCCGTGTAGGTATCCATTCAACTGACGTTTTCGCGCTCGAAATCTCATCCTGCCGCTGGTCAGGAAAAGTATCATAACGGCTGGATGTGAGACACACTTGAACTCCCTGCATCAAGTCAGCATCTGCATTACTGATTGTTGCCCGCACTCGAATTCGCATGTATGCATAGTCATGCCATCACAATACCGGTATGCGCTTGCCGTGAGAGCTACTGAGGTGGAGCCCGGATATGAACCGGCAGCTGGAACCTCAGTCCGATTTTCTGCACTCAATGCGGCCCCGAGAGAACCGCCCCGCTGCGCCCCCCCTACATATGTGAAAGATCCGATGAAGGGTACAAGAGCTTTCATCGGGTGGGCTGGAAATGATCCACGGGTTCGTCATGCTGAAGGGTCGGTGGAGGGAAGAGAAGCGATATGCCGCCCTCAGCCCGCGTTCCCGCAGCGACTCCGTCCGAAGCTGCCTTCCTGTGTATTGGCCGGGTTAAGCGAGCCATGTTCGTATGTAGTCGGTATTGAACCACACGAGGCCCGTTGCAAGTATATGTATAACCAGAAGGTGCATAGGAGGTGCATAGGATGGCCCCTGGAAAACCGATATCCGACTCAAATCCTTTAAGCGAAAATTCTTCAGGACATCCTAAGCCGCATTATCGAGCTCATCTGGAGCTAACCTGCGTGTCACACCTCATGGCCACAGTCGCCGGTCGCCTCCAAGTCGATGACGCCGATTCCCCGAGGAGTGGTATCTATACTTGTTAGCTTGAATTTCTTGTGTAATCTCGCAACTGTAATGACGAACGAGGCGTAATTCCCGGGACTCCTCCTCTCAAGGTCGGATGGTGGGTGGCTCCATGGCGTTTAGGACAGAAGGGCGGTGGGTGATGTGAGAATGAGATGTGAGGTGTTGCTAACGTAGAGCGGATTTTCCGAGCGGATTCTCAACACTGTATTCCTATTTGGGTATCCGAGCTGTACAAGCTTAGTTCGGACCAGCCTTACAACAACCGCAACAACTCATTCCTTCCGACCTCTCGAGTCTCGACAAACAACGCGAGACTCGCTCATCATTTTCAACACCTCATCCCTCGAAGCATCGGGAGTCGCTCTTCTTAGGGTGGACTTGTTCCCAGAGCCATCCGATACGCCATGTCTCTGCCCCTTCCATCCCGAAGAACGCGGTCCTGCTCGTCGAAAATTTTGCGTCTACCTTCCTCCATTACTCTTTTCTTTCCCATCACGATAGCCTCGTGTGAATCGCCACGGCCAGGCGACACCGCCGATACCTATTGCCAATGGTATGTACCTCCGGACTCGGCAGGGATGTTACTCCGACGTTACAATAAACCACTGACCGCCGCTTTCAATGACTTCCGCGGCCGAGCAAAGGTCTAGGAAGCTATTAGTTTTGTCGATCCCGCCGTGCGCCATCTAATTCGCATTCTCCCAGAAACAAACAGATGTACTACATGCTTCTCCACTCACTGTGCCGCCCAATTTCTCGTGCCACCGGAACACGGTCCCGGCATCCAGAATGGATTTTTCTGGAGCATCGTCAGCGGACGCACCCACGCACCCAGGCACGCACACACGCAACCAGTGCGGCGAATGGTTTCTATATTTGAACGACTGCTTGGACGCACAGCTGCTTGCCGTGTCGTGCCTCCAGAGATAGGTAGGTACACTGTCTCTTCGATGTTGATCTATTATTGATAATCTATTCTAAAAGTACATAGGGAGCTTTTTACTTCCGGAGCGATCTGAGATACTACTGGCGCCACGCTCAAGTGTTCCTGCCCATTGCTCTTTGAGAAAGAGGGCCGAATCGCGACCGAGGAACACGCACAAGGCGTAGTCGTGGTTTTCTGGATTCTGGTTCCAGACCATGCTAACTACCAGGCATATAGCTACCTGGTCAACTAACTACCTAGTCCTAGCGGATGTTCCGGAGAATCGCCGATTTTACTTAGAACCATTCCAGCCCTGTCGAGGTCCAAGCATTTTCAAAAACGACATCCTCCAATCTGCCAGTGAACGAATGAGCAAGAACAGAAGAGTACGTTCAAGACTCCCAACTGAAAAGTTGCAGATACCTAGTAACGCGCTTGTCGGATATCGAAAAACAGCCCATGGATGCATTCCCGAAATCGACTGTGATTGCGAATTCAACATTGGTCCAAGACTGGAAATAGTGCTTGAGATCGACAGAGTGGCGGATTAGTTACCACTCTAGAAATCTATATGACTTCAAAAGTGGCTGGACTCTACATACGTCAGTCCTCTAGAGGGAAGCAGTTTCATGGACAGAGCCTGTGATATACATCGGAACCTTAAAAGTTCCCTCAGTACGGCGTCAACGGCAGCCATTCCTGCCACAACACAACATGCCACGTCATAACCCCACATCTCGGCGCTCGGCGAAAAGGATGTGAATCGACGATGTGTATTCCCAATAGGTATGTACAGCCACAAGGCAGTAGTACGTAGGCAAGATCCTTGTGTATGTAGGTACTTGGAAGTTGGAGCCCCGGCGGGAAAGCACGACTCCGAGATAGAGGAGGGAGCCGCAAGGCACCGGTGACGGGGTTAGTTCACTATCCCCGGAAGACATTTCGGATCCATCTCGAGACCGGACCTCCGTGGCTCCGCCAGAGCTAGGCATTCGAGCATCCTGGTTCAGCGGGGTAGGTGTGAGGTTGAAACAGGGCACACCCGGGAGATGGACGCGACATCCGCGGACTCCCGCTGCCGCCGGAAGCTAAGGCAATGCGTTGAAGTATTTAGGTATCCCGCCGTCGAGTTATTCCCAATATCGGTCGACGGGCCGATGTAAAAGTTGGCAGTAGGGTAGATTTCAGGGTGCTCGCGAGGCCTTTCGAAAGAGGACGAGGAGGAGAACGGGAATGGCAACGGGGAGACGTGGGGGCTGACGATTTCGATCAATCCTCCTCGCGATGTTTCTGGGCAGAAGATAATGGATTAACAGGAGCCAAGATCGAAAGAGATCAGATTAGGTGGTCATTAGATAGAGTACCGGTACCGTGACTCTGCGATCGATATGGTTTCACCGATATAATAATTGTTCCCGCGTGTATGCATGGACCCGAGAGTGTGCATATCAACAGCCTTCCTGAAGAAACCCTCTCACGGAGCTATCGGTTGATGGCGCAACCTGCCTTGACCACGGATCTCCAGCAAAACCAACCCAAACGCCAAGTCGGGATTCTCGGGGGCGGCTGAAAGAGGAGACAAGTCCCGAACCGGTCGGCGCGCCGGCAAGTCCCGGTAGATACATACTCTAGATGGTTAACCAACTAGCGCTCCGCACACACCTACCATAAACGAACATCTATATAGAATTTAGAAAGTCTCCGGATTCGCCAGCTTGACGCAGGTAGTTGATCATCCGCCGTCCATCTGCCGCGATTGTATGCAGGCAGAGGCGCTGACCAGGTGCTTTATTACTAGTAGATAGTTGTGGTCCAAAGTAGAGTTCGGATCCCTGAAGAATTACCTATCTACTGCAGTGGTCAGCCAAGTACATATCATAGGGCCTACCTGGTTAACTACCGGGATGTACGGACGAGAGTCGAGACCGGAACTTGCGCACTGTGGAAAGTGGTGATATGTACCTATGATAGTAGGTACACGATCGAAAAAATCAAACTGTTGAGCCCTGGGTAGAATGTCCCCTTCGAAACAATGAGCGAGGCCTTCGGAGCTCTCGGCCAGTCCTGTGGCCATCCGTCGGAGTCCGTATCTGGCACGGCCGTCGCGTTTGGCTTTGGCTTGGGTTGAAACATCTTTCCGAGGAACTTTCGTCGTTTCGGAAGGAAGAATAGAGTTATTAGTAGATATTCCAACGGTCGTACTACATACCTAGTCCTGGGGTTATCATAGGATTGGCGATCCTAAGGTTTTGTTTCATAATTCTGCACCTGGCCGCGCGCCGCCTGACAATTTGAAGTACATACAGATTCTGTTCCCTGTTCACTACAAAGCTGCCTCGATGGTTCGCCTGAGGGGACACTGTGATTCTCACTATCCCCCAGCGTAGGTGGGATCATAAATGATATAAAATTAAGGACAAAAGAAAAGCTCTGAGCACTGGTAGTATTTTGTCTTGTTAAAACGAGGCACTGCTCCACTCGACTTGAACGTCCAATATTGCACGACACTCTACGCTATGTAATAAGTATGATAACGTTTTTCAGCATGAGGGCGAGGGCTTGGGTCATAAGCATGCTATCAAATGAGTGCCCACGCTGAGGCAGCAGCTCAAACATTCAGTCAAAAAGAAATGCCAGATTTTGGCACCATGGCCTTTCGTGATCCGCCTTCTCGCCGACCATCATTCACCGACAAAAACTCGGATTCTCCATCCCACAGTACCGTATACGCAACTTTCGCAGTCCACTCTGCAGTGCCGAGTACCGTGATGAAAGACCCGCAAAAACTCACAAAACACAGCGTCACGCAGGAGCTGAGGATGGCGGTCGTCCGGAGCACGAGGAGGGTAACAGCGCATGCCACCGCCGGGACTTCGAGGGCGCCACGCAAAACTGTTTGGAGGAACGTCGAGATGGAGTACTACTACAGTGGTCGTCCATCAGCCAGGATGAGGGTCGGTAGATGGGATGTGAGCAGTCTTAGGATAGTTAGGTAGGAGCAGGTGCCAATAGATAGAAAGTCATTGGTGGCCTCTTCGTATCTGGTAGAAGACTCTCCAGCCTGCCGCTTACCCTTCATCTTGATAGTGAACCGTGAGTTCGACTGATCTCGAAGTTGGTCGTTTGCTGACCGCGATAGCCACGAGTGACGAGTCACGACTCCTCCCGGGTCCGACGGAGATTCGGCGAATGTTTGAGCCACGCCGACACCGGAGTCTGAAGCACCCATTTCGAACCCTGTTCCTGTTGTATGATGTGTATTTCCCCTACCTATCAAGCGCTCCTTGCGTACGTATAGGCTACCCAGCTCAACGACACTAACGATAAGCTATGTACTTACATACCTAGATGAACGGTCTCTGTCAGGACATCAGTCAATTCGGTCATAGCCCCGCAATCGACATCCTCTCTCCCTCGCCGGCTCCAAGTTTTAAATAAAACAGGAAGATCTGAAGATCTCTCTCTCTCTCTCTCTAAAGCGAGAAATCCAAATAAATCGAAGTCCTCTCTCCCTTACAGCTGGACATCCCGTATTTCTCCGTCGTGAATGCGTCCTTTCGCCCTGGTGAATATGAGGATTGTCCTGGAGTTCCATGATTCTTCCGTAAGCAAAAATGACAAACAAAGGCACATGCACAGCCAGGACGCAACGTACCACGTCGACATCACCATCGACGCTGAAGCCGGCCTTGATGGCGATCTCCGAACAGATGCATATGAGGAAGTACAGCAAGAGAATTCCGACGAGAATCACGGCCACCTTAGTTGCGGACATGTCTAGCGGGAGCGACTCCATGTGACGCTGAGGACGTAGTGGTGTGCTTGAGCTTTGAGAAGTAGATGGAGGGTGAGGGGAGGGGTTATGTAGTGATCTGAGCAGTGGATCTGTAGGTGCTGGAAGTTGCGCGTTACATCGGCCTTGACCTCGTCCTTGATAACCGTGACCCTGAGTTTGATGTCTTTCCCCCTCTTTGTTACCCGCAACCGGCACTCTCTCCCTCGGCTCCCCTCGGCGTCTGGGACCCTTCTGACGATGAACATCTAACAGCTACTTAAATAATACATACCATCGGATTATGGAATATTCTACGGTCCACCAGCCGGCGTTCCCACTGAGGGACGGCTCGGCAGATTCACAGCGAGGGAGCCGTCACAGTCTATGAGTACACTTATGCGTTACATGGCAAGTAAAAGATGAAACGGAAAAAAAGTAAATTTAGGAAAATCACGCATATGGTGCGCACAAAAAAAAATCCACCCCCTCTCCCCACCAGCCAACAACTACCCCACCCTCTAGTTGTTGCGCCGGACACGCTTGGCGGCCCTCTGCGCCTCCCCCTCACACATCTCCTCGCCCCCGTCACGCTCGTTTCTACGAGCGGACTGCACGGCCTTGGTGCGCGCTTGGATGGCCTCGTTCTTCACCGCAGCCTCCCGGGCCCTCTGCATCATCCTCTTCTCCTTGGAGAGAGTCTGGATGCAGTGCCGCCTCAGTCTCTTCATATACGCGTCTGGAGATTTCAGGACCCAGAAGACGAGCTCCCTAGCTGCTAGGGCGTCGTCGACCATGTCCTTCCACTTCTCATTGACGTGTACATGAAGGAGCGAGGCGGCAAGGGCCCGGAGGTTATGCTTCTGGTGTTCCACCTTCGGGATGAGGATGCCAACGTCGATGACTCGACGGTGCGTCAGTCGAAGAGCATCTAGGTTGGCCTTCATATCCTCGCCAATCAGGACCGTGGTCTGGTCGATGTAGCTGCAGAGGAGGTCGCGAGCCTCCTCCCATCCCTCGAGGTTCTCGCCGTAGCTGTCCGCCTGAACCATCTTGCTCTTGGTGACGCCAGTTTTTCCGGTCCTCCAGCGTAGGATTGGCGCGGTAGGAGACACGAGCATATTGATCAGCACTTCCGCGGTGTGGAAGTCGATCACGATAAACTTGATCAACTCGGGGCGGCCGAACCCAGCAATTCCGGTACAACATTTGATCACCACTGCTCGCTTTGTCTCCAACCCTTTCGGATGGACGGCAAGAGTCGGCTGGTAGGTGAAGTCGGTTTTCAGGTCCTCGAGACTCTCCAGATCGTGATTATAATGAATCGTGCATCCAGCCAACAATTTGCCCTTCTTGGCATGACAGCAGCTGTAAACGCGAATCATCTTTCTGGCGCGTGGATCCCACAACTTGATAACCTGCCCGGGATGAGTCCGACATTGGGATATGTTCGAGGTCCGAAGGCAGACATTACACCTCTGCATTCCCCTGAGCTTCTCCTCCGAGGGAGACACCAGGGTGAACTTGTATTGACGAAGCTCATTTGGCGCCATTATAATTTCGGTGAGAATATCCTGATGAGCGTCATGGAGGTACTCGGGTGCGATAGTCCATGATCTTCCACCGACATAGATGGATTGCCAAAAGGTGTTGAGCTTGCGAACCTTGTCGACGATGGCAACAAAGGGAGATCTCTCGACAAGAGCTTCAACACCATCTGCTTGAATACCGGCCACAGAATTGGAGGGGTGCGAGGGCCGACCAGGAAGCTGAACGTTGCGACGGTGACTGCCGCGCTCTTGCACAAAATTGATGCGTTTCTGGCCCTTCAGCTGGCTGTTGGAATGGTGCTTGGATGCGTCGTAAATCACCACTTGCGTGTTGACGTCCGAATCGAGAGCCTGTGGAGCCTGGAATTTCGCAGACACCTGCTGAAAAATACCCGACGGCACCTCCGCGAAAGCAGATTTTCTGACTGCATTGAAATCGAAAATACCCTTCGAAGGCTGCTTGGTATCTGAACAACCGAAGTGGAAAATCGAGCCATGCGTATCACTGAGTCCTATCTTTCCGAAAAGCATGTCGATATCGGGTTTGGTACTCTTCTGAGAGATACCCATCGTCTGAATGCTGGACAAGAGTCCCGAGGTGGGGTCGTCAGAGCACAGACCGGGGGCAGAAATCGCCGAAGTCGAAGCCGCGGAGGCAGAGGTCGGAGGAATATTCTGAAAACCATCGGGGATTGAAGCCAACTGAGGATCGGCAGCCTGGGGAATCGTCTGCAAAGAATTAGTAAGGTAACAAAAAAAAAAGAGCGGGTGGTGAACTTGCCTGAGAGTCGGTAGCAGCAGGTTTCATCTGCGAACTCGAAGCACCGCCGGTCTGAATATCGGAAGCAGTAGTAGTGCCCGGAGAACCAGCAGTCTATAAACAATGGGAAGTTAGTAAAAGAAGCAAATAGCAAATCGCGAGTTGAATTTACCTGAAGAACGGCTGTCGGCGAAGTCATTTGCGAAAGAGAAGCAGAGACACACGGATGCAGTACAGCAGTCGCATCAACTGTAGAGCCTGAAGTCTTGGCGGATGAATTCATCGGAGACGTCAAAGCCCCGGCAGATGAAATCGTCGAAGAAGTCGAAGTGATATTGACAGCATCGTCTGCAGAGTCCGAAGTCCCGGCGGATAAAGTCATCGGAGAACTTGAAGTGATGTTGACAGCATCGTCTGCAGGAGTGCTCGACAGAAGGGACTCGATGGAAGGACTCAAAAGAGTAGAGTTAAATGTGGACGAAGACGGTGAAGACATCGCGGACGTAGAAGTCAGGGAATACGCTGGAGAATTGATAGCGGAAGTATCACCAGTGATTGGAGTGGGTGAAGAGGAGATAGAGAGGGAGGGGTCCAGCTTTGTCGGTGAGTGTAGGGGTAGTATGAATGTTGTGTCGTAGACTAGTTGTGTCGAAGAAGAGTTGTGTCGAAGAAGAGTTGTGGAGACAGTTGAGCAAGGCTTTCTGTGATGACAAGGAGGAAGGAAGAAGAAAGAAGGGTGGAGAAGCGGAGGAGGTTTATAAGGGAGGACGGGAGTTCCAAGCATCGTCGTTTGCCAACAAGCTAGGGCTAAAGGGGAGCGGGTGATGTTTAGGGCCGCTTTCCACAACTATTACCACCTGTACATTGGCGTTTCAAGTTCCAGCTGAACCGCAAGTTCCCTATGCAGCAGCGGTATGTAACGTAACCTCGATACACATCCTCTCCATATATTTGTTAGCCAGCCGTGGGCGATGTATCAGCTTCTTGATTATCTTGAATGATTCTCTTGCGTGCAACGTATCCAGATCATGCCTTTTTTTGTTTAATCATTGGTTAGAAAAACTGGATCATGGCACCTCGGATCTACCCAAGAAAAAAACGTTGACGAGTGAGACACCATGACCCATGCGCCGTGCTAAGGCTTTGGTCAGCTGTGCGACAGCACCCTTACGAAAGATGTCAAGTCACCGATGAGTTGGAGATGCTGCAATATACTCGGGAGCAACTGCACCGCGTGGTATGCAGACAACATCGCCATGTGTTTTCACAAAATTGCATGAACACATGTTACTTCCTCAGTCAGCAAACCGGCTTGATGTTGACAAGTGATTCGCCCCCAGCTTGAAATACGATGCAAGAAACATTGTGATCTGTTTATATAGAAACTCTAAAACACGCCAAAACTTGAATATCACAATGCGTGGGTCGAAGCATCATGTATGACGTCCATTTTGAATACAACTGCAAGACGACCGCACCTCTCTCCTTTCACAATCACTGCAGCACAACCATCCTAGCGATCCTACACCAACCACCAGCTCTCAGCAAATATGTCCCGCCGAACTCTTACCGAAGCTGAGCAGCAGTATTTACTCAGGAGACTCATCCGCGCAAACAGCAAAAACTCGGATTTCAAGCTGCGTCCCCCTGCGAAGATGCTCGCCGCGATGGAGGCGGAGGCTGCCAACAGCACTGAGGCGGAGGACGAGACCAAACGCGGCAGCTCCTCCGGAACCTCGACTGCGTCGAGCGTTCCTCCCGATCCGAAGAGCCCTCCTGCTCAACAGCAGCAGATGCAGAAGTCCAAGAGCCCCGCGGCTGGCAGCCCTGAAGAGGAACAGCACTCTATTTCATCGACTGGCATCGACTCATCCAAGCTACCTGAGCTTTCACAAGTCTACAGTAGCGAAGATCTGGAGAGGTGGAAGGCCGAGCTGCCAGTGTTCTCTTTTGATGGACCGATGCCGAGCTGGATGGAGGAAGCGTTGGCCCAAATGGGTCCCGCTGGTGAAGCGTATGCATGAATACTCGAGGAAGGCCGCAAATGATATCAAGCTGATGCTGGGACAGGATGGCGGAGAAGATGAAGTCCAATGCTACCGGTGGTCCCAGTGGTTCTGATGGAGCGAGATAAAGTATGCGGGAGGTTGTGGTTCTCGGAACGGGGGATTGCTGACAGTGTGAAGGTGCTTCGGCGGTCCGCTTAACCGATACGGTTTGATGCTGCGTTGCGTTCCTTTTCTTTCAGTTCATGGTCACTACTTTCGTAGGTATCATATGCTACACCTGGGGCGTTTCTGTGATAATTGTCTTCGGTTCTTCTTTAATTTCTGTTGTCCGTCTGCGAGTATGTAACACATGGGTTATCACCTGCGGCGTATCCATCGTACTGCCTCCGTTCTACCTTCGTTTTGCATAACGTATACCCAAATCAGATAGAGACAATCATCTTATTCTCGCATTCGGCCTTACTAGACTATGTCAACCACAAGCATGCCCCAACCAAGTTGGTGCCAACTGAAGTAGCTAGGCAGATCCGAGTGAGATATACAGTACCAGGTAAAATAGAAAGGTCCGTGCACGTGATCACCGCGATCTCGTACACTTTCTCTCACTCAACCCTTCATCCAAATTACCTCGACCCCGCGACGTCTTGAATGTGTGTGTACTAGTGCCCGCACCACCACCAATTCTCTCGCCTTTCTTCTCTGTCTTGGAAACAACAACCACCATTCATCTCCCTTAAACAAACTTCGTCAATCGAGCTCACGAACAACTATCGCAATCCTCCTCTAAACGACTGACAATCATGAACAGTACTACTCTCTCATGGTTCTTTCCAGCGAATGAATCTAATCCCTTCTAGACTTCAACATGCCCGTCGTCGACCCCCTCACCGCGGCCGCCGGAACTACTCCGTTCGACTCCGTCACCCCGGTCGACCCAGTTGACTACGCCAAGAAGTTTCATTCCGACGAGATGTCCGAGAAGGCCATTGGACTCGTCGTCATGTTTGGCCTCTTTGGTGCGATCGGTCTGATCTATGCCGGCCTCCATTGGAGAAAGTTCTACAACTGTTGTCGCCGTCGTCAGTAGATTCAGGCCCTGCTTGCGATTCCGGTTCAATGTCTGAGCTGCATGGATTTGGGTCGCCGAGGCTAAGCTTCTTGAATACAACGACTGGGTTTATGGGAATTTTTCTGCTTTTTCTTCTTTTTTTTCTGCATTTGGTCTGTAATCGGTCTACAGGCGGCGCAGGCGGGAGGATGTAGCTGCTAAGGGGGTATGCTTATCCGTTTCGGGTCATAAGTGTGCTTGAAAATCTGTGTCATTATCATGGTTTAGCAGGTACTTCAAGATGGTGGGGAAATTCAAAGTGGTAGAGGTGTTGCGGGCAGGAGTTGCGTATGAGGAGAGAACTAAAGCCTTGCGAGCTGTGCTGATAATGCCGATTTGCTACTAGGTGTAGAGAGAGAGATCTTCAGTTTATTTCGCATGCAGACCATCTAGACTATGGCGAACTGTTGCACTCATTTCCTGCCCACTCCGGCCGGCCGGCTACTAGATGTGGTGCAGCTATCTTCGACCCCAAGACGCTGAGTATGGCGTCGATAACAGCGCTCCACCGCGGAGCGAGAAGTCGTAAACGGCGACACAAACGACGAAATCAAATATGACTCCAGTGAAACTGCAGTACACCCACCTGCCAACCCTAAGGGTGTCCAATCGTGATGCATGTTGTGTGAGCACGATCTTAAGGGAACGGCAGTCGACCAAGAAGTGGCAGCAACCATCTCGGCATCACCTCTACACCTCAACCCCTTCTTCCTCCTTCTCCTCAAACGCCGCCATCTCTACGCCCCTTACTCCGCCCAATCCCCCCCCTCCACCCAACGACAACCTTCGCTTTCGATCCCCCTGATTAGCAAGGCGACGATCCCTCAACATGAAGGTCCATCTCAACCCGTGGAGGGACGGTATGTATCTCGCCATATTTCTTTCTCTTCGCAGCTAACACACATCAGCTCCGTTGCTCACCAAGATCCATATCCTCGGCTGTGTGATTATCATCTGTGCGAGTGTGGTCGGCAAGTACCAGCGCTTCAAGGTACGAATGCGCCACCCGTTCGCGCCGCGTACGTCGAACGGAAAGCGGAGGAGCGAGGGCGAGCTGTTTCAGGGAGAGGGCTGCTGCACGTGTGGGCACCCAGGAACGAGTTCGGGCGGCGAAAATGTGGACAAGCCAGAGGTTGTGGGGGGAGATCGCGAGGCGGGGGAGGCGGACGGTAGAAAGGCGGATGGTGGGATTCCCGCTGGCTTGTAATGAGTACCGTAGGTGCTGTGTTTGCCCCAGGATATCTAGGATCTGGATGGAAGAATCATGATGTACACTTAAACGAGTGACGTAGCCATGTTCGCAATGGGCTTTCTTTTGGTCCTCCCCCGTCGTACATACACGTTTTCTTCCTCTTTCTGTCAGAGCATACTTAAGTCGTTCGGCCTTTGATAACACGCTCACAGGAATCCGAACATGCCAATATCTGAAACCTATTTCGAAGATATCTATTCTCGCACTGATCCCCGAATCACCCAACCTACTGGCTGCCAGCGGCCAGTCCTACCACCTGACCTCGAGGTCTCTGCGGGAGTCGACTCCACTTAACAGGGATATGCATGAATCCAGGCCCGATCTACCCGGATACACCGACGATGCGTGCGTACGGCAAACCCTGTCGAGTAACCTCTCACATCAATGATGGAAGTAACGTCAAGACCTTACACTCATCTCATACGGCTCAGTCACCACGATGTGTTTATTCGACCTTATCACGAATCACCCCGTATCTCCTGCGCCATCGGCCGGCAACATCATCCCCATCACCGCAGCAATAACAAGTCAAAGAAGCGAACCTTAGAGGTAGGATTGGATCCTGTGTCGTTCATGCGATCGGACGAGTCACTGCTCTCGATTCTACTACCGTGGAATTCCAGATGAGGCCGCAATCGTCGCTCCTAGGACAATGGTGAGTTACATCAGTCATGTCTTTCCACCACGTTGCATACCCATAGTAACAGAAATCATACGCAAATCAGCATACTGCTACTTAACTGCGCCATACCAACCTTCGGTGGCATGTGTTTTCCCAACGAGTCGCATGCAATGACCGCGTTCCATATTCGGAATCAATTATACGGCGCGCAAATACCGCAACTTTACCACGAAACCTCGGTCATTCCACTGGTCCCGCTGGCCTCGGGGGTCGGCGGCTACATCAGAGCTGTACACAAATGCACCTCCGACGGGACCGATGTCCAAGAATCACCTGGCTGCCAGGCGTGCCACTTCAGCTGGACCGCCAGAATTGCGTTCTTCACATTGTCATTCCGATTGGGTAAGGTCCAATTACCTCAAACCACAACCTGCGACTAATAGCATATAAGCAGGAAATTTCAGCGCAGCCTCCGGATCCCAGGGAGCTCTGCATCAAACATCTTCGAGAAAAGGGGACTGGGAACTACAACGAAGAGGGCACATGGCATACGCAACTATTCGGCGGTTCTCGACGATTGCGAGAAGAAGGAACCCGACATGATCCAGTGCCGGGATACGTTTATTCCAACTTCAATGACTTGTTCCCTTCAGGGCAGTTCTTGTGGATGTATTACGAAACTCTATATGGATTGAAAGGATTGGATGAATGGATGGGCATGGTCGACTCCATTCGGGACTCTGAGATGGGGTCATTGTGCATCACTCTACCTAGAGTAAGCTTAACTCCAACACAACCGCCACCTATCCGTAATGCGGGCCAGTACCTCTAGTGGACGAAGGTGCACCTCTTCAAGTGTCGCCCCGAGGGGAAAAGCCAACAGAAGATCCTGTGCGCAGAGGTCCGGAAAGAGAGGGGGAGGGACAAGGATCGCTTCAGGATCGGTGACCTCTTCGCATACGAGGGGTGCAGCCAAGCTATCCTGAAGGTTCTCGTTACCACTGATGTGAGCAAGCGGATCCCGGAGGTCGCTGAGGAAGAGGCAGCAAGTAAGGTGCCCGGGTGGAAGCTCAGGGAGCGAGAATAGATGCAGACAGAGAAGAGACAAGAGGAGGAGGAAGAGGGCGCTGAGGTTGATGAGCTGGGGCCACTTCCGCTGCTCCTTCCTACACCCCCCTTCATGGCATCTCCCGATGAGCTAGACTCTGTTAAGGGACACCGAGCCTCTCCGCGGCTCCGCCGCGAGAATCAAGAGGCCAAAAATGCGAACGTGAAGAGTTTCGAGGATTCGGTGGCTCCGATTGGCGGGACAGAAACTCCTGTTCCGCAGAGCGTATGGACCCTGGGTATGGCGGTTCCAGCCACATCCTTCAACGTCCTGCCAGTGGCTCCCGCCGCCACCCCTGCTATGTAAGAACAGGGACCCAAGCGAAGGTGGCACCAGGTATCTAAGCGAAGAGCTAGCAGCTTTGCCGGCCACACTCAAAACGCCGGCCCCCGACTGTGATGCACACTAGAGGCACAACGGCTATAGGAATACCGCTGTCTCAGAGTAGCACAAGCACTAAGGGAAAGGTGGGTTTCCTAGGTGAAAGGCGTGAGGCGAGAAGAAGGGAATGATGCTGAAGGCAGAAGGGTAAACCGCCAAGGAGTCTAAGCAACACGGGCGAGCCGGCAGGGTCAAGAAAGCGGAGATCGTGGAGAGATGGAGGTTTCTATCTTTTGGTACACGCTGGAGGGGTTGTACGAGAGCTACATACCGGCTGGTGAGGGGGCCAGTATGAGGGAACATGGGGATAGCCCGACGCATGATCGGTCACAGAAACTATTTTTGCTTCTTTTGTATTTGAATACGCTCTTTATCTTTTGGCTGTCCAGGCGGAGGGTGGGGGATATGGGTCGTAGTCTCGAGTTAAATACCCATATAGCAGGTATGATGTAGGATATCCAGCATGCGTAGGCTATGATCTATATGGGGATTCATTATGATCAAACAAAAAAATGGTGGATACGGTAGAAATAGACCACCATCGCTTGGTGAGCACCGAGTGCCGGCGGGTAGAACCTTACTCTCCACTAACGAGTACTCTACCTCTCACCGTGTGGTTAATACACCTACCCGCCGAAACTTGCATGCACTCGATGCGCCCAGAGAAACAGGCGATTTTACCACGGTGTTGGGTATATCTCGTACGCTTGATGATCTCGGTATGTGTGTGTGCGTGTCGGACCACATGCAAGAAGAATGAGTGGGGGCGGGCAAAGACATATAAAGTTGGCCGCCATGCTGTCCCGGAGGTGGGTGAAGATGTGATGTCGGATTGATTGATATGCTTGTTCTTCTGACACGAACGACTCACTGCACTGTCCGAGACGGAATCATGCCTACTTCGGGGTTGAGAAGACTACCATGCCTAATGTCGAGGTAGGTATTCAAGCCAGCTCATCGCCAACCGATAAATACAGGAATTGGATAGCTAACATGGCATGCGATGTGATGTAGGTAGAGCAAGATCGGCTGGATATGCATCACGAGATCTTTTTGATGCTTCTGAATTGAGAACTTCATAAAGCGCCGATCAAGAGGCCACAGCGCGTGCTTGATGTCAGAACTGGTATGCAGCACTAGCTGTGAGGCGTTTGCTGGTTTGGGAGATGTTGGCTGAGTGAACGATGAATCAACAGGAACTGGGATTTGGGCGATTGATATGGCGGATACGTATCTCATGGCGGAAGTAATAGGCACGGACCTCAGGTGATGGTCATTCCAAAGTTCCTCCTTGGAGGACTGTATAGCTGACTAGAGCACAGTCCCATCCAACCTGGCTGGTGCGTTCCAATAGATAAGGTTCGGACAACGCGAGGTATCAACTGATGGCTTCCCCTCCAGGGTTCCACCCAACTGCCGCTTCCAAGTCGACGACGCGGAGGAGGAGTAAACCTTTGCAGAAAACACTTTCTACTTCATCTATAGCCGCAACCTTAACCAGGCGATCAGCGACTGGCCGAAGCTTTTGTTGGAGTTCTGCCGGTGTGCCGCACCTGGGGGATTTGTGGAGCTGACCGAGCTCGGCGGTGCAGCGTACTCCGACGACGGCAGCATGTCAACCGATAACCCGTGCGCGGTGTGTTTCGAGCTCGGCAGCAAAGCCATGACCATGATCGGGCGCGGCCCTCAAGATGCGGCTGGAGATCGCCGGCTTCGTCGACATCGCCACGTTCGCGTTCAAGCAGCCGCTGAGCCTCTGGCCGAAGTGTAAGAAGCTGAAGCAGGTGGGAGCCATGGCGCTGGTCAACTCCGAGACTGCGTTTCATGCGTACTGCCTCGCCGCGTTCACCTGTGTCTTGGACTTGGATAGGAACGAGGCCGATCGCATCTGCTGTAAAGGATACACGGTGGTTAAAAATAAGAACGTCCATGCCTATATACTGCTGTAAGTTATCTTTCCCGCAGATGTTGAGATTCGGAATACTAGGCATCCAGTTGACGATCTGTTCGTAAAGTCACGTTGCTTATGGCCGGAAACCCGGAGCTGACGATTGATATAAAACGTTTACCCAGCGATCGTTCATTTTACATTGCCACTGTTGCACAATTACTTCAGGTGGTGGTAGTTTTGATACAAAACGAGTGATGTCAAAAACGTAGCGGATGGAATTTCCAGATCGGGAACCAACGAGCGGTGCGAGTGACGGCACATGCCACTCAAGGGTCATGTCGGCAACAGTGATGGGTGTTCGGAAGGGCGGTCGATTGAGATTAGGGCAGTAGTAAAGCTCAGTACATAAAGGAAATAATCCACAGGATCAAACGGGTATTCACCATCGACCGAAACGAGCACTGGTCATCGTTCTCATCGTTTGAGCAGTAGAAGCCGTATCAAGAACAGTCACGCACAATCAATTTTTTACAGAGGCTATCAATAGCACCCTTACGATAAGATATTAGATTGAAGCTGTGTTCTGTCCTATCCAGCTCCTTCGTTCATTCATTTATAATCAAGACAGACCTTAGTGACTGTACAGCCATGTCACTAGACATATCACTATGGCACTGACGTTCAGCCACCATCTCCATCACCTATTAAGTGAACCGTCAGTAATAAAAACATACAGATTGACCTCCACCCCTCTACCTCTCCGACAAACACAATACCTACCCTCCACCTTCGACATCTCGGACCATCTTCAGACAAGCACGGCCCGGATCACCGCCACCGCGGGGATCGGGGATATAACCAGCGGCCACGAAGTCTTCATTACCAGCCCACCTCATGACCACATCCTCGTCGTCCGACTGCTGGCCATTCTCCGCGATATCCGCGTCGCCAAAGTCAATGACTGCGATTTGCCTATCGCGGCGGCGGACAAAATTCCTTCCGGCGAGGTCACGGTGGTAGATGCCAGCACGCAACAGGGCCTGGTCAGCGCGGATAGCGTCGTCGTCGTAGTCCCGAAGATCCTCCTGCAGCGTCGCACCTGGGATGTGCTCGAGAAGCACCACGTAGACGGGGCGGCCACTGGGGAGAATAGCTTCGAAGGAGCCGTAGAACCGCGGGACCGGGAGATGAGACGAGCGCCCGGTGATGTGCCGGTAGACGGATACCTCCCGCGTATACAGCGCCTGTGCGAAAATAATAGGGTGCGTCGAGACGATGTCGTCCGAACTGGAGAAAAATGGGTTGTAGATCTTCGCCGCGAGAAAGGTGTCCCTCCCCACGAAAGCCGTCCGCGCGCACTAGGAATACCTGCGACGGCCGTGGACCTAGAGAGCGGCGCGATGATCATGATGGAGCGGATGTGTGCGGGTGGCGGTGCGGTGGATTCTCCTACCAAGGCTAGGACACGCTGGCTGCTGCGTGCCATACTGCGTACCATACGTACATAACTAATGTATAGTACCAGCGGGAAGTTATTGGTCGGAATTCTACCTTGAGGTTAGCTAGTCTGCGGAGATCTGGGGCAGTGGGGCAGTGGGGCCTCCTGCTCACTCACTCACTCACGAGCCACTCACTCACTCTCGGGATTGGCAATTGTATGGCTGCCTACTCCGTATATTGCCATGATCTACATAGGTCGCAAGCAATTACTGATTAAACAAAAAACAAAGCTGCCTACTCCGTGTACCTCACTATCCACTGGCTTATGCAGCCTAAGCTAGTTATACATATGGAGTTCCTCAGAGAGTGATGTACAATACACACTACCGTAGTACCGGTAGCCCATTTTGATTTATTTTTTTCATTTTTATTTTTTTCATAGGCAGTTTTCATAGGTTATTGTAGCATAGGTAGGCATGGATATAATGACGGACGCCGGATTGAATGTTTGCGATGAATGGTGCATCGGATCGTATATTCTCGTCGGAGGAGGAGGAAGGTTATCGCGTGTAGAAGGCGTCGCAGCCGAAATAGCTGCGCCAGCTGTCGTCTACGTTTGTATATACCTCGCTCGGCAGCTCGGTCAAGAACCGATTCGATCGCGTTTATTGTGGACCATTGGTTCCAATACGTTGGTCGTGGTGTGGTGGGTGGCGGCCGGTCGGCATCGACGGGGGGTATGTAATGTCGAGATACTAGCAATATGACTCCGCTGATGTATCTATGTGGTATTCAAACTCTCGCGCAACTAGTTTCCTGAGCCTGTGTCGCCGGAGGTTCGGTCGTCAGACGCGCATTCGGCGCGTGTTGAGTAGCGACGCAGGCCGCACGACGGGTTTCGGTAAAAATCGCCGTGCTGTGATGATGACAGGGAAAAATAGCAGGATGCTGGCGGGTATACATAGCGAGGAAGGGTGGTGGATCCATGATCACCCGCAGGGGATGGAGGAAGTTTGGTGGGCGGGATAAGTGGGGTACATCTCTACATGGAACAAGCTCGATATCGTTTAAACTTTGCATGAATAGGTACTCTACCCAGGGTATATACCGGTACATAGTGTGCAGGGTAGACACTCCCCATCAGACGCGACGGATCAACGACAAGTGGAAACAAGCCCGCGACCCTATCTAGAATCAAGAATCGCCGATACGACACACCAAGAAAAACATCGACTATGGGGCCCTTGGAGATTCTGATGCCTATGTCTAGATTCAAGATTGATGAGTAGACCTGATGCACGAAGAGCAGAATGTCGGTGACGAAAAGATGAATTAAAGACAGTGACTACGATGAAGAAGTATAAAAAAAACCGATTCAAGACGATTCACACAGTCCCATTTCCCCGTAACTATCGTCGCGCCGGCAAGATGCGCGCCCACGTGCTAACCTTTCCGTGGGACCCCACTAAACGTAATTTTGCCGTATTGGTCCATCAAGGGGGTTTCGCCTTTCATGCAAGCGACCCTGTGCAGAGAAATGTCAGTCTCCGGATACGATGATATTATGTACTTGATGAAGGGGTCGGACCATCCTCTACCACCGCCGACATGCGTCGTATCGAAACCTCCAGACTTCCCCCACACCCGCTCCATCTCAACCCGATGCTTTCCCTTCGGCTTCTTCTCCTTGATGCGCAACTTCTCGAAGAATACATAAGCCGCATAAAACACCCTGCTGGTGTTCCCCGCATCCGCACCGTGCTTGCCACGGAAGTCATTCAGTTGTTTCGACTGCAGCTTCACTTCGATGGAACGAAACTGCGCCGCGAGAGTCTTCAAAAACGACGCCTGCGTAACCCCGGGTTTCCTGAGATGCGCCGAGATCTTCCGTCGAACCTCATCACAGCTGTCGTAGATTTGAACTGCATCCTCCTCCTCGCCCTCGAGATGCACATCCGAAACGTCGAAGATCGCCGCGTCCGTAGACTTCCGCTTCTTGGGCATGGCGATACCCTGCGCCTCGCGCTTCTTGAAGAACTTGTACGCCCCCGCCATCGTGTTGTTGCCCATGCCGTCCCAGCGTCCATGCTGCGCCATAAACCGCGCGTACGACCCGCTGCCCACTCCGATTGCGTCTTGGAACTCCTTAACCTTCATCTCCCCGGCTTCCAGGAAGGTGTTGATCTTGCGACGCACCTGGTTGCAGTCCCACTCGAAGACGAGGTCCTCGTCATCGTCGGAGATGGAGGAGTGCGCACGCTTCGAATCGTGAGCGGGCTGCGGTTGGGTGTTAGTTTTGGAGGCGGTGGCGACGTCGGCGACTGGTGGCTGCCCGCGGGATTCGGCTTCCTTGGTCAAAGCGGGAGATGTCTCCGTGGCAGCGTGGGGTTTCGCGAGGGGTTTGTAGGCGAATCCCTCGCCGATTATCTTAAGGTTTGGTGCAGCCATAGATCGGTACCTTATGTTGAATTGAATTGTCGCTTCGATGGTACCAGTAGAGGGAGATGAATTGCTGAGTAGATATCGGAGCTGGGAGAGAGTTGGCAGGACGATGAACAGCAATGGTCCCACACTAGACAACCAGCCTTCACGTATCCCTGATGTAATCAGTGCCCTAGTCGCGCTCTGGCCCCGTTTCAAGACGCGGATTTGCCGCGAGTACACGTGAATCATTGGCCGTGATGAAGCACAACCCCAGGCCTGTGCGCAGGCAGAAAAAGGAAGATAAAAGACACGGCTTGTTCTTGGCACAGTTGCCTCCTTTTCGAAGTATGTTCGCCATGTTCTTCGGCTTCGCAGTCCTTATTGGGGGGCTTACAGCTTGCTCCAGCTTTGGCCTTCCGCGCACCCACCAATTGATGGCCTCTGTCCCTTGATCCCTTGTGTAACACTCGTCTCCTCATTCCCTCACGCCCTCCGGTTTATCTGTTCCCCGCCTCCTCTCTCGCCCTTGCGCCGTCCGGTCCATTGGTTGTGCGAAGGAGACGAGGAATGACTTTGGCCCCCCCATCCCGTGACTTATGAGGCGCCGGCAAGCATCTCCGCCATTTTCGTTCGTCTTCTTACAGTACTCTTCTCTTCCGTATTCTTTCTAGGCATTTTCTTGTACTTCTACCGCTTTCTACATCCGCTGCTTAGACGGATGGTCATCCACGATCGTACCATCATCACTGTTCTACTTCGATACACCCAATATAAGCCAGATGGACAGCCCCGTATGAGTGGTTCGTCTCGAGCTACCGGTATCTACCGTATCTGACTGTCTCCACGAACCAACAGCAACCCCAATCCACCGTCCACACACTTCACTCGTTCCCGGAATGCCTTCTCCATTCTATTTCCCGCAAGTGTCGTGCCCAAACTACCCCGACCCAAACCGACAACTCGGCGGATTCGAAGATACGTTATCCAGTCGAGAACCCTATTTATTCTTCGACATATGGAAAATCCCCGCAATTTTCGTAGATAGCCTTTTAGGATAGGTGCACATGAGTTGTTCAGTCTGTATACAGTAATTTGGTGATGAGTTAAGATTCCCACACTCTTCCATTCCAGGACTAACATATTACCCGCTCCAACCCACCATGTCCACTGTGACATCACAACTACATGTCATCTAAATGCTTCAAGACCTACGAAATAATGTAAAAATGATTGCTTTCTCATGCAGATAAATGTTAGGTAACATTAACTGTACATGTCTGGACATTTTGCGGTAAATTTGTACTCTTGCCTTTACCGTGGTGAATCCAGTGGCACCTCCAACACCCCACTCGCTCAGGCAGATGCTTCGGTATATGTCCACAACCCAGCCTACAGCTAAGTATTCAATGGGGTAGTTGTAACTGAGGGCAGGAGTGTCATCGACGACAGAGAACATAATTTCTCTTGATGAATCAAAGGCTCGCATGTTATCGTTTTGCTGCTTTGGTGTTTTGGTGTGCAATGTTCCCATCAGAGCGGGTACTTTCTTCAAGTCATAAACTATCAATCGCTAGGTTAAAGGCATAACTGCGGTCCAGCGGCCGCTCTAGTGTTTGCTTCTGTTTTCGATGTTTGATACCCTTTTCCGCTCCACTGCATACTGGACTAGCACCCATCCTCCCAGCCCATCCAAATACGACCCCATCACTCCCTCTCCTCCTCCTTCTCTCCTCACCGACGTATCAGCTTTCCCTATCACAATCCTACTTCCCCCTCCCCCCTCCCCCCCACCCCCACTCCCCTCTCAGCCGAGATCCGTCGGAATCTACGCTCGCTACAACCGCAAAGATGGCAAGCAAAGCCAACGATTTCAACGATGACGACTTGGAAATTAAGATGGCGGATCCCGGAGGAAATCTGGTGGAGCATGTGGAGCGTCACATCACGTCGCATCTGAGCTTCAACCAACTGAAACTGTGCGATCACTCGCTCCGCTTTATCCTCGTGGTACCTCTCTGACCTTGCCCACAGTCCCAAAGCGATCGTCGATGGCCTGCTGCAGATGAATTACCGCGCGCCCTCGAAGATTCAGGCGATGGTGATTCCGCTGGTCACGAAAGATCCCCCCCAGAATTTGATCTGTCAGTCTCAGACCGGCACCGGAAAGACAGCGGCATACACTATTGCGATGCTTCAGCGCGTCGACATAAGTCTCATGGCGCCGCAGGCGTTGTGTATCGTTCCGACCCGAGAGCTTGCCCGGCAGGTGGTGGTCTATGTCAACACGGTTGCTCAGTTCATGCCGGATATCACGACTGAGCTCTGCGTTCCAAAGTCGAACGCCAGAGGCACCAAGATCGCCGCCCACATTGTCGTTGGAACGCCCGGTACAACCCAAAGCTGCCTCCGCCACAAGCAGCTCGATGCTTCTAAGCTCAAGATTTTCGTCCTGGACGAGGCGGACAACATGCTCGAAAGCTCGGGTGTGGCCGAAATGGTGATCCGGTCGTTAAAGTTCCTGCCTAACCGTATCCAAACAATGATGTTCAGCGCGACCTGGGCTCCAGAGCTTCTCACCTACGCCAAAACCTTATGTCCGAATCCACACACTATAACACTGCAGCGCCATGAGTTGACGATGAAGGGCATCAAGCAGATCTATATGGATTGCAAGGATGAGGAGGACAAGTACCGTGTATTGGTCATGCTCTACCACGTCATGACGGTTGCTTCGTCCATCATCTTTGTCAAGGTAACTTCACCATTCGTTGTCTCACCAAACTTGAAAGGTTGGCTAATTTCGGGCTAGAGACGTGACACAGCCGACCGTATTGCTCGCCGGATGGAAGCCGAAGGCCACAAGGTTGCAGTCCTACACGCAGGCCTCCACACTGTGACCGATCGTGATGAAATCATTGATAGCTTCCGTCACGGAAAGTGCAAGGTTTGTCGCATCACTCGATTGCAGAATTTCAACGTGATCACGGGCTAACAGGGAGTCCATCTAGGTCCTGGTCACCACCAATGTCCTGGCTCGCGGTATCGATGTCGCTACGACTTCGATGGTGATCAATTACGATCTCCCGCGCACGCTGATCGACGCTCCCGACCCAGTCACGTACCTCCACCGTATCGGCCGCACCGGACGTTTCGGACGCGATGGCATTTCCATCTCCTTCGTCCACGATGCTCGCAGCTGGCAGGAGCTCCAGGAGATTCAGAGCTACTTCGGCGTCAGCATCTCGTTGGTGCCTGCGGACGACGTCAACATTGTCGAGAACATGATCGAGAAGATCATGAAGAGCAACAACGAAATGCTCACGGCGCTGAGTGACATGAAGAAGAGCAGGCACGCGCCGAAGTCGAACGGATTCTGATCTGAACTTATTTCGTTCGTTTCGTTGGGCAATGACATGGGAGATCTAGCAGTTCGTAGGGCTTGTTCGGTTGCAATTTCCTGTGTAATAGTCGTACCTAGCGTCTGATTGAAAAATGAGAGATGGATGATGGCTGCCTACTTTTTTTTGATCGGTGAATTGTGCGAGTCCAATTGCTGCGACGATACCACCGTATAACCACAGCACCCAGCCCCCAAAAAGCCCACGTCGATTGTGAAGTAAGCAGAAACAGAACATGTCTCCGAAGGAGTAGCAGAGGTGAACGACTCGGCCTCGGGTACCAGCGGGGGAAACTTGTCAAATATACTGCGATCGATAGGAAGATGGGTAGGAAGATGTAACTGTTTTGTTGCTTGCTTGCTTGCTTGCTTCTTCTTCTACTCCGGGCCGGCGCCCTTCTATCTACCGGGTATACAGAATATGTCTACAATTGGGAGGGAGAAGACCCACCGCCGGCCGGCGAGACCAGACAGCACGACAAATCCACTCCTCCGGATACAGACTACAGTTCGCATGCCCGGGCCCTTGACTCCTCGACTCTTTCCTTCAGAGCAGTGCTCCTTGAAGCTTCCACCATCGCCTCGACTCTCACAGCGGACATGAGGAGAGATCCTTCATGTGCCCCCGGCCGGACGCCGTAATCTAACACAACTAATCACCCAAGGGTCAGATTGTGATTTTCACAAGATAACGTGCGAGTACATTGGTAAGTAGCTAAGAGCCTAAGACTAAGAGTTACCGCCACGATGGAAGAGAAACATTGAACCATTGAACCATTTTGTGGACCTAAAGTTGCAGATTTGATGCCGCGAACTTATATCAATTTCCTACAGCAGAACTACATAAGACAATGACAATGACATGATCAACGTGATCAGAAAAAAGATGAACAAATGTGAAGAGCAATTCCTAAAGCAGAAACAATACATCGATAAACTCATGATAAATGTGATCTCCATGAATATGAAGAGCAATTCTTAAAGCAGAACCAAGACAAAGAAAATGACATTATGAAAGTTATGAGGATGAAGATAAAAAAGTGAGATGCCGCAGCTGTCAAGAAAAGTGGTATCGCGAGATAGTGTATTGAGTATCAGACACGGCAGAAAGAAAGGTATATATACAGGAAGGCTCGGGGATGCCTCGGATAGAGGCCCCACGCCGCCGCTCGGCACCTCCGTGTGAGAACGGATAACGGAAGTGTCTCGACATAGCGAGTGATCGTTCATGACCCGTCCGCGGAAGTAACGCGGTACACGGAAGTTCGTGAGATTATGACAGCAGCGTCCGTTGGTAAGACGAGTGGCCAAGGGTGATTCCAAACCGAAAAGCGTACAAATGAAGTCCCTCTCTTTGGCCTGCGCTCTCGGAGAGCTCTTTCGGGCAGGGCATTCTCGATTCCAACAATCGGACCTCGACTCTTGCTCGGGGTTTCGGAGAGCGCCTGTTTGTATTCGGCCGATGCTCCCGGAGAGCTCTGGAGATGGAAGAAGGATAGGCCAAAAGTAGCCCGTGAGCCAATTGAAGGGGGCAAATGAAGGTGGATGTCACAGCCGATCATTGGTAATCGCTCCGGTATCTCGTATAGTACAGATGGCGTACGTTATTCAGGAGTGTCTGGCGGCTCTGGGTAAGTATATGGATAGAAAGATGAATAAAAATAGAAGAAAGATGGAGGGAGGCTCGAGACAAGAAAACAAATCGAAGAGTGAATGAGTTACCTTTTTCCTTTCCCTTCATATTGTGTCGCAGTCAGATGGTTTTCGCTGATGTCGATGGCTTCCGGGAAGGTAGAATTTTGGAGTGTAGGTGGTATGAGGGTTGGACTGCCGAGAGATCCACCGTCAAACATATTACTCACAGCCGATCATTGCTAATCGCTCCGATATCTCGAATAGTACAGACGGCGTGTATTGTTGAGTAGGATGTGATGACTCTGGGTGAGTTGATAGATAGAAGGATTGATGGAAGATGGAAGAAAGTATGAAGGTAGACGGATGAATGAACGAAAACGATGGATGTAGAAGGTTAGAGGAGAAAGAAGGAAATAACTGGTGGAGGAGATAACGGAGGACGGAGGAAGTAAAAGGGCGGAGGAGATAGCGGAGGACGGAGAAAATAAAGGGCGGAGGAGATGATGGATGGAGAAGGATTGCACAGCCGATGATTGCAGATCGCTCCGGTATCTCGTATAGTATAGACGGCGTGCGTCTTTGAGAAGGTTGTGACGACCCTGGGTGAGTTGATAGATGGATGGATGAAGAAAGATGGATACAGACGGATGGAGGTAGAAGGATGGAGGTAGAAGGATGGATGAAGGAGGATGGATGAAGAAGGATGGAGGGAGGATGGAGGAAGGATGAAGGAGGAAGAACGGAGGAAGGAAGGAAAGAGAGAAGGCTGTTACTAGGTCGCCGGGGCCCCAACCGGTCCAGATGACTATTACATGGTAAGGCCGCACAAGCCTAGCCTGGCTGGAAACACCCCGATCGTGTCCGTTTGAGCAGTGACCAGTTACGAGATAACATTGATGAGATTGTCGAATGAATCCCGCCATAGAATCAAGACCTCGAGTTGATTGGATGATGATGCAATTAAGGCAATCCACACGATCTCACTCGACGGTTGGATATTTACACCGTTCGAGATCCTCCGTGAGTTTGTACCGTCTTGTTTGGAGAAAAAACAGATTCAAATAGCAGATAAGACTGTGAGAACCTCAAGAATCTGATAGATACTTGCTGCAATCTTTCCATGGTTACTTCAATGTCACGATGGCGGTGGTGCGGAAGCACTCCTTCCCCCGAGTCATGGGTGACCTGGAACTTGTCCGTTCGCCGAGGTTACATACCGACACTGGACGAAGGTGTTATCTACACGTTACTTGACCAGTTGCACTCTGCTGTAGAATTCTATATCAGATGGGCATACTGTGTTCCAGGAAAGCCTTTTCAATCCCGAGGTCTTTAGAACAGTTGATGACGATGGCGATGATGATTTCTTGTTCTAGAGCTTCTGCAGATGTAGGAGCGAATAGGGCTAGGTACATGGGCAAGGCCTTGTGTATGCACATAAAATACTTAGAGTACAACAACCACACCATTTCACCTCCCTTCTTCTTTCCTGTGACCTGCGCCGATCCGGATGTCACATATCCAAGCCCGACGAAAGAAACACAATCACACTCGCACTATCTATCCTACCAGTCGAAGGAAATTCTCCATCCACATCTCGAAAACGAAACTTCTTAAGATACAGTTGCAAATCCCAAACCCCTATCCCACGCACCGATGCAGTAATACCAAGAGACCAGAAACATAACGGCATACCTAAACGCTACTTCATCTTATCGCAAATCACGACTTTCCCAACAATTTTCTCGTCAGATCATCTCTTCGTCTTCATCATTCTCATCTGGGGGACCGCCGCCCTCACTGGCTAGCTCCGTAGCGGTGGAGCCGACTGCGAATCCAACGGGAGTGCCGGGTGAACTCCCCTCCCAGCCCATCTCATCGCCTCCCGTCACACGCCCTTCCTCGTCAACCTCCTCGCAGAGCTCCATTAGACTCCTGCGGCTTAGTCGGCGAAACCCACGTGTGCGTACCACGCGACCCCAGGAGGTCAGCACAAAGGTGGCGGCTTTCCTTCTCAGCGCGTCTTCGCCGGCGACTCCCGCCCTCTCCCAGACCACGGCGGCAGATTCCACGTCTAGCTCGTTATAGAGTCGGTTTAGGCAGAGAGATCGCAGGCGTGTGATGTCATAGAGGTTAGCCATGACAAGCAGGCCTGCGACCACGGAGATATCTGGACAGAAGGGAGATCTCGCGATTGAGTCGGAATAGAGGTAGTACAAGAATGCTCTAACGACGGTATAGGGCTCCGGAAGGTACAGTCGACCGCGGTGGAACTCCCTCATCCTCGAGTTATAGAGGCTCTGGAAATGACGCCAGCGAGTGAGCAATATAAGTTTGTGAACGCGGATCGGTGGTCCCATAACATTTTCTGGAGGGAGGTCATCGTCCTCCCGTTGTTCCGCCGTCTGACCGGAGGCGTCAGGGCTGTTGATCATACTTCGTCCCCACATCCCTTCAACATCCCACTCGTCACCCTCGGCGGCCTCGTCCTTCATCGCACGGATGGTGAAGTCCCAACCCGAATCCTCGGTATCAAAAACTTTGGCCAAGTCCGAGCCGAGCATGCCGCCTGCAGGAGTATCGCCAGGTTCCTGTTCCAGATGGACGCCGAATTGGGTGAGATCGATGGGGAGGACGTCGGAAAGGTATTCCTCGCCATCTCCTATCTCATCATTATCCATGGGGCAACCCAAAAGATAAGCCGTCGCCGAGTTCGGTGAAATTGCGAGGTAATGCCATCGCCAGTTTGCGCCACCAAGCATGTCAATGCCATCGGCAATCTTCCGCCACGTCATGTCCTGGAGATTGAGAGCCGAAAGACCGGTCTCGGCGGTCCGAATGGAGTTGGCGTAGGTGACAAAGTCGAGCAGTGTGCTGCCGCAGATGTGATGGAAGTGGGTTCCATGAGCCTCGGAGGGAATGTGTTCGCTCAGGAGGAAGCGAACCGATGACGACGTTGCCGGAACGAGGTGCTGTTTTGGCGGTGGGGTGTTGCGGCGTTGGGCGTAAACAGGGCGAGGAGAGTTCGGACCGTATGAGCGGTGTGATCTGAGGACGCGACCTTGACCACTGGTAGCATCCGCCGTCACGCGCGCCTGTCGAGTTGCGTATCCCACCTGCTTGACATCTGTCCTTGCAAATACCGGATGGCTGAGATCCAGCGATATCAACTCTCCAGTCCTATCCATCTCCTTGCCCATACCGCCAAATATCCACAGCTTTCCGTTCCGCACCCATGCCTGGTGATCGAACCGCGCAACCCACCGCCAACTCCGACTCCATGTCATACTTTTGAGATCGAGGTAACAGATGTCATCGAGGACTTCTTGCGGGTTGAATTCGGTGTCCTCTGGGTCGAAATCGGCCTGCGCAACATGGTGGATTCCGCCCAGAACGAAGAGTTTGTCGTCATGTAGCACCACCGCATGCCTCGACCGGCCGCACGGAGGATAGCCGGACAGTACTGGCTGTGACCAGGTCGCCGTTGGGATATCGAAGATGTAGACATCCGACAAAAATACACGTTGCTCGTTTTCACCGCCGAAGATGATCAGTTTGTTCTCCTTCCAATACGTTGTGGTATGGCCTATAACCCGTCAGCTAGACACCCCAAGCCCATCTCGCCGCGGGGTACATACCCATTCGAACACTAGGAATGTCACCATAGTTGTCCACGAGGGTCCAGGTATACGTGTTGAGGTCTAGCTTTAACACGTGATTAAAGACTTCCCGGAGTCAGCCTTATACAGTTATAACCTCCCATTTTCCGAACCCCACCAAACATACCTTCGTCCGTATACTGATCGAATCCGCCGAACGCGTATATCGAGTCGTCGCCGCATACCGTCACCGAAGCATTAACGAGGCACGCTAACCTAACACCTAGACATCACCTCGTCAGCACCCACAAGCCCCAGCACCCATCAACGAAGCAAATCCCCCGGGCTAGACATACCAGCCGTACGATAAGCCACGGGCCGGTAACCCGCCGAACCTCCGACAGCTCCAGCTCCCCCGACGCCGCTTCCGCCACCGAGGGACTTTCTCCGCGCGTTCTTATCGGGCGGAGCCTGCATCGGCGTGCTGCTTGGTGTCTGGAACGAATTCGATGTTCCGCCCGAGGCAAAGATGCTGGCTAGGTGCGGTGGGTGCTGCTGGTTGTTGTGGACGGGAGTAGCGGGGGCTGGGGGCGAAAGCAGCGACATCGTGCGGCTCAAAAAAGCTTGTCGCCTGTCGGTCTTTTTCTACAGGCTAACGAAGTCGGGTGACGACCGAGTGCCGCTCGGTAGGAATCGCGGTACGACCAGTGAAGAGACGACGACACGACGCGATTCGAGAAGATGGTTGTTGGTAGGGAAAGCTCAGTGAGAGACTGAGAGGGACTTGCAAAGGGTAAAGGGAAACGCGACGGGTTGGAGGAGTGGAGGAGCGATTGGGGACTTTGGAGAACAAAGAAACAAAGAAACAAGGAAGCGTCACACTAAAGCAGCAATATCGAAAAGAATGGCGGTTTGTGGCGGGTGTGAACGACCGAGATGAATGGGGGTTCGGGTATTAGGGTCGATGCAGATGTGAAGGAGTCTCTAGGAAGGATGGTGGAAAGGGACGGTAACACGCAGCTGCACTTCGACCTCCTGTTTTCCTTCAACGGCGCGCCCATGTGGCGACAGGATTTACGTCACGATCTATCAGCTCCTTACAGACTCCCTCAGCTCCCAAAGCACATTTCGCACATCGTGAACTGAGACAATTGCCCTTGGAACAAACATCGCTTGTTTGAGCTGGTTGGCAAAGGAGGCGGAGGGCGGGTGGCGGAGGGCGAATGGCGATCGGTCACGTGACGGTAAGCCTCAACACACTGGGCAATCACAGATTCTCATCCTTCCAAGCTGACCAACGCGACAGTGGATGATGATGGTATACAAGTCACCTACAAGGCGTATATTCCTTTACGCTTTCATCCACCAGTTGACGGCGATTTGACAATTGGTAGATCCAAGTGCATCCAAGAGTGAATTTCTCGGTCAGTTCTATGACAACGTGCGAGAAGTTCTAGATAATGAACGGCACGACTCTCACGTCACGTTTTATCCCCGCTTCACGTCCAGAAGGTTCATGTGTCAGAGCCACCATCCCACATCTACCCGAGACATTGCTTATTCCCGATGGCTGTGACTGCGAAGAACCATCAACTAGCGTCAGGAAGACCCACGGCACAGCTGAAACAGTCGTATGTATCATGACCCACACTCTTTGGAGATCCTCAGGTTATACGAGCAGCCGCTACCTACTTGATGTACGCATACCCAATTTCTGCAGCCTTTTCTCTGCCGTGGAACGGATACACGCCTTACCTACCTGTGTATCAGGTTATGTACTCCTATTCGTACCAGGCGGCACAAGTTGAACTCCTCGCGAATGGTCGCGGTGCTCAGGCTTTTCTCCGATCTGATATTTTCACCGGCTCGATACCTTCGAGAGATTGTCAATTACAAAGCTTCACGCCGCGTGAGGATAATGGATGCTCCCTCATGCCACTGCCTAGTTGCGAGTGCACGAAGGCGACGTGCTGCCGTCCGTGGGTGGGCGCGTACGTGCGCAAGTTCAAAGTTGCCGGATCGGATTGATCGAGCTGAGGAAAGATATCATTGCCAGTCTAGAAGCAGGGCGACAATGCACGATGCTACTCGCAAACCATGGCCCATTCCGTAGGTAGTCTGGCGGGGCATATTCGCCACACGACGCGATACCCCTCACCCCTCACCACCGACGTCCCTCCCTCCTCGACGACCGTCACGCCCCGGTCCCTCCCTCCTGCGCAGCAGCGTAGAAGCGACAGGCTACCCAAGTAAACCTTCGCGAGCTCGCGACTACTATATTCCGGGATGTTCTGCCGTTGCGTCCAGTCCAGTGCACGCCAACAGCCGCACTAGAGTACCTACGGTAGTTAGATCTCGCTAATGGCTGAGCACCCCCGGATCGGCCGGGTGTCGGCCGGCCGGCTGTAAGGTTACGGTGGGGTGGGGCCAAGATTTACCGAGCGTTGCCCGGGCCGAGCGCATCGCTTAGCGCGCTTGCCGAGATGTCGGGGAGGGAGGAGAGGGAGGAGAGGGTGGTTGCGGCGCCAATTTCGGCGACGAGGCGAGCGCGATGGACGTTGCTGGACGTTGCTCGGTCTCTATTAGATAAGAAGTACATACCGTACTTGACGAGCTGTCTGCCATCGGGACTTCGATAGTCTTTGATAGCAGCGCTGATACCTATCGTAGGAATTTTTGGGCATGGGAGCTGGGAATTGGCAGCTGGACCATCGGTATGCAAAGATACCACTACTATTCGAGAGCACCTACATACCATGTATTTGGGCCCGCGCTTAACCAGTCTACAGCCTTTCTAGATAGGCTGCGTGCGAAATAAACTGAAGATCTCTCTTTTTTACCAGTCTACAGCCTAAAGTCTAAATCTGCCAGCTATGCCAGTACCGGTACCGGTACTATATAATGCCTACGGATGGCAAGTTCCGACCCGTTCTACCTATTAGACGGATTCATGTAAGCGGTCGATTAACAATCAAGTCCGCCAAACGCCGAGAAAGGAAATGTTCCACACCCAGGAAGATATCACTCTGGATAGAATCTCTAGTAGCTAGGTACGCTAACATTGATTTATTGTTTACTGGCCAGGGAACTGACCAGCGGATCACTGGCCTTCACATCTTCTTGGCCCTTGGGCGGTTAAGCGTAAAAACTTTGTACCTACATAATGCAATGTAAAGCCGGCCAGCCTCGAATATTTTCAGCCTTCAGGTGAGGTGCATGGTAGAATACCTACCAGTAGTAGAAGTCGAGCCGGCGATGGATACGAATACGCAGCCATCACCATGCATGTACATACGTCCTTTATTAGTCAATTGAGATATCAGTACATGAGGTTTGGCTTCCGAGTATCAACGGCACTCGCAAGGGGTGCAATCGACTCCCGAGTCCTAGGTGGCAGCCAAACCCGAATCGACAACAAATATCCACTCATGCCGGATGCGAACAGTAACCGCCGACAACCATCAACCAACCAACCATCCATCCATCCATCTCTCTCACCGCTAACCCAGCAGACACAATCACGGAGCTCGTCTGCAGCACGGAAAGATCCCACAGTCTTCTTACCGCCTGCAGTCGCTCAAACCCAGCCTCTCCTCCGGAGTCCGAAACCAGTTACGGCCCCGACGGGCCCACCAGGAGTGCAGGAGTCCAGGACAGACAAGGACAGACAAGGACAGTGCGGCGATAACGATCATTGCACAGCACAGCACAGGCCCATCGTTCATCCACCGCCATCCACCGCCATCCACCGCCATGCTGGCTAGCTGAAGATTAGATCACCTACAGGCTATGTACCTACACACGTCCAGTCCGATTCGGTAAAGACCAGGAGTGCTGTGGGCCTGTGGACCTGCGGCCGCATACGTAAGTACGCTTTTCAAGCATACCAGGTAGGATGTAGGTAGGTGGGTAGGTAGTATCACCGGCCTTCCAGCCGGGGAAAATCCAGATTCCATGTAGGTAAGTACATCATACATGATATGAGTACGCACTCGCCGACGACCAATCACACAAATCACACCATTCCGACCATTCCAGAAGTGGTTTTGTTGCACTTTTCTACGTCGCCACCGCAGAGAATGCTGGAAGCTCCTGAGACCAATCACATTTTCTGAGTCCGAGGAGGAGGAGTAAGAACACTGCGAAATGTGGGGTAGTAAGTATCTGCTAGCCTGCCAACCTGCCAACTCAACCCAACCCAACCCAGCATTCTTGAACTCTTGAATCTCTCTAGTATCTACCAACTTTACCGGTATGAATCTATGTATCTACGTATCTATGTACTCGTAATATGTACTCGTAATATGGCACGCCTACTGCCGGACCCCCTGGTGACCTGGGGTGGCGGAGAAATCTTATTCCACACCCTCACCTCAGCTCTCCCGCCCCCAGGCCAGCTAGGTAGTAGGTACGGTACGTCTGCCGTCTGGACTCTGGAGATCTTGACCCAATGCTACAAAGCTGGCTGCTAGCTGCTAGATGCTAGATACTAGATGCTAGATGCTAGATGCTAGGTAGGTGATCAATCCTCAATCCATCAATCCATCCTTGGTGAAGCATAACGAAGAAAGAAGAAAACGGGATATGATGATATGTACCGGTATACCTGTACCCCACACGAGCATTCAAGTCTTGTCTGACCGTCTCGACCAGTGGATTGGTGTAAACTCTAGCACCGACGCTACTGCTACTACATGCATACGAGGTGCGGGAGGGAGGCGAGTGTGAACTGTGTACATTAGGAGGAGGAGGTGTACTCTTGCTGGTCAGAGGGGCTTCAGGCTTTCTCGGTTGCCGGGCGATCGTTGGTAGCCTGTGGTGAAAGGGCAAAGGGCAAGGGAAAGGGCAAATATTCCCCCGTAGTGGCCTCGTGATCGAAGGAAAGGATCTAGTCCCCCATTGCTCTCCCTAAGCGCAGATCATGCATCAAGCGGAAACGTTGGAGATGGTTGAAGGGATTGTGATTGTAGGATACTAGAACTTCAGGCTCGTACATACCCATAGTTACTATCCACCACAGCGATCTCTGTAAGCGGGTGTAGATTTCGAACGTATCCTATGATATATAGCCAGATCCTTCGACCAACTCCTCCCTCACCGTTTCCCACTCATTCCATATCACCGCCCATCACTCGGCAGTACCAAGATAGGCAAGCGCAGCCGAATGACTTAGCCAGGCCAGGCCAGGCGTCGTTGCCAGTGGTCACGGGTTAGGCGGTGGGTTACCAGACCGAACGTCTATTTACCGTCAACAGGATACCTGAATACATAAGTCCAGATACAGGTATGTACGGTACCTAAGCTTACGCGAAGTTCTTACAAGTTACAACGAAGAAACAAAAACCATCCAGGGTCTAGGTATTACAGTAGCACACACCTCTCCCACCCCCCGGTTACGGTGGTTATGGACCCCGGGCCGAAACTTACCGCGGTGTAACACGACCACACAACCACCACACAACCACAGCTTTGACGTGCGCATCTGCCATCTGCATCACCACCACCAAGATTGCGGTACCGAAGCTAGGGCCCAAGGGGGCCAGTGAAGAAGTGGGCTTAGATATATATCTGTGCCGCGCAAACTAAACCTCCCCCCACCCCACCCCCCACTACACCCCGCAGTTTTTTAATACTGCGGGGATGGTGCCGCCACAGTAAGACAGGCTTCCCCGGGATTCGGACCCCGTGGGGAAGATTAGGAAACCAATGGTGATGGGGCTGATGGCTTGGTTGAGCGAATGGCCAATAGAGCCCGGGAGGTTATGTACTGGTACTCCAGCTGTCTGAGATATGAAGCCAGGGCTCTCGCGCCACGGGCAACTGCCGCAGATACCGTACAGCAGCAGCAGGCAGCCTTGCATGTCTTGAAGCGAAGTGCGAAGTGCGAAGTGCGGTGGAAGGAAGTGCGCTTCCCTTGCGCGGCTGCATGACGCTCGTTGCCGCTGCTGGATCTCGATGCTGGAGCGCTGCGGTGATGCGTCCACTCCCGCAGCAGGTTACAGGACGTATGTTGGTCAGCTCGGGAGTGAAGCTCCATCTTCATTCCTCCGACCTCGACGGGGTGAGCTGGGATCACGAGATCACGAGGCCGGCGAGAAGGGGTCGATACCAATACCGGTGCATACATACGATCGTGCACGCGCGCCAGCCCAATGCCGGACTGCATACGATGTGGGGCCCGGCAGAACGGTGAGGAATAGGTCGTTCGAGATAGTGCCGCATACACAGCCATCCACCGCCACCTATAACACAGCCCGATATGTCACGATCGCTGTCTCGGGCGTACCCAAGGCATCTGCTCCATGTATGTACCTCCGCACGCACGTACTGCTGCTGCCCACAAGCGCCCGTTGTGTACATACCACGTTTTCTGCACTCGATACTTGAATGTTTCCGACAAGGATTGGCTCCTACTCGGCGTACCGACGTCGCGAGCAATGTGGGGTATAAAGTAGAGTAGGTCAGTATGTACCACTGATACCTGGATCCTCTAGGCGGAATGCGGAGGACCGTCGCATCTAGCCCGAACTGGGGGGGGGGTTCGAATGGTCGCAAAACAGGCAACTGCCTCCCACCGCCGAAAAAACCGACGTACCCACATGCCGAAAGTCGACGCCGCTGCTTGCGAATAACCGTGTCGCAGACAAGGATGGGCTGGAAACCCGTCTGCTCAGTGGTGGAGAATATCCACCGTCCGCCGTCGCCAATCCCTGGCGGTTGGCGGTTGGCTTGCTTGCTTCGCGCTGCGCTCTTCGCTCTTCGGTGCTGTGTTGCACTCTGGCTTTTACCCCATACTCGGCGATGCGTGATGGCGGCTTGCTAGCATGGGCCGCAGAGTAGCTACATGCCTCCCCAATCGCAGACGCTAGCGTCTGGGGCAGTAGTGCTTGATATTGCCCCTGCACCACCGAGTGAATTCAAAAATGCTTCGCAGTTAAAGATCCCCGCCGTCCCCCCCTTCAACGGGTTTGAACACTGCCCTCCCTCTGTGTCCTTATCGCCTTCTGTGTGGACCGCGGTTGGAACCTTGGACAAGACTCGACTCCAGTTACATACTCGACATCAACCCATAGTTAGGCCAGAATGTCGTCCGTCACCGATCACGAGAAAGCCACTGCTTCGGAGCTCGAAAAGACCCTCCCAGGCCAAAACACCCCTACCTCGTCCGGTGGACCCGGCGGCATCGATAATGAATGGACGGATGAGGAGGAGAAAACCCTGAGGAATAGGATGGACTGGTACATTGTGCCGCTCGTCACCGTTCTGTACTTGCTATGTTTCCTCGACAGGTGCGTTCCTTTCCTCCGGCTTGCAAGGCTAGTGCGTATAGTGGAAGAGTGTTGCCACTAACACCGTTGCAGAGCAAATGTCGGGAATGCTCGCATCCAGGGAATGCAGGAAGACCTGTGGCTCACGGGTTTCCGTTTCAACTGGGCTTTGACCATCTTCTACATTCCATACCTCCTGTATGTCTCATCCGGCAGCTGACCCACAAGAACTGCCCCCACCTCCCCCCACTCCTGGTTTCTGACATCCACAGTGTCGAAGTGCCAAGCAATATCCTCTTGAAATGGGTTGGAGCAAAGGTCTTCAGTAGGCACCCCCGGCAGCATTCCCCCGCCATCAGCAAAAGCTAACTCTCGGAAAAGTCCCTTTCCTTGTGTTTGCCTTCGGATTCTGCTCGCTATGCACCTCTTTCGTCCAGACGCACACGCATCTTTACATTGCCCGTGCATTCCTCGGGCTGTTCGAGGGAGGCACGATGCCCGGCATCGCCTTCTTCCTCAGCAACTTCTACCGCCGTGGAGAATTGATGTTCCGCATTGGAATCTTCATCTCGGCCAGTTCCATGTCCGGTGCCTTCGGAGGTCTGCTGGCTACGGGTTTAGCGTGAGTATCAAATCAAAAACAGAGCCTTCAAGAGCTCCCCCATGAGGGTATGTACTAACTACGTACGATACAGTCGAATCCCACAGTGGGGAATCAGCTCCACTCCCATCCACTCGTGGCGTAACATCTTCTTCTTCGAAGGACTCGCCACCATGGCGATCGCCGTCGTCTGCTACTTCTACATGTACACATCGCCCGAGACGTGCAACTTCCTGACACCCCGGCAAAAGTACATCGCGATGGAGCGGCTGCACCGCGATTCCCGCGAGAACGCTGCGGAGAAGACGCAGATGGTCCACGTCAAGCGCGGAATCTTCAACATCAACAACCTCCTCTGCGCGCTCGGCTTCTTCTTCAACAACGTATCGGTGCAATCGCTCGCTCTGTTCATGCCGACCATTCTCAAGGCACTTGGGTGGACCTCGACCAAGGCCCAGCTGCTCACCGTGCCTCCCTATGTCCTTGCCGCCGCTTGGTCCATCTTCGTCTCGTGGCTCAGCGACCGCTACAAGAAGCGCGGCATCTTCGCAATAGGCCACTCCATCTGTGCCATCGTCGGCTACGCAATCCTCATCTCCACCGATAAGGCGGGCGTTAAATACATGGCCGTCTTCTTCTGCGCGCTGGGCTGCTATCCGCTCGGCCCCATCTTCCTCTCCTGGGGAATCAACAGTACTATCCCCCCTTTTCCCTGCTCCCTCTCTCCCACACAGCTAACCAATTGCACAGACGCCGCCGGCCCCACGATCCGCGCCGTCTCCAGCGCCTACATCGTATCCATCGGCACATTCGGCGCGATCCTGGCGACATGGACCTACATCCCGTCGGATGCGCCAAACTACATCACAGGACACAGCATGAACCTTGGTGCGCAAGCGTGCGCGGCACTCATCGCACTCGTTGGCGTGTTCTACTGTCGCTGGGAGAACAACAAGCGCGCGCGCGGCGATCGTGACCAGAGGATCCAGGGGATGTCCGAGGTCGAGGCTAGGAAACTCGGCTATCGCCATCCAGAGTTTAGGTATATCGAGTAGACGGTTGGTGGATGGATGGATGGATGGATGGATGGGTTGCGCGTGTAACGAACGGCTGGCTGGGTGGTTATCTGTCTTTTTTTTCTTTTTCTTCCTGCTATATCGGATCCATGCATGTTCAGCGCGATACCTACGAGGATAATGAGATTGTCACGATATGAATGATCTTGTTGAATGAACCGGACCGGGAGAGCTCCGTGATGTGATGTGATGTGATGTGATGTGTACCCGTGACCGTATGGCAAAAACTGGTGAGATTCAGGCATCCTTCAGGATCCAAATTGGCAGGTCGAGTGATATTTGTTCGAAAATGGTCGGAGTCGGTATGGACATTGGAAACCCAGGGGATTCGAAACGGCGAGCGATTGAGCTGCGGGGCGGGGGTGCCTTCGCTTTAATACCTAACCCAACATGTCTCTTGGCCGAGAGACAAGGCGTGGGGCGGGGCCGACATGAGATCGCCATTATCCGTATCCAACTCTGTATGTAGAGCATGTGTCTGTTAGCTGTCACCATGCACAACATCGAGAGCGAGCATTCAGCCCTGCAATTGCCCAAGCCCCCGGGATAACTACATATCTGCACCAACCCCCACAGGCCACAGGCCACGCCTCACTATCCCGGGGCCCAATCGCCAATCGCCGTGCGTATCTCACCCCGGCTGCCTACAGGCGACGGTTACACGAACGTAGGCCCACCACCGTTCGTACATCACCAACCCCATCCCACCACCTCAATGCCTCCCTCCCCACTCCCCACTCCACCACGATGCGCATCCGCCGCCTCCACCGCCTCCGCCACTCTTCCCCAACATCAACCCCAACAGCGGTAATAATCCTCGTCCCCTCCTCACCACGGCAGATCCTTCTGGCCTCATCCCCGTTGCACCCACAGTCGGGCGCGCACAACCCACTGTTCTGCGCGTCGAACCGCTTGTTCCTCGCCACAAGGCGCGGGCTGGAAAGTTGCGCGCTCGGGGCTGTGCCCATGCTCGCCGAGCTCGCTGCGCCCGATATGCTCGCTGCGCTCGCGAGGATGGAGCGGGTAGTGGCGATAGAGCGGGTAGCGGTGCTGCAAGGGCACGCGTTCCGCCCGCTGCTGCAGTTCATGAAGGACGCCCGGCGGAGGATCAGAGGTAGGCCGTGGGGGAGCTGGGGGAGCTGGGGGAGCTGGCGCGGGTGGGATGCGGCTGTGGTGGGGGAGCTGGGGAGGTGGCCGCAGGTTGGGGGTGCTGGAGCTGGTGGGGATGCTGGGGATGCGGAGGATAATGAGGCGTTCGAGGTCTGGCATGCCACTCTCAATGTCGATATTCGCCAGCTGTGCGGTACCACCTTCGGGAATAAGACTGTCATAACCGTACTCCCCCTCTCCCCCACCCCCCACCCCCCACCCCCGCTCCACACCCCGCACACTAACAGCGTATGGAATGTAGGAAGAAGGCACGCTCCAGTTTCGCTGGACGATACGGGAGTCGCCGTTTACGTCGATGGACGGGCCGGATGTGGAGCGGCACACGGACGATGTTTTCCACGGCGACTGGGAGGTCGACTTTGTGCAGCGAGGGGGCCCGTCTGTCACCAGGGATGAGGGCGATGACGCCTGGTTCGAGCATATGGGAGATAGGAGAAGGTCCGAGGATAGTGGGTGTTGCGTGGGGGATTAATACGGAGAGCTATGTCGAGGGTAAGCTGGAATGTGGAGGGGGGAGTGTGATGTGCGCTTTTGCTTTCGGCGGGTTTTCCTCACCAAATCTTTATTGAAATTTGGAGCAGGTGCTGGGTTCGTGTTTTCCTCCTATCATACTGATCTGCACGACAGTGCAGTATCGCGAATCTGTCACATATCCTTCCGTATTGTTTTCATCATGCTTTATTGGCGGCGATTTGTTTGTTTCATCGTGGAGCCTTTGGCCGAACTACCTAGATCATGGCATAATACATATTCTGAACTATATCCTGTCCTATCTGTCCGCCGTTCGGACGAGAGACTCATTAGCAGCGACCCACTTCCTCACAAGCAAAGCGAGAGATAACTACTCTAGCGTTTCGGAGGACAATTCACTTGCCGACCCCAATCCGAAAAGTCGATAATGGGTGACAACTTATGTCCGTGTAATTCGGGAATATCTCCGCCCAGGGGAGTCGGGGCCAACGAATGGACGGACGAGATGTATGTACAATCTGGCCTGGCAGGTAGAGCGGAAGCCCGGGAGCAGGGCAGAATGCAGTATCATCCTTTCAGCCGTTCGGCAGCGGCGGGAGCGATAACACCGGTAGGTACCGCTTCGGAATACTGCTTCGGAATACAGCTTCGGAATACAGCTCCGGAACCCAGCTTCGGAACACAGCTTCGAAGCTCGGGTGTGTCACTCACTGTCTCACACACGGCTGGGAAGGGTGATACTTGCCTTACTTGCCTTGCCATTTCCTTCCCGTTTTCTGTTTTCTGTTTCGTATGTACATACCTCATGAATCATGAATCATGGCCGAGCCCTCGGCTTTGACGCAGCTGCTATGCATTCTGCCGTCTTCGCCGTCGTCGCCGTGATCGTCCGGCCGTGATTGACCGGCTGGGAGAGTCTGGCCAGCAGAACAAACAGAGTCCAAACTCCGAGACTTCTCCCGAATCGGCGCTGGCCATGACGCTATGCAGTGTAGCGGAACATCACACATCTCCTTCATTACGTGTCACTCGTCGCGTTGGCGAGTGCGAGTAGAATCTGCTGTGTAAGCATCCCAAGCACGTACGGAAGTGATTCGGGGATGGGTGGATACTCTAACAATTCGAGACGGCTACGAATCTCTGCTTTGCTGTCCTGTCCTGGTAAAGTCCTTGAAGAACACGATGGCTGCCAATGCAAACGTTCTCTTGTACATACTTCTCCGGCGTCGGTTCTTCTCGTGCATCCAACTTGTAGAACATCCATCAATTGATTAATGTGTTGTGATGAGGCAGGTATCCATTTATATGTACTGTAATTCCAAACGATAGGCAAAAGAAACCCAAGGAGCAGCAAAGAAAGGCAAACTCACTCACTCACTCACTCACTCGCTCACTCACTCACTCACTAGTCACTGCTCCATGTCCCAGACGATCTCCCCAAATCTCCCCAAACCTCCCAAACCTCCAAACCAGAACCAGAAAACAGAAAAAACCTTGCAATACACCGCTCCCCCACGAGAACAGGCGTGAATTGTGTCCGCTAGACCCAGGTGGGCGGATTCTACTCTACCCACCCCGACAGCGGCGCAAAAGTTAAAGCAGTCATTTTTAAGGCACAGAGGAGCGTGATTGCGGACCAGCTTTGTATGAGTAGCAATAGGAAGTATGGAGCTTCTCCGTCATCGGTTTTCTTTTCGTTTGGTACGTTACGTGGTGATACTCGACGGTGTTGCAAGCAGCATGTATAATCACTCGCTCCCCCTGCTACATTGCGTGCAGATCTCAAGTTCTCAACCAGCCGAAGAAAAAACCTATTATGTATCGCCCTGTAGCCTCCAGATGCTGATTGCAAAAGCGCATGTTTGCCTGGAGACTAGATCCAAAAGCTTATGATATCGCTTCGAGCTCCATTGCAATTTTGCAATTTGAAAGCAAGGCGTTTGAGTCAGGATGTATGTACAGTACTTCTGCATGTATGATATGATAATATGCATACTCGGACCAATAGCAGCGTCGCAGTGACACACCCAGCTCTGGTATAATATAGGTACCGTACAAAGAAGTGTCCTCGAGCTCCATATATACCGGTAGTTCCTAGCAGCCCCCGAAATCCACGCCACAACCCCCGCCCCCCGCAAACCGCACGATGTCCACCCGCCCCACCCCCTCCACTTCCGATGGCACATACGCGCTCATCTCAAGCGCCTACACTTCACACATCTCGCAGCAATCTCCCTCCACCTCCCGCACCAACGACCTCGTAGCTCGTAGCTTCGGCTACACCGCCCTCTCCCTTTCCACTCTCCCGGGTACCTCAAACCTCGGCGTATCCTGTGGTAACCCCCTAGCACTCGCGCACCTGCAGCCTGGCGAGACGATCGTGGACCTCGGTTCCGGCGGGGGGCTGGACGTATTCCTCGCATCGCCGTTTGTTGGCGCCACGGGCCGCGCTATAGGTGTGGATATGACGCCCGCCATGGTTACGCTTGCACGCAGAAATGCGGAAAAGGGGGGGTACGGGAATGTCGAGTTTGTTCTGGCGAGGGTGACGGCTGTGCCCCTGGATAGTGGGTGCGCGGATGTGGTGGTTAGTAATTGTGTTATTAATCTTGTGCCGCAGGAGGAGAAAAAGAAGGTGTTTGAGGAGTGCTGGAGGTTGCTGAAGAGTGGAGGACGGCTGGCGGTGTCGGATTTGCTGGCGAGGGGGGAGTTGCCTGAGATGGTCAGGAGCGATGCGGCACTGCTGGTTGGATGCGTGGCGGGCGCGAGTAGGGTCGACGAGTATGAGGCGTGGTTGAGGGGGGTGGGGTTTAAAGGTGCGTGCGATGCCGCGAGGGAGGTGGGAGACTAATGAAGGCGCACAGATGTGGTGTTTGTCGATACGAAGAGTGACTTGAACGTCTACAAGGAGGGGATTCTCTCGCAAGATGCGGTTGATGTTGCGGATGCTGGGGCGGCGTGCTGTGCGGCGAAGCCGAAGCCGAAGCCGAAGCCGGAGTTGAAGGAGAATGGTAAGTTTCCCCTTCGTCTGTGTTGGTTTGCGATATTGACGGCGGTAAGGTTGCTGCGGAGCTGATGTTAGAGACACGGCCGAAACCCAGGGGGCCACGGGCAGTGCGTACCGCGAGAGGCTCGAGAAGCTCGATCTGAACGAGTATGTGGGGGCGTACCAGATCTATGCGATTAAACCATGACTTTTGATTCTTTAGTTTAGAGAGCCATTTCGTTATGTAAACAAACAATCCATCGATCGTACCAGCGCACCAACGCAAACATATCATATCAAACCAGAAGTGAGAAAAGAGAGAGAGAGAGAGACAGAGAGAGAGGGAGAGAGCTATATGATTATGTCATCGGCACGTCCACTATCAGTCGACATCCGCGGACCGACGAGCCTGAACCACCCACTGACGTCCACGTGAATGCCATCAGCCTGGCCGTGCACGAAGTCGTCCTGCCACGAGCCCTCAAACAGATCCTGTACCGGAGTTGTGGTCGTGAACCAGATCAACGCCTGATCGCGTGCGACGGCCCGTGATGCCCACATGTATTTCATATCGTGCGCCTGCCACCAGTTAGCGGGAAACCGATAAAACTGTATAAAAGGCCACTCACAAACTGAACGTCAACTCCCGCGCCGGCGATTTTCTGATCCACCACCGCAGCCACCTGAGGCGTGGTGACATCGGCACTCCAAACCTCGAACCACCCGCCATCCTCGACACTCCCCTTCTGCTCGCCCCACTCCTTCAGCACTTCGCAGCACCTGTCAACCCAGCTCTTCTCCCTCTTCGCCCACCTACTCTTCTTCTCCTTCCCCTTCCACGCGCCCCCACTGTTCTCCGTAATCTGATCTCTCGCACTCATGAACTGCGCCAGCAGCGGGCGCCACTTCTCCCTCGGCAGGGTCGCAACCAACGTTGGTTTCCCGACGACCTCGAAGCCGGAATGTGCGGCGGCGAGATTCCCAGACTCCAGGACGCCTGTGTCGGGGCGCAGATGGAACACCCGGTTCCCCTCGTGCATGAGGTGGTCCATGAGCTTGTCGACGACGACGGAGTTTTCGTTCGACGGGTCGGGGATCGAGATGTACGCTGGCGGGGGCGCGGACGCGGTCAAAAGGACGTGGTGTGTCGTCGCCCGCACCCCCCGCGACCGCCCCGTCCGCAGGATCAAGACGCACGCTATGCATGGGCAGCACAGAATCGCGACCGACAGGTCGATCGCGAATTGTCCGATACGTTTGCCCAGGCTGGGGCTGTGGTGCGTCGTCATCGTTCTGAGTGAGTTTCGTGGGCCCGGCGGTGGTGGTGGTGGTGGTGGTGGTGGTGGTGGTGGTGGTGAACGCTGCTGGTGGTGGTGGTGGTGGTTGCGTGTGCGGGTGGAGGGTTGAGGCTGGGGATGGCGAATGGGTGATGGTGCTGCTGGTGATGTGGGTATCTACCTACGGACGCTGCATGGTTGTGGATGGTGGTGGTTGGCTGGCCGACCAAGCGACCGATCGACCGGCCGACCTCGCCTCCAGAGTAAGCAGGCTTAGGACTGCGAGCGTTATGTTACATCAGTTGCGCCAGGCAGAAGTCGATGCTGCTGACGATGGAGAACGCATGCACATCAGACAGAAGTTATACTTTGCTAACTAACTATGCCATCCGCGCGCTCACTAAAGCCCGCCAGCCTGCATCCATCGTCGCGGGTAGCTATCGTGTTAGTTGGAATTAAAGTAGAGTGGCATCGATTTCCCCGAAGTACCGAAGTAGCTGTTCAGTTGCCTTTTAGGTTCAGCATTGCAAGGGTGCGGGGGAGAAGCGAATTCCGAGGCTTGGGTGCCAGCTGAAAGAACATAAGCTTTGCTGCTTCCGCTCTTTCTTTTTTTATTTTCTGACTTCGGAGCTTTGTTTCGACTTCATCACCACGGACAATGACGTCAAGAGATACCAACTCCATCTCGACTTTGATATTCCTCACCATTGTGGGGACAGGACGGACAATCCGGCGAGACCACCTCCAACGCTGAAAGCTCGTGCGAGAGACGGTCGATTCTCAGTACGGCAGCAATTGCGACTGTATGCCGGCCAGCAATTTCGAATCACGACGGTGAAGACGGACGGACGACTCTACTCTTATCGAAAAGCTGAGATCATAGGGCTGCCAGCTTTGGCCGGCACTCGTGTTCAAGAGAGAGTTCAACCGTGCTGTGGAGGTCGACACCTTTACCGGCCTAAACGCCAGGAAGCTTGTTGGAGATAGCTGACGACCTAAGGCAGTCGAGCCGGCACCAACAATTTATCCGGGGAACATTCGGGGGCTCCGATCTTCAGATCTTCCGGTTCAAGTTTGATTTCCTTAGCTTCCGTTGGCCCGATGTTAACTACCTATGCCGAACCTCGAACTGCCGAAGCGTGCTTGCTGTCGAAGAGTCTCGAGCTCACCGGCTCGAAGGGGGATGATTGCAGCCTGAATCGGTGGCAGTCCGGCTCGGAATCGAGGGTATGCATAGAGGGAAGACAACTGCACGAGCTGGGGGAGCCTTTCGCTACACACGCTTGCGCTGCCGAGATTCAAGAAACTGTCCGCTTCTGCAGGGAGATACATAGCCGTTTCACATTGCTTCTTCGCATTATCCGACGTCGAGACTCTTCGATCAAACTCATATCCAGACAAAGACGCACAAGCATCAGCCTATTCACGCCCTTGGGCCACACGGGAGGCCTGTGTCTCAGTGGGTTTGCCCGATTTTAGCACAGATTCTTCGGCGGGAGGCAGGCTTCTTTTAGCCGTGCTAGAAGCGACACGAGCTACATCACGGTTGATCTCTTCTACATGCGGATGATTCGATGAAGCTTTAAGGTATGTTCAAGCATCACCCACGTGCAGGATCGGCACTCAAGCCATACGGCGCGAGATGGATGCCACCCCGGAGAGCTCCATGGGGCGCGGCACTCCAGGGTATCTACACGGATAATGGAGGGTGGGGAGCAATCGAGCCATCCGGCCGACCGGGCCGAAGCGGCATCAGGCTTCATCAGCTCTGTACTGTAGCTTCGAAAAGCATATCTTTCGATGATACAAGAGCATCCGGCCGTCCGGGAGTGCCGTGTGAGGGCACTGGTGATGGGCAGAAGGCCAGGTTAAATTGATGTTCGGTGGGAAAGGCGGCATTGACGTTGCGTTTGTACGGCGTTCTCAGGCGGCACACAAGGTCTCCCCACACGTACGGTGCAGAGTAGCAAAAAGCGTGACGATGTCAATGCGGATTGAGTTTGCTGGTGAAACTACATATCAATCAGGTGGTACCTTGCTGTCGCGGGCCCCAACACAGCCTATTTGGCCGAGACGAGCCGCACGCGGATGAATACCGCTGACCGCTATGTAGCAGAACCGAACCACGCCATCACTCTACTCTATCACACATGGCAGATGAAGGCAATTGACGATTAATCTACGCGATACAGGTGTAGCCAGTCCGTCGGGAAGTCGAGCAGTCGAGATAGAGTAAACTGGCTTCTAGAGCTACATTGCGCGTCTGCGGTCATAGTGCTCATTACAGCGAAGCGCCAGCCATTCCGTGCTCATTCGAAACCGGCTGTGCGGCTCTGCCCGGCAGGCGGATTCCGGCCTCGGCGGCCACAGCAAAGTCACTGAGCCACAGCAGCCGCATGCGGTTAGCGGCGACTGCCCTCGGCCAGGCGAGGGGTTTCACCTCCAGCAAGCAGACGGTGCTCACACCACTCGTTCGAACTTCTCTCTCCTCCCCACACCGAACTCCGTCCTTCTGTTTCGCGACAACCAACACCTCGCCTCCACCTCCGTGACTCGACCCACCCCGTCACTCACCAAATAAAAAACACGCGGCCCGCAGCCCCACCATAACTGGGGCCGGACGTCATTGTACGGCCTGCTCTGCCTGCTCCGTCTGCTTTGCCTGCTCTGTCTGCCTGCCCACTGCCCACCTGCCCACCTGCCCACTGCTTGCCCACTTGCCCACTTGCCTTCCTTCTTGCTTGCTTGCGCTCGTTGGGTATGAGGAATTGATTAAATTGAATTGAGGCCTGAACTGGACGCCGAGACAAAATTGGCTCTCCTTCGTTCCTGGGGCTCTTTCTTTCTGGCGTTTTTTCTTTCTCGCCTCTCTGTCTGCCCGCGCTGCCTGTGCGTTTTTTATCTCAACAGTACCGTAGTAACACAATGAAATCAGGCAGATTAACCACCCGCTCGCCCGCTATACTCCGCATTCGTCTCCCGTGGCTGAAGACCTGTCGTACTCTACCGTACATACGGGCGGACAGCGGTCGGTTGCGATCGGCAGCGGCTTCGTGTTCCGACTTGACTTCCCGTTGATCCCGTGGTTGAGTGTCACCACTCGCATTTCTCGTTAGAGTCATCGTAGCATATCCCCCCCAGAGCATATCCGCGCCCGCCCTGGTGTCTCCCCCCCACCACCCCCGCGTGTCGCCTTACAACCCCGTCGGGCCCTGCCACACTATCCTGACACCAGGCTCGCACACCACGCACCTGTCACCCACGCACCTTGCCCGTTCCGAGTCAGACTGGACGAAACCCCACACAGAATCCTCGTCGCCCGCCGCCGCTGTCCCCCACCGTCACCCCGCTCCCGCCTTGGTAGCACCGTCTCCCCCGTGCTTGGATCGTCCTCACTCCGCAAAAGCGTAGCGTCGCCTCGCCCCCACCCCACCCCACCAAGAATTAGATTGACCCGTACGGTCCACGCTACACGTGCGCTCCAGCGACAATCCTGCATCTCGAAATCACTCGCAACGAAAAGCCTCCACACACACACGCATGCACGCCCGCATCACGCAGAACGCACAACGCACATCACGAACACTATACATAGTTCACTCCGACCCTGCGTGGCCACTGTAATATCAGGCCCATCATATCGCCCAAGTCGCGATCAACGTCTGCCCTCTCTATCTACGCCGTCGCGTACGCAGCCTTGCCGTCCTGAGACAATATCCTGGGCCCCATAGTGCAGACCTCTCTATATATCACCGATCAATTGTCCCATCTGAAGCGCACCGTCTTCATCTCAAACCCTGCGTGCCATCCGTCCGATCCCGCCGCCGCCCATCAACAATCTGGGGAGGCCAGCCGACGGATCACCTTCCACGTTCTTCCTGCTTCTACGAGAGCTATATCTTGCCAGCCGGCATATCGCATAGCTCATTGGCTTCTGGATCTACCGGCAGTGCGTGACGGAAATTCGGCTTACGTGGTGGTGCTGTTGCTGTTGCATGCTTGCTCCTTTCCCCCCGTTTCCTTTTTTGCGACTCGTCCATTCGCGCGGATAACGGGTATCCAGTCCACTGTGTGCCGGAACGTCCAGGGGCATAAAACGGCCCCCCTTCGATCCAGGAAACTTGCTCCCGATCTTCCGGCAACTGCCCAAGGATCTGCTCGCTACCAACGGAGAATTACTGCGTGCATCCATTCTCAAGTATACGACTACCACAACCACCACCACCGGCCCCTAACGGCGGCTTCGCTGAAGGTATTCGCCCCCCCCCCCCCCCCTCCCCCCAACCACCCCATGACGACAGTCTGGGTTTGATCCTCTGCGTCAGAACTACAGACCAGACAATCTTACCAAGTCATCGCTCGTTCGAGTGTAGTTAGTAGACGATCCGCTGACGCGCAGTGCCAGTACTTGCTGCACACTCTGCTTTCGATCGCCCTTACTCCGCGGCGTACGTCCGAATCGTGACAACGTGGACATTCAACTGCACAGTAAGCCCAGAGAGCTAGCTGCTGCACATCCTATCATCTGCTCGGAAACCCAACAGGTATCGCTCCCCTTTTCGGCGCAGGCGGTGGAGGTTCCATGCAAGGGATTCTAAAACGGAAACCTGTCTAAGCTCAGCACAGTGCACACATTTACCCGGGAGACTCGCACCGTACATACTTCTCCTCCATCACTCGACTTCTTTCTCCACCATCCTGCCCCCTTTCAGTTGGGTAAATTGGACACGCATCAGCGGGGCGATTTGAGGCAATAAACCGTGACCCTTGCTCCATCAAACCAGTCCGAATATTGGGGGTTCGATTCGGACGGCTGGACGCTTCTGCCGCTTGTGTCTCATCCTCCATCTCCGTTGTGGCTCGTGCAGTCATCTGACCTTCCGTAACGATTCCGCCGTGTTGTTCTGGTGGACGCACCCCACGCCGTGCAACCCCCCCACTCCGCTACCGGTCCTGTGCGACGGACGAGTGAGGGATTCCTGTTGGAAGACTATCTACGGATCATCGGAGCACCCAGCCCCAGTACGGTTCCCCTAGAGACTGTATCCTGGCACGGGAACATCAGGTTAACGAGTGTCAGTATTGATCGACATTATTGGATATTGCATTTTGCTCCAAAGTTCCGTGTGGCGACGACGGAAGAACGGTGCAGACACCCATCTGCGCTGACTGCCCTGCGCGAGCACCTTTGTGGCCGCACCGTGGCTGGCTGATTGGGTTTCCATAAGATCACTAGTCATCTCCGTAAGTTCCCGCTTTCGAACCTGTTTGCCCAGAGCAGCAACCATGGCCCTCACGATTCAGCAGCTTACAATGGTGCCTAGCACCACAGCCTCTCCTCCTTACAGATTTTACTGCGGCCGTACATCTTCAGCTATGAGCTCCCGAGCATCCGGGCAGGATAGCCCCGATCCCTATGGAACGTCGTTTGGCACCGCCTCCCTCTTACATTCTCCGACTTCGCCGGTGGGAAGAGGACATCCCGCTGGAGTATCCGAGTCTCAGGCTCCTGGCTCACAGAGGACTTCACCACATTCGATTACGACTCCATCCTCGAAGGCCACTCATATTTGTGACCAGTGTCAGAGAGCATTTTCTAGGGCGGAACATCTCGAACGTCACCAGACAACACACTTACCATCCACCGCCACCAAGTCCTTCGTCTGCTCGGCTTGCAGCAAAGGGTTCACCCGAAAGGACGTCCTAACCCGCCACATCCGCGCAGTTCACGAGACGAAGAAGTCCGAAGTCCGCAAGAGTCGAAGAAAAAGTTGTCGGCGATGTGCAGCATTCAAGATCAAGTGTACGGGAGGTGGGAAAGGCAAAGTGAGCGGAGAAAAGGCCGCGGAACCGTGCGAGGCCTGTCGGAAACGCGAGGTCGAATGCATTTTCGATTTCGGTGCTATGGTTGATAAGCAAGACGGCCTCGAAAATGAAAACGATAATGGAGAGGACCTGTTTGAATTCGGCTCTGATAACGATCGCTCTGACCCTGAAACCGGTAGCTCCGGATATAGTGTCAAGAGAAGGAAGACGGCACATTATAGCGGCCCTTCCGGTGCAGGTTCCTCCAGTACATCGTTTCTTTCCTCCGTATCGATCCAAACGTCCGCATCAGCCGTATCCCCACACCTGTTATCTGCAGCAAGACTGGCTTCGGTCCAGACCATCAAAGTCGAGCGACAGCAACCGGATTTATCACCACAACTCACCCCAGCGGGTGACTTACATCCGAATCTGGAGTTGTCCTCGGCGGACCATCTCCTATCCATGGCGACGTTCGCCAACAAGGGTATGCATGTGCCTAATCCAGCAGCCAGCGGGTTTTGGGAAACACCTTCCAGGACACCATCACGTCCCTCTCCAATGGGGCAAGGTTCCGGCCAGTCCGGATACTCGGGGGACCTGATGTCCCACCTCTACTTTCCTCCCATACGCAGTCCAGGAGCCCAGAGCCAGCGGCAGGAGTCTGGCAGCAGCGGCAAAGGCTGCAACAGTGGGATACTGAACCGGATTGCTGAAGAGGATTTGAACGCAGCGAACACGTTGCAGGGTATCAACCCCGCTCCTTCGCGCTCTGGTGCTGGCTCCCTCGCGATGTCTTATCCTGGCCATCTTGAGCCATGGAAGAATAGTATCGTTGATGACTCGAGTGTGCGAACAGGAGTCAACATCAGGCCGCTTGACATGGCAGGGGTGCTGAGGGGAAATTTCAACACCGATTACTCCAACGTCAACCACAATGGCTTCTCCAAATCGCCCATCTTTGGTGGCATATCACTCGCACCACTACATCAGACGAACAATTCGTCAACGACAGGCCAGAACGCGGCACAAGGCGGCAGTGGTGGCGGGAGCGGTGGTCCTGGCAGTAGCGGTGTTGACCATGGTGATTCCGGTGCGATGGATACAGGGATGGACCTACACGAGGAAGATAACTTCTACTTTGATTTTGGCATCTTTGACAACTCGACGGATTGGCTACGAGATTGGGGTCCCAACGATTCGATATCGCCAGAGTCCCAACCTGGCCTGGAAACCATTGAGCGACTCCCCGATTCCGCGTTCACACTGGGGATGACACCAGGAAATTGCAATGCAAGCAATGAGTCTGCTCCTGGAATCACACAGGCAATCAGCAGTACCCGAGATCAACCCCCAACTCCGCCACCCCCACCTTCGGCATCGACACCTTCTCCTTCTAGGGACAGCCCACCGAGATCTTCGGAAAACCCACCTCATCTGCAACAGCAGCCCGGTGAAGATGGTAGCAGTATGCACGTCCCGGGGTTGCCGGCCGTTTCGCCCATGAAGGACCATGCCAACACCACTGATTTTCTGCCGTGGGGTTGGCAGCACGGCATGAGGCAAGAGACGATTGCAAGTCGCAAGGTGACGCTGCCGCCGCTACGGCAAGTCCTCACGGACCGTCCTGGTGAACAGCTGCTCCAACACGGCGAGCAGCATCCCGGCTCCGAACCTGCCGCTGCCTCCACCGAAGAGGGACTCATTACGGATAAGATGAGGAGGGAAATGATTCACGTCCTCATGTTACCATCCGTCCAACCGCCTTATCCTGGATGTGATTCTTCCGAGCTTGAGAGGGCTTTCCCCAATAAAGACTTCATCGCCGCGTTCATCACGCTTTATTGGGAGCACTTCCACCCGATCCTTCCTGTCATCCACCGGCCAAGCTTCTGCATCGAGAGGAGTCCGAGTATCCTCCTGATTGCGATGGTCAGCATCGGTGCGAGTTACAGTAACTTGAAGAATGCGAAGTCCTTTGCAGATGGTCTGAGTGAGCTCTGTAAGAGATGTCTTGCATGGATGGTCTGTGCCCAAGTTTTGAAACTGCTTTATGGTGGTGCTGATACCCGTTATATCGCAGGCTGAGAATGATCCCGCATACGGAAGATCGCCGTTCTTCCTTACGTCCATGTGTCTGCAGAACCTCTACGCCATGGGCTCCGGATCGACGAGTCTCTACGACGCCGCCGATGTTTCTCGAAGCGTCATCATCGGCAACGCTCGTCGTATCGGTCTCTTCTCGGGAACGATAAACTCCACGCCCACGTCATCGTCGCCGTCGTCAACCCCGGGATCGCCCACCATTCGTCCTTCGAATGGTCGGTTCACGCCGAACAACGAGCGAACCCAGGCGCAAGACAGACTCAATGCCTCTTCGCTAGAGGCGCGATGGCGTGAATGGCGAGAAAAGGAGGGCATGAAGCGGCTGGCTTGGGGTATTTTCGAGTACGACAGCTCGTTCTCAACGCTCTCCAACCGACGAGGTGCAATAACTATTAGTGATATTACTATTGGTATCCCCTGTTCCGAGCTGCTATGGGAAGCACCCACTGCTACAGCATGGGAGGCGCTATTGGCACACGAACCGGATGTTCGCAAATTACTGTTCTACCGAACACTAAAGGGCATCATCTCTGGCGAGTTCGATGCGAAAATTCTGACTTCCTGGGGGAAGCGTCTTTGCGCCCAGGCGATGGGACGAATCATGTGGGATTTCAAGGAGCTGGAGGAGAGTGTGCTCTCTGTCAGCCCTATCGGTGCCGCATACTTCAAGCCGCATAAGGAGATATTGCTGCAGTGTATGATGCGTGTGTGCGAGAGCTCTACTCCACGAGCTGGCGAAGCTGAGGGAGATCGATATCACTGGATGTTTGTTTCCCGTTTCTATCTGGTCTCTAGGGAGTTCCGCTAACCTATATGTGCAGTCTTTCCAGATTAATAGCGCACTACACGCACCTGCACGCCGCCTTCCGCACGATCTCGACCATGCTCAATCTCGCGCGCAAGCCACCGCCACCAGGCGCCGAAACTAGCGATCCGAGGATAAAGCAGCTCAAGAAGAGCTTTGCGTCGGACCCGACGGGCGCACGCACGCTCGCCTGGCACGCCGCGCAGATCATTGCCCTCTCCCGTTGGAAACCGGTCTTCTCGCCGGTCGAGGGCATGCGACTGTTCCTTGCCGGCGTGGTGCTCTGGGGTTTCGCTCAGTACCATCGCTCGCGTGACGACTCTACCCCCTCGTCGTCCGCGGCGTCGTCTATGAAGTCGGGTGTCTACCCGCTACATGGACCTGAGGACTCGGTGCGATTAGATCTATTGCCGTGGAATATGCCGCCCGGTATGGTCAGGGCTTACCCTGAGGAGTGGATACGATATGGACGCGGAAGGGCTACGATTGGTGTCGAGGGCGATGGCGAAGATAAGATGATGGAGGTTTGTGGGCAGGACGGCGCGAAGGAGGTTCTGAGAGTCGTCGTGGGGATCCTGGGGAGTCTTAGGGTTTGGGGCCTCGGTGGTGAGTTTAAAAATGTGCTGGAGGAGTTGATGGCAAGGAAGTCGTAGTTGTGAGTGAGGGAGTTGTGAAGGGGGGTGGATAGATGGGGGATGAGTTAATGATTTTTCTTCTTTGTACTTATTATTTTATGCACGTATGGAACGGAAACGGAACGATAATGGGGATCTATGCATACGATATGTAAAGGCATTTGGTCACTGGTAACTGGTTTCATCTCTACAATGTTTCGTTTTTGCCTGTATGTATGTAAATACTACTGGAGGGATTATTCTTCTTCCCCATCGTTCTTCATTCCCCTGTCTTCTATCGCGAGTACATATCGTAGGTACATATGGTATGCATGCATATGGTATTCCCACTGTGGCGAGAACCGAAGTTCTCGAGTCTCGACAGGTCCCAAAACTACCCAAAACTAGAGAAACTACCGACGGAGATCATCCACCGCGCTACGGAGGGGTTTCGCCGAAGCTTGCAGCCAGCCAGTCACCAAGCATTTTGCAAGCTACAAAGTCTATCCAGAGTACCGGTACTAGCATACGATAGCATACCCCGCGGTGGTAATTAGGCTAAATGCGCCCAACGCGTAGTTGGCGGGGTTGTTGATGGGTTGCGGGAATAGGGAATATATGAGCTGGCTGTTTTCTGGCTGCTGGCTGCGACATGCATCGGCGGAGGATGAGATGCGGTGGAGGATGGGCTACGAAGGGGAATGGCAAACGGATAGTGTGGGTAAACTCAGAGATTGCGAGGTTGGGAGGTCGGTGATGGGTGCGATGGAGGGGCGATGGAGATTTATCCTAAGTGTTGTGCTATACTACCTACGGTGAGGAGGAGGAGGAGGTGGTGGTAGAGAGGGAGGAGGTGGAGGTGCGGGAGGAGGAGATTGTATAAGACCTCTACTCGGTCCCCTCCTCTGCCTGCCTGGTCATTCATCCATCAATATCTACACTCTATCGCTCCAGGCCATCGCACTTCTCCCCGCCCCTGCTCTACCGCACTTCACCCGCACCCCACCCACACCTCACACACAGACAGACACGATGAGCGCACCCACCGGCAAGGTACACACCCATCCCACTCCCACTGCACTCCCACTCCCACTCCCCACTCTCTGCAGCCAACTGACCCTCCCCCTTCCACAGAACCCCAGCTTCGTCCTGCAATCCGTCAAATCCGTCGCCTTTGAGGACCGGCCCGTCCCCTCGATCCAGAACCCGAACGACGTGTTGATCAAGATCGAAGTGACCGGAATCTGCGGCAGCGATGTGTGTATCCTCCCCCCACGCCTAGTGCGTGTCCATCGGCTAACTCGTCCAGGTGCACTACTGGCAACACGGCTCGATCGGCTCATTCATCCTCAAGGCGCCAATGGTTCTCGGCCACGAGTCCTCGGGCACGATCGTCGCCGTGGGGCCCTCCGTCACCTCACTCTCGATCGGCGACCGCGTCGCGCTCGAGCCCGGAATCCCGTGCCGGCACTGCGCCTTCTGCAAAGCGGGCACGTACAATCTCTGCGTGGACATGAAATTCGCGGCGACGCCGCCGTACGACGGGTCGCTGGCGAAGTACTACGTTCTCCCCTCCGACTTCTGCGTGAAGCTCCCCTCAAACGTGTCGTTCGAGGAGGGCGCGCTCGTCGAGCCCCTCAGCGTCGGTGTGCACGTGTGCAAGCTTGCGGACGTGCGGCCGGGCGAGAGCGTCGTCGTGTTTGGTGCCGGGCCGGTCGGGCTGCTGTGTGCGGCGGTCGCGAGGGCCTTCGGCGCCACGAAGGTTGTTGTGGTCGACATCGTACAGGCCAGACTCGACTTCGCGAAGGGGTACGCCGCCACCGGGGTGTTCAATGGAATGTTCTCCCGCGACCCGAAGGAGAATGCCAAGAAGATTAAAGAGGAGTTTGGATTGGGCTTCGGAGCCGATAAGGCGATTGATGCGAGTGGAGCCCCCGCTTGCATTCAGGCTGCGATCCACACGCTGAGGCATGGAGGCACGTTCGTACAGGCGGGCATGGGGCCCGCGGAAATCATGTTCCCGATCGTTGAGGTTGCGGCCAAGGAGGTCACTGTTAAGGGCAGCTTTAGGTACGCGACTGGAGACTATAAGCTCGCCGTTGAGTTGATCGCCGCCGGGAAGGTCGAGGTGCAGAGTCTGGTCACGGGCAGGTGGGCGTTTAAGGACGCGGAGAAGGCGTTTGAGGAGACGCTGGGCGGGAAGGGGATTAAGGTGCTCATCAAGGGACCGGAGTAGGACGGTGGTGCTGGTGACGGTGGTTGGAGGGGATAGGCGGCGTTATCATGTATCATGTCTTTTGTTTTCAATGTATCGTACTCTATGTATCGTATGCATCGTATGTGGTTCGTGTATTCCACGGGGATAGGATTCAAGCAGATGGTCTTGGGTTAATTTGAGAGCTGTCACCTACCGAGTCCTACGGTCCTAAATATGACTCTATGTACCCATCCAGCCATCCCGCCTAGAGTATCACATGGAAATTCCATCCCCCTCAATTCACTCGGTAAATAGGTGATCACCCTCCACAGGCCATCATCATTCCAGCGAACATTCCGATCGCCCGCCCGCAATCTCGCACGTCCACCATCATATCACCGATATGACACATTCGGTGGGCCCTACAAAAACAGTCTAGTCCCACTGTCCCGCCTGGTCCCCCGGACAGAGTGCACAGTCACTACGCACACCAAGCCACAACCGAGCGAATCAGGCACCACAGCTGCGCCGGGAAAGTCTGCCTTACTCTACCGCAAGCAAATCGTGTCATAGAGCTTGACTGCCGAGCTTGAGCTCAGCTCCGGTGGTACGGTGTCCTGACGGTGGCCTGGAGGAGGGGTTCGAACTTTGAATGAATGGATGAATGAGTGGTGCGAGGCGAGGCGGTGCTGCACCAGTGCACCAGTGACCGCTGGCCACTGCACCAGGACATCCATCCATACCCCCTCACATACGTACTCGTACCTCATCATACAGTACCACACCACCATACCACCACATTCTCTCCATCCATCCATCTATAGTAGTTACTCTCCTTTTTTTTGTAGAGTACATATACCCCGTGGCTGGCCGGTACAGAACGAGTTCAACGTCCCATCAGTGAGCCGCCGCGCCGCCGTCGAAACCGTCGAAACCGTCGAAACCGTCGAAACCGCCGAACCCGCCGAACCCGTGTCAGAGCTCAAGTCAGAGCCGAAATCGAAGAAGATGCAACAGAAACGGCCGTTGACGTCGACATCGACAACGACCACGTCATCGCGCTCGCCGCTGCAGCAGCTACTCCGGCGCGCGCGGAGCTCGAAGAAGAAGAACAACCACGGCGACGACAATATACTAGAGGAGGGCGAGGCCGGGGGGAAGGGCGAGGCCGGCGACTACGCGCCGCCCGAGTTCGCGGCTGCCGATGGCGAGCGAGATGAGCCCGTTGTGCCGGCGCCCGAGCAGCTCGTGGCTGGTACGCTGTCGGCTGCCGGGGCCGTTGCCGAGGAGGGTGAGGGGTGTGAAAACGTCCCCACGAACGCGCAGGCGGCCCTGCATCTGGGCCTGCTCGAGGTGTTCTGGAGGTACAAAGAGCAGTTTCTGCGACCTGGGGAAGAGATGAGGACCTTCTTTTCTGTGGCGATGGGCGGTGGGCGGGAAGGCGGGGGAGAGGTGGCGTGGGAGGATGCCCATGGCGTTGTGCTGTGGAAGGCGGTTGTGGAGATCGCCGTCGGAAGGTTTGAGGCCTGGTGGAAGGTGGTTGGTCGTGAGACCGAGGCGGCGAAGTGGGGGGAGCGACAGGGCGAGGGCGAGAGTGCGAAGTGCGTGCCGACGGATGGGCCGGGCAGGAAGGTCACGGAGTTGCCGGCGGAGATGCTGCCGCCTGTCGATGTCCTCATCGTTTGGCATAGCTTTCTGCTTAATCCCAGGTGTTATTACGACGATTGCTTTGCGCTGGGGATGCCCGGGATGTTGGCGGTGGCTTTTCCGTGGGAGGCTATTGTAGATTTTCTCCCCCCTGCGCATGGAGGACGGTGATGCTGACAGAAAGCAGAACAAAGCAGTCGATCTGAAGACGCTCGACTTCACGCTCTCTGCAGATGCAAAGGCTTTCTTCAAGGTGGCTACCTCTCAGGAAGTAGACTTGTTCGCCCAACTCAAGAAGGAATCGTTCTTCAAACCCCGTCTGCCCACGCTCGAGATCGTCTGTCCGAAATGCGAGCACGAGCACAAGCTTCCCATCACCTCGATCGATTCCACCGCAAATTCCTGGCACAACCCAAACCTGTCCCTCGCCTGCGCCTGCGGATTCGCCATTACCCATGACGCTCTCTGCGCTGAGCGACTACGGCAGGACTACCGGCAAGTCCTAGCAGGTGGCCCAGGCATCAGGGGGACCTTCTCACCGCCGTTCGAACGCGGCGACACAGTCAACACACAGATCAAGCAGCACTTCGCTGGCGCACCCCCAACCCTGCCCTCTTACCCCACTCTGATCACCCTTCTCTCCATCTTCCAGCACCCACAACAAGTGGCGCCCTTCTACCTCCCCACATCGCCGCAATCCTCGGCGTGCATATCCCTCTCCGCCGCCGTCATCCGGCAAGAAACGTTCGTGAACAAAATGCACCACTTCCTCTGGGTGCGCTCGCCGACGCTCTTCACAGGCACGCTCCCGCGCGCCAGAGAGAAATACACCAACTTCTTCCGGCTCTTCACCTTATTCCCGGGGGAAACAATGGTCCCCACACTGGACGTGGACGTGTTCTGGCACACGCACCAGTTGACGCCGGCACGGTACTACTACTTCTGCCTGCAACCATCAGCAGCCAGCAGATTCATCGACCACGACGACAAGCTCCCCACGGACGTGCTAGACAACGGGTTCGAGCGCACGGGGAACAGATATAGAGACTCTTTCGGCCTCGAGTATGGCGGCTGCTTCTGCTGGGCGTGCGAGATCGAGCGCGATGAGGCGCCCCAGGGCGGCTGGTGGAAGCGTGCAAGACGCGAGAAGAGGAGGCGCTGGGAGATGCGCGTGAAGGTTGCGTTTTGGAGGGAGGTGGAGCAGAGACGCGCAACTGGCGCGGAGCAGGTCGGCCTGAAGGGGCTGGAGAAAGTGCTGGAAGAGGGGCCGAAGAAGAGGAAGTAATGGTTTTATTTGGTCTATTGGTTTTTGTTTTTGTTTTTGGCGTACATGTACACTCGGCGGGGGGGAAGCTATATATTGCAAGATTTTTTCTTTTTTCTTTTTCTTTCTGTTGCTGTTTTTGTTTCTGAGATTTGGGGAGCTCATCTGGTGCCTAGAGTAGTGCGTGCGTTCGTTCGTTCTTTGATGCTTCTTGTGATTTCTTTTGTCTATCGTTGAAAGTACAGTATGTACAAATGGATATCCTCATCACAACACATTAATCAACGGGCGGATGTTATACATACAAGTTGGATGCACGAAAACACCTGACGCCGGAGAAGTACAAGAGACTATCTGCTTCGGTACTATACAGAACCACTGGGGGTTTCCGGGTCTTTACCAGGACAGTACAGCACAGCAGAGATTCCGCAGTTGTCTCAACTCTCGAATTGCTATTCACCCTCGGGATCACTTCCGTGTGTGCTCGGATGCTTACGCAGTGGATTCTACTCTTACTCTCCAACGCGACGAGTGACACGAAATGAAGGAGATGTATGATGTTTCTCACACGGTTCGCTATAGGTACCTAGTCTAGATAGATAGGCTGCATGCGAAATAAATTGAAAATCTCTCTCTCTCTCTCTGTTTCTCTCTATGATGTTTCTCAAGAGTTCACGGCGTCTCAGCCGGCGCCAAGTCGTGCACGGGACGTCCCGGACTCTGTTTGTTTGGCTGGTCAGTCTCGACTCTCTCCCGGCCGGGCGTGCTATCATGGCGACGGCGACGACAATATAGGTAGAAGCTCCGTCGAAGCCCGAGGGCTCGTCCATGAATACAGGGGCCGGTATGACCAGACATAACTCGATACCTATGATCCGACATGGCATATGTACATACCAAATAGAAAACAGAAAGGAAGTATCGTACTCCCAGCCGTGTGTGAGCGACACCATACATGCTCGAACTTTACTAAAGGAATAAACGAAGACGGTGAAGCTATTGCTATAAGTCTGCTTCGCAATCACGCTCCTCTTTGTGCCTTGACATTGGCTGTTTTGCGCCGCTGTCGGGGTGGGTTGGTAGGAATGCATACACGAAGTCAGCCACTACCGTCTGAAGAAGCGGGAGATAGAACAATTCCTGGCGATGGGGAACGAGGTGCTTCATTCTGATACGGCACAGGGACGGGTGAGGTGTGCTGGTGTTGCTACCGTCGGGTATCTGAGGTCGTTGGATGAGGATGAGGAGGAGGAGGAGGAGGAGGAGGTTTTGGTGGGCGTCCTTGGTAAGAAGAAGTGGAAAGAGATGCTGGAATACCTATCGAAGGCTGCACGAAGAGAGGCCATAGTTAGTGAATGGGAAGTGGTGGAGGAATAGGTATTATTGAGAAAGCATGGATTACCGTTTTCATCAAGAAGTTGACCGCTGTTAGCTGGGAAGTGGGGAAGGGAGAGCAGAGTGCTGACTCCTCGATGATCTGGAAAGTCAAAATGCTTGTTCCCCACCGTGATTCGGTATTTGGGGAGATATCCCCCTCGAGATATGGCATTGGAAACTGCATCTCCGCCCTTACTCGAAGGCACCTGCCTGAGGCCATGTACGTCGATGGCGTATAACCTGTGGGCCACGGCACAGGTAGCCACATATACGCTGCGGCACGGATATATTGACGATTTCTTTCCAGGTAGCGGGAGAGAAGACTATCCATCGGGGCCCTGCCACTGTTGGTGTATATGGTCGTTGGTGTACGTGCACAGGGTTATGTTGGGGAGGAGTGGCCATTGATGTTGATCTAGGAATTACCTATTAACTGTCGTTAACACTGTTTACTACAGCCAGAAAAGAAACATGTAGTTCCTTGATACAAGCTTTGGTCTCCAAGAATGAGGCATCGTGTGCGGTTAGGGGATCTTCGGCGTCCTTTGGACACAAACCAGTAGTCACCGCGTGCCGCGTGCTCACGTGAGGCATGACCTACGACGTCATCCGAGTAGCGAGTCGCGCCAGAACTTCCGCCGTGTCAACGCAGCATGTTTCCACCACTGGTTCGATTTCCTCTGCGCATTCGCCGCCAGCGATTTCTCCCATACCGACGCATAGGATCCCTCTCAGCCATTCCCCCGCTCCTCCTTGCACCCCTCGTCTTCACCGGCCTCACATTGACCCTCTGGTCCTACAAATGTCTCATGATGATCCTGTTTCAATCGCGGATCATCTACATGCCCGGGATCCCGCTCGGCGCTCGCAAAGAAAAGATCAGTGATTACGCCCCATACTGTCGCGGTATAAAGTGGCGAGAGGGGAAGATCGCGGTAGGCGACGGGACTGTCCTGGCGACTGCTTCCGCGAGGCTGGACGGGAGCGGGGTGGTGCGGGGCCGGGAGCTAGTGGTGGTGTACTTCCAGGGGTGAGGAGAGTCCTCGGATCCGCCCTGGCGAGACTAACTTTGGCAGCAACGCCTCGTCGACGCCGTCCCGGCTCCCGCACCTCTCTGCCCTGTTTTCCTCGCTCCCTCCGTCTCGGGGCCCCACGACGATCCTGATCCCGTCCTACCGCGGTTACTGGACATCGACCGGGCGGCCCTCGCAGCGCGGCATCGAGCGGGACCTGTCCGCCATCTTCTCGCATATCCGCACTCAGCATGGGGGTGCGGAGACGGATGTAGTCCTGTGGGGGCAATCGATTGGGTGCGGAATCGCGCTGACGGGGTTGGCAGCACATCCGCTGCAGAATGTGAGCGTGTTGATCCTCGAGACGCCATTCGTTAGCATCAAGGACATGCTCGTTGCATTGTATCCGCAGAAGTGGCTGCCGTATAGATACCTTGGATTTGCTCTGTGGAATCGTTGGAAGCTGGTTCAGGCGTTGGAGATAGTTCTAGAGAGGGGGTGGAAGGGACGGATGCTGGTAGTCGAGGCGGGCAAAGATGAGCTGGTTCCGAGCGGGCAGGCGGCGAGGATTGCGGAGGTCGCAAAGAAGGCGGGCGTACATGTGGAGGAGGAAAGTGTCAAGGGAGCTTTGCATGTGGAGTGCTTAGCAAAGCCGAAGGGACGGAAGATGGTGGGAGAGTTTTTGGCACGGTTCGTGCAGGGGGATGGTGGGCTGTAGTGGTCCGCCCTCGGACAAACTTTGGTCTAGTGTACACTGTACTCTACAGAGAGCTGGGCGTCGTTGCGTTTGGCCTAGTGTATATATAGATAGAGAGTTGAACATGGTGCGTACAACACTATCTCGAGTGACGCAATCGTTGAAACCTTCACGTTGATTAACTCTCTGCCTCAGTGCCCAACCCCTCACCAGGAGATGGGTAATTCCATTGCTATGGAACATCCCATCTACAAAGACATCGAGTACATTTGTGAGACCTAGGCCACCGAATTGCTACCTGTGTGTCAGAAATCTGCTCTGTCACGTTCTTCTCTCTTTCCTATTTCCTCACTTACTGCAGGCGACCTATGTGTATATCATGGAAATGTTACATACCTACACCCTGTCCGTCTACAGTAAATGCTTCTTTTTCGTCGAGACCGTCTGGTCCGACGCACTCCGAGGGCGAGTGCTGCCGTATGATGTTGTTTGTCGATCACCTTCCAACCAAACTTCAGTGTCACCGCACCCTCGCCATAGAAAAAATGTCACATGTGCCTCAGAGCGGGTGTTCGTCCAGCCAATTCGTTTGTTTACCTCTCTAAACACGCCGCTTGGTTCGCCGAATACAGGAGCACCGCGGGCTGCCGCAATGAGGTACTGGCAGCAACCTCATGTAACGGACCGAGCTCACCCTGACAGACAGAGCGAGGCCTTCCTAACCTTTTTGTCCCAACCATAATATTGTTGCCTTTTTTAAACACTCCCAGCTCCCGTGCCTGTTAACCCATTCCCACGTTTCTCCCTTTCTCTCTCGCCTCACCAAAAAAAAACCTATACAAACTCTTCCATTTATCTGCACAAATATGGCCACCGAGTCCATCTCAAGCCCCAACATGCAAGACGCTCTTCTCCCCCGCCTCCAGAGGATCACCGATAGTCTCCAAGACGCAGTCACACATCTCCGCCACCGCCAGCCGGTCCTGGTGATCGTATCTATCCGCCCTCGCTATGTCATACTCCCGAATAGCAACATCGCCAGCCAGGGAGAACTTCCCCCCAACCACGCCCTGATCCATCCCGCCAACCGCGTGTTCCACCTGCAAAAAAGCGGCCAACTCGATAGTGCGAATATGGTCTGTCTCGGCCGCAATTCCCGGCTCGAACTTTCCACCGCGAAGCTGGTGGCCAACATCACGGCGGCTGGGGAGGACGGCGGAGCGATGTGGAGGCGGTTGTTGCGTATCGTCAAGGATGCGAGGGTGTCTGCTGTGAACCGCCCAAAGGGTGCAGCTGGTACCTGGAGGGGCAAGTGGGTGAGGGAAGCTTGCGAGAAGATCGCGGAGCTGAATACGCCCGGTGCCGGCGTGGCTTGCTTTCGTGTCGATGTTATCACCAAGCACAAGGATGGGCCGCTATTCAGGACTAGGGAGTATAATCGTGTCGGTGGACGCTCTGTTATGGTTTGTCTCTCCTCCCCCTCCCGTCACCCTCTACTACCTCGTCCCCTGGAGACCAGAATTTAGCTGATTGTGGTGAATTACAGGTCGATAATTGCGAGTGGACTTCATGTTCGTATGAGCTCTGGAGCACCATCTCCTACTGGGGCCATCTTTCCTACCCTATCAAGTTGACCGTGCAGGACAACTTCCCGGGCACGTGGGAGGATACGTATATCAACGGTAGTAGTAGTGAGGTGTCTGCAGAGGTTGTACCAGTTGTGCATCAAACTGGAGGTTGGAGGAGTTATGCGGACAGTGCTTATGGAAGGGAGTCTGAGATTGGTGATAACGAGGAGGAGGAACAAGATTTTTAAATGAGCGCGCACATGAGAAGCAGAATTTTCTGTATGTACTATAGTTATTGTGATTGTGAAATACAAGCTTTGTGGTGTTGAAAAGTATATTCAAAATCACTTTTCCTCTTCTACTCAGTCCGTGAGGCTACAACCCATAGTTGTTACTGCAGGAAGAACTCATGTGTGCGGTTATTCGCCCGTTACGAAATTGGCGAACAGAAAAGGGACGCATATACCTTCACAATTGATTGTTCAATGACCAAGACTACACCACGGGAGAGATACTGAAGATGTCGACTCGGGTTCGTTGAAATACCGTAGAATATCAATCGTACGAACCAATGATAACGACGAGTGAGAATATAGGGAAACGGGAAGTCGTTGCTCAAATAGTAGATAAAGGCGAATGGGGAAAAGGAGGTTACTATTTAGCAGGGAAGCAAGGGGGAAAAAGGAACGGAAGTTCCCGCTGAATGCTTTATATTGGTATCGTGCCTTGGCATCGAAGTCACGTGTTCTGATTGTGTGGAGATCTCAGTATACAGCACCGTTCGACACCGATTTATCACGGAATCGTCAGGAAGTGTAGATACTAGTTGCGCTTACCCGTGGATCACCATGGTGACGCTTTCGTGAATACTTGTAAACAAACATCGAGAGGACTGTTATTGCGGCATCAACGCCCGTGTTCCGGGCAACGAAAGGAGGCTATGTACCGTATTTTCTTGAGATTTATGCATCTTCGCAGATGAAGCTCGCTCGACTGAAACCGTGAATGCACCGAAAAGATGATGTTACTGGTGGCCGAGAACTCCCTCGCGACGTCAGTACCGTCGCGCCCGGCATGCCGAACATGGGCTTGATGGTGGGCTCGGCATGGGTGTTTTCCCGGGTATCGGTGCACCTTGGGGCTTCCTGACCCGTAGTTCGGGAAACCATACCTGCACTCCCCGATTTTGTAGGTACCCCGGTGGATAGGTAGATTATAACGTAGATTCTTGCATGGCTCGGCGAACATGTCCACCAGTGCAAACCCCCGCTACACGTACAATAGAGTACAACACCATGAGAAGATGAGCTTCTTCCTCGAGGTCTCGCAGCCGTCTCCACTCAATAATGGATACCCGAAACAAAATACAGACCGTTACATGAGACATGAGTTTGTTTAATGCTCCCCGTTTCCCGACGTCTCCTGGATTTCCCCATCCTGAGGGGGGAAGATAACGCCGTTGCCGCTGATAGCTAGCCGTTCCAACATGCGGTACTCTCCGGTTGCTGTGGAGACAGGCTTTGTTTACTTCTTGGCCATGCACGTCTCCCCCAACACCGATGCTTGCAGAATCCACCGGGCTGATGTTCCTAGATTGAGAGACACAAGACCCTCTTTCGTCCTGGAACCACTACATAAGAGGACCTGAGCCCAGGCAAATGGATGCTCTCTCCTCGCTGGTTGCTCTTGTTCGCGCGTCAAGATCTAGTCGAGCAGTCGTGCAAAGCAGTCTTCACGGTATAGGCAGTCTCGATGCTCTGCATTACACATACCGGTACTCCAGAGTACGTGTTCTCACGCCCGGAGCTCCTCCAGTTACCTGCCTGAGGGCTGGTATGGTATGACAGTGGCCACGTCAGGATTCTGCGTCCCTCGTTCCCTCATCTCGTTAGCCGCCGCCTGCTCGGAACGTGGCGCTAGCCCGTATCTCGGTAGTCTGCTGCCAAGCCAACCACGATTGGTCGTACTTGGACGTAGATCGTTGCTGTGGCGACGGCCTTTGTTTACATTTCTCCCACCTTCATCTCGTTCTTCCTCCACCTCCAAGCTCATAAATACACCACTTTCTCCTCTCGTCTCGAACTTCTTCACCACTTCACCTTTCTCTCTCACACACAACACGCGTTTACTCGAGTACTCCAAAAGCTCTTCACACAACTTCAACACTTAAATCTTCATCCACCCCTCATACCATTACTACAACCACCGCATACTACTAAGTACTACCTCATCGAACGTTGCGAGCTTTTGTCTACTCGACCATTACCGTAATACACCTCACCTCTTTTATATCGATTAAAAAAAGTCCCTTCAAAATGGCGACCGCGACTGTCCACACTCCGGTCAAGTCCCAGGCGAACATCGTCTCTACACGCCATGCCGGAGGACGTATGCCTCTTACCCCTTCACCCCGCACCCGTGCATCGGCAAACATGTCTCCGTTCACACCTCCCGCACCGGCACGCCGAGATCCCGAATGGCACGCCGACAAGAAGAAGCACGGTCACACTTCTCGGGGTTCGTTGCATGACACCTTATCGGCTCTGTCGTTGTCGACCTCGAAGCAGGCACCTACACGTCCTTCCTCCACCTTGAAGTCCACAACCACATCCACGACAGCAACCCCGCTGCAATTAGATCTTGGAGTCAATGATTGGAACATCGTTAGTTCGGCGCGTCCAACCACAGCGACTACTGGAACGAAGAAGACCCGTCCTTCTCGGCCGACCAAGAACACCGTCCGCATCAATGGCGATCGTTTCATTCCTACCCGTAGTGCTTCCTCTCCCACAGCCGCCATGAAGGCCGATCACCAAAGGCCCGGTAGCAGAACCAAGTCCCACGAGTCGGTCGTGAACGCCAATGACGATGTATTTGGTCGGGACAACAGCGTACCGCCCGAGCACGAGGAGGAAGAGGAATACCTGAACCGCAAGTCGCCGAAATCCAAGGCCTACGACGCTTCAATTGCCGAGGCCGTAGGGCTGAACCTTGGAACCCGGATCCTCGCCTTCAAGCCGGCACCCCCAGAGTCCAGCAAGCCGATCGACCTCCGTGCACAGTACAACCGTCCTCTCAAGTCCACTGCCAGTGCACAGACTCGCCGCCGCATCCTTACCGCTCCCGAGCGTGTGCTCGACGCACCTGGCTTGGTCGATGACTACTACCTCAACCTCCTCGACTGGGGCACCGGCAACCAGGTGGCAATCGGACTCGAACGCAACGTTTACGTGTGGAACGCCGAGTCTGGTTCCGTCTCTTGCCTTCTCGAGACCTCTCCTGACACGTACGTTTCGTCTGTGCGGTGGTCCCAAGATGGCGCCTACGTCTCGGTCGGTCTCGGTTCCGGCGATGTTCAGATCTGGGATGTTGAGGAGGGCACCAAGCTGAGGACCATGGCCGGCCACGATACCCGCGTCGGTGTCATGTCCTGGAACAAGGCCACTCTTTCCACCGGTTCCCGCAGTGGTAACATCTTCAACCACGATGTTCGCATTGCCGAGCACAAGACCGCTGAGCTCCTCTCCCACACCTCCGAGGTCTGTGGCCTCGAGTGGCGTGCTGATGGTGCCCAGCTCGCTTCTGGCGGTAACGACAACCTGGTCAACATTTGGGATGCGCGCCAGATGACCACTCCCAAGTTCAGCAAGACCAACCACAAGGCAGCCGTTAAGGCTCTCGCTTGGTGCCCTTGGCAGAACAACCTCCTCGCCACCGGAGGCGGTTCCTTCGATCGTCAGATCCACTTCTGGAACACCACTACTGGCGCTCGTGTCAACTCGGTCGACGCCGGATCCCAGGTCACCGCCCTCAAGTGGTCCACCAACTACCGTGAGATCGTCTCTTGTCACGGTGCCCCCGACAACCAGCTCACCGTCTGGAGCTACCCCACTCTCGTCAAGAACGTTGAGATCCCCGCCCACGAGACCCGTGTCCTGCATGCCGCTCTCAGCCCCGACGGACAGATGCTCGCTACCGCGGCTAGCGACGAGAACCTCAAGTTCTGGAAGCTCTTCGAGAAGAAGGCTGGTAGTGCCGCATCCGGATCTCGGTCTGGTGAGAACGGCAAGGGAATGGCCAAGCAGATGACTATCCGGTAAATCTGATTTACTGGTATTGTACTCTGATTTTCTTTCTGCGTTTTTGTCTTTCATTGTATCGGAGTATTGGCTGGGATTGTTTGGGGGGTGGTCGGTGGGGGGGGGTCAAAACGGAAATGACATCAATTGGGCTGGGTTCGTGGGAAAGCTGGGGAGATGGGAATGGGAAGGCTGCATCTGTTTGCCATCATGGAGGGTTTTGTTTTGGTGTTTGGGAAGCGGGAGGTGCATTGGAAACGGGTGGAAATGTTTGTTTTGTCTGGTGCTCTGTTGTTTTCCGGATGGATAACTGGACCTTACTACTAACCTCATTTAGCTTTTTTTTTACATGTACAGCATCATCAACCTTATCGTTGTGTGCCTTGCACTTCTTGGCCGAAGAGTCCTTTTGTTGACGAATGATTGCCTTTTCTGTTTCTTCTTTCTTTGGCTGACTGCGGCGATGAGCGGTGATGGCATGGATGTTTTGCGGGTTTTTCTTTTCTGCGACTGATATTTTCCGTCTTCTTCTGAATACTTCTTTCTGTACGTTTACAATGGGGGGATGTGATCACCGAGGAACGGGATCGTGTCGGGGCGGGTTGGGGAAACTTGGATGAATACATGTACCTACAATAGCAATTGAGTCGAAATCAATCGTACAAGCAGACAGCATCCTCCATGGCTCGGTGAAATGATCATGACTCAACCTCGACCTTGAGGTAATATTAACCTTCAGAGCCACGCTTTCCAAACCATGTCTTCAGTCACGAACGATCATCACACATCTATCATCATTATCACTCGGCTTTTTCATCCATGACACAGTTGTAAGTTCTGTCCGTATTATCTATCACCAGCAGGTGTGCGCTTTAACCCAGCAAATGACTCGAACTACTTTCGTGCTCTGCACGTTTGTTCCGGTTCCAGTCGCTTGTTTTTGTTGTTCCTAGAGGTTGCAGCGCTCCTCCGTCCGTGATATATCTATAGCAGCCCTGCCCACATGTGACCTTTTTCCACGGCAGACCATGCAGGCCGGTCGGGTCGAGCAGATCTCGATACTGATACGTGGGAACATCTAGGCACTCGTTATCTTCGGGGCACGGGGACGGAGATGGCCAGTGCTCAGAATGGGCAGCAGTCGGAGCCGAAAACGGACTCACTTAACGTGATGGATTGTGACGGCAAAAGCTGCCCACTTCAGCTACAGGTTTATAAGACCACAGCTACGTGTAGAACGGCGATGATTGCGCACCCCCCACAGCTGCGCTTTGGAGTGGAATTAACCTTGAAACAATCCAAGATGGTGTGGACCGTGCGGTGCACGGCCGGACTTTGGATACTCTTTGTGGGTGTGCGGCTCGGACTCGGGCTTGGATTACTGCTCGCTGCACAGGTACTTGCTTCTCCAACAAAGGTGGGGGACAGCGGTCGGACCTCGTATGGCTGGTGAGGCTGCTTTTAGACTAGTTTTTGCCAAGTTCAGCCACACGAGGTCCGACCGCCATCCCCACCTTTGTTGGACTAGCGAGTATCGGCACGAAGACTCCCTGGCGCATACGGTAGTGATCGCTTATGCTGGTTGTGGCTCGGAGAACTGATCGGGTGCACGTCCGGAGATATCACTGGTGAAGGTGCAGCTCGAATCGATGGGCTCCTCTATGCGGATACTTTGGCGCACTGATGCATAGCGGCGGCTCTCACTCGTTGTGGATGGAAGTGAAGATACAGCTCGACTCGAACTGCTGCTCGGTGGGATACATTGACGCACAGACACATAGGGACCGATCCTACTGGCCGAGAATGGAAGGTATCATAATAGAACGGCGGAGATGCACGTCTAGACATATTCCTCCTGAAGATACAGCTCAACCAGAACTGCTCATCGGCGGGAGTACATCGACACATCACTGGCGCATATGGTCGCCTCCAATGGCCGTGGATGGAAGGCACGGGGACTGACTGTGGTCCCGACATTGCAGACGGTCAAGCCTCGCTGTGGAAGGCCACCAACTCGTGCAATGATGTCAGGAGTCACATCTCAAGACGATTCTTTCTCACGAGAGCACATTATCGTGAAGACCGAGGAGAAACTACAGCCGAATGAAAACCATAAATACCGTTGTAGATCCCCGGTTCTGCAGAAACATCATATCAACCCGGCCATCCATCACGGCAGTCCACTATCTTTAGCACATCCTATCGTTTAAGTCCAACTCATTCATTGTTACTACAGCAGTATGTGTTTCCTGTACTCTGCTCGAAGCATACACAAGCATACACTGACACGTTGGTAGATGTTCGCTCCAAGCACCCTCACCGCCATCCTCCTCGCGGTCTCCGTGATGGGTGCGCCGGCCCCCGATGTTGGAGCCGCCACCCTAGCTGCCCGTAACGACTGCAACTGCGATTTCTCGCAGAGCATCGATACGAACCAGAACATCAACGCCGAACTCTTCACCAAGAAATTCAAGAATGCATTCGGAAACATGGGATCTGGCATCGGCGGCATCGGATGCAACAAGCGCGATTGCGACGGTGCATGCGACATGTGCCGGACCTGCATGTTCAGCCAGAACATCGACGGAAACAAGAACATCGACGCCGACGTGCACCACAAGTTCATCAAGGGCTTCGGCCTCGGAGGTGCCGCCAGCACCGGCTGCCAGAAGCGTGACTGCGGCGGTAGTTGCAATCATTGCATCAACCAGAGCATCGAGAACAACCAGAACATCAACGCGAAGGTTTTCGACCGGGTTCACAAGGGATTCGGCTCATTCGGCGGCGTCGGCTGCCAGAAGCGTGATTGCAACGGTGGATGCGAGGAGTGCCTGAACCAGAGCATCAATCACGACCAGAACATCAATGCGAAGGTTCACGACAAAGTGAACAAAGCCATCGGCCCACAGATCGCCAAGCGAAACAACGGCGGTTGCTGCAACAGCTCCTGCAACAGCTCGCACAACAACAACCACCTTAGCCTCCACCGCGGCGACGGCGACGGCGACGGCAACTGCGACAACCGCGAGAACTGTCGTCAAGGCTGCGGCTGCAGCGAGAACTACGGTAACGGAGGAGGGTGCTGCGGCGGCTGCGGCAACGGCTGCAACAGCAACAGCAACTGCAACCAGCACAACAACAACAACAGCCTTACCAAGCGCAACAACGGCGGCTGCTGCAACAGCAACTGCAACAACTCGCACAACAACAACCACCTGAGCATCCACCACGACGACGACGACGAAGATGGGTGTGGCCGCCGTCACCGCGAAAACTGCGAACAGGGCTGCGGCAACTCGGAGTGTTGCAGCAATGGAGGAGGCTGCGGTGGCTGCGGAGGCTGCTGTAACAGCAACTGCAGTTACAGCAGCTCCAACAACAACAACGACCTCAGCATCAGTCGCCGCGACCTCTTGAAGCGCAATCCGTTCAGCGGCGGCAACGGCAACGGCGGCGGCTGTGACTGCAACCGCGAGTTCAGCCAGAGCATCGATCACAACCAGAACATCGATGCCAGCGTCTTCACCAAGATGCAGAAGTCGTTCAGCAACTTCTTCGGCGGCGGCGCCGCCGCCAAGCGCTCCATCGAGAAGCGCTCCGAGGACTGCTGCCAGGGCAATAACTGCAGTTCCTGCTGCAACAACGGTGGCTGCAACAACGGCTGCTGCGGCAATAACGGCAACAACGGCTGCTGCTGCAACAACTCCAGCAGCTCCGACTGCTGCGGCGGCGATGAGTGCCGCGACGAGTGCCGCCAGGGCTGCAACAACTCATACTGCAACAACAACGGCTGCTGCAACAACGGGTGCTGCGGCAACAACGGCTGCTGTAACAACGGCTGCTGCAATAGCTGCAACAGCAGCTGCTGCTCGAACTCGCACTCGTATGAGTGCTGCGACAGCTGCACCAACAATGGGGGCTGCAACAAGAAGCGCGACGAGTCCGCGTGCGCCGGCAACTGCCGCACCCAGGGCAGCCGCAACTCCGGCTCCGACCACTCCCACCACCGCACTGGCGCCGTCAGCGGCAGAGGCTACCGCTACACCAACGGCAAGCGTCAGGCCGCGACTGTCGTTGACGTCGTGCCTGAGGCTCCCGCGGTAGAGGTCGACCCTGCCACTCCCGTCGTCGATGTCCCCGCGACCGAGACCGACGTCGTCGTTGCCGCCCCCGCCGTCGCCGCTCCCGTCGTCGCCACTCCCGCCGTCCCCGCCGCGGCCGTTGTCACGGCGGCATAGACACTACGGTCGAAAAATCCCTTCCATTCATCCATCCATAGAGTGCTTTAAAATGGTTATAAAATCCCGTTCTCCTTTTTCTTCTTTTTCTTCTTCTTTACACTGTGTATAGTAGAGTTTATAGACTACCTACCTACATGCCGTTTGGAAGAGGATTATTGGTTGCCCGAATTCATTCAGTTGAGAGTTACCTACTACCTAGTACAGGGGACGGCGGGGGGTGGTCACTGGTGGGTGTCGATGGATACAGATAGATATGAGTCTTTTTGCTTTGAAATAATTATCCACTTGGCCGATCTCCGTCACTCCCACAGGGCTTATCCCCGAAAGGCTCAGTCATGGCCGCTTTTTCACGTGCAGTCTCAGATCGGACGACCCCCTACATAACTAATCCATTATCCGGAAGTGGGAACGGTCCTGTGTGAGGATGACAAACCCGCAAAAGATATCCGCAGCCCTGAGCCCTCCACACTCTGCTATACTCTACTCAGTACCATACGGTAGCTCTTGCGGCGTTCTTGCATCCCCCTCCAGAGATAGGTAGCGCGCGAATTCATCTGTAGGTAAGGTTCTTACTTCCTACTCATCCACTCGACTCCAGTCGGGTCAGGCCGGTGGAGCCAGTCATTTCGTAAGAAGTAGTTACTGATGGCTGTTTGTTTGTTTGTTTGCTTCACCAGTAAAGAGATATCTTCAGTTTATTTCGCATGCAGCCTATCTAGACTATGGCGAACTTTGCTTCACCGGTGTGGGTAACGCAAAACCCACAACACCCGCAAAACCCACAAAACCCACAAAACCCACAAAACCCACAAAACCCACAAAACCCACTCATGCCTTGAAACCAGTGCCACGGTATGAAATGGCGCGGTAAGCGGGGGACCGCGCATCATCATCAACAACTTGCAACTTACAAGCTGCCTACGTATGCCCCGGGTGCCGGCAGATGGTATGCATTCCTCCAGACCCAGCGAACCCATAGGGCTATAGATAGGTAGCACCGTCAGAGATTCTTACTCACTCCCGAGTCCCAAGTCCCAATGCCCATCCTTGAATAATGCGGGGTAGGTAGGTAGGTATTTCACCGGTATCCACTGTCCACGGGAGAGACGGAGGTAGTTATTGTATGTACTGTACATACGAAGGGATCCACAGTACCTACACAGGTGTGGCTGTGTTCTAGCCACCAGGCGCTCACCACACTGCGCAAGTTTATTTTTACACCGGGCCCCGGCTGGGCGGCTGGCGCTTGACGGTACTGTAGGTGCACGTATGGATAAAGTTCTAGTGGGTTGGTATTTCGATAGCCTGTAGGTAATGGTCCACAGTCACTCGAATCCCTCGGATGTACTCTATGTACATGCATAGAGTGCATGCTAGAATACGCGGGGAGGCTGGCGACCCGCGATGGAGTGGAGTCTGGAGAAGCAGTCATGATATTTATAGCCGCTGTCGCCTGGTCCGTTCGTCGGCGCGGCGGTCGGTCGGTCGGTCGGTCGGTCTTGATGGCAGATGCTGCCTGTGCCCGCACAGACGCTGGGTCCCAACTACTAGTGTCAAGTGTCTAAGTATATCTGCCAAGGGTACCTGCTTGAGCCTTGAAGCTTCGCGAAAACGGAGCTGGGGCTGGTGCCTGGAACTGGAAGGGCGGTGTATGTAGTACCTATGGTTGTATGGTTGTATGGTACATACAACATAGTATGGTAGGTAGTATGGTAACTAGGGGTGCAGTGCACGCACGCTGAAACGTCTGCCTCAACTACACTCAACCCAACTCAACTCTCCGCTCTAGGCCTCCTTCGTTTCGTCGGTTTGCTTGTTGGCTATGTACAACTTATCTTTAGCACGAGAGCACTTGTGGGTGCGGAAACTCTTCGCGGTCTGGTAGCTATAGGCCGGCAGGCAGGCACGAGCCAAACGCTTGTCCAATGCCTATATGTAGCTGATCGGGATAGCTGCTGGATGCGGGATTGCTACTGAATGCGGGGTCGGAGACGTTTGCCGTATTCGGAATGGCGGGTTCAGCCTTGTACTTGTACTCTGCGTCACACCAGCCAGCGCTGTGGAGTATGTAGAGTATGCCTTGCGAGCGAATAGCAGCCGGCGCCGGCGCGGACATGCGGTGCAACGAGTGATAACCGCAGACGGTAGATACTTTGTAAGTGCGGTCTCGGAGCCCCGGCACCGCTCCGTCAGGAGGGGATGGGGGGCAAGCCATTGGGAGTGGGAGATCGTCAAGGCCGGCAGGCACTAGGTACTAGGTACCCCCCAATCGCCTCGCCTCGCCTCGCGCTTAAGGGCCGACCGGCGACGGCAAGTGCGCTTTAACTAACTAACGTCTTCGGGTTCCCGAGCTCTCGCTACTCTAGGTACGTGGTGGATGCCCGTGAGCAACCTACGGTCGGTGGGCCTGGTTAACTGTGGCAGGAAACCAGGAGTCGCCATCCATCCATCCATCGGTCATCTCCTACACAGCGAGTGTGAGCGCGTTGGTTTCCAGTTCGGGGCATGACAACAGCGGGCGGGGAAACGACCCAATCCTCACAGAGTGGATCCGGAATGTTACACTGCACCTGCGTTGGTCATCATCATCGAGCGAGCGACGAGGCCCTGCCTCCCTCCCTCGGGTAAACTTGACCGCAGAGGAAGAAAGAAATCTGCTGGAGTACCTATGTGGCTTTCCAATTGGCTGCTGGCGGATAGGCCCCGAAGGTTACATACTAGTAGTTGATGACAGGTGACCCTGGATTGAAGCGGCTAGCCAGTCAAACGTTCCTCGGAAGGTCGTTCAATTAAAGTAACGAACGGACTGTGTGCATCTCTCTCTCGCCCGTGCCAGCATGGAGAAAGAGGTATGTATGTAGCAACTGCGGTGAGGCATATTATCGACAGGGCTGGGCTGCCTATGGCCGGGCCTATGTACATTTACACCTTAGGTAACTAAGTCTGTACGTACATGTGTGGTCCACAAGCACGCACTGGAAGTCTGGGCAGCAATTAGAGCCGTCCATCAATCTCCCGCCAGGCTGCTGTTAGCCCATGTATTATGAGAAGCACTTGTTTGTAACAGAACCGTAGCACTAGAATCCGGTGGCAAGTCTGGGAAACTCTGTTCCTCCTTCCGATTCCCAGGCAGCTCTGTATCACCTGCTGCTGGAGCGCAGTGGACACAGGTACTCTAGGAGTAGCAGTAGCAGTAGCAGACTAGACGACTTTTGACAGTTGCATAATGGGTCCGGACTGCGGACCCAGTGGGAAGACCACATCCCGCCAGCGATTGTCTGTCTTCCAATTCCATTTCGGCGATATCTGCAATGGAGAGTCATGAGCGTGCACTGCACTTGCTTCCGCGACTTCCGCCATGGGCCATGCGGAGTCTGCTTCGTCGCTATCTAGAGTATCTGCTCGCATGGTTGGGTTATTACGGGAAGACGGAAGAAAGGATGTTCGTGTGGAGATCGACGGCGCGACATCATCCGCATCCCGTTCAGAAACAGTCAGGACGATGCTGCGCTGCGTCCTCTGGGGGAAGGGCGGCGCCGGATTGTAAGCAGCATCACTGTGCACCTTGCGCTGCTGTCAGCGGCGAGAACATCGCAATAGGAACAGCACCGCAGCCACCACGACCACCGACGGGACAACCACCGTCTACGGTCTACCGACGACCACGTTTTCTCGCCAGGGGAAGGTCGCAGTAAGCACCTACTTTTTTTTCTGCTTGAAACACCCAAATGCGGAGGTCCTCGGTGTTCCTGTCAGCAGGAAAAGGCTTGGTATTAATCTGGACCACTATGCGGTTGAATAGTCATCAGTCCCGCAGCAATCCTGTATTTGCCTGTAAGCAGGCGCTAGTGCGGCCAGTTTGGTTACATACTCGCTCACACGCAAGTTTTGCGGTGCTGACATGGCTGCAAGGTAGTATGGGGATGTGCGGGTTGAGGACCTCCCTACCTCCCTCCCTCCCTCCCTCCCTCCCTTCCTCCCCTTGTCGGGGCTCGGGCAGGCAGGCAGGCATGCGTTATCCCCATGCATTCGAGCGGGGTCTGTGTTTTTTTCTTTCTGTTTTTGATTGGCCGGCAGTTGGGGCGGAGGCTTGGGTTAATCTGAGATCGGGTCTGAATGCCGTGTTCGTGGGGACCGGCAACCTTCGATCGCCGTCGGACTTTACAGCAAGCGTGCGGCCGGCCATTCGAGGTTCGATCCACGCACGTGACGGATGGTGAGCTCGGAACGCTCGCGTGGTGTTGTACCCAGGCCGCCGGCGAAGTTCGAGATGCCCACGGGCTCGGTAGGCAGACTACATACCACGCAGGAAAGGGAAGCGTTGCACTAGGTAGATGCCCTTTCCGCCAAAAGCTTGTCTTCCTCGTGGCGGAATGACGTGTGTGGGGCGATCCGCTCGCTCCCCCGTTATCTCCGGGCGTACGAGCACATCATCTCTCTGCACATCTCCGATGACAAAAGCGATTCTCAGTAGAGTAGCTCCTCGGAAGAAGGAGGTGCGGGAGGGTTCCATTGCAGTCGATCAAGAGTCATCGAGAATCAACCCGAGTCGGTCAGACGATTCGGAGAGGGTGTGGAGCATGGGAAAACGTTCCCTTATTCGGCCGAAGTCACCAGGAGGAGTGAGTCCACCTGGCAGCGCTCTTGCCGAGAGACATTATCGAGCTCCCCTGCGTGCGGATTAGGCCGTGAAGCCGGAATGGACCTGCAAACGGAGGTCAACAATCACGACGAGCTCGAGCAGCTGCTGCACCGCCATTCGGCGATGCGCTTCATCGGCCAGGTCTCGCCGATTTGTTTACCCACCGGGCGCCCATCAATCGCGCCGCACCTTCTTCGTAGGCGGTGCCACGGGCAGCTTGATTCCACCCATGCCCACCCCCCCCCCCCCCCCCCCCCCCCCCCTCTCAATTGCAAGTGCTGGATAATTAAAGTGTACGCGGTATGCAGGGCTGCACGTCCTCGACAGGGAGCGTGTCTCGACTCTCCGGTTGCAGTACTGGATATCATACAATCAGATTAAATATATGATCGGACCGTGTTATGCTTCCTGACTGGGCGTTCTGTAGTACGGTCAGCACCTGCCCCTTCGCCATCGTCGAATCGCGCCACTCTCGCATCTGCGAGATGCAATCGGGACCCTCGACACGGTGCTAGCGGGAGCCTATTCCGATTTACAGGAGCGAAGGAGTCACCATACAGTGCATACATGATACGTCCCTCCGGGCTCGAGCCAATGTGCATCTCGCATCCCATCACAGCTGTTGGAGGCTGCATATTTGGTGGCAGCCAACGTCGTCCTAATTAGCCGGATCGTGTAGGTGGACGTGTAGAGTACGGGTGGTCCGCACACATCGCCGCTGGACGGCGATATGGTTAACTGGGAACCATTTACATACCTCCGTACCAGTAGTTTGTCCCCATAAGTCCGACGAATATAACCTGCTTCTGCCGCGGGTGTGCATCTGCATGTGTAAGTACCGAGATAACATGCATACGGAGGGAGGTCACCGTAGCTAAGCTTTGGGGCGTCGATAGTGTGTGGGCGTCGTAAGGTATGGAGCGGGAAGGAGGAGATCCACCCAGTGAACTTCCTTGCACCAAGCCACCGACACAGTTAGGTGCGAAGCGACGAACAATTGACTAGCGGGGTCTCAATCGACTGGCCCGCCAACCATCACATTAGGGCTCGGTTATCGGTACGGTGCGGATTCAGGCCAATATGGTGGTCGCTATTTATTTGATTACTGATACACAGCAACATGCGTTGGACCACCTACAGACCAGAACAGAACAATTGCTGCCTAACATCCACACGTCCGCACATGACGGAACACACACAGAGATATATACAGACACACCACGCACACACGAACGCAGCGAATGAGGCTCAGAAGGGGGTCCCTGAGGATTGTTCTATCACGTTGCAACGCGGAGGTCTGGCGATTGGGAGTCAACCTCTGCGGACAGAACTAGACTGCGGACAAGACTAGACTGCTGGGGGGAAGGGGCTGGCGGCGGCGGGTGGTGGGTGGTGAATGCTGGGTCAGGGAGGTAGGGAGAATGACAGGACTTCAGTCCTGCAGGCGAACAGGAGGCCCCCAATATGCACAAATAGTCCCTGTCGATTCCTGGGTCCATACATACACAGCTTTTCCCTACGACATCCGCAGGCCCCCACCGCCGTTTGGAGGTGGCCGACGTTACGACGAGACATCTCCAGTTGAGTCAGCTCCGCAATGGAACCACGGGGCAGCTTATGTACAGAGACAGGTCACAGCTATTGCTGTACTCATCTCACCTCTGCGTCGAGCTCCGATTCCAGCGACTCGCATAGCGGCACGGCCACAGCATGGCAATGCTGGCCAGTCCTGCCGATCGACTATAGTCTACCTCCAGCCCAGACGAACCTCCCTGGATCATGTCGAGGACACTCACACACTCACACTCACACTCACGCACTCCGCCATCACCATCACCATCACCATCACCATCACCATCACCATCACCATCACCATCACCATCACCATCACCATCACCATCACCATCACCATCTGTCGCGGCCTGCCGACAACCCGATCTCCTCCTCTCGAACGACGAAAGCGCAGCTCCTGGACGCTGACATCTGCCGGACGATTCGTTACACGAATGCAACTGCGTCATTGTCTGTCCGCGTCCGAAACGGTCGGGCTGGGTTAGCTAAGCAGATGTTGTTCGAACCCCCCACACACCTACTGGTACTACTAGCTGTGCGTAAGCAGCTCGATGTTCACCAGCTTTTATAAAAAAGGGCGCCATTCCTCCAGTTCTCCCGCCCCTGCCTCCCCCCCTCCCCTCCCCCCACTCAACCCCACCCGCTACCGGTACCTTGCTGCGACAAAATCACGTTCCAGTACAGCAGATTGCAACACGGACCACGCCACATCCACACAGACCGCTGCAAAGACCGCCATATACACTCCTCCTGCAAGATCACATCCATCCCGCTCCGAACAACAAACAATATGAGAGACTCTCCGTCGCCGGATCAACATGGTGTATATAACAGTGCCCCGCTGTACCCACCCCTTAGAAGGAGCGGACGAACTCTGTACGAGACGCCGCAGCAGCAACAGCAACAACAACAACAGCCAACACAATATCACACCTCTGCGGCGTCATTGCCGTCGGACTATGCGCTGGGGTTATCGCCGTATCCTCCGACGCATGGGATCTCGGCCAGCAGCTCGCCGCAACCCACTGATAATTATATGGACTCCTTCTCGGGAATGCAGATGCCGGATGTTTTGGATATGAACATGGACTCAACGTCGATGGGAATTGATCTCGGCATCCTCAGTGCGGAGGAGCATCACGACCTGCGGATTCTCGAAGAGAGGGCGCGGAGATCGGGCCCGGCTAGAAGTGAACCTGAAGTACTGGACATCAGCGGCAGCGAAAGGAAGCGTCGCCACCGGCGGGCTCCGAGTGACGAAAGTACGGATACCACCACGTCCGGAAAACCCAGCGCTACTAAGAAGCAAAGGGGAAGACCGAGACTGGATCCAAAAGACGAGAATGCGGCCGATGTAAGTTTTACCCCCTCCATAATCATACTTGGTGGCGGTGCTGATATGATATATCTGTAGCGTCGACGGACACAGATCAGACTCGCTCAGCGTGCGTACCGGCTGCGGAAAGAGACGACAATATCTTCATTGCGTAATCGGGTCACCCAGCTCGAGGGTTCCGTGGAAGCCATGCAGAGTACCTTCTTTGAGATGCATTCGTCGGCTATGGATTTCATCAAGGAGCTTGATAGCCCCGCTCAACAAGAAGCATACAGCGCGATCCTTAGAACAGGAGCGGAACGGTTCGTCGCAGTAGCGAGGGGTGCCATCGGGCAGGATTCTGGCGACTCGTTAGGGGAGGAAGATACTGGAGACGACCAACCCCATAGCCGCCAGAGACCGCGGAGCCGAGATGACGGAGGTCCTGCATCCGGTGGTACCAGCAACAACACTTCGATGCCCTCGTGGGGCGGATATCAGATCGCCTATGGCCGCGACCCTCAGCAGGAAGCATACGACACCCAACAAGGCGGATCAACCTCATCCTCGTCACGAGCGACCTACGAAACTCCCGCCCAAGATCCAATCGACAATATTTTCTACCAGAATTTCAACCTGTTCCCCGCGATCCGGCAGGAGTTGGATCCGGTAAGCTACAGCTTCCAGGAATCCTCCTTCTCTCGTCGGCTTCACCGCGCCTGCCTCGAGAGTGCCCACCATCTGCTCTCTACAGCCTCAGCACACCAACATGAAGTTTCAAAGACATTTGCATACAGCCGCTGCTACGCTTCGCGCGAGGAAATTCTCAGCACCATCACTCGCATGCTCCGAGGCGGCGCCACAGACCCCCTCAACCCATCCGCGTACGCCGAGACCGGTCCCGCCGTCTCCAACGAAGCATACGAAATATCCCTGCGGGCCTCTATGGGCCGCAAACAGTTGGCTATGCTTGGAATCACCGACAAGTTCCTTAAGCCAGTAGACGTTGAACAGCGCTTGGTGGAGAAAGGCCTCCAGGCCGACATCGATGCCTCCAACGCCAGCGACCACGCAGGGAGCCCGGCGTCAAGTCAGGATCTAGGGTACCACTCATCCGGCTGCAGCAATGGATCCATGGACTCCACCGCCAACTGCTGCGACGTGGATATGGAGACGGGTTTCTCGGCTGCCTCCGAGGCAGTCGAGGAAGTGATGCACATGCAGCCAGTCACCGAAGGCGCAAAACGGCGGGTGGATATGGATGTTCTCATCAAAGGTTAGCCTTGCACTCATCATCCTCCTCCTCAACCCCTAACACTAACGGAAATCACAGAGTTGACAAAGCGCGGAGTTTGTCTGGGAGACTACCCTGGCTTCAAGCCATCCGACGTCGACGACTGCATATCTATCGCGTCGCGGCAGACAGCAGTCTTTTGATTTGAGTTCAAATTTCCTTCATTCTCATCTGCATTTTAGCGACATGGCAACACAGGAGTGATTTCTTTTATTTGGTCGGATGGCGTTTTTATTGGTTTTCACGGGGCAATATTGCTTGCTTCTCATGTTATCTATTAGACTACGGTGCAACAGTAGAGGATCTGGACATGGATGTGCGATATTTACGTTACTATGGGGTGGAAATTGCTTTGTTTTCACGTTTTCTATCTCGACTCGACTCGTCTTTTTCTTTTGCTTTGGGTGTATGTATTGTACGAATACTTTAGGACGATCTACATATCATATCAAACGAACGGGTCAACACTGCCCCGCGGCGGCCGTGAAGCCGGGCAAGTCGGAGGAGAGACACTCCGACTCGCTAGGTATAGAAGGTACTCTACTCTACTCTATGTATGCCCTGCCCTGCCAACCAAAAACTGAGCCATACATATTTCAACAGCATTTGAACCCGAACCGGACCCTAACCCAGCCAGCCACAGCCCAACCCAACCAAAATCTATGTAAAGCAGAGAAGTAGAGTATGAGTCGAAACCCCAAACCAGACTCTTCCGTTCTCCACTGACGAATCGAATCGAATCCAAACCTGACATCATCTCATCATCCCATCATCTCTCGCCATCATCCCATTAGTTAGTTAAGCCCTACGGCAGCGGATGAGGCTGGGGCTGGGGCTGGGGATGCAGATGCGACTACGGTAGAGTAGGCAGGCTGGGGTGACAAGTATTTGGAATTCAAGTTTTCGCTAAGTACCAGCTACCTAGACTAGTAGTTAGCCGGGGGGATGTCGGTGTCGGTGTCGGTGTCTCGCTTGGGGCAATGGGGACAGGGCTGGGGCTGTGGGTGTTGGGCGCGGGGAGGGGGGGGGACAGGGCTGGGGGTGGGGACAGGGCTGGGGGTGGGTATTTGTAAAATGGTAAAATTGGACCGATGTCCGGGATTACTTGCGGTCTAGTTATCTACTTTTATGTATGTAGAGGTCCGGCATGGGCAGGGGGCGGGGGGGGGAGGGGGGAGGGGGGAGGGGAGGCGGGGGAGGCAGGATGGGAGGAAGGGGAGGCGGCGTTTAGTTAGAACAAAGTTCGGGCACTCGATAGGTAGAGTACTTGAACAGTCATCCAGCTTCTTTCTGCTATGCAGAGTAGGTAACGGACGCTGGGAGATGGACTGCTTACGGTATACCGTATGTAGAGTATGTACGATAACTTATGGATTTTACCCCCTGCCGTTGAGCATTTCCAGTGACGGCGGGAAGCATATATAAGCAAGTTATCTACATACATGTTCCGACAAGGCAAAGCAACAGCAGTTATCCCCACCGACGTGTGCGCTGATTGACTGACTGACTACATAACTAACTCGCTCGCTCGCAGCAACGAAATGTTGATTTCGAATCCGCAACCCTACATTCCCTACATAACTCATACATTCCCTACATTCCCTACATAGCGAACCGTAGGTATAATATATATAGTATGTATAGTAGAGTAGCGATCGCTGCACATACTCTACTCTACTCTACTCTACTCTACATACTCCATGTTCACCGGAACACGAAACACGGAATACCGTGGTCGGGCGTTCGCAGGGTAGCGAGGCGAGAAAGAGAAAGAGAGCCCACACTCCGCGCGCACCCCGCCGTTTGACGCCGTCAGACGGCGGAATATCATACTCGCTTCCCCCGCCGCAACGGCGGAATTGAGTGCCCGTGGGTTGGATAAGAAGAGTAGAGTACTCTAGAGTATGTGTACGTGCGCAACTTGATCCGGGCCAAAGTGATACCTAAGGTATCACTCGCCTGACCTGGCCTGGCTGGCCACTATTCTCTCTCTCACAAGTCTTGTTTTGTCTAGAGTCCGAAAGCCTCGAGAGAAGAAGACAGAAAAGAGGTGTGATACCGTGGTAGGCAGCCAGTGCTTACAAGTTCCCGCCGTCGTGACCGCGTAAGCGACTATGCAACGAGTGAGATATTATCATATTACATCCGCCACACCGGCCCATTGCGATTTGCGAGTCCTGACTACCAACCTACCTATCGGAGTGTAGATCCTGCGCTGCTCACGCCTCACGCCTTACGGAGCAGCCTGGTACGATATATCATATAGGTACATAGCAATGAAGAAGAGGAAGCAGCAGCTATGGCCATAGCCGGGGATGTTCTCGCGCTTGCATAGGTATACGATATACCCGAGTGATATGACGATATCCGAGTCCAGGCAGCGCGAGTGGATGCATGGCTTATACATATATGCCTATGGCCCATGCGCATAGATGAAGTACCTATATGTAGGTAGGTACTTATGTATCTATGGCGTACACTCTCGCACCGACAGATTGCAGCTAGCCGTCTCGACTCGGGCCACAAACGGATGGATGGATGACTTTGAGAGCCTAGAGAAGCCGGTTGAGGAGAGTTAAACAAGGGATTACTTAAGGCAGGCTGATTGCCCGCGGCCGGCTAGAGAGCCGATACTCGGTCTCACGTAGACAGTATACTCTAGGTACCACCGCCGCTACAACAGCAACATGCAGCAACGGGAACAGCAAGCAACACCACTGTCACCAGTGACCACAGGATTTGAGATCTCAAGATATCATAATATAAGTGCGCGGATACCTACGTTACTACGAGATTGATGGAAGGGGAATGGTTAGTTTGACCGGGGAGTGGCGCGCGGATCCGGGGGGGCATGAGCAAGAGCAACTATATATGGCACTCCCCATATATAGAAAACAGCCCACAAACGAAGTGCATCATGGATTATCACTCCTGCAACCCATTGGTTTCTTATTCACGAAACGGCAAACAAGAGGGCTAGGAGAGATAGTGGGGGTACCGTACCGTACATCGCACTGTATGTAGCAGAGAAAACGAACGGGCACAGTGTGGGCGGCAATTCAATTCCTGCTCGGACTTTCTCTGTAAGACTGCACCCAAGCATTTGGTTATAACTTATTTGTGGCTTCATAGAAGCCGCTTGTACAATTCATTATCATGTATGTAAGTACCCATCCCCAGCTCCCAGCGACCGATTACTCCTTCTCCTCCTCTACCACCACGACCTCCTCCCAGCTCTCGGCCTCCACACACCCGATAACCATCCCCTTCTCCCCACCGCCATAGAACCTCGCTTCAAACTTCCCCTTCTCATGGTTCTTGACGCCCACCTCCACAATCTCGCCGGGCACCAGGTCAATGCCCTGATCCTCCAAGTCGCCACTAAGCACCAGACCCTTGACGGGGGCATTAGCCCTGACCTTCAACTTACCCCTCCACTGCAGCACGCTCAGCCCAGGATCCTTCGACAGCCTCGCATGCTTGAGGGGCTCTGGCCAGCTGACAGTGCGGGCGACATGACGTCCATCCGCGTCCAGCAGATACAGTGCGACCACGACGTCGAGGTTTCCGTCGCGCGTGCCGTTCCAGCCTGGGAGGGGGACGTCGGCAAGCTCGGTGCTCCTGTTGAGCGGGAGCACGAAATCCTCCTTGAGTGTAATAGACTCTACCAGCTTCCCCGAGTAGGTCTGGAAAGACTTGGCCACGAGCTTGTACGGGCCCTGCTCTTCGAGGAGGAAGGAGCCGCCCCATACTTCGATGCGGTGCGAGATCTCGACGTGCGCACCGGTGTAGGGATCCCGAGGGGTCTTGACCTCGATCCTCTTGCTGCCCAGGACGATGGGCGCCAACTCGCGCTTGATGCCGAAATAGGCGATCTTTGGCCGGAAGTAGTAATCGACGATCGCCCAGGAAGTGACGGGCCAGCAATCGTTGATCTGCCAAACGAGAGCACCCGACGTGAGTTCTCTTCCGGGACCCTTCCAGTTGCGGCGCCAAGCGCGGTAGGCGTTCGACAGTGCCTCGGACTGCATCAACTGCGTCGAGTATATGTATGCCTCAAAGGGCTCGAGCTCAAAGGTCATGTTCTCGGCGAGGTATGTGGCAATTCGTCGCTCTGCGCCATCGGCCTTGTTGTGGAACTCAACCGTCGCGCTGAAAGGATGGTTTTCGGTGCTGTTCTTGGGTAGGAATGACTTGATCGTCTTGATATCGGGGAATGCTTCCATGCCGAACTCGCTTACGAACCGACCAGCAAGCTTGTCAAAGTTCTGGTAAGGCTCTTGGGTGCCGTGCCAGACGTTCCATTGGTGGACATCACCGACGGTCAGGTCCCAGCCGTCGGGGCGGTCGGGATTGCCGTAAGGAGAGCCGCGGTGATATTCGGTGCCGGGTGAGTGTGCTTCCACGGCTTCGGGGAGTATCTTCTCGTAAATGTAGCGTGCTGGGAACTGTGTCTTGAGCCAGTTGTCCGGGTTCTTATCGTCGGCCTTGTAACCGAGGCGTCCAGGAAGCCCCCACATGTGCTGCGGATATCAGTGACAGTACACTCGGTGGGAGAAAGGTATACACACCGAGTAGTCCTCGTTGTTACCAGCATATATAACAATCGATGGATGATGTCTTAGCCTTTTCACGACCGCAGCCGCCTCGACCTTGACCGACTCGCGGAATTCCGGAATCTGGGCTGGATAATTTCCACACCCAAACGCAAAGTCTTGCCAGACCATGAGACCAAGTTCGTCGCAGATGTCGTAGAAGCAGTCCTGCTCATAAATTCCACCACCCCAGACGCTAAGGAGAACTTCAGCATACCATCCATCACCCGGGAGGGAGGCCGCAACCGAACTTACCGAACCATCACTTGCCGACCATCCTTGATGATCTCCAACCACTTCCGGTATTTCGCCTCATCCAGCCTGTTGAGAAAGCTGTCGGCAGGGATCCAATTGGAGCCACCCGCCCAGATGGGGATATTGTTGACTTCGAAGAAGAAGCTCAAGCCCGGGGCATCCGCCAGAGGTCGTTGGACCACGCGGACCTTTCGCAACCCCAAAGTCTTGCTATCAGTATCGACGTCGCCGTCCAGAGCCGCGTGTAGCTTGTAAAGAGGCTGTTTTCCGTAGCCGTGGGGATACCACAGCTCTGGGTCTTCAAGCGAAAAGCAGACGGTAGCCTTGCCGGCATCAACGGCAGCCTTGGACTCCAAGACCTTCTCTCCGTCGGGACTGTAAAGCTTGAACATGACCTCCTCGCCGGCACCAACGATCTCTGCTGTAGCAGTAATAATCGCAGTCTTTAGGCATCCTGGGACGTCGACGGTGAAACGGAGTTCTTCGATGCGTGCCGTAAACGTCTCGAGGTACACCGGTTTCCAAGGACCACACGACATGAGCATTGGACCCCAATCCCAGCCCTACGGGTTGTCAGCCAACGCCATCCATACATACAGGGTCCCACACCGCACAGGATCGACTTACGTAATGGTACTGAGCCTTCCTGACGGCCAACCGACTCGGATCACCGTTCCAGCATCCCCACTCAAAATCCGGCCATTGTTCCTTGATCTTCTTTCCCTTGAGGAATGCGCTCTCGAAAAGGATGCTGAGTTTATTCTCGCCGCCGTCCTTCTTCAGATGCTTCGTGACGTCGACACGGTAGGGCGTAAACATGTTGCCGCTGCGGAGGATCTCGCAGCCATTGAGCGTGACAGTAGCGTAGGTGTCCAAACCCTCGAAGACGATTTCCGTCGTGCTGCCACGGGAGTCCGCCGCGGGTGGGGACGGGAAGGTGGTGGCATAGATCCAGTTCTCCTCGCCGACCCACTGGACGTCGAGTTCATTCTGGCCATGGAAGGGCTCGGGGATCAGGTCGTAGGCGAGCAGATCGAGGAAGATCTCGGTGGGCACGCTCTTTACCGCGCGAAAGCTTTCGGTCGCCTCCGACGCTCGCTTGAACGCCCAGTTCTCGGAGAGGGCGGTGGTGGACTTCGACATTGCGGGCGGAGGAGTTCGTTGCGCTGCGGAGATGGCGACGCCGGCGCGGTTGATGAGGACCATTGGCGGTGGGTGCGTGGGTGCGTGGGTGGGTTAACAGGACTTGGGGTAGGACGAGAAATATCTAGTGATTGAGGGAATTGGGGGTGTTCTGGTACCACCACCACAGCAACACCCATACGAGATGTTGCGACATGGAATAAGTAGAGAATCACGTCGGCATTGCCGCCGTGCCGGTGGTTGATAGTGGCGGGCACAGCTGGCGGCGGCGGAGACGGCGAGCGGTGCCGTACATGCGTAGCGTATGTAGCGTCAGGGCCCCAAAGCTCCGCGAAGGACTGCGGGGTAACTCGATGGGATTGATCGACGTGCAGGATGCGGGAATTTGCCGTCCCGGTTTGTATTCTCTCTCTTCGCTCGTCGCAGTACAGACAGATGTGATGGACAGTGGGTTCGGACTCTTCACCTCATGCCCCCCACGTGCACTCCATCACCACCGTGCCTCCAGCACGTCCCCAAGAAGCAAAGGTTGCAACAACAGGCGCGTCTCTCCTGCCAACTCCATCGCCCATCGCGATCGCCATCGCCATCGCCAAATGGCGCTACATACGTGGAACGTTACTCCAAACCGACCCTGGCCGTTCACTAGGAAAAACCGGGGTTTCGCTTCGGCGGTCCGACAGCTCCGCCGCGGCCCGCCCAGCTGCCTAAAAAATATAGGGGCGACGCAGGGATTGGCTTGGCGCTTACGCCTGAGCACGTGACGAGTGAGCGGTAGTGAGTCAGGATAATATCACGATGCATTAAGTAGGCTGATGGTATTTACATTACTCAAGGTGGCAGGCTACGAGCTGGCTATATGCACAAGAGTGGAGACTGGAGTAGGTTGTGGATGTGTTTGTATGTACGTTTTTCAATCGGTCAAGGAAAATATTTTGATCTCCACTCAGCTGAAGCTTGAAGTAGGTAGATAGCCCATGGAAGTACAATTTGTGAACCGGGGCGCGCGAAGCAAACTATCAAGTACATGTATACAATTCCTACTCCTCTACCCTTTCCTTTCCTTTCGCCGGCTTCCGCCCATCCCAAGAACTACATAGCAAAAAAAAGAAACTATTTCTCGATCAAAGATTGAAATGTATCCCTGACGACAAACGCACTCCTCTTGGGAGTCCTCTTCTGCCCGTTCTCATAGTCCGTATACGTGACACCGAACCGGGTGACATAGCCTTCAGCCCACTCAAAGTTGTCCAGGAAACTCCAGGCAAGGTATCCACGAATATCCACGCCGCTTTCCTGGCGGGCCCGCGCCATAGCCGTGATGTAAGTCTTGAAGTACTCGCAGCGGAGTTCGTCGTTGAAGCGATCGTCTCCGGTCTTGAGGTGCTCATCCTTGACCGACGTTCCGTTCTCGGTGACGTAGAAGATGGGCCCGCCGTAGCGCTTGTGCAGCCAGATGAGCAGCTTGCGGAAGCCCTCGGGATTGGGGCGCAGCCAGACGGATTGCGTCTCGGGCCCGATGCAGTCGCCCGCCTTGTTGTAGAAGCTGCACTCGAGGTTGCCCAGGTTGTCGTCGTCCGCCGCTGGTGTGTCGACGTGCTTGATGTAGTTGGCCGTGTAGTGGTTCATGCCGTAGAAGTCGTTGGTGCCTATGACGAGCGCGGACTCTTCGGGTGTGAACTCGGGCAACCGGTCGCCGAGCTGCTTGCGCATGCTGTCGGGGTACTTTCCGAAGTACACTGGGTCGCCGAACCACGAGATGGCGAACTCGAGCTTGCGCTCGGCAGCTTCGACATCGAGGGGGTCTTCCGGATCCCAAGGCTCGGTCCAGTCACCTGAAAATCTCTGTTAGAGGGTGTTGGGGGCAGTGTGTTTGTGAGGTGAAGAGGAAATACCATTCAGTGTGATGCCGATCTGGCCACCTGCCTTCTCCTTGAACTCGGCACGGTAGAGTCGTACGGCCCGAGCATGTGCAAGCAGCAAGCTGTGGGCTGCAATCAGATGCTCCCTCGAGGAGTCACCCTCGGCACTCTTGGTACGGTCCGAGCACCTCCCAGGCGCAAACAGTCCAGTGTTATATCCGAGAACACTCGAGCACCAGGGCTCATTGAGCGTGATCCAGTTCTTGACCTTGGGGAGATGTGAGAAGCATACGCGTGCGTAGTTCTCAAAGTCCAGCTGGAACTCCTCCTTGTTGAGCATGCCGAGGTAACGGTCATGCAGGGCCTGGGGAAGATCCCAATGGAACAAAGTTACGAAGGGCTGAATGTCATTTTCCAACAGCTTGTCGATGAGGTTGCGGTAGTAGGCAATTCCGGCGGGATTGATGGGGTCTGTGCGGCCACCGAGAGGGATTACTCTCGACCATGAGATCGAAAAGCGGTACGCTTTGGCACCGTAGGACTTGAGGAGCGCGACATCTTCTTCGAGGCGGTGGTAGGCATCGCAAGCGACGTCACCGGTTTTGCCGTCGGCGGTCTTGCCGGGGGTGTGGGAGAAAGTGTCCCAGATGGAGGGGCCACGGCCATCCTCATCGGCAGCTCCTTCGATCTGGTAACTTTTGGTGGGTTAGAACTGGCCTGGGTAGTCAATCGATGGAAATGAATTGCCGTACCTAGCTGTAGCATAGCCCCAGAGGAAGTCCTTCGGGAGGGAGAGCTTTTTGGAGGCCTCTTCAGCCATGGCCGTTCTTTCCGATACTGTGCTTGATGGATTTGAGGGATTCGTGTGCTGCCCGGTACTACTCCGAGACTTGAAATAGTTGATGAGGCGTTGAAGCGGTGTATCGCGGGGCAAGGCCGACATAAGTAGGCTTTTTCTTGGAGCTGATGGCTCAAGAAGCTGACAACGAGCGCGGGGTATTTCTGGTACTCGGTCCGTAGCAGATTCACCTCACCTCTGGCAGAAACCTAACCAGCCCAGGGAGTCTATATGCTGATCGGAGGCTGGACATCAAAGACCGCAGCTAGGGCAGAGGCATGAGCTCTTTACCAACATTTAGGGTCCACGTCTAACCGGTAGCCCAGCGGCGTTTGCGTTCGGCACCTAGTGATCCGCAAGCTCCTGCGATGCGCGATGCCCATAACTGTTTCGTCGGTGCGCTCTTCCAATGCACGTCATGCACAAGAAGTGGGCGAGGCGGGGAACGGGGGAAACATAGAGGGAACTAGTTTAGCTCGTGAGCGTCAAGATCGGCCAGTTTGGTCGTCCAAAACCGTTGCCCAAGACATTGCCTGCCATAATTCTGCGAGCGATCGTCGGATTCCACCAGGAAATGTGGGGGTTGTGGGAACGGTTGCCGAGTGCGGGGTAGAATTTTAGCAGCTGCGACAAGGGAAAGGTGGAACACTGTATCCAAGATGGAAGGAGGAATGTTGTTGGCAGGCACGGGAGATCCTCGGAGGTGCACTATGGAATACCACGCAATCAAGAAATCACGTGTTGGACGGAAACAGGGACCGACTTTCCGCTGTCCATCGTCGAACACGAAGCACTGATACCGGTCAGTATCAAAAGGGGCCAGAGTCTATTCGACCACTACTGCGGCTGGCGATGGATTCCGTCCCGTTTGTCCGGCGTGGAGCCAACGAAAAATCAAGGCTGATAGTGTGCGCCACGAACTATCACCACGCAGCAATAGCGACTGCAATGATGAAATTTTAAAACAAGAACTTAGAACTACTCACGTGATCCATGTTTCAAATTGTAGTTCTTTCCTTAAAGCCATGGTGTTTGCGTTTTCGACCGTCCGGGCTGAGCGGAGCCCTGTCGGTGCCTGTTCGCTCCAAGCCAAATGTCAAGTCCAATGCGGAGTATCTTGTCGAGTTTCACCTTCGAGTTTGGCGACATAATAACCCCGTGGGAGAATCCTTACGGGGCTATAGGCTATAATGGTTTATTCGTTAGCTACGAAAAGAGGGGGTGGCAAGACAGATATACCGTACCTTTATCTTTGCGGGGTTCGCGCTTGATGGATTTGAGCTTTTGTCCAGACCTATGTACTAGTACCTGCTGCTGTTAAGGCTGTATTCTAGCTTCTGATGCGAGATGACCATGCTTATATAGCGTGGTCGTGGGGACATCCTGGCGATTTTTTTGGCGTCTGCTGTTGGTTATCTACTGCTTCTCCAACAAAGTTTTCTCTCTACCTAGGATTCTAGCAATGTTTCTCGATTTGTATCTGCGAAGGTTAATAGAATCTGATAACTCCTTACGACGTGGACTTGTCAGACGGGCGTGAAGGCATAGTCACAGCGGAGACATATGCGATTAATGCCCAACCATTGTAGCAGGCGAGGAGTACGCCGCCGCAGAGGCTGGGAAGCCAAGATCAAGCTGGCCATGTGGACTGACGGCTTTCGCCTGGAGAATGGTGTGACAGGCTAAGAAGTCGCTTGGGAAAATCACGGCTCAAACCCCACATGAGTGGGGACAGGAGGTAATTGACGCCTAGTGTGTGCGCAGCATGAGCTAGGGAACCGAGGAAAGAAGCTGACTGAGCGAATCTGTGCAGGCTCCACACCGTCACCGTATTCGCGGATACCTAGACAGCTTCATATCAGCAGGCCGAAGGCGGACGAGCCAAGATTCGGGCAAACGTACGCCATCGAGGTGTGGCACCACATCAGTACTCTCTAGCAGGCCAAGTCCATATCATGTTCGAGATCCGGCGATGCCCTGTTACGAAAACATGGCCAGTAATGACACAACGGACAGGTAGCTGAAAATAGCTGCGGAAGGACCGGACGCCCGCGGCGTTGAATGGTCCCCATCTAGGAATCGGTACGGGAGGGGCGGCTAGCTCTTCCGAGGTCACAACCAAGCCCGAAAAGATACATCTTCGAAAACAAATAGCCAGAAGCGTGGGACTGGGCGACTGATCGGGTGCGATACAAAGACTACAAGCCGAATCGACGGAAGACGCCCGTCAAGCGCCACGATCTCATACCAGTGCAGGATAGGAAACGCTGTGGCGGAGTGATAGCGAAGCTGTCGGCGAGATGAGGAAGTGAAGAAGAAGCTGTCGACGGGAGGAAACCAATGGGGTTAGTAGTGGGCATCAACGTTGGTGAGCATGGCTGGGTCGGCCAGATGAGGAGGGTGAGAACTTAAGCTGGCACCCACGGGTTTTATTCTTCTTTCTTGATCATCATCTATCGAATAGACGGTCAAACTCCCATCTCCGCTGTCTCCTCTGTGTGTGCTCCCTTCTTCGTCAGGCCTGAAGAGGCATTGACAAAGAACCCTCGCAAAAACACAGAGCGGTCGGGTCCTGTCAGCTAAAGTCCGGCCGCCCGTTCACCGGGCACGACCTTCAATGGTCCAAGAATCGGCCCAGTGCTGTGCACTTGCGGGGCGAGCGGCCGACCATCCCCGAGATCCGGGACCACCTAGGGTTCAATCGGTGTCCGGCGTATGTAGATGGAGCACCAAAGGAAGATAGCGCAAGGTCAAGAAGATCGCCCAAGTGGGAAAGGATTGATGTCGAATAGATAGACAACCTATCTGCAGATGAGTGGTGCAGCCGGGGCAATCGTGAAATTTCTCGAGACGATGGATGTACATAGACAGGAAGGACGGCGCCCACGGCGGAAACGGCAGAAGCTTGCGAAGCATAAGGGCGAGACGAGGAGCTGGAAGAAGAAGGGAGGACGAGGTCTGTAGGGCGGGAAGAGGGGATGCTTTCGTTGTGTAACTTTCTTTCCTTTTGTGTACATTGCCATAATCTTGATCGGCCACATGCAATCAATGATGAATTAAGAAAAAAATCAACATCTTGCAATGCAGGAGGTTGAACTCCCGTCCGGAAGGAGCGATCGGCCCGTGTCTATCATTGCACCAACGCGAGCTCTACACAAAAATTTCCGACATCAAAATGTTTAACTGACCGTTTACACCGAATACAGTGATTTCCCCATCCCAGGGCACAGGCGCCTTCTTGTAAAAATTTCCCCATGGGCCATCACCCCCGGTCACTGTCCGACTCGAGCGGGTTATAGGTATACTGGCAACGCCTTCGATTTCGTCTGTCCACTCCCATCGCTAGCTTTCCCACAGCTCTGCTTTTCCTTCCATTTGTTATAACTTTTCGAGCCCCCAGACACCCTCACACCGGGTTCACAGTTGGGGCGGCGAGAGACCCGGCAACGGTAACGAGTGAGATCCCATGCAATTCGCGGAGTACGAGCTCCTACGTTTCGCATTGGAACAGAGAATATGCCCTGAGAAAGGGCCCTCGCTCGGGCTCGGCTTTTCTACAGGACCGAGCTGCTACAGCGAAGGGATTCCACTTCTGACGTCTCGTCATCTCCCAGCAGCCGCGATGATGCCCACACACACAATGCGTGGCGGTATCGGGAACCGTGGCCGGCATTGGGACTCGGGAACCGTGGTCGGCACATATGGGGACGTGGGAGACATGCCGTGCGACCGTAGGAGTTAATCACGTATCCGGACTCTACGGTTGATGGCTGCGTCTCCCAAGCTGTGTGTATGTACCGTATCTAGTGATCGGTGGTGAGTTAAGTAGCTAGAGCACCATACAAGCGAGACAAAACGGCCCCCATGTACGCAGATTACTCTCACACGTGGGAGGAAGTTCGAAGACAGGGAAGAAGGAGGGGGTTAGCCACCATAGTTGTGGTTATGGTTATGGGGTACGTACTAGCCATACCGATGGAGAATCCTCCAGGATAGCCTGGATATACATATAGGGGGATCCACGACCCCACGCCCGTTTCCTGGACGTTTACCTACATAGAGTACATACCTAGGCGCTTGAGACAATCTGCCGCAAGGGGAGGCCGGGTTTCGGATCAGGATCAGGATTGTGCATAGCCTCCACCGGTGTGGAAACTCCGGGCGTGAAAGTTGGCTGGGAGAGAATATCTACCTACTACCTGCCTGTAGTATAGCGGTGGAACTCCGGTCGTGATTCGATGGGTTCGGGCCGTTTCCAGAACTTTGGCCTCTGGAGTAGAGTGGCTATGTCATATGATATGTCGAGTACTTACCGTGGGATCGGTTTCAAACTCTCAATAGGTCGACAGAGAAATATAGTAGTTAACGAATTCGATATGGGGCTGGCCGCTGGCCGTTGGTCAGAGGGGTTCTGACTAGGTATGAAGTAGCTGAGTGACTGGATGGTTCATCCAGTTTAAATTTGAGGGTTCGGCGCATCTCCCCGGTAACTACATCTTACTTCTTCTGTAGGTACCAGTTGCGCATATTCAGGGGATTTCGCTTCAGTTCGACGCCCCCGAGCACAGCCTCCGGGTATAGAGACAGGTAGGTAATTTACTAGTAGACTACTAGGTAGGAGGTAACTACGATTTCTGGGTAGATGTGTCAACCCCTATGGACCTATGGTGCAAAACTCCTTGGCCGTCGGAATTCCACGAACAAAACATTTGTTTTATCCGCAGTAAGCGACGGGATCGCCAGGATGGTGCGATTGCGATGCACCCACCGCCACTGCCATCATCAGTGTCAGTGGATCACTCCTGCCTTGAAAGGCGGCGACGCAGGCGAAAATCGGAACCAGCAGTATGTACATAGTACATACCCTCAACAATCAGCAGCCGAGAGAACTTATCGGTAACAGTTGTGTGGCGTATGCAGAGTTATCTGAACCTCACTATACCTATGGGGTGTATAAAAAACCTCCACCTTCATCCACAGCCTTTCAAAAATCCAGACACCTGCCCTATCAGAGCTGGTCTGGTCTGGTCCGAGTATGATAGATATCAGTTAAGGCTGGGCAGTTCTTGGGTTCAACTCAACTTAACCATAGCCACGGAAAGTGCGGATGAGTGAGGGTGAGTGTGAGACCGGGGAAGGCGGAATATGGAGCTCTAGCCTCCATCATTTGTGGAGCAAAGAGTGGTGGCATTTCGGCCGAAGAGAAGTAGAATGCCAAGAGAGTACTTGGAATACATAGGAGGGATCAAGTTGACGATACGTTTCAAGCTTCTTCTGAGAAGCGGTGCCTGAGGGATGGAATGATAACCACCAGCCCAAGGTACCTACCCAAGGTATCTATCCCAGCGGCGCCAGCGGCCAGCCATGGTGATGGAAGGCTGACTGTTGACTTACTGATGGCAGCATGTGTCAACTTGGTACTCGACCTAAGATGTAGTTATGTGGAGCTGATCAATTCACATCCAGTCTATCTATGGGCTATACCTAGTACCTTTACCGTAGTATCATACCCGGTTCCTGGCGCCGCAACACGATGTAGTTTGTCTCCAATAACGAGACGATTCCTCGCAGCAGCATTGCAGCAAAGCTTTCATGAATCATGGCATGATATGATATGTAATCTGTATATAGTTACCTCAGACCTATCGATTGAACGATCCCACGGCCCCCGCCCATTTTCTTTCGTTCTTTCGCAAACCACACCACACGACACCCCACAGCGCCCGCCCGCCCGACCTCCCGACCAGACCTGCGTATATCGGTGCCGACAGCCTCGTCGTTGCAGTACTACGGTACGATCCCACCCATATACATATGGGTATTTCGCTACGCCGCCGCCGTGCGTCGGTAACTATGTGTTTCTCGCAGGAAATTCACGCGCTGCCGGCCGGAAATCTGCATCTGCACCTGTAGCTGTAAGCGCCGAACTCGATGCTGATTGTTTGGTTCCTAGCGACTTGCAGAGCAAGTGTCATCCGCGAATCCTGGAAGTATCTGTCTAGGTATCGGATCATGTACCAGGTTCCTTCCATTCCCTTCCAGCGGAAGGAAAGAGCGAGAAGCTACATGGAACCTGGAAGCCTGCAGCCTGCAGCCTGCGGATGGGGATGCACGTGTACTCCACGGTACGGCAGAAACATGTGCTTCCGAGTCCCCACTTCGAAGTTCGGAGATCATTGATGTGACATGATGTGATGGGTGACCCTGACACTTCGGTAGGGAGAGTATGTACATAGAGTAATCGCCGGGCGTCGTATGACGCCTGCGGCCTGCCTGTGTGGGTAGGTGGGTGAACGGATATCTGAAACTCGTGGAGTCGAGAAATGTAACAACGTACTTGCTTATTTGCCTGCGAGTGCTAAACCAAGCATTCGCTCGCTCGCTCGCTACTGTGGTAAATCCATTCCGAAGTGTCCACTGTCCGGGACTCCGGGGAAATTAGAAGTCTATTTCAGTGCTCGGGACTGGATACAACCTCATTACCTCGTGCGATTGGGAGGTTCGTCCTCAGCCGCGAACCATAAACACAAACCGTTCCGCTGGATCGGACTTCGAAGAACTTTGCGAGCTGCAATTGGTGTGGACAGAGCTCAAAGGAAAGAGCCGACATTCAGCTGTCATAGGTAGTACCTATTGCCGAAAGTGATGTTTCCCGACGATGATGTTTCCCGACGATGATGTTTCCCGACGATGATGTTTCCCGACGATGATGTTTCCCGACGATGATGTTGCCCGACACCAAAATCAACTTCCCATCATGTTATCCTCTTGAGTCGTCAACCCCGGCCTCACCGTCGCCGAAGGCCATACAAACGGTATTTCTCGCCACTCTACCTTTGGCGCAGCCCTCTTTCCATTCACGCCACCGTTAGACAGAATGACAGACAGCCAGACAGACAGGAGGAAATTGCTTTTCCTCACCTCACCGAGATCGCATGTTCGTGTAAAGTAGTGACATGGGGACTCCGCGCTAACGAGTCCTGGGACCTGACGTGAGCCCCCCTACCTGGACCCTGGTTGTTTCACGGGCCGAGAAATGCCGAGACAGAGAGAGAATGTTTGTTCAGGAATCAGAGTGGTTGCCGGAGTTAGAGTAGAGTAGAGTATCGTACAGATCTACAAGCGAGCTGATAGGTATAATGTACTCTACATAGAGTACCGTACAGTCACAGCATAGAGGGCGTATGTACGGTACGCCTATCATGTGACGCTCCAGAGGACCGTCGGCGGCGGTGTGTGAGCGAGCCCAAGAAAACTGCAGGCTGCGTACGCCGTCATACGCCGTACGTACGTACATGATCTCCCGCCGGCGTTCGCTTCATGGCCCGGCAGAAGCGAGCTGGAGCCTGGAGCCTGGAGCCTGGACGGACTTTCACTGTTCAGCGGCGGTCGATCGCAGGGCTGCACCAGTAACCAATCTGCGTATGTAGTATAACTACCACAGAATACTTGGGTATACGATGCTTGGGTACTTGGCTGCAGACTGCAGTCATGCGGCACTCCGGCCTGGGTTCGGGATCAGGCTGCTGTGTATCCGGTATCATACATGCTGTGTGTTTGGGTGTGTGGCATCGTAGGTATCACAGGTCCCGCCGCGGTGGATACATACAACCCGAGCCCGAGGAAGGACTTAGGAAAGTACCTATAATATAGTATAGACTGATAGTGGGATGAAGCCTAATTGCTCCCGGATTCGATCCATTATATTCCCCTCATCGTCACTGTATGACTTCCAGTAGCAATCTCCCATACAGTGCACAGTCATGAATGATAAACATTCGCGTACCTAGGTACCGCTCAATCAAGTGACGAGAATTGAACCAGGCATCGCGATGTACCAGTAAAATGTACCTATATCAGCAAAGACGAGTCGGGCATGAACACTATCATTACGTTGTGCAAACCCATTCTCCGGAAGTTCCATAGTAGTACCGGTAGTATCCACACGCCTCTCTGTGAGACGTTTCCACTCGAACCGCACCGCACCTACTCACTCTTTACGGCCTCCCATTGACGAGTCCTCACCCATCCTTGCGCCATACGTTATCGGACTCCACCACGACCACCGCCATCCGCACTCCGAGCAATCAAGAGCCTACTGTAGAGGCCGATCTTTCTAAGTTCTGCTATCCAATATCCAGTATCCACGCCTTTGCATACGGCGGTGGACTCGTCTGGCGTTGCCTCCCGTCAGTGATGCTGGCCGCTGGCGCACGGAATGCATCGACCGACCGACGACCAGTAACGAACATATCGGATTGTTTGAGTCGGTTGTTGCGAAGCGATGGAGGAGCTGTCAGCGAGGGGAGGACTTGTCAGCGGGAGGAAGCGAATGTGGTTAGTCATAGGGAGCATCAGCGTTTGGCGGGTCTAACAGGGTCGCCTGCTTCTTCTTCTTCTTCTTCTTCTTCTCTTTCTCTCTCATCATCTACCGAATACCTAAATGATCAACCTCTATATCTTCTCTTTCTTCTGTGTGTGGGATCGTTGCGATGGTGGGAAGTGAATGGGTGTTGCACTGGAGTCTAGATTACCGGTATGTACATTCATAAGTATTCAACTATATGCTGACGTCGCAGCGGCTTCGAGAACATCTTCTCCGGCGAACCTCCCGAGTCCCGACGACGTCAACATTGCGACTCCGAGACAGCCTTCGCTAAGATTTTATTTTTCATTTTCTTACACTCGGGTTTTCCCACCTCGCTCCACGATCTACATGCTCCTGGGTGGATCCGGACGATGGACAGCCAGTGTTCAGTGGTCACAAGGGTTCTTTTAGTGGCATTTACCCCACACCTTCTCGCGGGTCGCAATCAATTAATGCCCGACGGCCCAGGTTACCGACCACAAAAAGAAACAACACCGACAACAACGGCAACGATGCACGCAGCACGACTGGAGGCTAGCAGAGGCGAACAAGCTTCGAGCTGGGCGCAGGCTTGTCGGAAACGGATATATGGCATGTGGCCCACATTCTCCGAGACATCTTCGGGGAGGGAGGGGTGTGTGTGGGTGAGGGTGGCAGTGTGTGTGTGTCCCGGCCCGGACTGACGCTGGAGATGCGGAAGCCAGTCTCTGCGTTCCCCCTTCCCCCGCATTCTGGGAATATGTATGCTATGTACTAGTACTTCTCCACCTATGCACCAAGGCCGCGCGAGCATCGTTCCCATGCCCAAGTACCTGCTATTCCCAACTATGCGGTTTACATATCCGTGCAAGCTCCCCATCTTTGCTACATAGGCTCAACTACCCCTCCGACGATATTCACACACATACCTGCTTACTTACATGGCCTATACCGAAGGCCTTACCGGTCCGCGTGGCTTTCGCTTAATCGTCCTCAGATGTGGTACATATGGGAGATTGGAAAGAAGGAAAGAGAGAAAAACAGAAGACAAGCCCCAGCAGACTCTGGTCTATGATATAGTACCATATGCTGCGATGCTCGCTTTCGCCCCGTTCGGCTCTCCCGAGAAAGAGCTACCTATGGATGTGCATACTATATTTTACGTACCGTACATCATGCCTCACCTCCCTGAACACACCCCTCCTCCATAAAGAGATGGAGTAGTTACCGGTAATATATGCTTGCACTAAGCTGTATGTACTTGCCTGTGTATGTATTACTTGGTTTCTGCATACGAGTAAGCGTCTCTGGAATGCACTTTAGCGTACCGGTTGATACTATACGGTACAGACAGGTACTGGCCTCTTAAGAAGAAGATCCCTCTGCACCTTCCTTCCCCCGCCCCGATGCTCATCGGTTCCGGGGTAGGTTTGTATCTTTTCGCCAATTTTTGACAACATATTCTCAGCAACCAATATATAGTAAACCGTCCCTTCTATCGGTTGGTGGGGCCCCCACTCATTCATTCCCATTCCCCCTTGGGTGAGCAACTGGGAAACAAATACACACCTTAAGGACGACCGATCTGCCTTTGGCGGCTCTCCGGCAGCAAAACACACCCACCCCGCCAGGTCGCAATCCACCTCTCATCGGAACACACACCCACAACACCCGCAAAAATGTCGCCATCACATCGGCCGCCGCGCTACGAGATGGAACGGGACGACACTGATTTCGAATCGGCAAGCTACCGCAACACACTTGACTCGTCAGTCTACAGGAGTCGATACGAATCGTACGCCTCGTATGGCACGGACACGCCGGTTCACCAACACATCACCACCGTCGCCCATGTCGGCTTCTCGGATGCACTGCTGGCGCAGAAACCCCAGCCGTTCACACGGACTATGTTCAAGCTATACTTCTTCCTGTTCATCGCATTCCTGAACTCGTGCATCAACGGCTACGATGGAAGTCTCATGGGCGGCATTAATGCCATGAAGACATATCAGAAGTATGTATTTGCTTCGCCCCTCTTATACCTAACATTCCATACACACCCTACATATGAACTGTAGACTGATGATTCGCCCGTTGAAAAAAATAAAGTTATTTCAACATGACAACAACAGGTTCGAAAACGGGTCTGGTGTTCTCGATATACACGATCGGCAATATCGTTGGTTCCTTCTTTTGCGGACCGTTCACGGTAAGCTTTTCGGTGTTGGCGCAATGGTCGGTTATTGCGCTGTTGTTGTTGTTCGAGAGGGCCGGGGGAGCTGATGTTCCGTCGTTCAGGACTGGTGGGGTCGGCGTTGGGGAATGTTCATCGGAGCTTCCATCATCATTGCGGGGACTTGTATTCAGGCTCCTGCGACCAATCAGCTCATGTTTATGGGCGGCCGCTTCATACTCGGCTTTGGAGGTTTGTTGCCCCCGTTCCAGTGTTCCGCACTCCGTAGTATGCGCGCGCTGACATTCTTCTTTTTTCTTTTCTTTTTTCAGTTGCGACATGCGCAACGGCAGGACCTTCGTACGTCGCAGAAATGGCACATCCCGCGTGGCGAGGAACACTGACCGGAATGTACAACACATTCTGGTTCGTGGGAGGAATTCCGGCAACTTGGACCATCTACGCGACCCAGCAACTCGAGGGCGACCTTTCGTGGAGGCTCCCCATCTGGTTGCAAGCAGTCGCCTCAGGAGGCGTCATCTTGGGTTGTCTCTTTTGCCCCGAGACACCGCGATGGGTACGTACATACCTATGAGTACATGTGATATGATTGGAGCTGTTCGCTGAGAAGTTGTTTCGTACCACATAGCTTGTGTCTAACGACCGCCATGCCGAGGCCATCAGTGTCATGGCGAAATACCATGGAGAGGGGGATAGGAACTCGCCCATCGTCCTCTTGACGTATCGCGAAATGATCGAGGAGATCACCACCGAAGGTTCCGACAAGCGGTGGTGGGATTATGCTCCGCTCTTCAACTCGAGGAGTGCATGGTGGAGAATGGCTTGCGTTGCGGGCATGGGATTCTTTGGTCAGGTTTGTTTCCCGGGAAAACAAAGGCTTTTCGACTTCACATGCTGAACTGTTCCGCAGTGGTCTGGAAACGGCGCTGTCTCATACTTCATGCCCGTCCTGCTGGACACCATCGGCGTCAAGGACGAACGGACACAACTGCTGTACAACGCGATCCTCAACGTGCTCTCGTTCATCACGGCGACATTGGGAGCTCGATTCGTGGACAGTTTTGGACGGCGGCCGGTGCTTCTCATTTCGACCGCGCTCTTCGTGGTGCTATGGACCGTCATCACCACTCTGACAGCCATCTATGCCAACAAGGAGAACGAGAACCTCGCGGGATCGAGAGCGACCATCGCCATGATCTACGCCTTCGGCATCACCTATAGTTTCGCATACACGCCGCTGCAGGCACTGTATCCGGTCGAGTGTCTCTCGTACGAGACTAGGGCTAAAGGAATGGGGCTGTACAATCTGATTGTCAATATCGCCGCCTTCTTCAACGTAAGTGATCGCACACGGTCCCATGGTGTCGCCGAACCGTCGACTGACTGACTGACTGACTGGGTAAACAGACATACGCGATTCCAACTGTGTGGGCCAAGATCAAGTGGAGGTTCTACTTTGTCTTTATTGCATGGGACGTCTTTGAGGTCGTTTTCATCTATTTCTTGTATGACACCTACGCACCTTCCATCCAGCGGCCCGATTTTAGAGCTAACATGTCGTTGCTACAGCTTCGTGGAGACGAAAGGCCGCACGCTCGAAGCCATCAACGAAATCTTTGAGGCGCCATACCCAAAGAAAAAATCGATACAGAAGCACATAGTCGTCGTCACCGACCGGGGAATAGTCGACAAGGGCCTCGAGGACAGCTACTAGTAGTACTGACGAATTACCAAGAAAAAAGACTTTCCTTTCTTTTATTCTTCTTTTTTTTCTGCTTCAGTGCAGGTTTTTTATTCTTCTTCTTTATTCTTCCTCCTTTTTTGTTTTGGATATCCTGTATAACGTATCGATCGAATGTACATTTCACGAATTCAACCCACCCACCTACCCACCCACCACCCCACGGCAGCGCGGCGTTTTTTCTTTCTCTTTCTTTCCGGTCCTTTGCATACTAGTTGTTTTTTGGTCTTTTCTTGTCTTGTCGTGTCTGGCTTTGTATTTCCATTTTCGCCTTATGCATAAAGTAAATTGGGGGACCGGGGTGCGGTGAGGCGGGCGCGGGGGCGGGGACGGGGACGGCTGGGGATGGGGCTGGGGCTGGGTTTGGGACTGGGGCTGCGGCCGGGGCTGGTCATCATAGGGGCACGCAGAGTGGAGCGATGGATGGGGATGGGATGGAGAACAATGGAGAACAATGGAGTAACTACTACAAAGTACAGAGTACTGGTTTGCGGGATTTCTTTGTGATTCTCGACTTCAATTTTTTCTTCTTCTCATGGTACATACCGGTAGGCATGTAACTGTAAGCACCTGAGTCGGTTTCATCCTCGTGTTGAGACTCGATTTATGTCGATTGATGTGATTGATGTCTCGGTCTCGGTCTAGGACTCAGCGAGCCGGCGGCCCTGTTCCACACACCGGTGTACCGTCCGAGTACTAGTACTTCTCGGACTCGTAGACTCGCACGGATGTCCGGCAAAGAATTGAAGATAGATACAGCCTGTATGTAACCATGTGTATGTGGATGTGGATGTAGCAGTAGGTACTGTAGCAGTAAGCAGTAACTAACAAGTAGTTGGTTCGACGACCCGACAGCTTCGTCGTCGGGTTCCCGGTCAGCTTACTTGACATACTGACAGACTTGACAGACTTGACAGACTGGAGGCGCATTCCGGGGGCGCAGAACAATAGTACTATGTATTGCACCGCATTGCTCCCTTGTGTATAATACCGATGGGGGCGCCGACGGTGTTGAATCCTGATGCCTGTGGCGATAGCTAACTGGGTAACTAGTACTTACTTGGGTAGACCGTAACTTCCCTCACCGCGCGCATGTGGTGCGGCGGAATGAATACGACTGACGGCGACTGGTGGCGTCCCTGGCGGCGTCCCGGGGGGCGGGGATTGGGGGGCGGGTATTTGGGGGCGAGAATGTTGACGGTCGCTTCGTGGTTGGCTACATATCACACCTTCTCTAGAGTATCTACTTGTTAAGATGTACCTGCATGCTTGGTGCTTGCACTGCTTGGTGGTCAGCTTGCGGACCAGCTAGCACTGGCGACTGGCGAGGAATGGAACGTTACTGGTATGCATAGCAGGTAGTACCTTGCCCTTGACACTTGCCCTTGAGCCTGAGCCTGAGCCTGAGCCTGGCCCCGTGTATCAGATAGAGTAGAGCACACGACGGTGACTACAGTCTACAGTCTATCGTGCGGTATAGAGGAGGTATCTATACCGAGGTCGGCATGCAGTCGAGCGAGAAGTTCCTGGGTAGTAGAACAGATAACTCACATTCCCATTGCCGCCGCCGTAGCCCGAAGCAAACTCATTCTCGAACATGACGAAGTCGTGACTCGGAACTCAAAACTCAAAACTCAAAACTCGGAATTCGGAATCAACGGAAGCCGAGCGACGCGCAAGCCTGCGATTCTTCGATCGGCTAGCCGTCCGGGCCCAGGGTGAGACACTCGGGACACCACTACGGTAACTACTACGGTAACTACTACGGTACGGTACATATCTAGTACGGTGGCTGGGCTGGGATAGCTGGGATGGCTCCGAGTCTTCAGCCGGATCCACTGACGAGCCGGATTCTGGGCACTGTAACGTCGAGCCTTCAGCCATGGGTGTGGTGAAGGGAGGGTTGATACGGTAGAGCGCCGAGCGGAGGTTGGTAAAGAAGAGATGAGCACTCGAATGTCCGGGAGACTTAACATGGTAAGCGGCAAGTTCACTTGTGCTCTCAGCCGGTATACATACTCTAGTAGATGGAGGCATGAAGACACTCGCGGAGAATGTCGATATCCAGCCTTCAGGCCCCGGTACATCAGTGAATAAACACGCATACGTCACAACCGGAGCACATCCGCAGTTAAACATGTATCTACTCGTAGATCTTCGGATCATCTACCTATCATACACCACTCAACTGATACCTCCTGGCGTCGATCCCCGAATTCGGTGATGATGTTCCACCACGTCGAATCACATAGTATCACTCGCTTGCCGGTACCGTGTCCACGGATTGGCTGCAAATGAAAATTGATATTCTCTCTCGCTACCCGCAATCATATCCCCATATTCCGGGCTTAGATACTGTAGGCATGCAATCGAAAATCCCACAAGCTCCTATCTGTAGCACCCGAGCAGTCGATATTTTTAGTTCGGGATATTGGAAATTGGACTTTCCACGGAGATGCCTACCTGGAGTATCATCCTGTAGGTTCCCGCATTGTCGCCTCCGCACGTAGAGGGGGGATCATGATTAGCAGCCAGGACCCAAGCCAGGAACCGCCGACTGACTGTGCGGTTTCCGACGGGCAATATGCAATATGCAATATGTGAATTCCCGGACGATCACTCTCAGCTGATACAGTGGCACCGCACCGCCGTCGTACACCCCGAGCTCTGTCTGTACCCGTTAACCAAATCTTTCGTCGAAACCCGACACCGTACGTGGAGATCCTAATTTACCGGTATTCGCCTCCAAACGAGCCGGAAGATGAGATCCCCCGGCTGGCTGGCTGGCTGGCTGGCTGGCTGACGGTCGAAATCACGGCTCGTCGCAGTGAGAATCCTGTCTGGACTCCAGGCTGCTCGTTCGGGCCAAAGAATGACTGCCTCCTCCCCCCGCCTGCGAGCTACGTCCCAGCACATACATACATAAGTACACGACAGCACGCGCTCGCGGAGTCGCCGCTCGCTCGCTACGATAGTTCAGAGGTACCCAGTAACCCAGAAGAAGGAAACCACACCAACCACACCCCGGCAACCGGCAGATCTACATACCCGTAACCCGTTCACGAAGTTTTCCGGGCATACTGCTTGAGTCCTTGCACTACTCTAGGTATAGGTACACGTACATAAGCACTCGTGCACATCAATGATCGCCGTCGCCCGCTTTGCTTACTGCAACAATCCGTGTACATACCGACCCGGTGCTACACCGGCCGTGAAAAACTGTGGTCCGGATGCATACATTGTACCAAGACTTTTTAGTGCGAAATTTGTCCATCACGTGGAATTTTCCCCTCGCTTTCTATTCCGCCTTAGTTTGCCGTAATTTTGTGATTACTGAAGGAAAACATTTTTCTCCATTTCTTGGCATAGGAATGCAGTCGACTGCAGTCGACTGTAGTCCGTCCTGACCTCAAACCCTTTTGGACTAGTCCGTCCGAACACCGCTCCGGACGGATTGCCGAGATACAGTCCAGTCCGGTCGGAGGCCCAGGACGGACGGACTGGACTATGTAGAACACTGTATCAAGTAGCTACTCAGTATGTAGCACAGCGCTTTCTTCATTTCCTCCAGCCTTCGGGTATTAGGTGGGGCGGGGACGGCCCCGCTTGCTCGGGAAGAGTGGGTGCGTGGTATTCCAAATGCACAGAGGAATATATTGAACCCACCAGCGGTGTTCATGGAAGGAGGTGCGTGGACGGGTACCAAGTATTGATCCGATTCCCATCCCTAGGGTACAAGGAATGCGGCAAGCCGCAATTAAGTAAATGCGAGCCTGCCTGTAAACTTGCTCCTGACACAAAATGCGGCTCATTTGCTCTAGTGATTCAGGCTTCTGCTAGTAAATTGGCCTATGCTGAGGCAATAGGCGGTTGGTAGTAATTGCGGCCAGTTTACGATGGTCATATTGGGCGAAGGCCAGTCAATGGGCGGTTAGTAGTAAATGCAATGTCTCTCCACCACGCTCTTCGGGCAACCGTTGGTAAAATGATACCTTACCGCTCATTAGGCTTTCGGCTCGAGTGTTGAATAGGCTTTGATTTATAAATGGAGCATTTTCTCCTTATTCTGTCGGCCCCGCCATGCGTGCCCCCGCCATGCCCACTAACGTTGATGCCCGATACTAACCACATTCGCTTCCTCCCACAGAGAGCTCCTCCATCACTTCCTCCTCTCCCCAACAACTCCTCCTCTCCTCCTTCTCTCTACCAGCTACTGCTTTCCTCATCTCGCCATCAGCTCTTCCATCACTTCCTCATCTCGCCACAGCTCGTCTTCTCCTACTCTCGTCCTCTCATCTCGCCAACAGCTCTTCCTCTCCTCATCTCACCAACAGCTCCTCCTCTCGCTGACAGTCCTCCTCTCGCTAACAGTCCTCCCCTCGCTGACAGTTCCTCCCTTCTCTCACCAACAGCTCCTCCTCCCGCTTCCCCCTGTCGTCGATAGCTCCTCCATCACCGTCGTTCACTCTCTCACAGTCTCTGGTCTTCCTACAGCAGGTACGTATTGCGCTACTAGACCTAGCTCGCTGTTGATACCCCACTGTCATCGCCGGCATTAATAGACTATCTATTGAGCATGTAGGTCATGTTGAATGTGTGCTAAGGTACTCGGGTGAATGCCGGAGAGCGGGAAGGGTGGGGAGAGTGGGGAGAGTGGGGAGAGTGGGGAGAGTGAGGAGGGCGGGGAGCCGGGGAGAGGCGGGTTTTGGTTTGCATAGGCGCGGAGGGGTGGATATATATGGGGTGAACAGCAGCAGCTATCATACATAGAATCACAGCAATTTCAAGCAGCAGTTCGTGCTCGTGTATTGTTCAGGTCAGCCATATAAGCTCCTAAAAGCCGTATGGGTGACAGCGCCCTTTTAGAACTCTTGTATGTAGAGCCTTTTTAGACTATAGAGCCCTTGAAGACTATCGAGCCCTTTAATAGCCGGATTAGGGCCTTTTTAGGAGCCCTTTAATAGCCGGATTAGGGCCTTTTTAGGAGCCCTTTTAGAGCCGTTTGACTGTCATCCTCCCAGGCCGTATTAACTCGTGCCCATTTAGTTAATACGGCAGTGCCGCATTCCTTGTACCCTAGGGCATATTGTGTGTGAGTGTGTGTGCATTCCGGAAATAAACGTCATAGGGCAGCACCCGGTATTATATGTATGAATGATAAATCGCTAGGTACATTTGTTGCGGATCCGACGGTGAGTGGCGGTGAAGAGTCGACGGGCAACAAACAAGATGCCACCACTATGGTGTTCTGCGCACTGACCGTCATTGTAATCAAAGAGCATATTCCTAACTCAGACTAACAACCACATAATCCCCCTTCTCCGCCAGCACATCCCACTCCAGCTCCTCTCTCCTCTTTTCTCCTGGCTCGATTCCAACCCTCCACTCGACCTGACCGTCTTCCCTCAACATGCAGCCGCCATTTACCCCCTCCCAGAACCCCGCGAAGCTCTTCGGTTTCTTGATGGTCAGTTTCATCCTCACTCCAGATCTATAATCGGGATTTGACCTACCTACCCGTAACCCGCTCACGAAGTTTTCTGGGCATTCTCCCTGCACTACATACCTGTAGGTACTCGTGAATATCAATGATCACCGTCGCCCGCTTTGCTGTAAGTCTGCAACAATCCGTGTACATACCGACCCGGTGCTACATTTGATCCGCCGGATGCATAGCTCCTTTGTACAGTAGTACAGCACATGCATCGCTTCCTGTTCCAGCCTCCAGCCTCCAGCGGCCGGGTATTGGGTGGGGACGGGTATGGCCCTGCTTGCCAGGTGGTATTCCAAATGCAGCTGGAATGAAAAGAGCGGCAGAAACCACGTGTTGAACGTAAAGTGCTGGGGCAGTTTGTCCACACACCGTCACTCGGCATAGGTACCCGAGCAAAGGCAGATCTTCAATCATAATCTATTACGATTAAATCCTCCGTCTCTCTCTGCGGCGCATTCCCGCCAGTACAAGCCCAACCAGAAACAAACTCCCTCACTCCAGCTTCGACAACTCCACAGCAACCGATGACCCCCACAGCTCGGGTCCTAAATCAAAAGAAACTTGAAAGCAGGCTAGAAAAACCAGCACAACATGTCTATGAAAGCAAGTATAAATAAGCATGATAAAAGAGGATAAACATTGCATCAAAACAGCCGCTCAAATAATGTCCCCCAGGTACTGTACTCTATTACCACCATCGTCGTAACATCAGCAGCATCCACCACCCCTCCTCGCCGCATCCCTCCTGAACACACTCTCCCATTCCCTCAACCCACTCTTCCATCCACTCCCGGTGCCCGGGCGTCTGCTGCTCGCACTACTAGCCTCAATCCAACCGCCAGAGTCACCGTACTGTATGCCACTGCTCGGATCATCCGGATCGACCTCACCGAGTTCAATCTTGGTGACAATCATCCGCGCGATCCTCGCAAACACCTCATCCACATTATCACCATTGAGCGCCGAAGTCTCCATACTGACGGGAATACCACTGAGACTAGCCCACCGCGCCGCCTCCTGAGCGGACACGGCCCTTGCCGGTGCCTCATCCTCCTCCTCGTCGTCCTCGAGCTCGCTTTCCCACGCGCGCGAGGTATCATCTGCGAATCGTGTCGGCGTAGTGCTGAGCGAGCTGCCACCGGAACTACTTGGCGGTGGTCGCCGCGAAGTCGGCGGCACCGATAAGTCGCATTTATTCCCGACGAGTATGAGCGTGAGATTCGGGCTTGCGAGGGCGCGTGCGTCGGAAAGGAAAGTGGGCAGAGAAGTGAAGGATGGGTGCGAGGTGATGTCGTAGATTAGGAGGGCTCCCGCAGCGCCCCGGTAGTAGCTGCGCGTCACGGAACGGAAGCGCTCTTGTCCCGCGGTGTCCCATAGCTGAAGCTTGACCCGCTTTCGTCGTGCACCGGTGCCGACTTTGATTATCTTTGACGAGAATTCGACGCCGATCGTTTGCGAGGAGAGGATGCGCCCTGTTTTCCGGTGCGACGCAAGTTAGCGCCGGGAATCCTGAAGAAGCGGGGCGAGGTGGGTGTTTGGTACGGACATTCGCTGCGCACAAAGCGGTGGAGAAGACAGGATCTAGAGAGTGATCCGAGAAAGAAACGTCAGCGGGCGTTGAGTTCCTCGTTTCCAGCTTCTGGGTAGGGCTCAGAGTTCAGCTTGACATGCTGAAGGTAGGGGCCAAGTACTTTCCACAGCCTGACGGACCGAGAAGTATTATCTTTGCGAGGTAGTCGTACATGGAGCCGAGCTCCTGCGGTCCGGACTGCTAATCAGCTGGGCGGGCTCGGGAACCGAAGGCACGAGGGACGGTACTTGATCGGCATCTGCGGAATGGGAAGAGGATGTGGAGGCACCGGAGGGCGCCCGCTGTCGAACCATTGCGATGATGATAAGATTAACGGCAAGGTGGGGACTGAAGTTCTGTTCGAGAGAGGGGCTGGGTCTGGTTGGTTCGTTGGCTTGTTCGATAAGGATCGATCAATCGGGACATGCACACGACGACGACGCAGGAGAGCTAGGGCGAGCTAGTTAATGCAGGTGGCGAGTAAGACCGGGTAACTTGTACCACGTGATCCGCTGATGTCATTCGACATTGGGGGGTAACTAGACTGACTCTGAGAGGACCGTCGAACAGCGGGTGAGGAATTCATAGGAGACAAATCAAGCAGCTCTACTCTAGAATAGCATCGCACATCTCGCGTGGAGTATGGTTGATTTCTGTATCAATGGCTATGCGAGTAAGACGTCTGAGCAAGGAGGCTGCGCGATCGAAGCCGATCGGTTTCTCTCAAGCAGTGAGTTAGTAAGACTGAGAGCAGAGCAGTAACTGGAGTCGGAGCCTTGGAGCCTGGTGACCGTAAGCTTCTGCGGAATTCGCGGTAAGGAAATACTGATAGCGAAGAAGTGAGTAAACTTCGAATGGGCGAGGGAGCTCTATTATGGCTAACTCGAACGGGATAGGCAGACCAATAATAGTTCTGGGATTGGTGCTGTTTCCGGTCCCCACTTCCGAGATGGCCAAAAACGAACACCGTTAGGCGACCGAACCCCCACAGTTTCCGAGAGTTAGGCGAAGTGCAGAAGCTGCGCCTCATCTTCTGAAGGTTCATGGCTTCAGTGTTCGTCAGTCTATGTGTACGTGACTCAACACGGCCTGTGTCACGCATTGGAGGGTTGATAAGAGCTACATTGCCGCAGCGATTCTCGAACTCCCTTCTACCCCTGCATCTACCATCTCTCTTCCATTCTCTGCCAATACTCTCCCATTCTCTACCAATACTCTCCCACCCATGGCCACTATACACAAGCAACAATTATCTATCCTCGGCGGAAAAACTCGCAGTGTGATGGTGTACTCATCCTCTGCGGCCATCGTCCGTGACATCGCTGGAGTAGTCGTAAAGGTAAGCTCCCCTCTGAATCCTCTCCAAAAGCGAAACAGCTACTTACAAGACGAAACTCGATCAGCCCGGACTCAACGAATACACGATCAACCACTTCTCGGGGAATGCTCAGGGGCCGTCTTTCCATGTTGAAGGCCATGGAATTAGAGCGACGATTACCGACAGGAGCATCGAGCTCGTTTCTTCCGCCCCCCCCGCAGAAACTCCGTCAGAGGATACTGACGCGGACGCGGACACCGATTCAGACACCGATTCGGAAGACCATAGAGCTATACGGGCCATTGATGAGGAGTATGCAAAGTTGGACGATGACCGGGAAGCCCTTGACTGGAAGCTACAAACCTCACTCAAGAAACTCGTGGCTCTGGAGCTGTACGGACGCAGAATTGTTGAACCTGTTCCTCAGACCGAGGGTATCAAGGTGGAGCCAACAAAGCTGGACGATGTCGTCAAATTCCTCCAAACATATGCCAATACCAGAGAAGAGACGGGAGTCCTGCATGAACTGGTGCGGAAGCAAGCTAGGGAGATTCCATTGAAGACGAAAAAGCTGGAAAAGAAGAAAACCAAGCTTCAGAAACGTCTTCAGAAGCAACAAAAAATGAAACACGCCAGGCAGGAGGTTCCATCTGGATCCAAGAAGACCGAGAACATACTATATCCCTACTATCGTCTCAGAGTTACTGTGGAAGCGGAAAATCTACCACTGGATGCGCCATCGGTCGAGGTAAAGGTCAACACTGGAAAGCTGGAGCACCTGGGCGATGATGCTGGCCCGAAAGACGCCACCGGACCCAGCTTGAGGGTTTCCTATGTGATTTCGAACGCCAGATGGGAGTCCAGGCATGACCTCCGTATCGACACCATTGCCCGGACCGGTACGCTCAGCTTCCGTGCAGCAACATTCAACAACTCTGGAGAGACATGGAGAGACGCCAAGGTGACGCTATCGACCGTGCGGACTAAATACTCACTGTTTTCCGAACACATCCCCCAGCTCTCGCAGTGGAAAATTGGCCTTGGAACTTCCTACCACCACGAAACCGACCAGTATTCCCGGAGCGAGTGGGCGCATCGTCAGTCGAAGCACGTACCCGAGCAGCCAGCTTTTATGCAACCAGCTTTTGGTATCCTTCCATCTGGGCCTGGGGTTAGAAATGCGTTTGGCCAGAAGCCGGCAACAAGTGGTTTTGGTGGAACGGCCCCAACAAGTGGTGGTCTGTTTGGTGGTGGAACGGCCCCAACAAGTGGTGGCCTGTTTGGAGGTGGAACGGCCCCTACAAGTGGTGGCCTGTTTGGAGGTGGAGCGCCCGCATCAAGTGGTGGTGATCTGTTTGGTGGTGGAGCGCCCGCATTTGGTCAGCAGCATTCCGCCACTCCTCCTACCGCCGGCTCATTATTCGGTTCTACTCAGCCACCCCCAGCCGCCTCCATTGGCGACCGCTACGCCAACACACCCGAGACCGTCGCTCCAGCACTACCCTATCAACCTGGCGAGAAAATGTCGATGGCTACATCCGTCTCAGAGACCTACGGAATCACCACTACATTCGCCCTTCCCGGCCTGAAGACTATATCCTCGTCTTCCACGCCACTCCACTTCCTCGTAGCCGAAACTGCACTCGAAGATATGGGGCTTCTGTACACGGCTATCCCTAAGCTGCGGTTAGCAGCCTACCTTACAGCAGCCTTCAAGCTCCCCATCGACGCCCCAGTACTACCCAAGAATTGCAATGCTGGACTCAATGTCGACGGCGCGTTTGTCGGCCGCATTGTTATCCCTCAGCCAGATGATGCAGGCACAATCAGCGTACCACTCGGTGTCGACGAAACGCTAGATGTCTTTTACGATACTCCAAGTAGAAAGAGTGAAGTCAAGGGCTTATTTTCAAAAGATGAAACAATCACGTACGCACGCGCCTGGGAAGTCAAGAATCGTCGTTCACAGACTGTCGAGCTCATTGTTCGAGATCAAATCTCGATTATAGATCGGGAAGGGATGCCGGTGAGGATGGAACTGACCATCAAGAAACCGAAGAGCTTCGCAGGGTTCTGGGAGGGGGTAAATGGCAGCTGTATGTTGAGGGAAGGCGGTCAGATCGAGTGGAGGGTTAGAATCGAGCCAGGAGAAAAGAGGAGAGAGGAGCTGGAGTGGGATGTGCTGGCGGAGAAGGGGGATTATGTGGTTGTTAGTCTGAGTTAGGAATATGCTCTTTGATTACGATGACGGTCAGTGCGCAGAGCACCATAGTGGTGGCATCTTGTCTGTTGCCCGTCGGCGTCGTCGTCATCACCAGTTTATAGGCTGCGGAATGCTTCTTCTGTCACGGAAAAACCCCCTGCATGGTCTAGGGGTCAAGGCTATGCAATCGGCGAGGGGAGGTGAGAATTTTCTGGGTTCAACCCGGGTGAAGGACCTTCAGAATCAGCTCTTGGGGTTTTAAGCCTCCCGACGGGGTGGGGATGGTTTTTGTTTCTGTTTTTGGCGTGACGAAGGGAGCACTAGTGAGATATCACTCGGTTGCATCACGTGACACACCATACGCTGCCGGCCGGCTGTGGAGGCGAGAATCCAATTACTACCAAACGCCTACTGACCTAGCTTCGCCCAAATAAATTTTGCAAATTGTATGCTATCATATGATGAAAAGAAGCCGATTTACATGCAGAAGCCTGAATTAAGAGTACAAATCAGCCGTACTCTGTGCTAACTAAACTTGCAAATGACCCAGGATCTAGGTCTTCAACCACCGGGGAAACTATTTCCGCCACGCTGTAGTTTTATTGACTCGCTCGTCCCCTTACTCCACAATGCGATGGACGATAACCCGTCCGTAGAGTAACTCCGACCGACTCTCCGATAACGTGGAGCTCGGGACCGAGGAATCGAGGATCCAGGGATATCTATGGCGTTTCGGATTTAACTTTTATGCTGCGGTGTCTGTCAAACTTCAAGTTTCAACATATGTACTTGGCAGCAGCGGTCGAAATATCTTGAGTGGGCATACATAATCTCGAGGTATTTACTCTTCAACCTGTGACATCTGGCTTCCACCAACCCAGATTCCAGCCACCCAGGCCGGTGATATTTCGATGGCCAGCTACCAGCGAGAACGACTATCGCAGCACATAACTAACAAAGAATTACGCCTAAGCCCACATTACATGACCAGACTTATCACCGTCGCGGCAAAAGTGAAAAAGAACAAATCCGCGTTACAAATCGAACCGCGGAGTTTGCAAAAGCCAAGTGCACCATTCAGTGTTACCAAAGTAATACTAGACAGGTGCCGGGGCAATAGGTCGACATGAAGCCGACCCGTCTCTGTTTTGTGTGAGCTAACTTGGCTGAAAGATAAACCATGATATGTCGTAAAAAGATGGTACCTAATTTACGGATGTCTCACGTGATCGGCTATAAAGTGCGAAAGCGCTCGACACTTGGCGTTTCGCAAATGTTGTGTATTGTACCGGAGGTTGTGCACGGAATTGAGCTAAAATACTACATACGATCGACTGGACTCTGGGTAATGGAGAATGGGCACAAATCCGAAACGTCAAAAGCCGAAGTCCGTAGCCCCGTAGGCCGTAGCCGGCCGCTCGGCGCTCGCTCCTGCTGTGTGGAATAGGACTGTCGGAACTAAGCCGAGCTTGTTCTCATGCCGTGTCCGTTGCCGCCGCCGAGCTCGGACGGAATCAACATGTAACGTTTCGGCCTCGTCCAGCCGCGGTGTGTTCAAGCTCATCACTCACGCCCTCGGCGCCAAGTCACGGGATACTAGTTACAACCACCGGGGACAGTTAAACATTGATTGCATAACTACTAGCAGTTAGGTGATCCACTTAACCTCTCGCGTAGATAACCAAGCTTTCTGGCCATGCCTCGGTTGTTCCCGTTAAGCTGGGGAAAATTAGGGTGGGGAAAATTAAGGCGAGGCGATCATGATGCATCACACGATGAGTGAAGGTTTCCGAACCGATTTGCCGGGTTTCGGATTTATGCCTAATTAAATAAAGGTTGGCGATCGTAGGTATTGTTTGCAAAGACTGGTGCTGGGTGTAGAGCGCATGTGAGTTAATTGCAAGGTGATATTAATCATCCCGCAACACCATGGCGGGATTGGTGATGTGCTCCGCACCGATACCGAGCTTCGGCCACCAACATCCATCGCTATGGAGCTGGAGCTGGAGGCTGAAGGGAAGGAAGTGGTAAACCTGAAGCCGATCAGTTAGCCGGTCCAATCTGTGGATAAGAACCAGAATCAAATTCCGAAGCCCAGCACCTATACACTGGGCAGAAATCCGTATATAACACCTTCTCACTCCCCTCGACTGAGCATATTCTTTCTCCATCATCAGCACATCCGCCCAGTCCTTCACAGCCCCCCCCATCCATCCATTCACTTCTGCGCCTGGTTGCATCTTCCATTCAGACAGTACATCTTCACACCCTTCACGATGCAGCTCTCGCACCTCTTCGCCACGGCGTTCCTTTTCGGCCTCACCGTGGCCATCCCGATTGCGGCCCCGCAGCACGATCACGGAACCGGTACTACACCTGCTCCCCCCGGATGCTCTTCGGGCATCCCCCCTCCGCAGGCGATACCCATCCATCTGGCGTCTTTCATATGAATGTGGCTAACTGATCCTGCAGCCGTAGCAGCTACTAGTACTACGGCTCCGATGATTCCTCCAACCACTTCGGGCACCCCGGCTACTCCTGACACTCCTCCGGCGACTTTACCGCCGGCTATCTCTGGTGCTGCTGGTAGCACTGGTGGGCTTGGTGGCCTCGGCGGACTGGGTGGAGGGAACAGCGGCTTGGGCGGGCTGAGCGGCCTCGGCGGAGGGAATGGAGGAACCGGTGGCCTGGGCGGACTGAGTGGCCTCGGCAGTGGTAGTGGAGGAACCGGGGGTCTGGGCGGCCTAAGTGGCCTCGGCGGAAGTACTGGAAGCGGCGGCCTCGGTGGGCTGAGTGGTCTCAGCAGTGGTAGTGGAGGGACCGGAGGTTTAGGCGGCTTGAGCGGCGTCGGGGGAGGAAGTGGAGGAACTGGCGGCCTGGGCGGGCTGAGCGGTCTCGGCGGAAGTAGTGGAAGCGGTGGCCTCGGCGGGCTGAGTGGGCAGAGTGGTCTCGGCGGAGGTAGCGGAGGAAGCAGCGGGCTGAGCGGCCTGCTTGCGGGCCTTGGCGGTGGATCGAGGACCGAGGAGAAAAAGTAATGAAATCAAATCGTCTGTCAGGAATATTTTGTTGTTCTTATTGGGTCTTTGGTTGTTGGTTTGATACCCGCAACCTGTACAGTAGCTTTCGAAAGTTCCATGAATGAAATCACCAAGAATGGAAGGCCCGTGAATTGTGGTCGTGCGTGCGAAAGTAAAGCGTGAAGCGTAGTGCTCGTTGACGTGTCTTTCAAACATGCTGCTCTCGAGTGACCGGATCAATCATCTCAATGGCGGGTAGCAGTGATTATTCGCTCTCGCTAATCGAACGTGCAGTCCAATTGTCTGTCCTCGGTCCGCACTTTCCCATTCATTCTAGGGGCGCCTGATCCAGCCCCTTTCCAAGTCCCGCTGACTCCTAGCCAATACCGAGTGCTGGCTTGGAATAAGTAAATCACGTGTCAAAAGAATAGAGTAGTTGTCGGGGTTCATGGCTGGGAAACAATCAGTTATCGTGGAGCGTTAGCGGAGCAATGAGGGATCTTGGAAAAGGGTACATGACGCGAGACTGCCTGTTGTCTGTCACCACCATGAGGAGCGATATGTAGGATAGATAGGGAATCAGATAAGACCGGAGGAGGGGGCTAGCCGGATCGGGTGGCACTGAACGTATATTCGATGACTCTTCGAAGTTGAATAGAACCTCAACTTCTCCATAATCCTTCATTTTTATTTAATCATCGCATGCATGTGCCATCACCCGAGTGAGCCTCGATGCGATTTGCAAAAAGAAAAGCCACAACCATCGCATCCGCACTAAGTATCGCCTGCAGGAACGAGGAGTCAGTCAAACCATCAGCCGCACCAGCTGAAGCAGCTGCTCGACTCGGTGACAGCAGGCTGGCAGACACCCCGCTCGTACTCTATAAGAGGATGCTGTACCCCCTGGCCCCCCGTCACCTGCAGTCAACCGCTTCATCAACCATCGAGTAACGACCCATCGAAGCTCGTGATCATGAATCCGGAGTTCCTTCTCGCGTTCGTCTTCGTCTTCGCAGCCGTGGCAGTGGCAGTGCCACAGGCCACAACAGCCGCTACGGACTTTCCGGGGTGCGCCGTGAGTTCCACCAGATCCACCTATGGCGAATCGCGATGATTGACAACTCAACGGCGCCTGGACAGTACGCATGCATCAACACAATGATGTCAGTGACGGCCTGCGGCATAAACGACATCAAGTGCCAGTGCGCTGATCTCGAGGCCCTCCGCTTTACCTACCAGTGCATCGCCAACGCCTGCAGCACAGCGGACTTCAACAGTTCGTCACCCTCCGCCCTGCCTCCGCCGCTGCGTACCTCCTGCCGATGCAGATGGAGATACAGAAACTACAGCTTCTGACGTGACGTGAACTTTAGAGGCCCTGAATATCGACATAGCCTTCTGCAATCTAAAAGGCCAGGCAATAACGGACTCGGCCGTAGCCTACATCACCGGCGGTCTCACTCGGACCAGCGCACTGCCCACCGCCACCGCCACTTCCAACACTGCCGCAACACCATCATCACCATCATCCTCGGGCAGCGGGGGCATTTCCACCGGCGCAATAATCGGCATCGCTCTCACCGCCGCGGTGATAATCGTCGCTTTCGCGATCGGGGCGTTCCTTGTGCTGCGGCGCCGGCGCCCCGCAACTGGCGCTGCCGCCTCCGCCTCCGGTCCTGCGCACGCAAACCCGCAGTACCCCGGGCCCGCGAAACCGGCGATGCTCCAGCAGGTGCAACAGGTGCCGCAGCAGCAGGACCCGGTGTATCAGCAGCATCAGATGCCACCGCAGATGCAGATGCCGCCGCAGCATACACAGGCGGTGGCAGTGCCCCTACAGCAGCAACAGCACATGGGGCCGCCGCAGCAGCAGATGTCCCCGCTACCGCCGCAGCAGCAGCACCAGCAGACGTACGCTAATTCGCCGGTGTATGAGATGGGCTCGGGTGTTACGCCGACGGGGGCTGGTGATAATGCGTGGGAACAGGGGAAGAAATAGGGGGGGGGGGGGGGAATAAGAGACAAGAGGAAGAGATTATTATGTAGGGGGAGGCAAGGACCAAGGCGGGGGAAGAAGCAGAAGTAAGAGGAGAAATCAGCAGGTGCATATCGTTGACGAGCATTTGAGGTACCCAGTACTGTATTTGAACTTTGGAGTTGGAGACAAGACAGCAGCTGAGTTAGCGGGACGATGATGGTTCGATGTTTCGCTGGTTCGCATTTCATCTCTCAGATCCGCGCCGCGCAGGACAAGTCATACATAAGAGCAACGAAAAAATAATACAAGTTCTTCCAAGTTCCATTCGCACATTCGCACTTTAAGTTTTTAACGTTTCTCCATGCGCCCTTCCGGCTTACAGGCTTGCCAAACCCCCCTGTGCATGCCCTGTCCTCACAGCCTGCATCAGGGGAGGGGGCGGGGGCAGTTTCGCTACTCTACATACTCAGACACTGAAAGGGATGAATCAAAAGTGCAGCAGTATTCTGCCGTGCGCATGGTGGCTGGATGGCTGGATGGCTGGATGGCTGTGTAGTACTTAATTTACGAGCTCCATGTGTACATATGGTGTGAGTAAATATAGCATATGCACGCTGCGCGTGGGGGTTAGTTAACTCCAAGATCCGTGGACTTCCGGTGAAGGCGAACCAAGACGTACCGCAGAGTAGAGTAGGTAGCCGGCCGAAAAGCGAAGTGAAGTGAAGTGAATTAAACCTTGTTACTCCTGCATAAATTCTTTCTCTGATTAATAGTTCATGATGAATTATACAGCACCAACGCCGCCGTTTCGTGTACATTCTGCCAGCTGGTTGGCACCGCCCAGTCCAGTCCAGCTTTCCCGCAGTCCAGTCCGAATATCGTAGATACCTCAAATGCTCGTCCCATCATACCTATGCATGCATACGTGTGGTGATTTCTCCTCCTACTTCCTTCCCCTTCCCCCCTGATCCCCTTGCTTCCTCCCGTTATTTGTGATCCCCCTTATTTCTTCCCTTTTTGCCACTGGCTGTCGCCAGCCACCTCGTGCGACCCTGTCGTTGCGGCGCCAGGATCCAGCTCGTACACCGGCGCAGGAGTGTAATTCTGCTGCTGTGGTGGCGGCGACGTTGTCGGTGTGTAGAACTGTGCTGGGTTTTGTTGTTGCTGTGTGCCCTGGTACATAGGCGTGTTTTGTTGTTGTGCGCCCTGGTACATAGGATTCTGCTGCACCTGTTGCTGGACCATTCCCGGTTTCGACGGGTACTGTGCGTTCGCGTTCGGAGGACGTGCGACGACGACGGCTGTGGGACGGCGGCGGCGGCGTCGCATGACAAGGAACGCGCCGATTGCGATCGCAATTACGATCACCGCCGCGCCGATCGCGATGCCGACGATTGCGCCGGTGGAGATCCCGCTGCTGCCGCCGCTACTGCCAGTGGAGGTCGCTCGAGTGACCGTGCCAGTGCTGCTGCTGGTCGGGAGCGAGGCGGCGGAGGAGGCGCTGCCGGTGATGTATGCGATCGCCGCGTCGGAGTATACGTAGCCGTTGGCGGCACAGTAGTCGTCGTTGAGCTTCAGTGTTTCTGGAGGAAGATTAAGTCAGGAACCGTGATTATATCTATGCACCGGCGGCGGGCAACGAACTGGCCAAGTCTGCTGTGGTGCACACCCCGAGGAGACACTGCCATGCGAGCCGGTTGCCCTCGAGGTCAGCGCAGAGACACTTGACGTCGGTCAGGCTGCAGGACGTCACTGACGCCACAATATCAATGCACGCATACTGAATTGTCGTTCGTTAGTGGTCGTGATCGATCCGTTGAATCTAGATTGTAGGTTAATCTAGGGAAACTCACATTGCACGCTGGAACATCAGTAGGGACGGCAGTTGTTTGTGGTGCTGCTGCCGCCACGGCTGCGAAGACGAAAGCGAGAAGGAGCTTCGAATTCATGGTGAACGATAGTTGCTGACTGGATGATAGAACGTATGAACGCAAGAGAGGAGAGGGGTACCGCCTCTACTTATATACATAGGTCTCTCAGCCTACCACTATATATCCCATGTACAGATACGGGCCGCTAGTTTGACGAGTTTGTCCCTTGTGGGTTAATTACAGGAAGGTCGCTTGCGTTCCATGGTTTGCGTGTGTAACCACCAACTCTCATCTCTAATGCAACCACTGCAGCGATTGGTTCACTAAGCGGATTTCAGAATGCAGAAATAGCTGTGGCTGATGACGGATATTGGAAATTGTGTTTCGAGAACTAAAGACATGTTCCGCGCTTAATATACGGATTATGCCCTGATTAGGAAATAGGAGAAAAAGCTTGCTATGATCGTTGACGACTGACTGGTGATTGTAAAACGAACGTTAACTAATGATGCACCTATTGAAGAAGACCATGGCACATCCAGCTCTATCCAAACAAAGGAATCACTGTCGATGTGCGATGATACTGTAGCAAAAGGCCTGTGATGAACTTCAATCAACATTGGAACTATGTCACCGTGGACTGGGAGTTGCTTACGGTAGCATCCGAAACGTCGATTAATCATTACCATGAGTCGACCCGATACTTGTTAGCATCCCACTTGTCAGCTTCGCCTCCATCAGCTCCAACCGCATCTTTTCCAGCCTCTCCGGCGTTTCCATCGCAATAACTGCCATTTCTGAAGCGAACGGGAGAGATCACGGCATTGTCCCAGGCACCACGAATGGAGGGAGAGTTGTTGGTTGCGGCAGGCGAGTTCCAAGCATGTACAGAGCCAGCATTGCTAGATCCGCGAATAGAACCCCAGGCAGGTGGGGCAAAGGGGGAGCTCGGTTTGGCGGTGGAGCTGGTGTCCCAGGCGGGCTTGGTGGAGGGCGAGTTACAAGCATGTACAGAGCCCGCATTGTCAGATCCGCGAATGGAGCAGGCAGGTGAGGCAAAGGGGGAGCTCGGTTTGGCGTGGGAGCTGGTGTCCCAGGCGGGCGAGTTACAAGCATGTACGGAGCCCGCATTGCTAGATCCGCGAATGGAACCCCAGGCAGGTGAGGCAGGGTGAGAGCTCGGTTTGACGGCGGAGCTGGATTCCCAGGCGGGCTTGGTGGCGGGCGAGTTGTAAACATGTATAGAGCCCGCATTGATAGATCCGTGGATGGAGCCCCAGACAGGTGAGGCAAAGGGGGAGCTCGGTTTGGCGGGGGAGTTGCAGTCCCAGGCGGGCTTGGCGGCGGGCGAACCAGACACAGCCGGTCTGACTGGAGAGACGTTGTCCCACACAGGCTCAACTGCGGGGGAACTGCGTCCCTGATCCCACGCAGGGATCCCCAGCGAGCTCGGATTTGCACTAGGCGAGTTCCAAGCAGGAGACGGAGTGTTTTTCGGTGACGGGTCGATCCATACAGGTTTCAGAGTAGGTTCAACGGATCCTACGCTCCAGCAAGGACGGCTCGGGGGTGCTTGATTCGTGAGAGCCACAACCGTCGGGGGGGCTGCAGTAGGGGCCATAGCATTCCAGTGATCTACTTCAAAACGCTGAGCGGCCACAGCGAGGTGCCCCTGTACCTCGGCGGGAGTGGCTCGGACCGGTACTGGTATCGCAATCTGCGGCGGTATCTTGTAGAGCTTCATGACGTCCACGTTGAGACTCTTGAGCGACGTCCACAGCTCGGTAGGGTCGTCGTATCTTTCGTTTGTGAAATGTTTTCTCAATTCAGGCTTCATCGCCATCAGAATGAGTCCACTTGCTTGAAGCCGCTTGCAGCGAATCTCGTCCACGATGTTGTCAAAAGGCCAAACGACAACGCTAAGACGATTGTCGCTGGTTTTGCCGATAACATACTGCCACAGGCCCACAACCTTCAGGATCTGCTTCAGCTCAAGCGACCAACGAGGGAAATGTTCGTCAGTGAGAGAGATCAGTGGCGGGAGGTGTTTGATCGAGTCCAGAAGCCCACTGCTGATGTGCGGGCGCGGTGGGGTCTGAGACGACATGTCGAAAGAGATAGTGATGATAGTCGTAAGGGGCGGTACCGCTGTAAAGGGAAGGGCAGTACCGCCGTAAAAGGAAGGGTATGAGATGGTGGTAGAGAGAGGAAGAGTAAACTGGTGTGTTGGAAGGAAAAGACAAAAGATTCTGCGGGATGGGTCGAGGGAAGATTCAGCAAGTTGCCTGTGATACGGTAAGATCGATCGTTTGAAGCTAGTTTCATTTTGACTTCATTTTGACTACCTAGAATCCAGCCATGTATCTAGATGATTATGGTAAATTTTGTTCGTGAAATCAGAATGCATTCGACCATGTATCAAGATCATGGAATACGCCAGAGTCTGTTCAAGTTTTTTATTTTTATTTAATCATTGATTGCCGACTTTCATCGAGCGGCCCGATGTGGCTTCCCCTACCCACCGGCCCGCCCTATCCTAGCGATAATCGTACAAAGTACCAAGGAAACAATATTAAGAAAAAGAACCAGGTTGCGCCCCCTACTACGTACCCCACCTCGCCTCCTGCCTTTCCATCAGGATATTCCACGAAAGAAGGTGTGGGGAGGAACAGCGGGAGTGATCCAGGCTTCTCAACCTCGGAGTATTCTTCTCCCCTCGCCTCATATCCGCCTCCCTTTCTTCCGGCTCCCGTATGGGGACTGTCCAAGTCGTCACAGGATGAAACTACACAAAAACTGTATACCGAGTGAGCTCGTATGAACAACCAAAACCAACCTACAAACATCACCATTTTCGAGATCTTGAAAGGGGCCTTCATGCTTGAATAGAAACCTTCGGATGGATAACCAAATAGACTTCATCCAGCTGAAATGGCAACAATATGACTGATTTGGTGGATTTGGCCACAACAACATTACACGCCCTCTTGTGCTGTGAACCATGTTGGGAATTAGGCACAGGCCTAATTTGCGGAGGCTATTTCTTTCTCTCTCTCGCTCTTCTCTTCTCTTTCCTTCTCTACCCTCTCTCTTCACTTTCCTTCTTGCTTCCTTTCATCGTACCAGTTTTAGACCTCGGATGGTCAATGATATGAAGACTTCACTTTTCTCTCACGACAAATAGCTCACATGTAGCGGAACAGTACTCTCACATCCTGCTCGGTCTCGTCCTCCTCGTCCTCCTCGTCCTTCTCCCCCTCCTCATTCCCTTCCTCCTCATCCTCTTCCTCCTCCTTCTCAGACATCTATCCCACCCACTCCTTCTCCTCAGATGTCCATTCCTCCCACTCCTCATCCTCGTCCTCTTCCTCTTCCTGCTCAGATATCTACCCCTTATACTTCTTCCTCTTAGACTTCTATCCCTCCCACTCCTCCTCCACCTTTCCTTTCATCGTACCAGTTTTAGCCCTTGGATGGCCACTGATATGAAGACTCCACTTTTCTTTTACGACAAATAGCTCGCATGTAGCGGAATAGTAAGTTGACATCCTCCTCCTCGTCGTCGTCCTCACCGTCATCCTCCTTATTCTCCTCATCCTCCTCATTCTCCTTATCCTCGTCCTCGTCCTCGTCCTCGTCCTCATCCCCGTCATCCTCATCATCATACTCCTCCCCTCTCTCGATCATGGCAGTGGCTGAATTGGTTTCCTTCACCTCGTCCTAGAAAACGATCCGGCAACACCCTCTAGGTTACATGCTCGCCCGGCCATAGGATTACGAGTCCTACGTTTTCATAGCCGCTGTCGCCTCCGGCCCCGCACACAAATACCTTGGAATGCTTGGACTATAATGGTCCCTTGTGGTGCGGGGTGCGGAAAACACAGAGAGTTGTGGGTTCTGGTATGATACTATCATCAGCTATACTGCCCTCTTCACAATCTTGCCCCATAACTTGTCATGACTGTTCAACCTCCATCGTCGTCATCCTCCTCCTTTCAAGACGCATGCTGAATCTCATCCATTCATCAGAACAGCTTTGACTACGCTCGGTGATTCACACTGCCCTCGGAAGGCCGGGATCCAGATGCTCGACCTTCTTGGAATCTTCATCCTTTCATCAGATCAGCTTTGACTACGCTCAGTGATTCACACTGCCCTCGGAAGGCCAGGATCCGGATGTTCAACTTTCTTGACGGACTGGTAACGTCACCCATTTGGATCGTTCTGGGGCGTCACTCCCTTCCTCGACGTTCCTGCAGTTCACGCTGGTGGAAACCGCCTGTTTACCCTCATTTTACGTCGTATCAGCTTTGACTACGCCCGGTCATGCACATCTTCCTCGGATGGCTGGACTCTGGATGTTCCACTTTCATCAAGGGCTGGTAACGTCACCCACTTGGAATGTTTTGCTGCGTCACACCTGTCTCTGGCTTTCAATTTTGTGGTCTGGCGTACAGTCCCTCACAACATACCTCCAAAACATCATTCGCGGTCACTCGCTTGAGCCTACGGTTGGTAACACCACCCATCTGGATCTGACGCATACTACTGTTAGTTCTGGGGCGTCACACCCTTCCTCGGGTATCCGAACATCCCCCGGTATTGGTTGAACGTACCTACCCGAACGATAACCGTCAAATTCAGCGCCTAGACTTTGGGCTTCGGTGACAGATTGGATCAATGGTGGCTGTTTGCCGGGACCATATGGCCTACCATCGATCCAATCGGTCCCCGAAACCCAAAGTCCAGGCGCTGGATCAGGGCAGTATTATCGAGGACAGTGCCGGTCCACTGAGGGGTTTGATAGCACGCTTAATAATACGTTAAACGGCCCGCCGAATCTTGCATCCTGACCACAGCTGAAAGAATACCAACGAATAAAGGAGATCATGGCCCTTCACGGCCATCTCGCAAGAGGGATGAGCGGGAGTTGTTTCGAGTGATGTGTTGGCTCATTATTTTGGATGCAGATGGAAGTGTCGTAGTTGACCTGGTGGTGGTGGTGGAGGGGAGGGGAGGGGAGGGTGTGGCGGAGGGGAGGGGACGGGGGAGGGCGGAGGGGGGACACAAGATTCCCGCCTTTAGCACAAGGTTCTCACCATCAGCAAGTTCAAGGCGACTACTTGCCATCATTTTTCCTGTTATATAGCTGATTCCGAAAGATGCCACATTGACACAGATTGGACGGATATGGGGAAGTGTTTTGCATTTCTGGTTGGTTTTGGTTGGTTTTCGGATAAATAATGAGTTTGGAAGATGTTTTTGATACCGATGCCGTTTGGTTCCAGAAGACCAGTAATGTGACTCGTGAGGCCTAGATATAGATAGCACAGCAGGCCCCACCACAGAGGCATGGTTGCTATGGTTCACCCCGTACTGCTGGGACATGGACCAAAAGCAGTAGGGAAAGGGAATTAAGATCACTAAGCTCGTCACGTAAAGTGATGGAGGTTCGTTTCAGAGGATACGTTGTGATCGTTACGGAAGTAGTGAGTATTTCGCCACTCCCACTGGTATCATGTCTATTTTGAGGTATCTAGATACATTCCAATCGCCCATTTTTACTCGTACCCATCATTCGAAGCACTGATAAACAATCTACTTCTTCTTCTGCGCCGTGACATTGAACTGGAAATGAATGATATCTATTTGTGGTTAGTTCCTGCACCAAAACGTGAGAGGTGGAAAATATACCTCCGTCATTGACCACATATGTCCTTCCCTCCTGTCTGTACTTTCCAGCCGCCTTGACCTCGGTCATTCCCTTCTTTCCCGCGCTGAGGGTCTTGAAGTCTTCGTACGCCACCACCTCGGCCTTGATAAATCCGCGCTCGAAGTCACCGTGGATAACGCCGGCCGCCTGCGGCGCGAGCGTTCCGTCACGGATAGTCCAGCAGCGGACCTCCTTATCACCGGCGGTGAAGTAGTAGATCAGGCCGAGCTGCGTGAAACCCTGGGTGATAACCTTCGGCAGGACACTCTGCACCCCCGCACTAGTCAGGAACTCCTCGACGGCCGCAGGGTCCTCGCGCTTTTCCCACAGCGCCTGCTCGAACTCGACGGAGATGGGGATAAGCGAGCCACCGCCGTTCTCCTGCACCCATTTCGAGATCTTCGCCAGCCACTTGTTCTTCTTGCGGATGTAGTCGGTCTTCGAGAGGTTGACGAGGTAGATCATCGGTTTCGTGGTGATCAGCGCGAACTTCTCGTTGATCATCTCGACCTCAGCGGCGCTCCACTTTCCATCGCGGATCGGGGTGGACTTCTCGAGGAGATCGCGCATCTTTGCCGCGCACTCGGCGAACAGGGGGTTCGCCTTGCCCTGCGCCTTGCGGACATTAATCGCCTCGGTCTCAATCCCCTTGCCCACGATCTCGAGATCCTTCTTGCACAGCTCGCTGTTGATGGTGCTGAGGTCGCGCACGGGGTCCACGGAATCGTCGACGTGCACTACGTCGTCGTTCTCGAAGGCGCGCACTACGTGGTAGATTCCGTCAACGGCCTGGATGTGCGAGAGGAAAGCGTTGCCGAGACCGGCGCCCTCGGACGCGCCCTTGATCAGCCCGGCGATGTCGGTGATGCTGAGGTACGCGGGGTACTTGGACGGAGGGTTCCAGATCTGTGTCAAGTAGTCGTACCGGGCGTCGGGGACTATTGTGGATCAATCAGTGCGGGGTCGGACATGGCTTGCTTGCTGCTGGTGAGACATACCGGGACACCGCGCCCTGTGGGATACGCGTTAGCACTAGCCGGATTGAAGCGGCGCGGAGAGGAGGTTCAATTACTCATTCGGCTCAATTGTGCAGAAAGGGTAGTTTTCCGCGGCAGCGGCCTGCGAGGTGAGGAGGTTGAAAAGACTGGATTTTCCGACGTTGGGCAGTCCAACCACTCCCATCTTCAGGTGGTTCTTCATCCGCCCGAAGCGGATGACATTGGCGGCTTCAACGAGGGCTTTCTTGGGAGGCATTGCGGCGAGAATGAAGACAGTACGAGGCAAATCAAGAAGAGACGGAAGGATGGAGTTGGTTGGGATAAGGACGAGAGAGCTCTGAAAAGTGGGCTGTTTAGGGTGCCCGTTACCCGGGTGTGGGGTACGTGGGGGCCATTTTGAGCAGAATTTTATGTTTTTATCACGGTTGTGCGGAAGGAAGGGAATAGGCTCATGGAGAGGGCGTAGAAGCCTGTGAGGAACCGATTCGATCTGTATTCGAAGAATTATTGCTGGTGACGCATGGGCACTAGCAGAGTGAAGCAAAATTAGGCTGTGTCACGTGTGCTATTTTACAGTTGGGCCCTGCATTTCGGATCTTGCCGAACATCCTGCGATAAGGAATATCATAATGGCTTCGATCCCGAATGCCGGCAAAGCAACTTCGTTGATGACCGCGTTCGGGAGGTCGAGGTAGTGGCAAGCAATTGATGGACATAACCGAGTTTTTTTGGGTTGAAATACAATTTATGACTCTAATTTTGAGGTTAATGAAGGAGCACCCAGTGGGCTGCTTCAACTTTCTCATACGACGGCAGCAGAAGTTCGGGGGATCGCATCATTATTGTCCTTGGTCCTAAACAAACATCTTCGGTGGCCCTTCTCCCTCTTTCCTTAGCCTGATATTGAACCTCGCTCCAAAAAGCCAATCCTGACTTGGGACTTTCCCTCCAGCTTTTGTTAGCCTGTCACGGTCAGCTTTTAAGCCCCGTCAACAGATCTAGGGAGAACAATACTCTCGATTATCGGTGTCCATTTGACCTTTCGTGTAAGGAAGTCTCTTAGCCACCCAGACCACCACTTGTCCCCCTGGCTGATCATATTGCTCCAATAGCATTGCATTGCTACCTTTCTGGATCTCGGAACGCATTGTGATGCATACTCCTTCAGAGCGTTTTCGAATGATTTCTGATTTGTGCTTGGGTCGATTGTTGCGGAGTTGTTGAGCAAGGCATCGGCAAGAACTGTAACATCTTCGATTGAGAAGTTCGCACCTGAGACCTCGTCAATACCAGGAGGACACCCCGTGGCCAGGCCAGAAATCTCACCTTGACCATGCGCCATACATCTCGCCGCATCGCCAACGAGGACCATATTACGGCCCTGAATCTCGTTTTCCCTCCAGATGCGCTGCCAGAAAACCACTCTGCCCATCCGCTCGGCAGCTTTGAATACATTCCCGAACGTGCCATATGTGGGATGCCAAACGTTTTCATACTTCCGCAAAACCTCCCACGACGACTCCGCCGAATAACCCCCGGTGGAAAACTGTGCTTTATAACCCTCTAGCTGTACCGTCTCGTACTCGATGCGGGCCCTTCAGGCGTAGTCGCAGATGCCTGGAAGTATTGCCTGCCGTTCGGAAGCGCTTATGTGCCGCAAAACCCCCCATCGATATACACAATACGACCCTTTCCGGCCAATTGCTCATAATTCTTCACGTCGGGCCTCGACACGATTCCCAGCAATGCCGTCGACCCCTGATACTCCGGCTTCCACCTTTCATCATCCCCATTCAGCAACGCCCTCCGGATGGAACTCCAGACCCCATCAGCACCCACCACCAGATCTCCCGCCACCTTCTCTCCCCCTTCCAGAAGCACATCAACGCCGGACGAAGTCTGTTGCACACCCACAACATTCGCATTCCACCTAGTTTCCCCGCCTTTGCTAATGTACTTGTGCACCAGTAAGCTCTGCAGCTTCGCCCTCTCAACAGTTCTAAGCCCAGAATCCACATCTTTCGCCCAGCATGGGGACGCCAGTCGGTTGAGGTACCTGCCCGGTCTGGCGGGGTTCTTGCTATCTGCGCGCCAGATGTCCATTGTCATTCCCTCTTCGGAAATCGTGTTGAAGTCACCCTTCAGGCCAAGGGCGTATAGGGAGTGTAAGTCGTTGCTAGAGAGAACTACGCCTGCGCCGGAAGCGTAGGGCGAAGCGCCGGAAGCGTAGGGCGAAGCGCCGGAAGCGTAGGGCGGAGCGCCGGTTTCGAACGCTGATGGTGCGGGAGGAAGCGGTAGGCGGTCGAGGAGGAGCGGGTGAAAGCCAGCAGCGAGGAGAGGGTGGGCCAGGATTTGGAGGCCGAGGGTTGGTCCGGCGATGCCAGCACCAGTTATTAGTATTGTTGCTTTGGAAAGAGAGGAAGACATGGTTGCTGCAGAATGAGACGGAGGCCGACTGTTGGGCATCATGCTGGAATGGTCGACATATAACTGAGTCACAGAGTCGGCGAACTGTTATGCCGCTCACCATATGCGGTACCGGTAGGCACAGGGTAGTATACGCCGTAGATGACCTCAAAAGTGACCAGGCATGCCAAAACCCTCGACCAGATCTACACTATATAAAAAGAACTGGTGAGAGCTTCATACACCTGTCAGCCCCGGTCTTCGTCTCCCCGGGTGATTTTTGTAGGCATCTGAAAAGTCGTTTTTCACTGCGGTTCGCTGTGCTGGGCACTCTGGAGTCTACGCCTCCTTGTGACGACATGTCTATCATCAAGCGCTATCTCTCCCGTCCCGTCGTAAGAGCTGTAAAAGACACTGTTTGATTAAGTTCAAGATATCTTGTACCTGGATAATTAGTATGTGAGCTACATGTCTAAGTGACTATATCGGTCCATATCTAGATGTACAGCCCAATATCTCCTGCCAGGGGGCCTCGAGATTTCGATGAATTTTTTGGATCCGCGCTTAGCAGCAGCTCCGCTTATGCCGCGCCTAGCAACGGTAGTAAGGGCCCGTTCGAACTGTGAAACTGGGAGCTATCCGGAGTCTCTCGAGCTCGAGCTCGAGTTCTCCCTTGAGTTCCCGAGGCCATTTACCTCATATCCCAGTGCGTACGACCCAAGCAGCAAACGCAGATCCACATCGCGGGGTAGGTATCCACCACATCATGCTTTCATCCCGACTGCAGCAAGGGTTACGATATTCTTCTGCAGACACCACCAATCAACGCGGATGTTTAGCGACTGGGATGCAAGCCATAGCTGACAGTGCAGTATCTACGCATGGTTAAAGTACCGTGTGCGGGAAACATATGGGCGGACTACGGGGCACATATAAGGGACTCGCCGCTCAAGCGTAACTACGCGTTGATCCTTCCAACAAGCTCCCTTGAATCGCACTATACCGGCCTGGAACAGCACCCCACACTGCACAAACATGGCTTCGCAGGGATTAATCGAGGTAGACGATATGGTAGTATAGACACAACGCGCGATCGTTTAGGGCGCAGGCTAACTCCACTGATGCTTCTTTCGACGACAGATGGAGATGGAGGTCAACGATTGGTCGTCAGACGGATACGTCACTAGCACGCAGAGCCTTAGGGCTTCTATCAATGAGACCATATTCGAGAATGGTGATGGCGGGGTCTTTGGCGGCGGCAATTGAATAGGAAAAGCTGACGAGATTATCGAGGCAGGTCGTCGCTATCACACATACTACGGATATGACAAGAATATGTTACCAGTGGACGAGGTACGAGGCCCCCACTCCCGAGATTAAAAGTCGGTCCCCTTGCTGACATCCCGGGTACAGGCCGAACAGGACCGGTATGTAGTCTCCGTCCTGACATGGCACGAGGATCATCACAGTATCTCACGTAGCTTTTCAGGCTTGACCTCCACCACGAAGTGTTCTTATCGATGATGGACGGGAAGCTTCATGCAGCTCCAATTGACTCCGGCAAACAGCGGATTCTTGACATTGGAACAGGCACTGGCATCTGGGCGGTTGATATGGCCGACACATACCCCAACGCGAAAGTCATTGGGACGGATTTGAGGTAAGGCGCTAGAAGACGAGTCACTACGTCCATACTGCTGTGACGAATTGCTGACGATCGTATGTAACAGCCCCATTCAGCCGAAATGGTACGCAGTGAAAACACACGATCCGGGGAGTAATGGCATTGCGTAGACCTTTGACTTTGGTTGTATAGGGTTCCACCCAATTGGTAGATCGCCGAAGCCCACATCGTGATTCGTGAACGAAGCTGATTCATAAAAGCCGCTTCGAAGTCGACGATGCAGAGCTCGAGTGGACATATCGGGCGGTACTAATCCTGTCTACGTGGCAACTGCCGTACGCGTGCTGCTTCTGATATGTTTCAGGAGAGCTTCGATTTCATCCATGTCCGGAATCTTGCAGCCAGTATATCAGACTGGCCGAGAATGATGAGTGAGATATATCGGTATTAGCCTGCTCCACTTTCCCGGCGATCGAGGGTAATGCTGAGTTGAGTCAGGGCAACTAAGCCGGGAGGTTATGTGGAAATCGGCGAGTTGGGAGGCCGACGTAGGTCTCTTCACCAAGCCGTAAAATGCTACCATCTGACCAAGCCACAAAGTCTTCAGCGATGATGGCACAATGACGGAAGAAAATCCGCTCAAGAAATCGTTTGATTTGACCATAGACACGTTGGAAACACTTGGTCGTACGTTTCCCGTGGCTGGTACGCTCCAGGGAAGACTAGAAGCGGCAGGGTTCGCCGATGTGAAGGAGTTCTCCTACAAACAGCCGTATGGACCTTGGCCGAAGGATAAAAGGTCTGGGAGATTGCACATACCGGGGACAAGATTGGATGATATCTAACCTCGCATCTGAATAGGATGAAGCAAATCGGCGCAATGGCTTTGGTGATGGTATGCAAGCACCCTTCTCTTACCCACGGTCAATTGTCTCTACTAAAACTACACTTGCAAGGCAGTTGGACACGGGAATCGAAGCCTATGGGATCGCACCGTACACACGCATCCTCAAGATGGATCCTGGAGAGGCATCAAAGATCATCCATGAAGCAAAGGAGGTTGCTAAAGATCTGAGCATCCATACCCACAGCATGTAGTACGTTCTCCGAGCCCTTCCGCCAGTAAAGTCTGATAACTGACGCGGTGAAGCTATGTTGCATACGGGCGGAAGCCGGCAGAGTAGTGCAGTGGCTGCTAGATTATCAAGAGTACATAATATGAAGAGCACGCAAAGCTGTTTTCTTTTCTATAGATTACACGTAATTTTGGGATACAGACAAATAAATACTGTATTGAAAATGAAGAAGTCGAAGGGCCAAACGTATGTAGCGCAATACATACATGTATGTGGCTAATGCACAGCTGGTACATACTGCTGAATGTGGCGCAGAGTGTACTAGCACGATTGTGACGCCTAAAATGTGCGAGCTCGGCACTAAAGTAAGACATTGTTAGAGATAGCGCGGCTGTCAAGCGCGTCTAAAATGAGTTCACGATCGATTCCTTGAGTCGTCCTCGAAACTATCATGGAGTAGTGAAGTGGAATTGTCTGGCAGGGAGCACCGATATTGTCAAATAGGCTATGACGTAACATTACTGCAGCTCTGAAGCCACCTTTACCGGAGTACGTGACGATCCCACTCCTTGCCCCGACGTTGCTGTCATCAGGGATCCAGCGCGAACTACACACGAGCATCTTGTTGGCTGTCCCTCCCTACAACGAATCGGTAGCCACCTCACGATACGAAGTCTACATTTTACCGGGTCACCCCCCGCATACGGCCCCCACGCGCAAGAGCTTCACTGAGTATCGTAGCAAACGGCCGTCCTCTCCTGCATGAAGAATTCCACCTTCGCTCGGAATCGACCTGTCAGATAGCAAAAGTATAAAGGAGCTTCGCCTCGCGCCACTCCCACTGCACCGCGCGCGCGCAACAGCTATCGCGAGCTTTATTAAGATGACTTCGGAAATTGAGATCGATACCAGCGTTTGCCCTCCCATCTTTGCGCTGGTCAGTGGTGATGATGAGTAGGGAGCTGACCGATTTGCCGTGGCTACTGGGCAGTTGGAGGATAGTGACTACTACTACATGTGCCAAACTGAGAGCTTGACGGACTCGATCAACGAGCACATATTCGAGAACGGTACATAGTGATCCATACCTTCGCGGCCGCGCGTATTGCCGGGCCGAGCTGAGGTTCTTCGATTGACCTGACCTGTTCTCCACGGCCAGGCCGCCGCTACCACACCTACTATGGGGAAGACAAAAATCTTCTCCCTACCGACGAGGCAGGCCAGCACTCTCCCCCCCCCCTTCCAACCGCCGACTTCGCTGCTAACAGCCCCGTCTGTCGTCTTAGTAGATCGAGCAAGACCGCTTGGACCTCCACCACCAGATATTCCTCAACATGATGGACGGACGGCTGCACAACGCGCCGATTGGAAACAAGCCGGGGAGAATATTGGATGTCGGAACTGGAACCGGGATTTGGGCGATTGATATGGCGGACACTTATGAAGATGCGGAGGTCATTGGAATGGATCTTACGTAAGATACCCGAAAACCCATACGACTGACTGGGGGATGCTGATGGTGTACGCAGGCCAATTCAACCTGTCTGGTGAGCTTGCGGTCTTGAATCCGGATGTAAATATCAAACGGCCATGTTAACAGCGTCTGAAAACTAGGGTTCCGCCGAACTGGTAAGTTGCCAAACCTGCATGCTCCCCCGCTGTAGGAGTCTTGCTCACCATACCCGCCAGTCGATTCATGGTAGACGATGCAGAACAAGAGTGGACGTACGATTCGGTATGCAGTACCTACATACATACACCATCTATTCCTACATCTCCAACTTACTCACGGCCTGTCAGGAAACATTCGGCTTCATACACCTGCGCAACATTACCGCGAGTATATCCAGCTGGTCCACGGTGCTGGCAGAGGCATATCGGTTCGTCCTCCCACCACTTCTCCACCAATCACAAAAACTCCGCTGACGACCAGCTACCGCCACCACAGGTGTCTGACACCCGGCGGCTACATCGAGACCGCCGAGCTCGGCTGCACCTGTTCGTCCCAGTACTTCCTCCTACGCAGAGCACGCACCCACTAACCGCGAGCACATTGACCGCAGGTTACTCAGCGGACGGCCACATCCCGGAAGACAATCCTCTGCGCGCCTCCTTCGACATGATCGTCGACGCAATGTCACAGATCGGCCGGACGTTTCCGCAGCCCGGCGTGCTCAAGGAGCGGCTGGAACAGGCGGGGTTCGTGGATGTCACCGAGGTGTGTTACAAGCAGCCGCTGGGGCCGTGGCCGAAGGATAAGAAGTATGTATAGTCCAATACATAATACATCCACCCACCCCTTTCCACCGTTCCGTCCGAGTAGATGCTTACATGACATGGCGGAAAGGCTCAAGCAGCTCGGTGCAATGACATTGATGATGGTACCTACCTTTCTTTCCCAGCCCCAGCCACTCCCCAGCTTTAGCCCCCACTCGATTCTCACACCCCCATAGTTGGAAGTAGGACTGCAAGCCTACTCGCTCGCCGCATTCACTCGAATCCTGAAGATGGATCCCGCAGAGGCCGAAAGGCGCGTTCGTCTGGCGACGGACGTAGCCAAGGACCGGAATAATCATATCTACAACCGTTTGTGAGTTGGCCCACTGGATTGCCGGGGAGGTTGTGGATAACTATGGTTGGAACTTGGCGAGAGCTGACGGGCTGGGGTACAGCTATGTCGCTTATGGGCGGAAACCGGAGAATTGATGCTTACATGTCTTGGGCTCTTGGTTGGACTTTGCCGGGGACGAGTGCAGTGGGGAAGTGGCAGGAGGGCATGGAATATTGGAACAGCTACGGTACATATCCGGGATGGATCATGGATAGAGGGGTGTTTGAAGCAAAGCCGGACTCGACTAGAGTATGATACACACGATGTAATGAGCGCACAGAGCGAGCGAGTAGTCAAGCGTTTGCCCCGGCTTGCTTGGGGTGCATACAGTAGATTACTCTACATATGTCCTCTCCCTTGAATCGAACTGAGGTACTTTAAAACCCACCAGTGCTTATCTTCTCGCCGACGCCGACCTTGCAAACACCCACCACGTGTCCCACCGCTCCATGCAATTGGGCGTGACCTCTCGGTTATGAGGAAGATTCAAGGGACAGCCTACAGGCTTTAATATATAGTATTTGTATGTATGTGTGCTCGAGTACGGTATATAGAGTGCGCAGTGGCGGTGCCCCGGCCCTCCGGGGGCTGTGTGCGCCGTATGTGCAAGCGAAAGTTGCGCATGCATCAGAACTACATACATGCTCATAACTATTTGGCTAAACCTTTAACCCGCGAATTCGCTTCTTCAGCAAATCAGGTACCACTTCCAGTGACACCATGTAGTATGTGGAATATCTATGTCCGCTTAAAATTCAACAGCCCTAAAACACCCATCTGCAATCTGCAGAGTCCGGGAACTTGGGGAGGAAGCTAGGTCAGTGAGTCAACCTCACTATGTATGATAAAATACGGTGGGGGTAGGAACGAGGGAAGGATGGAACGAGGGAAGGAGGATGGAAGGGCGGAAAAGGGGAGCGCAGGAACGGTATAAATCCGCAGTATCACCGTCCAGCGCTGCATCCAAGGAAAAGTTCGCAAAGATGTATCACTCGCAACCGATTCCCGCGCCTCCACGATGGTCCACCCCTTCCTCCTCCTGCTATTCCCACTCGGCGTCATATCCACTGTCTCCCCCTCCCCCGTCTCCCTCCCGTGGAAAAACATCACCCTAACCGACGGCGTGGGTATAAACCGAGGGATCGAGCTTCTCCTGGGCGGGCAGCGCCTCGGCCTACGCGGCACAACGACATACGCCAACACGCGGATCCGCAACGCGCGCGATTGCAGTTACGGCACCGGCAACGGAAACGACACTGCCGCGGAAACGGGGTGCCTCGGCGCCAGCGGCAGCCTGTTCGACACGCGGTCGGCGGCGGACTTCCGGCTCGCGCCGCCGGGGAACTGGAGTGTCGTTGCCACCGACGGCTACGATCCCGAGGAGAGCGTCAGCCGCGGGTACGCCCGCGCTGAGTTCGAGGGCGTTCCCGCTATCGACGAGTTTCCGGTCGAGGTGTGGAGTCGCCGTGACTCGGATAATAAGAGCGCGCTGGCGCTGGGGCGCGACGGAAGTTTTATCCAGCGCCTAGTCGGCAAGAAGGTCGTCCCCAGTGGCGTGTGGGGGCTGTTCTTTGGGTCGCGCTCGCAGCTAAGGGGCGTGGACGGGGCGCTGACGATTGGCGGGTACGATGCGGCGCGCGTTGACGGCGGCGGCGGCGGCGGCGGCGCTTGGACGAATTTCTCGGTCGACGCGGAGTATCTGCGTGCGTCTGCGTGTCCGCTACAGGTTCTTGTGAAGGATATCTTCGTCACGACGGGGAACGGCAGCGAGCACTCGGTGTTTGCGGACCAGGCGGCGATGGTGGGCGCGTGTGTCGACCCGCTGCAGAACTCGTTCACGTTCACGCGCGCGATGGCGCAGCGGTTCTGGGAGATCACAGAGCATGCGCATCATGTTCCAGGCGAGGGCGCGAACTTCACCGACCAGACGTATCCGCCGAGTAAGGAGCATTTGATGCAGAATCTTACGGTCGTGCTCAGCAATGGGCATACAACCGTTATCCCGCACTATGAGCTCGTGTCGCAGGAACGTGGGACCGCCCAGGAGGAGGGAAAGTATACGGTTACGAACGCATCGAGGATCATGGTTGCTGTGGCGCCGGATCCCGAGGACGATGGGAGCGGAGATGTGGTGCCGATTCTCGGCGGCGTGTATCTGAGCCAAAACTACCTGCTCGTAGATTATGAGCGGAAGAGCTGGAGTTTAGCGCCAGCGGTGATTGGGAAGATGGATGACGGGCAGCGGAAGATCGTCGCTGTGCTGGGTGACGTGGAGAAGTCGGGGGGCAAGACGAGCATCAATGTAGGGGGTGTGGTTGGAGGTGTGATCGTTGCGGTTATCATTCTGGCTACTGCGGCAGTGGGAGTGTTTTACCAAAGGAAGAGGACATTGAACCTGCGGCGGCAAAAGGTAAAAGAGAGGGCTGACACTTGCAGCGACAAAGAGCTGGATACTCGGCCAACGGTGATGGAGATGAGGTCTCGGACGACAACACAGCCGGTGCCGGCGACGGTGGTCATGCCTTCGGAATTAGCGAACTCGTCAAGGGTGGAGTTAGTGTAACGAACGTGGGAAGCTCTAATAGTTACTCCGCAACGAAATCTAATCAAGCCAATTGCTCATAACCGTGAATCGTGGTGCTTTCGCTCGTAGATACCTATGATGGCAAAATTGTGGGGCAATCGGATTCGCACGCCTCTCTCCCGCCAGCCAGCCAGCCAAGCCAGCATCCCTCACCTCTCGATATGGTCGGCGTTGGTCGCTTGTATTTCCCGATTTGTCATTCAGGGGATCGGCATGATTGGCAGCATCCGACAGCGGAGTGGGGCTGTGCTGTGGGCGTGCATAGAAACGGGGAACGCTTCAACACAAAGAAAAGCGGGGAGGGACAGCGTGACGAGCGAGAGATAGAGACAGACCGCAGCGGAAGAGTTCTAAGAAGAAGAAAGAGACGAAGAAGAGGCAAGAGCACGAGGTTATCATTTCATCCCATCATCCCACTCTCCACCACCACCGCACCAACTCCGTAGATAGCTCCCTCCCCCAGCCCGATCACCTCCCTCGATCAACCATGTCGTCCTTCACCGAGGTCCCAATCCTCGACCTCTCCCTCGCTAAAGACCCCGCGACGAAGCCCGCCTTCCTTGAGGATCTCAGGAAGGCGCTGCTCGAGGTCGGATTCCTCTACATCAAGAACACCGACGTCGATGCACAGCTCGTTAAGGATGTAATCCGTCTTACGAAGGAGTTCTTTGACCTACCAACAGAGGAGAAGTTGCGGTTGGAGATGAAGAATTGTCCGTCCATCTCTTCATCATCTGTGATGAAATAGCTGCTGATGGTGAGATGCTTTACAGCTCCCCACTTCTTGGGATACTCGAAACTTGGCAACGAGATGTGCGTCACCTCCTCATGCCTGTGAACCGGTCGAGTCCTGATTACTGAAGTACACGTACAGAACGAAGCACGCGACCGATTACCGTGAGCAGATAGACCTTGCTACCGAGCTTCCCTCCCCTTCGGACGACGAGCCCCGATATCGCAAGTTGCGAGGACCGAATCAATGGCCGAAAGACGATCTCATTCCCGGGTTCAGGAAGACAATCGAAGAGTACATCGAGCAGATGGGTGAGCTGAGCACCGACTTTACATCGTTGGTATGTCGATATTCGAGCCTGCATTGTTCGATGGAGAGGGGCTAACTTGAGTTTTAAGATCGCCGAAGCTGTCGGACTTCCAACGAATGCTTTCGAGCGGTTCTTCGAAGGAATCGGAGAGAGTGCGAGCGGAACCAAGAGGCAAGATAAGCTGAAGCTCGTCAAGTACCCGGACATGGAGGAGCTTCAGCAGGATGGAGAGAGTGCTCAAGGCGGTGTGTACTTCCCAAACCTCAATTTTGAGCGATTAGCTGATTTGACCGAATAGTAGGACCACACAAAGGTACCCCCTTTCATACCTGCCTTTCGGAAAGCTCGCCATTGCCACGTTTATGGGTGGAGCTATCCGTACTACTCAAATCGTTTAATAATACTGACAGTTTAGACTCAATGCTCTCCTCCTACCTACTCCAGGTACCACCGCACAATAATCTCCAGGTTCAGAACTCAGAAGGCGCTTGGATCTCCTGCCCACCAATAGACGGGACCTTTGTTGTTGCTATGGGACAAGGTTTGGAAGCTATCACCGGTGGTGTGATTGCCTCGACCACCCACCGCGTACTCTCCCCTGCTGCCGGCGAGGGTCCGCGGTACTCGATTCCTTTCTTCCAAGGTATCAGCTATGACGCCCGATTCGAGAGCATGGAAGTTCCGGAGGAGGTGCGGAAGCTGAAGAAACAGGTTATGGGCAACGATGTCGAGATGACTTTCAGGAGTGATATGTTTGAGAGGCTGGGCGATGCTACTCTCACCAACCGGGTCAAGGTATTACAGCCGTGTTTAAACTCTCCCGAACTAGCCCAGCTGACCAGAAGCACAGTCGCACACCGATGTCGGAGGGAAATATTATCCGGATATCCTCAAGAGTCTTGATAATCTCAAGTTGTCCACTTCCCTCGATATTCCAGACGACGACCCATCTTTTGAGAAGCCGATTGGCCGCAAGCGTGCTCCCTCGATCGTCATCGACAAAGTCGACGAGCTCCCCAGCTATGGTGAGGACCCTGGCCCAGACGGATCTCTGCAGCGGAAGGAAGCGTTCGAGAAGCGAAAGATGGACGCGCAGCCGGACGAGATACGGATCGGCGACGACGGAAGGCCCATGGGCCGCAGAAGAGCACCCACCATCGTCCTCGACCGAGTCGACGGAGATCCAGCGTACGGCGAAGACCCGGGCCCAGAGGGTTCGTTGCAACGCAAGGAGGCCTACGAGAAACGCAAGATGGATGCCACCCCCGATGAGGTTCGCGTGATTCACGGCGACTACTTCCCGCCTGCTTCTCCGAGCTAGTTCCCCTTGTGTGTTACTGGTGACGGGGTCGTGGAGAGGTGATACCTGTAGGTCGGCATCGTAGCGTTTTCTTCTTGCTTGTTCGGGATGGATCTCTATAAAGTTGGAGTTACATTTAAATGGCGATTTAGTTTCATGTGTGCATGACCTGTCAACGCCATTTGTCTCAGTGAACCCGCGAGTCAAGAGCCCAAAGCCCGGAGCCCTGATGTTTGCGTCCATATCTACATCCATGATCCATCACAATCCATCCCATGAAACTCATATCCATATCTGCAGCGAATCCGTTGCTCGCCTTCCGTGAACGGTGAACCAACCCCGCGCATGGTGATACAGGCGTCAGCAGCGCCTACGGTAATATCGGCAGCAAAGCAATCCGAGCATTCCTAACGACACCGTCAAACAAGCCGAGACCATCCTTCCCATCACCTAGCGAATTGGATGCCATAAAGGCGGAAAAGCTAGGTATCATGATTCGCCACTTCCATGCACGGGCTGCACGTTTTGGTGTTGGTGTGGTTACAGGCGTTGCAGCTAATGACGTACGTGGGATCGCGCATCTGAGAGCAACGATCGATTGCCCCTCTTTCTTTGCGAGCCCCCCGCTTCTACACGCAGTCGAGGGAAATCGGCCAGGGAACGGAAGCACTTAGCACTTAGCAGAGATGCTCTCTTGCTGGCTCGAGTCGCTGCGTGCTTGGGAAAAGTAGAGTGGAGCAGAGGATAGATAGCTCCCATCCCCCTTTCCTCCATCTCCATCTATCTCCTTCTCCATTCCCATCCCTCTCCTCCCCATATTCATCACCATCAACTCCCTTTGCATCGTACTCCCATACACACACAGACAGATTCATCCACACACACAGAGAAGCAACACAACTTAATTCATCATGGGGCTTACATCCCATACTACACTCTTCCCTGTGCTGCTTTTATGCCTAGCACTCTACTGTACCCCAGCTGCCGCCTTTGGTGCCGGCAACATCGCCAGTATCTCCAAGATCGAGGGTACGTACCATCATACCCCTCCTCGTCTTTCTGGTACTGATTCATCCAGGTCAAAACTGGCGCCATGGTGATCTCGAGGACACGCTTCTGCAGCTCTTCCTGGCGGCCGGCGCTGCCGGCGGTCAACGACGCAAATTCAGCAACATGGACGTGAAGCGAATTTACTTCGGAAACTGGCTGCGCGACTACTCTCAGGCCATCGACACCGGTGCGCTCAAGTACGTCGAGGCCGAGACTGTGCGGATTCTTGTACGTTCTTCTTTCTTGTGTCCGGGGTTGGTGGGGTTGGTGGGGTTGGGATGCTAATGGTGGGGTACATAGCTCTGGGTTCTGTCGTTTATGACTTTCGGATACGCGACCCGCGAGTTCGAGGTTACTGCTGAGCGCTTGGGATGTTACCGCCCCGAAGAGCATATCGATAACCCCAAGGACTACAACGACAACAACGATGCCAGGGATATGCACTCAGCTCTCCGCGGGCCCGTTGACGAGGAAGTGGAGCTTGCTATCGATCCCGAGACCGGACTGAAGAACTACATCGCAACCGAGGGCAGACGGCTCTCGAACGGTGAAGACATGGTTACTAGTGGTGAGTTTTTTTTTGCTGCGAATGGGTTGGAGGGTTCGAGGGAGGACATACTAATGTAGTTGCAGCCCAGATGTTGAGGTCTCTGTTTTCGCGGTCCATCGCGCTAGGACGCCAGTACGCTCGGAATGGTAGGGAAGAAGACCTCTTTGAGGCTTTTCGATTGATGGGAACCGGACTGCATTGTATTGAGGGTATATATCTATATCCTCCCCCCCCCCCCCCCCCCCCCCTACGTAGACGTATGCTGACGATGTGACAGATTTCAGCGCCCACTCCAATTACACCGAGCTCGCGCTCATCGAGCTAGGAGAGTACGACGTCTTCCCTCACGTGGGTGCCAACACCATGGTCAACGTTCAGGGCAGAGAAATCTGGCCTCTTGTTACTGGTACTTTCGGTGGTGTCGACTTCTTGCACTCGGTTTTGGGCGAGGTCAACGACAAGGCATTGCAGAGCGAGATTTCACAGCTCGAACACACCATCTCCGAGGCCCAGCAGACTGGACAGAGCGATGACGAGCAGTCCATTATTCGCGATCTGATGAGCAAGCTCAACATCGGCGGAAAGGACGACATCGACAGCAAGACTTCTGAGCTCAAGCAGAAGTCTGATGCCCAGAAGGAGGCTACCGAGAACGGCTCGCCCTTTGGCCTCTCGCAGGACGCCAAGCAGCTCGGAAAGGACATATATCCCTTCCTTGAGTTCCACGACGAGTTGATGCGCAGCATTAACCAAGCCCTCGAGAGCGTCGGATTGGACATGGTCATGGAGAAGCTTGCCGAAGCTGTCTCTGTCTTTGTCTTCTGCCTGTTGGCGCCTTATATCCTACCAGTCATCAAGCAAGCCAGCAACGAGCTGAAGACCGGTAGCAGTGAAGTTATTGCCTCCTCGGAGGCCCAGCAGCACATCGTGTTTGATGACGACAACTCCAGCAACCCCACCCACTCCATGCTGTCTAAGGATCACTTCACCAACCTCCTCAACGAGCCAGCCGGAAAGGTCGCCTCGGCAGTCCTTAAATTCGCCGTTCCCCTTCTCATGAATGCCTGGGACGACGAAGGAATTGACCCCAACCAGGTCTGTGACGAGATCATCGGCGGTGTCTTCCACCATCCCGCTTTCCGCAACGGCGAGGACGGACGTCCTGGTGTTGAGGGACGCCAGATGATGTTCGCGGTTGTCGAGGAATGGTGGAGCTCTAAGGATTCGCACCAGCAGGAGGATCTGCGCGCTCATCTGTCACGCGACGGTGTTCAGCAGGGAAAGAACCACAAGGCGGGAGCTCACGACTCCGGCCACGGATGCGGTGCACCCATCCACCGCAGCAAGCCTAAGAACCGAGGCGGTGACATCGGTGGAGCCGTCGGCGAATCTGTCGGCATGGCTCTGGAGAACGCACTCAGCGGCGGCAAGAAGGGCGGTGACAGTGGACTCGGCGGCATGCTTGGCAGCCTTCTCGGCGGCGCAATCAGCCAGCGCCTCGGCGAGAGCGGCAGTGGCGGCGGCAGCGGCGGCGGACAATCCCGCTCAGAGTCCTACTCCTCCCACCAAGAGTCCTACTCCTCCTCCCGGCAGGAGTACTCCAGCTATGAACAGACATCGTCATACGGTGGTGGTGACGAGCGCTCCTCCTACTCTACACGTGAGTCGTATGAAACCCCCGAGTACTCACGCACCACTGAACGCTACCGCGAAAGTGGGCGCGAGCCAGAAGAAGAAACACGGTACGAAAGCAGACGGGAATACGAGCCCAGTGACCAGCCCTCATGGGAATACGACGACAGCGGACGGCAAGATGGCTACATGCGGCCGGAGCGATCTTACGAGCAACCGGAGCGTTCCTACGAGCAGCCGGAGCGCTTATACGGGCAGCAGCAGCAGTACTCTGATGGGCGCGATGGCGGGCGGGGCCGCGACGTCGAGTATTCTTACGGCGGTGAGCGGCAGGATTACGGCGGCGGCGGGAACGAAGGGGGCTATGGCCGACGAGGTACTACTCATAAATACTCTTCTCCTCCCTCTACCTTCCTCTCCCACTCTCACCCCTATTCTGCACATTCCCCGGGTTATGGCCATGGTTCATCGTCTAACGTGTTGCGTGAGAAGGAGGACAAGAAGAAGAAAGACAAGAAGAAGAAGAAGGGTGGCGACGAGAAGAACGACGAGGAGGAGGAGGAGGAGGAGGATGGTAAGAAGTCCAAGGACAAGAAGAAGGAGAAGGAGAAGGGGAAGAAGGGGAAGAAGTATGAGTCTGGTGATAGGGAGTATAGGCCTGAGGACGAAGACGAGGATGAGGGGTACGAAAAGAAGAAAAAGGAAAAGAAAGATAAGAAGAAGTCTTACGACGACGATGGTGATGAGGATGAAGACGAAGAGTACGGAAAGAAAAAGAAGGAGAAGAAGGAGAAGAAGAAGAAGTTTAAGGACGAGGACGGTGACGGAGAAGACGACGATGAGGAGTGGGGCAAGAAGAAGGAGAAGAAGAAGGAGAAAAAGTACGACGATGAGGATGACGAGGGCGATGACGAGGACCGCGGCAAGAAGAAGGAGAAAGAGAAGAAGTACAAGGAGAAGGATTACTCTGGCGGCGAGGACGAGGAGGAGCACGGGTACAAAAAGAAGGACAAGAAGTACAAGGAGAAGTCCGAGAAGAAGTATGGAGGAGGAGGATCCGAGGACGAGGATGAAGACGGCGACTACAAGAAGAAGAAGGATAAGAAGAAGTACAAGTACTAATTCTTTCCTTTCTTCTTTGCTCAGTCATCGTCTTGTTCGAAGGGTTTTTTCTTTTTCTCTCTTTGGAGGCTTTAACGAGTTTTTCTGTATCCGTGTTCAATTTCTTTTCTTTCTTTTCTTTCTTTGGCAAGTCAATTGAATCACGTTATCGTGGCTCGTATGGCTTCTCTTACTGATTCTACCTATTCTGTTCTTGATGAATTCTAACGGCTCCACGTACATCGTCACGTGCAACACTGTCAACACCTACCTACTAATATGATATAATCCTGTAGATAGTTCATTGTGACCTTTACCGAGTCTATGGTGCTGTTACCACCGCTTTACTATCCATGGTAGATACTAAAGTAGGTACGTTGTGCTCCGCGTCTTGAATTGATGCACAATATCTGACTCGACATCACCCACATCGCACGAGCTGGGTTACACAAAACCCAGTTTTTTATGTAGGCCGGTCCGAGCGTTTGTCTGGTGATCCTGCGCTCCCCTCCCTATATCTACTCAACATAGTAGATAGCAGTCCGGTCAATGCCGATTCCCGAAATTGTTATTACCACTACCCTCAGCACACTACATCACATCAATGATCACACCAATGATCACACCTTCAGACAACACTTTTTTTCTTCTGTAGAGTTAATTATGTAGGTAAGAAGTTATGTAGTTACAGTACAGCCTGCCCAAAGCCAACCAAACCAAACCAAACAAACCATACAAAACAGAACAGAACGCCCAGTGCCCACCACCCAGCCCCATCCAATCCAATCCAATTCTATACACAAGAACAAAACCTCAAGCCCCCGTAAAAGAGTGATGTGATGTTACATGCCCGTAAAAGAAGAGGATATCTGTAACCGCCGTTGTCGTAGTCGTAAAAGCAAAAGGAAAAAGGAAAAAGGAAAAGGAAAACGATATGGTAAAAGAAGGTAAGGGAAGGGGAATGAATGAATTACGAAAGGAAAGCGACAGCTCCATTTGTGACACGCCATTTTTTTTGTACTCTAACCTCCTGTCAACGAATGTGCTGCCGCATGTAGAACTTTTGGGGGAACGTTTGAGGAAACTTTTGGGAAAGAGAAAATCAGAAGGAATGAGAAAACGAGAAGGAAAGGAAAGAATGAATGAGATCCCAAGGGGACAAGCTGAAAAGAATGAAGGAAAAAAAGGAATATGCCAAAAAGCGCATCCCCTGGTTCAATGAACCTTTTTTGTCGCTGGTAGGACCGTAGGATGCAACTAAATGGTGGTCGGAGGTACGTGACCGGTTTTCTTCCAGTCCTGGAGCATTTCGACGACTGAATGAAGCTTGACAAAGACCTTGGCGGTCGCCAACTGCGCCTCGTCGCTGGCAACTTTCGCCTTCTGGCTGGCGCACTGGGCATCCCTGCTCATGGTGACCGCGGTGACCATGACCTGAGACAACATGAAGAGGTGTTCCTTGACCACAGGGTTCTTTTCCACTGACGCAGAGGTAATGAGTTCTATGCACACCTTGATGGGGTTTCCTTCTTTCTCGTCGCGAGTGGGGGATTCGTCGATCGTCGGCACATTCTTGGAGAAGTACTGACCTCCGACGGTGTTCTGGGGGCTGAGATAGTTTGCTGACAAGCGGTTCTTGAGTGTGTCCACCTGCTCCTGGGTGATGTTGAACTCCGGGTTGGAAGCATCTGGGACGCCATGTTCCGGGCTCTTTCTACCAGAGGCAGATCCTGTAGCGCAGAATTTTCCAAATTTAGGGAAGCTCTTTCCAGATAGGCGAGACTGAGTACTGTTGCGGTTGTCTCCACTCTGGCGGCTGGCACGGTTATCGCGGAACCAATTGATGACTCCTAGACGCTTCTTGGACTTGGTGCCCTGCTCGGCGGAAGCGGGGATTTGGTGCTTCAAGGGGTCCACATTCTCCTTGTCCGTGGCCGTATAAAAGGCAGGGATCTTCTCGTAGGGAGTACAGGGCGTCGTAGGACCCAACTTTGGCACCTTCTTCAAACCCAACCACTTGCGATTGGCGCTGGTAGTCGTATTGACTCTCGGATTCTTGGAGGCTCCTATGCCCGAAATATCTGCCAAAGGTTGGGGACTACGCCTGGGGATACTGCTGCCTGGACTATTCCTAAGGAAGGTATTGTCGGGACTGAGCTTGGGGGTACTGCTCTTCTGACCCAGCCTTGGGGTGATGCTCGGAACCGCCGTAGAAAGCTTTCCTTGCGCACCCTGGTTCTCCTTCCTACTGGGACCAGAGAAGCCAGGCGGAAGCCCGCGACCAGTGACGTTGGCATCCCTCTTGAGAGTAGTAGGGGTCTGCTGAACAGGGCTCTTGATGTTAATGCTCTTATTGCCTAGAACCGGAGGCTTCGCAATAGGCATGTTGGTTGGTCGACGAGATCCCGGGGAGGCCCTAGCCTTTCCGGCTGGAGTATTGGATGATCTCCTGTTGACTCTGACGCCAACTCTAACGTGTCCAGTACCCTTATTGGTTATCTCGGGCGTTACGCCATTGGTAGGTCTCTGGCGGATCGAACCCTTAGTAGGGTTGACGGACGTCGAAGTGTTCGAGGTTTTCTTTGCCGCAGAGCTAGCGGTTCCGCGAGGAAGTGAGGTGCGCTTCAACTTGGACTCAAATCCAACCGGCTTCTGCAACCTCTGTTGATCACGGTCACTCGGACGGGCTGAGGCGTCGTTGGGAACTGCAATGGGTCCACCCTTACTACTCTTCATCTGGGTCTCCGTGGCTTGATCGAGGGTTCCGGTCCAGTTTTGAATATTGGACTTCTGCTGTAGCTGTATATTGGTGAGGGCAGCCTGCTCTTTTCTAATGAAAGACATCTCCGCAGTGGTAGGGCGCGCAGCCACGACCGGTTTTTTGCCACTCTTCACCGAAGTATCCACAATTTCCTTGACCGGTAAAAGACTACCCCTCTTGTGCGGGTCTGGGCGACCCAGCTTGGAGCTCTTGCTATCGGCCGAAGTACTCCTGCGATGTTGGAAAGCAGTGGGCTTGGATGGACTGCCGGAAAAGGAGGTGGGCCTCGGCTTAGATGGACGTTTTCCGAGCTTGACCAGTCTGTCCCCGGAGATTCCATCAGGAAGCGCGCCTCCCTCACGCTGAACACCCTCTAGCATCTGAGCAGTCTGGGCGATCGCAAAGGAATCAGTAGTGCTCATCGTGCCAACCGTCTTATTCGTGTCTCCTGTCATCGACCTCTGGAAAAGATGGGCGTTCTCTTCGTCGATGTTGAAACCGATCGGATATTTTCCCGGAGTCGAGATAAGGCTGCTCGCGATGCTAATCTTGCTGAGCGACTGGGGTAGCTCTGGCACAAGCGGCTTTGGCTCGCCTGTCTTGGGGTCGTTGACGGCGGGCACGCCGTTCTGTGCGGCAAGAGCCTCGGCAAATCGTGGGGGAATAGGGCTTCGCTGTCCGGGTGCATCCAGAAAGGGATCGTCATCTTCAAAGCCGGTCTTCTTCTTTCTCGCCGTCTGGGGACCGAGGTTGGTATTGGCGCCTTCCTTGGCTTTTTTGACCGCAGGGGATTCGATCTTGCCTTTCCTCCTTGCAAGGCTGATATCAGTATGTTCCGCCTTGACGTTTTGGGCACGCAACATGGCGGTACGGTTCTGTCTAGGAGCCGTGCTAGAGATAACCCTAGGCTTATGTGTAGTCTTGCCAGGTCCTGTTCTAAACGGCGAGGGAACTCTAGGAGTAAGCAGAGGACTGGACTTTGTCTCCGGCTCCAAAGGTGGTGTGATATTAGTTGCAGAAGCTGGGTTTGTTGGCTTCAGGTGCTGGTCCGATGTTTCGACGTGAGCGGTAGGGGCCAGAGAGCTTCCAGACGCTGGGGAAGGTCCATAACGCGGAATACGTGAGGAGAACGGCGTGATAACTCGTGAGGCGTTCTGATCACGGCTCCGTGGACCGGTAACAGTGATAGCAGGGCTGGAGGCTCGAAACTGGTTTTCCTCGTCCAAGAGGTCGAGGTTTTTCTACACGATGTGTCAGTTTGGGTAAGCGGAATGTAGAGCCGGGGGATAGTGACCTTGTACAGAAGATGGGTCTGCTGTCCGATAGGCTGGATCATTCGGGGCAATCCACTGGGAGGCAATCTACGTTTGGCCTTTGCTGTCAGTGCGGCCTCCGCACCGGCACGAGTCTCGTCAATCTTCGGAGGTGTATCTTGAATCTTCGGAGGTGTATCTTCAATCTTCGGAGGTGTATCTTCAATCTTCGGAGGTGTATCTTCAACGCTGAGGGATGCAAGAGAGTCATCGAGCTTCTCGAGCAACAAGTGACTGATGACCTGCTCTCCAATGGTGCTAGACGAGATAGTACGGGAGTGCGCACGAGCCCGGGCCCTTGCCTTGAATGCCTCGTGCAACCGGAGGTATTCTTCTTCGAACGGCACAAGACTCTCGATAACGTGCTCACCCTCACACATCCCTCTCAGAATACCGAACATCTCGTTGATGCGGACTGCGTTCGACATCGTTGGGGGACCAGTAGACTTGAGCGTCTGATCGATCTCGGAGAATTTTTGGATCCATTGCATCCTGTCAAGCGGGGTCTGGATCTGTGCTGCCCGTTAGTAACCTCTCAACCCCCAATAAATCACCGTCCACCGAGTCCTGCATCAATCGACGTACTTTCTTGCCACTGGAAGAGTTCTGGTCCAGCATATCACCAGCTGAAGACAGAGCGAGCTGTCCCGTGTCGCGAGTAGTGCTACCGTCCATGATGACGGCAGTGGATGATGAGTATTATGGAGGTGACTGTAGAGGAATTAAGTAATGGAGGGTTCTTTCAAGAAGCCAAAAAGATTAGGAGGGTAGTAGACAATTGAAAGCGAGTGGATGACTGGAGAGTCGAGGAGGATATGGGGAGCTGCCAAAGGGGATGGGAAAGGAAGGTGGCCGGTTGCTACCGGAAGAGGAGAGGGGGATAACAAGTGGAGGTGTTGCAACAAATTATAGTTAGAGCAGCTGTTAAGGGCCGAAGCGGGGGGAAGGGTGGTCCATGGGAAGGGTCGCCCTCTTTTGGCCGCTCTCCTTTGGCCGCCTGGTCTTGTGGTGGTACGGACGTGTGCGAGCGGTTTTAGCTTAGTGAGATGTCCTCCTCATACTTGAAAATAACAAACGGGGCAAGAGCACCACTTCCGTGCGGAGGATATACGAAAATAATCAGATTTACATTTTGTACAAGTAAAGTATAAATTTACTATATGTGATTGCCGTGGTGTTGTGAGGTGGGGTTCGAGCCATAGATGCGTGTCGACCCCTGTAAATATCACTCGGTCGGTTTTAATTGCTAGAAGGTGTTGTACTAGTTTCAGGGAGACGAGGAAGGTTCTGGGGGATGATGGACTGGGACGAATTGACGAAGGGCTTGGCGTGGGCCCTGTGATGGTAGAGGTCTGTTTAGAGAGGGGTTTCCATTGGCATGTATTCCCGAGTATTCCTGCTGGATTGACCTTTGGGTGTTGGTGGCACAGGCAACGAGACAATGATGTACGTTGGGCATGTGCTCCTTATTTGAACAGTTAGTACGAGTATACAGAAGGTTGTTGAATCCTTCCGGAAGACAGGACTGCCTGCGGAATACATACACTCAGTGGCCGCATAACCCAGGATACCAACTCCGAATCTCAGCTATCGTCACGTGGTTCGGCCTTCGACTCCATGGACCGGACCGGACAAGCTGTGAAGAACGTTGTAGGTGCACCAGAGAGCCTAGAAGATAGCGGCGATTGTATATCGGGTATCAGCGGCAGAGACCTCCATGCCATCGCCGTTGCCAAAGTTTGTGGTGGAAGTGCTACCTTCGGACGGTGGAAAATGGGCTCGGGGGGTCGGGCTGGGTAGTTTTCTGCAGGAAGTACCGGTGCAGTTGGCCGCCAGGCACAAGCATCGAGACCGATGGCATGTCTGCGTCCACGGCCTCTATTGCGCACAGGATAGAGCTAGTGCAAGACACAAGGCAACCCTTCCACTTGGCCTTCTTCCTCTTCCTCGTCTGACTGTTTCACATGCAAATCTGCGCCGTGGCCATGGGTCGGTCATATGCCTTCGCTAGCAAACAGTTAACTAATGCCTAAAATACTATGTAGCCCCATGAAGGGAGACAAAAAGCACACGATGAATACTTGCTCACCCATCTCCACTCGGCACTCACTCGCTTGATTGCCTTTCTTTTCTTGCAAAGTGCAAAGACTGTCTCCAGGTAGGGCTGGGAATTCTCGTCTGTCGCGTCTAGACTCTAACCGTCGATATAGAGAGTACCGGTAGTAGTGGCACCCCGGGCGACACGAGCCGACTCTCTGTGGCCGCTAGATCGATTCTAGAAACTGAACTCCAATCCAGTCAACCCCCATCCAACAATTCTCCACCGACAAGCATAACCCCCTCCCCCTACAAACAAACTCGTCTTTAACCTTCACCGATCTACCACCGTAGGAGGGGGAAATATCTCGCTGACGCTCCGGCCTACACGAATACCGTCTTGCCAGCTGCCCCGGTGAAGTCAGAGCTTGGCTGGCGATGCCCGCTTCCGTTACCTCCTCGTTCGCAACTGCTAGCCTGAGCTCAGCTTCCCACTCGCGCATGCCTTCCGTCGCGGGCCCAGTTCACGCCCACGCCTATATCCTGGCACCTCCGCACCATGGCGAGCACGCGTCGGAATTGTCGCCGCCGTCTTCGGGAGCTACAGCACCGATTGAGACGGAGGACTACGTGTTCTGCGACCCGGTAGCTATCCCTCTGGCCCTCCCCCGCCCCCCAAGGCGCTCGCGCCAACTGAGGCCCTTTCCTCCCTAATGACGGTGTTCGTAGGCAGCCTCTCGCTACCTTGAGGACGATCCCTTCGTATCCGTCGTACATCGGCAGCGCGAGCTCTACGGCTACGAAATCTACCTCGTTGAACAGTGGGCCTGCTCGCGTAGTCACCCTACGTTCGTGATCTGCACCTACACGGGCGACAGCTCCCACCGCATCACCATCTCCGTCCTGCGCATCCCGAAGTACGAAAAGCTATGGTCGCCGAAGCTGTCCATCTACTTCGAAGCCGTGAACCTATACGCTCGTCCCAAAGAAACGGAGTTGGGGACCATGATGGTTACGAACCTGTCAAGCTTCCCGTCCGCCCTGACGGTGGTACACGTGCCCGGGGGTGACGTCAAGTCGCACAGGCTTGATTTCATCGTCAACGAGGATCTGAAGCGCATGGGATGTTCGGGCCGCAGCGCGCTGACGCTGACGATGCCGACCGACGCAAGTCAGACAAAGTTTCACCAACTATACCGGACGAGCGATCGTCTTCACTTCTACACTGCTGTTGTCGAGCTCGTGCGATTATGCCAGCTTGCGTTGATGGCATTCGGAAAGCTCAAGCAAAACTCCATGTATGCCGATGGTTTGCTCTGCGATGTCACGGAGAAGGGGATTAGGGATTGGTGGGCTGAGTTCGGTACGGAGTTCTACAACGCAGAACCGAATGATGGAACACTGGGCCCTTCTACGGTTGCTGCATTGCTCGGAATGCTGCTGGGCGCGCGCAATAGGCTGAGTCTCTACGGAGCACCGGTGCCGAAGGATGCATTCGATCTTCCGGCACTCGAGAAGGCAGTCGCATATTTCCAGCGCCAGCATCGTTTGGAACGGACTGGTTACATTGACCGCAATGTAATAGAACGCCTACACAATAGCACGACAAAGTCCGGGCCTAGTAGCGCCGACATATTTGCCGTTCCCAGAGCCATCAAATCGACAGTTGCAGATCTCTCTGCGCGCGCAGTGGGCAGTTCCGGGTCGACTGATGTCACGGCAGTCGAAACGATGGATGTCGAACGGTTCGTGCGCCATATCTCGGGGGAGAGCTGCAAGTTTCTCTGGCAGGGGAAGCCTCGCAAGACCGCATCGTTTCCGTCCGGCGGCACACACTCCACCTCGCCCTCTCGAAGGAACAGCGTAGATGGACGACCTACAGGATCGTTGAGTGGTGATGACGAACCGGTCACCGCCGCATCCGGAATGTTGCAGAATTTCAGGAGTGGGACTCCAGAGCCTAGCGAAACACCGTCGGTCTCTAGTTTGAGTACACCTACGGGACATCACCTTATGAATACAGGTTCTGGTAGCACCTTCGCTGCGACGGACACCACGAGAGAAGCAACAGTGTCTGACCTACGGAAGGCGGTTTTCAAGTCCGTCAGCGGTCGGATGAAGGATGTCGCATCTGGCATCAGTGCTGGAGCCGACAAAGTGCGAGGCCGTGGCCATCAGAGATCGCAAACGAAAGAAATGTGTGCCGAGGAGGAAACGTCGGCGCCCGTTTCGCCCATCATCAATCATCACCAACAAAGCCGTCTTTTCCCTCCGCCGGCAAGTAGTGCGGGCTCCGTTAAGGGAGACGGAAGGGCTAGCACTGCACCACCTAGCCCCAGAGTGGCCATGAATGACGCGAAGGTACACCAGCTGGAGAGTTCTGCAACTGCCAAAACTGCAAGCCCGTCTGCATCGCTCCTTAATATCGGTGGACCGTGGAACGAGGATCCCTCGATGGTGCTATCAACTGCCGCCGGCGATACCGCAAGAAGTTCTTCTAATAAGCCCGCCCCGACGGAACGAGTCTCGTCTACAATGGACCGGAATAGGACGCGGAGCTGCACACGCCGGAAGTCATTCAGCGATTCACAAGGCCGGAAGCGACATCATGAAGCGTTCTATTCGGGTCGGCTATCGTTTTCGATTGCATCTGAAGCGGTTCTAAATTGGGACCTACCCTTTTCTCCTCCCGATCCCGAACTTCTTACGGATCCCTTACACGTGGCCGGTACCGATATCGCCGAGTGGAGTGGACGACAAATCTCGCGGCTGCAGCATTCACTCAACACTCTGGATGGGAACATGCGACATCTCAATTCCATGGTCGAGAACAAGTGTACGGTTGTGGGTGTCGCTGAGAGGGAAGGACGTTTGGGCATCGACGCCGAACGGGAGAAGGTCCGTGAGAACATTCGGGAGGCGGAGGTTCTGGGAGCACGGATGAAGTACGAGATGGAGGTGGTGCAGAGCAAATTGCTGGACCTGGAAGAGTCGGTGGCCAATCTTGCAAAGTTTGTGCACGAGATCGAGGCCGAGGTCAAGATCCTTGGGGACGATGATGGCGACGAGGGAAAGAGGGTGAAGAAGGGGTTGTTTGCGTGGATTTTGGGGAGGTGATGGGCCGCAAGCTCGCACCTGGGTGATTTCTTTTCAGCATCCTGCATCGAGACGGCGTTGAGTTTCTTCTTGTTCTTGTTCGTGGTTTTTATCCCACTCCTGCGTCTTGCTTCTTGTTTGCATTGGTGGCGCAATGCTTTATCTTTATCGACTTTACATACCTGCAGCATAGCGGCGGGGGTTACATGCGGTTGGATTGACTGCAGATTTCCTCTTCGTGTGTTCATTCGCTTTCTTTTTTTCCTTTCCTTTCTTTAGATGTTTCCGAATATAGACTCCGCACATAAACCATTTGTACGGTGGTCATTGTGGTAGTAATAATGTACAATCAGACAATCCGTAATCTTCCCCCCGATGTCTGAACCTATCCGGTCGTTGTAAATGGTACAGCACAGCAAATCCCCCCCCGCATCAAATTGGAAAACATTGTCTCTCTATTGTCCGAACCCGCCAAATCCACCTCCGGAACCGCCCTTCGACGCCTGGAGATTCTGCATCTGCTCCGAGACCTATCCATCCTGCTGCATCAGCCTCCGCCTCCCCCACCACCACACCCACCCTCGGATAGGTAGCATACCTTGACGTTGATCTCGAAGAACTTGCTGACACACCGGTCGAGACACACGCTCTCGCCCTTGTTGAGCTCGCCCTCGCGGTAGTCGGTGGGAATGCACTTCTTGGTGCACGAATTCGACAGCCGGTTGAACATGTCGGTGATCATCTCCAGCTCCTGTTCTGCCGCCGCGATCTTTTGCGCCGATGACGGCTGCGCGCCGCTGAAGCCTAGGAAGGACATGGTTGCTGTTGTGTGGGTGGAGGATGGTGGAGAGTCGGTGGGGTGGTGGAGGGTAGGCGGCGGGGTGGCGGAGAGTGGGTGACGTTGGAGTTGGGTTGCAGGCGAGTGGTCGGTTGCTTGGCGTGGATGGATGCGACGGCGGGCGGATTAGATAGGCTGCCGATAAATTTTCTTTTTGGGGAAGGGGCTCTCGCACTCTCTTTCTACACCACGCACGACAGCTCGACGCACCGCGAACCACTACCACACATAGAAGACCAGCGATTGCGGGATGTGAATGGTGCTGCGAGTGCTAATACATCACAGGTATATATGCTCAACTGCCTCCCCCACCCTCCCCCCTCCTCTCCTCTCATCCGGACGTGATGAGAAACAGTTATCGGATATCTGTATGAGGCCCGGGCTCTCCGGAGCGCCGGGCCCACGACTACAACCGCCAAATCTTCTCTCTGATCCCCCTCGACGACAATGCTTCTTTCATCCGCGACTTCTTATCAAGGTGGTGGGGGGGACACGTGCTGATTGACGGGTTGCAACCGGCAGGAATCATGTCAGCCATATGCCCACTTCTCCGGCGCCTCGCCGTGCGGCCGCTACGAGCACCAATATCATCGCACCTCTTCGCCGCGCGGCAGCGATGCTACAGCGACGTCAAAACACCAAAGGCCAGCCGGCGGGAACAGCTAGAGCCCGACTCGCGGCGCGAGGCACTGCTGGTGCGAAACGGCGAGGAGTACCCGCTGCTCGCCCTCAACCCCGCGGTCGACGGGCGGGTGTACGGGCACAAGACGTTCGTGGAGCGCTACGATAAGATGCTCAAGGCCGGAGAGAAGCTTGAGAGCGAGAAGGTGACGATTCGAGGTGCGTTAATGGGATGTGTACCATTAGTCGTAGCATTAGCCAATAAAAGAAGCATGGGTAATGTGCCGGTGGCCATAAGCTGAGACGTTCTACTGTGATGGTTTTACCGCCTAAGGCCGAATACGCTCGTACCGCGATGTCTCGTCGAAGCTGATATTCTACGACATTGTGCGGGACCAGCGCAAGATCCAGTGCGTGGCGAGCCACGCGCGCGTCGGCGGCGAGCGCGAAGACTTCTACGACGGCAACACCTCGCTGCGCATCGGCGACATCGTCTCGATCACCGGCTTCCCCGGCCGCAGCGACACCGGCGAGCTCTCCATCTACGCCACGTCCCTCCCCCGCCTCCTCGCACCTTGCCTCCACCAGCTCCCGGACTCCCTCGATAACCCCGAAAAACTCAAGCAGAACCGCCACCTCGACCTCCTCGTCCACCCGCAGCCCGCTCACACCCTCAAGCTCCGCTCCCGCATCATCCAGCAGGTGCGCAAGCACCTGACCTCGCAGGACTTCACCGAGGTCCAAACCCCGATCTTATCCTACTCGGCTGGCGGCGCGATCGCCAAACCCTTCCTAACAACCGCGTCCTCCACACACCAACCCCTCGCCCTCCGCATCGCGCCCGAACTCTGGCTAAAGCGCCTGCTAATCGGCGGACTCGACCGCGTCTTCGAGCTCGGCCCGCAATTCCGCAACGAAGGCGTGGACTCCACCCACAACCCCGAGTTCACGACCTGCGAGCTCTACATCAGCTTCGGTCGTCTGGACGACGTGATAACTTTGACGGAGGAGCTCCTCGCGTCGCTCGAGCGACTGACACGACAACTCACCGCTCCGGGCGCGGCTTGCGCCTCCCTCCCCCCCCTCGACCCCGACCTCGCAAACGCCTTCGCTAAGTCCTTCCCGCGGCTGGAATTTATCCCCACGCTTGAGACCGCGCTCGGAGAACCCCTGCCCGTCCTCGACGGGCGCGCGGATAAGGCCGTCGCGGCGGACCTGCACGCGCTCGCGGCGCGCCATGGCGTGCCCACCAACCCCACCGCCTCGCCGGCGAAGATCCTCGATAAGCTTGCAAGTGCGTTTATCGAGCCGCTGTGCTATAACCCCACGTGGATCATTCATCATCCCGAGTGCATGGCGCCGCTCGCGAAGTCAAGGGTCAGGGGCGGAAGACGCGTCTCTGTCCGTGTCGAACTGTTTGTTAAGGAGTGGGAGCTGGTTAATGCCTACGAGGAGGAGAATTCGCCGTGGGAGCAGAGGCGGAAGCTCGTACGGCAGGCGGGGGAGGCAGGGGGTGTCAAGAAGGGCGCAGAGGGGGTGAAGAAGGGGGAGGAGGAGGGGAAGCAGCAGGACGCGGAGCAGGAGGAGGAGGACGTCATGGACCTCGACGAGAAGTACTGCGAAGCGCTGGAGTGGGGACTACCGCCGACGGCGGGCTGGGGCATGGGCATCGACCGGCTCATCATGCTGTTTAGCGGGCAGGAGAAGATTACGGACGTGATGGCGTTCGGCGGGCTGCGGGGGGCGGCGCTGCAGGGGAGTAAGAAGCCGCTTGGCGGCGGCGGCGGCGGCGCGGGGAAGAGGAGGGAGCGGGAGCAGGAGATGAAAAAGCGCATGGCGGAACAGAAGGGATTGGACACGCAGGACGGTGATGATGTGCTGCAGATGGTTAGGGAGCTGGCGGAGAGTCTGAAGGACGGGAGGAGCGAGAAGTGAGCACGCGCGACGGTCTTGTAGATGACGATACCGCTATTCGCTCAATCGCAGGGAAATAAATACAATGAATAGATACACAAGTACATGAGTGAAACCGCACCCCGCATCCGACGTCCAAGCAAGAAAGAAAGAAAGAAAAGAAACCCCCATAATCCCAAGTCCCAGTCCAGTCCAGTCCAAGCCCACGCAACAAAAGAAAACGCACCCTACCCCCCTCCTACGGGGACGGCGGCGGATAGAGCTCAAAGTCCTCATAGAACCTCATCCCGATAGTCGGGGGACGGACATTTTTGGGATACGGCTCCAGGGGCGGCGGCGGGGGTGCAGAGCTGTAGCACGACGTCTTCATATTCTGTGCATGTTGTGCACCGGCCGAGGTCGGCGACGACACCGATACCGACACCGTGATCGCAACTGTCTTGTTGATGTGGATTGGGGTGGGCGAGGTTGGTGAGACGCTGCTGCTGGTGGAGTGCGTGGAGTGTGTGGAGGATGGCGAGCGGGGCGGCGGCGTGGGCGGGTAGTAGATTGGGTGCGGCATTGTGGGTTGTGCTTGTGCGAGAGGGCGGTGGGCGGTGGGCGTGGGTCAGGGGAGAGGAGGAGGAGGAGGAGGATTGGGATATGCTCGAATGAACAGCCTGGGGAGGGGGAGGGACGGGAGGGGGAGGGGAGGACGGGGTTTTGTTCGGACAACAGCGAAGTGTGTACCCACCTACCCACCTACCCACCTACGTACTCTATCTCTCCGCACTACCAATGGTAGTAGCAGTGGTAGTGGTGGCCTCACCTCAATGGGGCTACCACAGTACCACAACCTGTTCACGGAACTCCAGCTGCAGGCAATCTATCTACACACTCTGCCGTCAAGTTGTGGTGTTGTGGTGTTGTGATCCAATGCGTGACGTGGTCGTCCACCGCGGGTGGAAAAGTTGGGCCGGGATGTGGATGTGCATGTGGATGTGCATGTGGATGCACAAGAGAATGGAGATCTCCCAAAATAAATCGTGGGCTCGGGTCTGGCACTCTGGGTCTCCTCCTCCCATTGCGACTTTGCGAGATGTGATGCGGGTATGAAACAAGGATTGGATCATGGATTAGACCCAGCATTCGGTTATTTAAGCCGGTCCGTTCTGGAGGAACTGTTTCAAGCAGCCGATTTGCACCAGATCGAGTTCGAGTATGAGTTCGAGTGCGAGTTCGAGGCTCGGTGGACGCGGGGGTAGCCTTCTGAGGCTCGAGACCTTCAAGGTTTGTACATAACAGCTAACTGGCTTCCCCGCGGCTTTGCGGGTTCCCTTGCAGGTGTAGGTACTAGGCAGATCGGATGAGGTCATGAGAAGCCACTGCTATGGCGGCGGTAACTAGCGAGGACTCGGGACTCGGGACGAGATCCACTACTGAAGCTCCCGCCATGGCACCATTCCTCAGGTCTCTCGAATCCCTCAAGCGCCTCGGCCGGGAACCCTCAAGCTGACTGTTTACCCCACGCATGGATCCGGAGTCATCCGGAGTCCGTTTAAAGTTGTTTATCGATAGGGATGTATAGGGCTGTGTAGTGTGCACGGGCCCTGCGTGGAGGATTTACGCGAGCGTCGAGGCTATGTATGATGTGATGTATGACACGTCGAGACACATCGGAAACACGTCGGAAACACAGCCTTCGCGGCCTTGAACGCAACGTGAATAGGCAGCAACGTCGCAAGATCGCAGCGGGGGATTGGCCCAGGGAGACAAGCGAACGGTCCCAGCTCGCGTACTTAGGCAGCAGTACCAGCGGTGGGAAATATATCGATATAGTGCCTACTTCATGCGTGCACCGTACACGTCCCCAGATCTGGTAACGCAGTCGGAGATGTCGATATTGAAGCGGCCGTAGCGAGAAAATATCAATCCAGAGTAATTGCGATGCCCTATGAAGGTCGGATGGCATCCGTCTATACGAACTGTAGACTGTTTCCGATACGGACCGACAAACCCATGAGTGCGGGGAGCTGGACGGCGAACTGGACGAGTAGAGCGGCCAGCTTGATGACTCCCGACTTGTTGTGCGCAGGTCCCGGAGGCCCATCCGTTGAATCTTCAGGCAGCGACGCAAAAAAGGATATCTTCGATTCCCTACATCGCCCCTTCGCCTCACTTCCCCCAACAAATCCACTCAGGCTTCCACCTGCTCCGCCTTCCCTTCCCCGCCATTCCTAACCCCCTCCACCCAAGCCACCACCTCCTCCCTCGACCAGTCCACCAGCGGCGTATCAAACCACTTCCAAACACTCTTCCCCATGCCATGCCACGGATCCCACTCTCCAGTCTGCGCATTCACTCCGCCATGGAAGTCCACGTAGTGTATAAACCACTTCCTATCCGGGTGGGTCGTCGTCATCGTCGTCGTCGGAGGAGGAGGATTGAAGGCACCGGGGCCGGCCCCGCACGACGACGAGTTCGCGGTGGCGGCAGCGGCAGACGCAGGAACGGAGAGGTACATACCCAGCGCCGTGAGCATCCAGATGCGTGTTTCCTCCCACATATCATCGAGCGGCAGGTCCTCCGGCGCGAACCACTGCGGGCGCATCTCGTCCGTCCTGCTCTTGTCAACCCCCTGCCCCCACCTTCCTTCTTAACAGTGCGGCATACTCACTCTTCCACCTCACCCTCCCACTGGGTACACACGAAAACATGAATCTCGAGCACCTTCTCCTTCACCATCTCCATCTCCGCCTCCTTACCCTCCGCCACAGTCTCGAGCAGCAGCACGGCATGATGCGCCAGCTGCTCCTCTGAGCACACGATACCGCTCTCCTCGTGCAGCTCGCGCGCTGCAGAGCCCGCTAGCGTCTCCCCAGCCTCAACTTTCCCGCCGAAACCGTTGTACTTGCCGATCCCGAAGCCGCGCTTTTTGTACCCGAGAAGTACAAGACCCGTCGAGAGGGAGATCGGGAGGATTAGGTTGTAGAGTTTGTGCGCTTTTGCCTTTACGGCAGGGCGGGGGAGGGAGGCGGTGAGGGCGATGGGGGCGGACATTGGGGTGGAGTGAGTGCGTGGGTGTAGGTGGTGGGTGGAGTGAGTGCGTGTGATGTGGTGGGGAGTGAGTGGGCGTGCACGGTAAAGGGTGGAACCGTGGAAGACGTGACTTGCGCTACTATAGTTAGCGGGGAGACGCGTTGGTTCGCGTCGAATGGGTCATTATGGATCACTCGACAGTCAATATCAGACATTTCGCTTGGAATCCGATACAATGCCTTGATTCTCTCTTTGGAATTCGAGATGGAACAACATCTAAAGTTCCCATTGACAGGGCGATGACCGAAGTACCCAGCGGAGTATAATCCCCTACGAATCATCGCCCATGATTGTTGACCGCCGTGCTGTGACACTAGGCGAAATCACGGCCGATCCTGCTGCCATGAATCCCATGATTCTTCTACTCCGCTCGTGATGAAATCAAAGGAACTCTGGGTTCCCACCGTACGTCCTGCTTCCTCTCTTCTCTCTCTGTCGATGAAGATGAAGTTCACCGTATAGAATCTCGACTCCACATCGGGCAGCGTACGGGCATGTCACATGATACAGTAGCTACTACCGAGTAATATCTTTAGAATTAGCGCTCCCGAGTCCCTCGGTCACGTCAAAACAATACAAAACCAAAAACCATCCCCACCCCTTCGGATGGCTTGGAAACCCTAAGAGCTGAATTTCATCCGAAGGCCCTTCACCCGGGTTGAACCCAGAGCCTTTATAGCGTCATAGTCACAGTCACAGGCCGTCATTTGACAGCCCATCCCATCCCATCTAGATATCTACAAAATTGTAGTGTGTCTGTTACTATATTTTATGCACCCGCACGACTGGTTGGCGGGTACCGCACCGTACATAGTAGGCAGAAAATGAAACCTATGTCGGGCCGCGCACTTCAGTCTTCAGCCGGGTGCTCAGTGGGGGCCGGGAAAAGTTCCAGGACCGGCTGAATACATACTGACCACCGATGAACCATAAAAAACAGATACAAAAAAACATCCGCACGGTTGCCCACTGCCTAGGTCTCCGACGTAGGTACATCAAAGGTTGGGTTTCGAACCCACTCACGGGCTCTCGCTCACTCATTCAAGTCGATTTCTCTCTAAGCCCGTCGCCCGGTATCAGTGGTTAGTACGTACTACGGAGAGCACTGCGCAAAGAACCATCATTCCGCGTAATCAGGCCACAGCAGTGTTTTTTGAAGAAACTCTCACCAGCTAGCGGCGGTGGTGAGCACTTGCTTTCTGTCTCTGAAGTTTGATGGCGATCATTGTCACGGGGTCTCGTCGGACACTGCACACAGTCCACTGCAAACAGGGTGCTACCTTATGTACGTAACCAACGCCTGAATCCTAATCAGTGATGATCATGATGTGTACATGACATGCCATGTCCGTGCCGCCCGTCGCCCGTCGCCCACCAGGTCAAGCCTCCAGGCCAAGAATCAAGACTCAAGAGTTAAGACTGAGATGATCATGCCTCGAAGCAAACCATCGGTGGCTGGAGTTCCTATCTGGATCTCTGTGTCCAGAACCCGGATCCGGATCTGGATCCGAAAGCTGTAGCCAGTGCGCCGGAGTGCTTTCCTCCCATAATTGCACTACATACATTATACATAGAAGCAAAGCAATGCACTTCACTAACTAGCCTGTTATACATCTATCTACCTATGCCAAAATCCCAGGACGCTATTGCTATTGCAGCCCTGAGCCGCGCAAACACTAACAACAATAATTATTTCGGGCCTCGACTAACCCTGGAAAGGGATGCATAGGAGCGGGATACATATCTGCGGAATGCTTGGTTCTCTTAGTTCTTGTCGTTAGGGGCAATTGGGTAGGTAAGTAGATCTCGGTGCTTCGCTGGCCGGCGAAGGGGTAGAACTTACAGACGGTGGTGGTGGTGGTGGTAGTAGATACTAGGCAGTCCAGCCAAGCGTGGACCATGGATCAGTGAAGCTTCCTTCCAGAAAGCAAGAAGTGTTGGCCCCCCCAGCGCCCCAGTGCCCCCGAGTAAGGTAGGTAGGGGGATCCTACATTCCACTACGTCCGGGGCCCAACCCACCGATCCCCATCCGGCAACCGACAAAAACCCATCGTTCGACGTTCCAATCGTTCGTTCGTCGTTTGTCGTTCCTGATCTGGGGCTGATCTGATCAAGAAGAGGTCTGATGATATGATTGAACTTGGCGCATGCAAGGGACGGCAGGGACGCCGGGGTCACCAGGGCCAGGGACATCAGGGACACCAGGGACACTAGGGATATCAGGGACACCAGGGACACCAGGGATATCAGGGACATCAGGGACATCAGGGACGCAGGGCAGGCACAGGCAGGCGCAGGCAGGCGCAGGCAGGCACAGGCAGGCACGGGCAGCGGTGTACACTACTAGGTAAACCGTAGAGACGTGGGTTGCGAACGGCTTTTGCTAGCTATCTATCTCGATTCTCGCTTGCTATCGGTCACTGTCCACCCATCTGAAACATAGGTACGCTTCTTGAGACTTACTATTGAAAGATAAGTAACTATCAAAGACCCGGCCAAGCCCATCCAGCAGGAACTGGGTTGCTCGTTCATGGGCCGCCGAGTGCTACCACATGCACCACTTCGTTACTCGCATCTTACGAAAACCCTGCCAGCCGTAGGCCCGTAGGCCGTATCCCTGTTCTGGCCCCTCCCCGTCCCCCGATCCCATGATCAATCAATCAATCAAGACAGAGTCCGAAGGAAGGAAGGCAGGATCTAGGAAGGGGTAACCAAGTAGTCTGGGTGTTTCATGGGGCCGCACAGATCAATTTCCTTCCAGCAGGAAAAAAATAGACTTCTTTTAGATCTGCGGTGCGGAGAGCCAGCATGCATGCATCGAGATTCGGGCGGGCTCCCTGTTTTTGTGATGCTGGTGCTGATGCGGCGGATGGACAGACGGACAGATATACAGGGAAATCGCGCATGTCTGCGACATGAACTCCGAACTTCGAAGCCTTGCTGGACTGGGCTGCAGTTGGCCCATCCCATCTCGGTGGACTCAGCATGTCCGTCCGGATACATCGCCGTAGGCTAGATGTACATACAAGATTGGCACAGATCATCCATCCGCCTTTGTGCGAATGGCCCGAACATCCCACGACTCCACGACTCCACATGACGCGCGAGCTGACGCGGATCTGATCAGGTCTTTCCAAGGCCGGATTTTGGGACGGTGGATGGTAGGCCCTGCTACCTTCCTACTTACCAGTAGGTTGGTTGGGAGGCCGGAAAACCATCGCACGTGCAAAGCCAGAAATTTTTGTTTTTGTCCCAGGCCCCAGGGTTCTGCTTTCCCCGTTAGTTAAAACGTTTCTTCTTCTTTGACACATTGTGTTGCGTACTCTAAGGCCATGCGACCTTTTTTGTGGTGGGGGGAGGTGGGGGGAGGTGGGGGGGATAGGATAGGCAACAAAGAGAAAGAGAAAACTGCCTTTTTGCGAGCCATAATCCATGCAAGTGCAACAAGATAGCCCGCATTTTCGATCTGGTTTCGGGTGGAAATTGAGAAAGTCAATTGGCTGGTGGTCGGAGTGGGTGGGTGGCCCCAATGCCCCATCGGTGGTTTGTGATGATGTGATCCACCATCATCCCACCATCAGCAGTGCGCGAGCTAGAGACGGGTACCTGCGTATTCTGCGCCAACCCTAGGCGCCGCCGTGGCTGCCCGTGAATACTCGCACACTCACACACGGATCCTACAGAAGTTCGGACGGAAGGTTCTAGCCCCCCAGGTCAAATGCTGCTTTCCGTTTCGGGACTCTTGAAACCACTGGATCGACGACGATTGTGGTCAAGTGGTTGGAAAACATGGCAGCCGGAAACCAGTCCTCGCTCGCCATGAGCTCGAGGGAAACGAACAACTATCGGCGGTGCAATTCGCTGCCAATCAGAGTATAGCAGGGCAGGAGATCGCTGGCGAGCAGGAAACGGATTCCAAAGTGCGGCATTCTGGATCAAAAATAATCTCCAACAGTCAGCCCTTGCTTGCTTGCTGAAAGTGCTGTGTTTCAAGCTTGCTCTCTCCTGGATCCTACGCTGGTCGGGTAGGGGAGCTGGTGCACTTCATCTCTGTGGTTTTTTTCTGGAGCATCGCTGGATTCTTTGTCTGTGCGGAATCGTGTTGGAAGCATTCCAACGATGTTCCATTCTCCGGCTGCTGGGGCTATCCGAATGATGTGCAGAAAGCCTCTTATGCCGTTTTCAAACGAAGCCATCGGAGGATTCCGCATCGCGGGCTTCTTCCGTGCAGCATCGGACGGGAGAGTGCTGGTGATGACCGGAGGCATCGACTCCTCCGTGTGACCCGACGTCGACTGGCAGGCGAGTTTCATCTAGAGATGGCATCGGATGTACCGCACTTCACATGTACCTCTCACTTAAACAAACACTGTGTAATTGGCTATATGGTAGGTGCCGGGAGGCGTTACTGGCGTCACGATAAACAGATCTAGGTAACGGTTATCTTTCTTGGCCTCAAATGGACACTGGTACGTCGAATCTCGATGTACATTGCGGTAACCAGGCCGACTCCAAGGCTTGGGGAGAGGGAGCTTCGATGACAGCCCGCGTAGTTGGCTTGGGTTCTTGTGATTGACTGGGACGAGGTTGAAGGGCGAAAGCCTACTCGAATCGGAGGCCATATCTCGATACTGTCGTGTTTAATATTGGTTCCGGGAAAGGAAGGGCAATCCGTTGCATTAGTCTCATCATTCGACAAGGACCGCCTGTTAAGTCAAGACAAACAACTCTCGCGAACCACGATATATCCCCACGCACTTTGATCCATTCCGTTGTGCACCCGAGTCGGAGGATGGCCCTGGCCGCATCGTGTCGGGGGCATGATGGATGCGACAGTTTATCGAAGCAAGGAGACGACTCGAGCTGTAGCAACTGCTCTGGGGGCAATCATGCGACGTCGTGTAGGCGGGGTTGGATCCAGACGAAGGTCGGTCAGTTCGTAAGGCACGACGAGATGATGCCATGAAATTGAAGAAGAAGGAGATTGTCTTTCAGAATCCTGATACCGCCACCATGTGCGCGGGATATTATCGCCATGCGTATCTGCACTTCGCACACACACGTTTTTTTCTTTGCTTTTCCATCGTGGAAGGTCCGCTGAAATCGAAGGATCCCGGGCAAGTATCGGCGGAATTCTCGACTGGACATGCAATTTCGGGGATTGTATGTAGTGGATCTGAACACTGCGATCCCTGGGAGTTTGCGTTCGCATCTGCCTTCGCTGAGGCTTTGCACCTATTTAACCTCAAAGAGCCGCAGGCGCCGGACATTCGAGGAATTTCGGGGTTTGCAGTGACTGCGGTGTGGCATCATCGATACCTAGCGGGCAGTGACAATGCGTTCCTACCCGCAGTTGCGGCCGCTCGGATCAACGACAGGAGCATGTAGGTAGTAAGACGGTCGGCTAAGGGGCGGGGGTAAGTGTGGGGTTTATCGGGTTATCAGACTCGGATTCGTCGCAGATGGCGCGAGGGTGGCTGATGCCTGTATGTAGACGCGCGACTCTATCAATGCGCATGAACGAGAGGAAGGCGCAGACGCACGGCTTTCGACGCCAACGTATCAGGTGAACCGATGTACCTTAGTGCCCGCACACAGCCGATGCGTGCTCTATGAAAACCAGCAGGGAGGGGCAGCAGGGAGGGGCAGCTGGTCAATGGCAGTAGCAGTGGTAGTGGTGGTCACTGGTGATAATGGTGGTGGTGGCGATGGCAGTGGTGTGTACTCTAGTCTGCTTGAATGTTCGGGTGGCGTGAAAGGGAACCAGGGTTTGGGGCTTGTCACAGGCGAGCGAGGAGGAGGAGGTGGAGGAAGTCTGAGAGCCATTACAAAGCCCGTCTTTGCTTTGTTCTCCGCAGATAGGCGCTCCGTGGAAACCTAGCCTAGCCCCATTCCAACTCCACCCTCGAGTGTCCACCCCCCACCCTCCACCCACACCCCAAGGAGTCTCTCCTCTCCAGCCATGGCTGTGTGTGATGTGGCGTTACGCTTAACGCGCCACCAAGCACCAAGCATCAAGCTCCAAACCCTTCTCCCGAGTCCCAGCTCCGGAAACAAAACACCCCCGGCAGGTGGGGCTTGGTAGTTACCTGGATGCTCCCCACCTACTGGGTAGCACTTACTTAGGTACCCATGCTCAGGCCGGTACCTGCGCGGCGCCAATCCGCTACCGGGGGATTTCCGCAGCCGTCCATGTCGCGGGTAAATTGTGAATAATCGCGAGCCTCGCTGTGGCAACTCAGCAGGGCATCTCTGTACTACCACCCTAGGCGCTTGATTGGCTGGCCACCGCGCTCGTCAGATAAACCGCTGCCGCCGCATGAATCCCCCCCTCTCCCCCCATGGAATCGATTTCGACCTGCGACCACAAAGGCAGACTCCTCTTCTTCTTCCTGCGCGCTGCTGGCGTCTGCACGCTTTCTCACCGTGGGGCCAGCACGAAGTTAGGCGCATGTCTGCTCCTAACCCCTCGCAATCTCCGTCCACTAGTTGTGACTTGTCTGCTGCATGCAGAGTACAGGCGCCAGAACGCTCCCGTCGGCGGCCCGGACCGACGCTCGGCGTAGGCGATGTCCACAGGTGCGTGCAGACCGACGATGCTTCTCGGACTGCGGCAGGAAATATCGTCAGCGATTTAACATGCACGATCCGGCATCCTCCACCGTTCAGAGTGGAGGGGAGCAGGAAACACGTAGTGGAGCGAGCTGGCCGTTGTGTAAACGTCAATGTGCATAAAGTAGCAAGGGAAAGGGTCTCCTCCAAGACCTCCTAGGTACATTCCCTTTTTGCATCATTGCTCGACCGGCGAGCGGTGCTTTGGGAGTAGTATATCGCTTTGCTCTGTGGTATGTGTGTGTCATTTTGGAGTCTCCCCGCATCGTCTCCCCTCTGTTTGGAACCGCACGCCTGCCTGCCCTCTCGACCAATCTGGAACGTGAGCTTCGTGATATATCACCCTCGTCTGTCCGCTCTTTCTGTTCCATCCACTGCTGTCTCGCCTCCCGTCCTGCCTCCAACGCCCGGCACCAATTTATTCCTTCCTTACAGACCGTGCCTGCCTTCATTTTGTCCCCCGTCCTCTCTCTTCTCTCTATTTCCCTATTTCTCTCTTTTTCTGTCTTTTGATTTTTGCTCGATAATACCGATATCCCGCGCTCCGTGGCCGGTCAAACAACTCCGCCACATCTTCTAGACCGTTCGGGTTCCCGGTTTCAATTGGATTCCCCATAGCTCGACTGGAATCAGCCTCGTCGCCCTACCACGCCGCATCGGCCGCTGTCTGCTCTGCGGACACAACCCGTTATCTAATCGAAATCGGCATACAGACACCCCCTCCCCCATAGCCCCCTCCCCCCAGGAAATTCCACTCCGTCTGCTATTGGGGACAACGCATCCGGCATCAAACCCCCCCTCCCCCCTACCACGCACCGCGCACTGCTTCCCGCCCCCGGCTCATCCACACCAAAAAGTGACATATCGAAAGAGAGAAAAAGTACTCGTTCCCTGCCCCCAACGGCTGCCAGTGGCGGACTACATCGACTCCTCTATTCTCTTTGCCTTTAAGAACTGTACAACTCTAGACGATTTCCTGGCCCGCTTTCCTTAGCCCTATCACACCTACATACGCTACCAGTTCGTCCAGTAACAGTGACCTTATCATCCCATCCTTATTTTTAGGTCTCACCACAATTTTCCGACTGGCCCCGCGCAAACTATACAGCAAAGGATCTTCCGTACATTTGTCTCACGGCGCACCGTCAGATGAAGACTGCCACTCCTGAAATACCGACCCATTCGTCGTCGTCTACCCTGTTCGCATCGAATGCCAACTTGTCTCCGTCTGGGTATCCCGAGAGCCCTAACTACCTGGACCTGTCCGCCGGAGGAAGCAGCTTCTCACCGTCACCACCGTTCAAAGCTTTCCTACCCCACCCAATTTCAGTACCTTCGCATCAGCGGTATCACTACCCCAACAGCAATAACAATAACAACACCAACAACACCAAAAATAACACCCCAGTGCCTCACATTCCTCGCCAAAGTACCTCCTCTCTTCGTGAAAATCCCCAAGATACTAGCCCGATGACACCTCGGTCCCCAGAGATGGTTAACAACGAAAACGACGATCTGTACTGCTCGTCCGGTCAGGGGACAACGAAGCATGGGTTTAGATCATCAACCTACCACGGGAGGGACCGATCTGTGCAGCCGCCGCCTCCATTGGGACCAAGAAGCAGCAGTGCGGTCCAGAAGCGAGGTAGAAGTGATCGACGCTCCACTTCCCTGGCCTCCGTTGCGGACTTGGTGCCGTACCATCAGTACCGTGCCCGACAGCGGCGTGATGCTTCTATGGGAGAGAGCGTATGGGACGATGAGCTCGAGGCTGCGTTTATGGAGGGTGAGTTCTTTTCGAATCTTGCTGGTATTTGGATGTTGCCGCTAACATGTGGCATCGCTCCTTGGAACAGCTGACCGGATTATTCCAAATCTTGGAAGAACGAAGATGAATGTGGATGGCAAGCTCAGTGGAAGGAACGAGCTAATTGCCGATTACATCTTCAAACTCACGGGGAAGAAACGCTCCAGAAAACAGGTGTCCAGCCATATCCAGGTGCTCAAGAACCTGCTCAAGAGTAATCCCGAGGGTCGGTTGCTTCCATCTCTCATTGTTTGGTATGCCATGGTTATTGACATCCATCATAGCCATGAAGAGCAAGACGCCGGAAGAGGGCAGGATGTCATGGAGTTCCCAAGCTGCTTCGCCCTCGGCGTACAGCGAGCCCACTCCATCGCTCAGATCACAGGCGATCCCACCGGGTCGTTCGCATAGCTCCATGGGCTACTTCAATAACAGCGGTAACATCTCCGCCTTTGCGTCGCCACCGCCATCAGTTTCCGGAAGCCATTTCGGCTTTTCCCCACGAAAATTCGGCCTCTCAACATTCCTGATCATGGTTGGAACCAAATCTAACCCCAACGGTGCGATTGATGGGACTTTCCATACATACACTAGCCTTTCACCAGAAAACTCGTCACCGGCGTCTTCCATCTCACTTTCGTCGTTGCCTGACTGGCAAGCACGGTTTCCTCTAGTTGCTTCCATCACGGACGACAGAGCAAGCGAGCGAGGATCCGCCTGCACCATCCTCCACATCAAAGCTGGAATCCTCCCACTGACCACCAAGGCACCAACGAATGGCCTGCTGTGCACGCATGTTGAGGTCTCACTTCCAGACGGCGACTTCGAGGGACACCAGTGGGATTGCGTAACCCGCATCTACGCACCTGGCAAGCTCGAACCGGTCTGGGTGCTATCCCATAGCTGCCTAGCGATGACGGAGAACCCGATGGAAGGTGGCCGCAAGCTCAAGGTGCCTTTCGCGCCAGACTTCTGGAGCGCCTTCTACAACGGGTTGTCTAGATCCGAGACGAACGAGGGCAAGGACGAAGGCCGCCACCGAGACCGTGAGTTCCGGAGTGCGATCAAGGGAATCACGGTGGTGCAGGAACTATTCTCGTACCCGGTACAGGGCTTGGGAGTGGGTGGCAAGGAACGGTCCGCAGTGTTGATGTGGGAGTTCACCAAGGCAGACACCCGCACGCCTGCAAGTGCAGTTTGGAGAGAGATTATCCGGCAGGCTGGCGACTCTAGTGGGGGAGCAATGGGGGTGCCGGCTGGCTCGAGCTCAGCTGGCGGCGTCCCGAGGGAGGTGTACGATGACGGCCACCTGAGGATTGACACGACGGGAGCCAACGACGGCTGGGCCAGTCAGCAGCAGAACCACTCGCTGTATCAGATTAGCCCGTACGAGGAGCTGAGCCCTAGCCAGGCAGAGCTTATGCCATACTGCTCCTTCGAGGACCCCCGAGCCTATACTACGCGCGGCGGCCGGCCGCCAGCGGGATTGGTCATGCATCCCGGCGCTCCTACCATGTCCGGCCAGCTCGCGATGAATTACCTGGCTTCGCATACGGATAGCCCGTATTCGCCGTACGCGGTCGATTTGCCCGTCAGCCGTGGCGGCCCCATCGAGCATTATTTACACGGCAATGGAGTGGACGGGGGCAGGAGCAGGAGTCGTAATGGGGGTGGCAGTGGTGGTGGCAGTGGAGTTGGTGGTTTCAGTGCTGGTGGAGGAGGAGGAGCTGCTGGTGGTGGCGGCATTTGGTCGCATCACTTGAGCCCAACATCGGATGGACGGGGGGGGCAGGACTTGGTGGAAAACGGTGGTGGTGTATTGACTCCTTATTGATTTGGATTTCCGATTTTCGATTTGTGTTTTTCATTTTTTTCATTCTCTATGTACGGGAGGGCAGGCGGGCATGGTGAGCGTGGTGGGCGTGGTGGGCTTTTGTTTTTGTTTTTGGTAGGCGATTGCTGTCTCAGGTCTGGCGTTCGTGGTTTGGTTGTGTGTTCTGTGTTTTTTTTTTTTGTTTTACTGGGCCTTGCTGGTCCGCCCTACTCATGATACCTACTCTACCTACTCTACCTACTTCCTACCTATACGATTTTCAGGTATCTTCGGTTCTTCATCTAGATTTTTTGCCTATGGACCTGTGGTGTCGTTGTGTCGTCGTTGTGTCGTGGTCACTGGTGTCTTACTGTGTGCGTGGGTGTGCATGCCCGTGATTCTGTGCTGAAACCTCAGCCCTTCGTCATCGATTCACGGGACTTGTATACCAGTACCGGACGTCCTCCTCTTATGCCGCTGCTGCTGCTTGAAGCTGCTGCCTGAAGCTCCGACTGCTGCTCCAGCACCGCCCGCCCCGCCCCGCCCCGCCCCGCCCCCCGCCGCGTTTCACGTTTAAGCCCAGCGATCCTATCCACTGCACTCCACTCCAGTCCACTCCACTCGGGCCATTCTATCCTATTCAGTACGAGGTGTCGTCACCACAACCTGTCCCGTTACTGTGCAGGGGCGGTTTTATACCTCCGTGCAGCATGTGAATGTGCATAAATAACCTCCGGGTTGGCCTTGGCCATGGGATGGGTTGGGATGGGTTACGTTGGGTTGGGATAGGACGCCTCGACTTACATACACACCACAGCTCCAGGGTGCTGCATGCTGCATACGGTACTGATGCAGACTGATGCAGGGGGAGTTGAGGTCGATGGGTGGAGGGGCGGTACTTGATTGGCGAGCCTCGCGGTGGAGGGGTGGATATATTCTTCACGATAGTCTGCCCCATAGGTTTGCCGTAGGTATGCCCAGTCTATGCCACTGAATATGTAGGTAAGTATGGCATCTCTGAACTCTACACGTATCCGCTGGGGCGGTCACATCTCACTTGTCCACACTTCACTGCGATTCGCAATACCGAAGTAAGTAGGCGTCGAATGGAGAATTATTTTTGTTTCTTTTTAGGAGGGAGGGAGGGTTTCAACATTCAACAGTTGCCCCGGCGTCCGTCCGAACGGACGGTAGGGCGTTGGGTGAGGACCTGCATACTACTAGCTTTAGCTTTCGTAGGTACTACTCTCCGTGCATACATCATACATGGGAAGGAGGCAAGCACGATCGGTATTCACAACTATAGGTCGGTCTTCCACGGTACCAGCTTCCAGCATCCAGGCCAAGACTTGGTCGAGTTGGCGGAGTTGCATGCGTCGTAACCCGTACATACGTTTGCGAGTGCGCAATCCTTTTTTTAGGAGGGCCGGTGGGGGGCTGTGTATGATGTATGTACCTCGAGGGGGGAGGGGTGGAGGGGTTTGAATCGTCCACGGCGATCAGGGAGCAGCAGCGGAGGCTGCGGAGCTGCTTCCATGACTTCCTTCCGTGCACGTCAAAGACGCGGGAAGTGACGGGCGGACGGCGTTCACCGTCCAGTGCGTCTTGCGGGACCGGGGGGGCGGGGGGGCTAGTACATAACTTGGTAGGTGGCCGTCGATCGCAGCACAGTTCAGTTCCTTCGAGAACGAAAATTATTCTACAGCCTCAAAATCGGTGCAGGTGCGGGGGGGTGGGGAGGGGAATCAAGGAGGGGGACGCTGGACCAATGGATTGAAGTTGCTGCGCATGAAGTGGCACGACGTGAGGCGAGGCGGAGCGGAACCGTTTTGTGGCGTAGCCGATGTACGCAATATTGTCGATACTCCGCTGGGGTACGGTCTCTACTCTACCTGGTACGCGGCGCGGTTGTGATTGGCGCCCTGCGAAATCATTACATGTCACTCGGCTTTGCCGCCCCTTCTGGAACTTTCGGTGCGGATAAGCGCGTGGACTGACCATGGGCCGCGGAGATTGTGCTCGTAGTATACATCGTTGGTTTCTGGGTTAAAGGGGTGCTCTAGGCATGATTGCGGGCAATCAGTCATATCCCCCCTGGACTCCCTGGACTTCAGCTGATACCGTATGTACCTACCTACAAAGACTAGCCTACCCAGGTTTCCCAGCCCAGGCATCAGTATCCTCAGCTTCGGCTGTCTCGAATCTCGATTCCAGGAAATCACAGACCGTTCATCTGATGTACTACAGCTAAGGCTGGGAGATCAACAGTGCATTAAAATTGAAATCCTCAAGTTCGTTATTGCTCATATCGTCGAAACCCAACCTAACCTAGCATGTGACGGTTGTGATTGCTACCTATGACGCATCAGCGAACAGCCCTGACAATAAGATGCGAGGATCATCCGCCGGGTTGAGACGTCTTGCCAATGCACTAGGTGAGTTGTTGTCGTTGTTGGAAGAAAGGAATCAGGATGGTTGGATGAGCTCGATGAGGGTGCGCACGCGACACCGCAGTCTGCTGCCTGCGTGCCTGGCGGTGACCGAGTGAGTCTGAAGTATGTACGGCAGAGTTACTGCTGGCCTTCCCGGTGTGCACTATTCAGCCTCTCACTTGCATGCTGTATTGATAACGGGGGGATAGGTGCGCGGGCGTGGAAGATCGTGATTCCATAAGTAAGTACTCCGCGCAGCTCGTCGACCGAACAATCACTGGTCTGCCTACCGTTAGCGTGCGTGCTGTCCCATTCCTTCCACTCCCATTCATTACCCTCACCCGGGTTCCACAAGTGCAGGTGCAGCCTTCTTCTGCGAGCGCTCCTACATAAATGCCCGACCGAGGGCTGAACGGGGAATTCCAGGCTCCAATCAGCTCTCGTCTTTCGAGTGAGGGGGTCATACCCGAGTACTGTATCATATGCGAATCGATCCTGGTCCAGTCCCCCGCTGCAATCGCTGTCTACCTGGCGCAGGGGACTTCGGACGGGCCAATCTCGAACGGCGAAAACACGATGTTGGGACGACTTTTTCGTGACGAGTTACATCTAAGACACAAAAAAATCAGCACTGTCCGCCACAAAGTCGAAGAAACCACTCACCCACTCGTTCAACTCGGACATACTTCCCCGCAAGATCGTGGGAGTGCCATCACTGTTCGACCGTGACTCCGACCCCCCTGCCATGCCCGTGAACATTTCACGTGCTCGATGTTCATCGATAGAGTATCGTGGCCAACCTGCACACGCTCGCCCGGCATTCCAAATCCCGCTGGCACCCCGGATCGCCTGGCTGCAGAAATGTCACAAGGCGTCTTGTGCTTCTCGACTCTCCCCGGCCACCAGGCACCCACCCCCCAGCCGCTCCGGCAACCGTAAATGGTTCTTTGAATGAGTGGATACGCAGGGGCCGTGTTGGCACTTGGTTGGTCGCAGACTCGCAGTGTCCTGGAACAATAATAGTGCGCGGAGCGGCGAAGGAATTATGGCACGAGTGCTAGATCGTGCTTTGGATCGAGACCGGTCACTGACAGTGCTCATTCATTTTTGGCTGCATGTTATCCACGATGTTTTCCGAGTGCGCAAAGTGGGTCGATTGGGTACCGTACTTCGGACGAGCTGCAAATATGAAGGGCAAAGTCGTCGAGGAAGTAGGTACAAACGACTCCGCCCCCCCGGCTAGAATCGCAACGGGCAGACGATTAAGATCTGGATCGATCCTCAGTCCAAAGAGGGTACCGGTGGTCTTCATAGTGTGTCGTCCATTCTAGCTCGTTTCCGTCGATCAATCAGAACGCTCGACACCGCTAGCCATACGTCTTGCTGGCGTGTCGGCACAGTGGACCGTGTGGCTGTGTCGCAAGGTGGGTGGGGGGCTGGGATCTGTTCAGCAATAAACGTATCCCAGTAAACCGATGCTTTTTTACGCTTCGCGAACTCGTATGGGTATAAAATATTCGTCGGAGAGGACCCAAACACCCATGGTTGATTGCGTTGTAGACGTAGCCATGATATGCCTGGAGCCACAGTTAACATCATACACCATCACTCATCACGCGAGAAAATAAAAGAGAAGAAAAAAAGGTTTTATCGCGCCAAACGTGCAGACGATAAGCGGAAAGAGGCCGCTTCCAGGGTCCAAGCCCACTGGTACGTCACCAAAGCGCCCGCCGAAGAAGAAGTCCCCCGTCCCCCAGCGAAGGCCCCACGCACACATTGCGTCCCGGTGCTACCAGCTGAAATCCGGCGGTGCCCACCTCAAGTGCATTAAGCAACGGGACGACGACCGGTGGTAGCAGTGCAGTGCAACCGTTCTCGAACAAAGCTGAACTTGGGAGCACCTCTGCAAGCACTGCGCCAGGTCAGCGGTGTAATTGTAAAGCACACCAATCAGCACTTGTGGGGCACGAGTGAGGGAAGGAAATAAGGCGAGAATATGCTAGCGGAGATGTAGCATGGTGGATCTTTTCGCACTGGAATACGTAAGGACAACAGACTGGGCGGAATTGTCCCCGCGAATGACGTGGTTAAGGAGGAGGTTTTGCGAGGGCTCTTTGCCAATGCCTCTTCAGGCCGGAAAACGGCGGGTCGAGAGAAGAAGAAGACACAAGGATAAAGAGGAGACGGTGGTTGGCCGTCTATTCTGTAGATGGTGATCATGGGAGAAGAGGAAGAGGAAGAGGAAGAAGACCCCGCTCAACCCCGCCATGGCCACCAACGTTGACTCCCACCAACATTGATGCCCACCGCTACTAACCACATTCGGTTGCTCCCGCCGACAGGAGTCCTCCCTCACTTCCTCCTCTTTCCAACGGCTTCTCCATCCCCGGCAGCTCCTCCATTGCCCCGCTACAGAGGAGGAGGAGGAGGAGGAGGGGAGCGAAGCCGAACAAGAGTGCCCACCTGGGCTCTGTGTCTGTGGGCAGTGCGTTCGCCATATCGGTAGTCTGGAAAGGCTGTATGCGAAATAGATTGATGATTGATGTGTGATGATCTCTCTCTCTCCAACATGCATCTCGCACGAGAATTCGCCATGACCTAGATAGCTCGTATGCATTATGGGAAACAAACAATCTCGCACGAGAATCCCGAGTTTTGATTGATGAATCATGATATTCCACAGAACTCCACGACGTACGACTTCGGACTGTTCTAAGACTGGACCGGGACCCGGGCACGACCAATGACCCCCCCAGGCATCACGGAGGCAAGCCAAACGGCGAGCCTATTAAGCTCTCACCTTCCCATTCACAACCATTTATTACATCGTTTAGGCTCGGGCTGTACAAAACTCCACGCCCATAGAAGGAAATGCGCCCATCTATCAACTTATCCAACAGGTGTATGTAAACCACGAGGAGAAATGTAGTGTAAAATACAAATACAATACCAACAAACCAAAAAACAGGTGTAAACTACAAGGACCAATGTAATGTAATACACAATATCAACAATCCAAACCAAACCACCAAAAAGAAATCTCAAGTATTAACACATCCAAAACCTGAAAACAAACTTCCAATATATGCCCCAACAAACTCCGCCGCAATGCAATGTCTGATCCCATCGATACATACCATAATCTACACGCCCCACACACGTACATACTTACGCATCAATCATCCTCGAGGGGAATAGCAGCCCAGCGACCAAAATCGCCACCAACAATCTCCCGGTCTCCAGCACCTTGAGCACTGCTCTGCATCTCCTCGAGCTTCTCCGCGGTCCCATCCACATCCGCAGCATCAGCAGCGGTGTACCCCGCAATCTGTCCCTCGAACCCGTTCTCGCGCAGCCACTGACACGCCGCGCGGACATTGAGATCCAGGATGGCGGCCGGCTCAACCGCCTTCTTGATTGCTCTTGGAAACAGTATTCCGAAGTCGCTCTGACTCAGGTGCGCCGATTCCTTGACGTAGCACAGTCGCACGCTCTTTTCCTTCGAGCTGGTGGGAGCAACAGTCAACGTTTCGGTGGCAGCGGGAGTGGCAGGGTCGTTGTCCGGATAGAATCCCGTCTCTCCGTGCTTTGCGTTTTCGGTGGCTACCCGCGACGAGAACTGTTCGAACACTTCGTGTTCCTTGCCTTCGCGGCGGCGTCCAGGATCGAGTGAGAGGATGCGGCGTACGCCGCGCAGATTCTCGCGCCAGATGAAGAACTCCTCCGACATCACTACGAGAACCTTGCCAGGGTTGCCGGAGCCGATCTGCGGCAGCGGCTGCTTCCACAGGGATCTCGTGCGTTTGCTGAGGAGAGGGAGACACCAGATGTCTAGCAGCATGAGCGGCGATGAGCCCGTGATCTGCTCGCTGAGCGGTAAGGCGCTGGGTTCGTTGTGGGGAACTGAAGCGTCGGGTACAAAGAGGGGTTTGTCTTCGAAGTCGATCTTGTTGCTGTAGTAGACGGACTTCATCATCTGGATCATCGTCGATGACCCGAAAGAGTGGCCAGCCCACACCAGCCGGCCTGGCTTTCGGATATCTAGCTTATCCTTGAACGCGGCGAGGGTAGAGTCGCGGGTTACATTATCCGCATCGAACATGGCCGTTCCACACGGTATCTTTCCGAGATCGAGTTGTGCGATCGCAGCATAGACGATGGAGAGCTCCCAGAGGCGGATCTCGAGCTGCCTATTCCGTCCATTTGCGGTTTCCTCCGAGATCTTATGGGGATAGTTGACGAAGTCGACCTGGGCCCGAGATGGAGAGGCGGAACTAGCCGCGGAAGCAGAGCTGACCCCGGGTTCCCCGGTATTCGGCTGCGTGCCCGTCAACTCGGTTTCACTGCTGGGTTGCAATCCCGACTTGACGAAAGTCACTGGCGCACTACCGTCGCGATGCTCTGGCGCGATCACGACCATGCCGTGAGACGCCAGAGAACCACAGAGGTGTGAGTATGCCAATCGGGTTCCGCCCAGACCGTGAGAAAATATCATGGTCGGAAATCTAAATTCCGCACTCGACGGCATCAATGGAGCCAAAGAGATGGCGGGGAGAGCGATATGGTGGAGAATCCGCGGAATATATCTGACGGGAGGTTAACGGAATATCCTCGGCAGGAGACAAGATTTCCGGGCCTTACGATATCAGCTCGGCAAGCCCGGAGCCGGCACCCATGAACCGCGCATAGCCACTGAGATATTCCCGCTGATGGGGTTCGGGCAGCCAATATACGGATTTCGAGGGTTGGGGTTCATGGTGGCAATGTCGGTGAAACCACCCGTGCGACCATCCTGCTTTTGCTTTATCCCCATTCGTTACATCCTTCGGCTTTTCCGCTTCCCGGGCAGCCGGGGCACTTTCGGGCGCCTGGGGCTTGAACTTCTGCGCCGTCGGATAAAATACGCGGAACTGCACCGTCGATATCGACTCGGCGTAGTTCGGAGGTCTCTGGGATGCGGGCAACGACGACACTGGGATTTCAAGTTCGAACGAGGCTACCGTGTATGGGCCCTTATAAGCTGGGAATTGGGGAACGACACTGAAGCGAGACAGTAGCGACGCCATCGAAGCTGTCGTTCTAGAACCACGAATCGCTTGCGGAGGGCGGAAAAACGGTCGAGGCACGGTGGGAGAGTCTCTGTGTCTGCACGCGGGAATGGAGCAACGGATGCAACAGTACAGTGAGCGGAGTAGGTGTCGGGGGGCGTATGGAAGGAAATCGACAAAGACGGGCCGAATAATGTCGATGCTTGAGGGGGGGCGAGGTTTATGTAGGGACTGTAGTAGTAGTCGACATCTGATTTTCTCTGGGAGTTCGGAGTTTCGGACATCATTACTGATCAGGGTCGTGTGCCTGTCCCAACCCATGACGTATTTCGGTATGGTCCGAAAACGTAATACACGCCCGTCGAATGGCTAAATTCATTCCATGAGCCAAAAGTTACATGCTCCGGTAGCCTACGATACCCGGAAGTTACTGATACCGAGCACTGAAAGAAGGTTTCTCGGGATGCCCAGTCATCTGCAAGGACACTGCTCCCGCCCTCCCCCCCTCCCCCTCGTCGTTTGGACCGCCCTCCATCTCGTCGACCAATGTTCCGCCCCCACTTCGGCATAGCACTCTGTCTTCACAATATGACTCGTCGGGTAGAGTACTTGGCAGGCTGTCTCCTGGCTCTCCCAAGGCTTTTTTTTACGGGGAACGTGCGCTGATAGTTATTCAAAATGTCGCCATATTAAACATCGATTCACGATGCAGCTCCCAAGACCTTGGGCGAGATCCACAAGTGGCCAAGACTCGCGTTGGGCAGCGACAAAAAGCAAATCAAACTGTGCACATCAATACCTTGCCTCCGAAAGAATTCTGCTCGGCAAAGGCGCGTTTTCGAACCGAGGTGTAGCCGGACCGACACGCACGTGAGAGTCTGCACCGAGTCCGCAAGGCCTACTAGTGAATAGTTAGGGGCTGACCCTGGTTGAGGCACAGCAAGCTGCCCTTCCGCAGCTTAGCGAGCTGTCAGCGTCGATTCTCTGCAGATCCAGATCGGATGAAACCTCCCGACGGAGCGGCGCGGCGCGGCGCGGCGCAGTGAGCGCGGGTAAGCAATTGCTTTCGAGATCGAAGCCGGCGTGACAGATAACTATCTACACCGTCAATTCTGGCATCGGACGACAGAGCTGCAGAAGTCAGTGATTCCGTGCTGTGTCCGAGCTGAACATTCGATTCTCGAGACTCACCCCACGGAGATGGTTACCCAGATCAACCGAATCTCCGGATTGGATCCTGACGAATTTTCGTGTGCTACCCCGGACTTGAAGCCCCCATATCGCACATGTGACTGGTGGACAGCCCTGGAGGCGCGGCAAACAGGTTGGGGCTCGGCCGCACAGCCATCTCCGAGACATCGATGCGGCCGGATGGCCAAGATAGTGGTACGGCGCGGCAACACCTTTTGGTCCAGCATTGAGGGATGGGACAAACAAGCAAAAAAACGGAGAAAACAACGGATAGGGGGGAGAAACGGAGGTCGAGAAGGACTTTGTTTTTTTTGTTTAATCATTGATTGCATACGACCTATCAAGATCATGGCAATATTAGATCGAAACGAACGAAGACAGCGCTGAATCATGATCTCTACTTAAGTTCCCATGGATTTTGTTCCTATCGCGATTGGGCGTGCACACGGCCGAGGCCCAACACCGTGGCGGTTTAGCAAACGATGGAGGAGCTGTCGGCGAGAGGACGAAGTGAAGGAGGACTCCTGTCGGCGAGAGAAAACGAATGTGGTTAGTGGTGCGCATCAACGTTGGTACGCATGGCGGGGCTTCTTCTTTTCTTCTTCTTCTTCTTCTTCTTTCTTGATCATCTATCGAATAGGCGGCCAACTCCTCATCTCCGCACTCTCCTCTGTGTGCTCCCATCATCACCCGAGCGCCTATCGGCCCCGAGAGGCATTGGCAAAGAGCCCTTGCAAAAGCGGTCTCTCGCTCCCAACGGAGGACGCCACCGCCTCACAAGCTAGTGCCAATACGGCCGGAGAAAGTCCACCTATTGAATTTGGGGTTGCCCATCATACCGGTTGGTACTCTACTTTCTATAAATCATGTGGCCCCAACAACATGGGCTGAAGAAATCCAGCATGTGTGATATTCCTTAAAGTAATACGGTATCCCTCAACATATCCCGTAAGTCCATCCCCTATTACAATCCATAAAGTACACTCTAGATCTGATGATGACCGATCGTTCGTAGACCTACGACGCCGGTGGAATGTGGAGCACGTCCAGAATACACACAGTCCACGGTCCACGGTCCACGAGGTACATACGGCAACAAGGCGTTACCTAAAAATAAATCTGAGGTATTCCTTGCGCACTTACATCGGCCAAATCCAGTAGAGATCTGGAGATCGAAGCCTCATCATCTAGGGAAGTAGGTGTCGAGATCGATTTGCGGGCCGGTGGTGCTAAAATAGCCAAAGAGGAAGTGGTCTGGAAACGGTCCCGTGGTGCATGAGGGTAATAGGTATGACGTCCTGGAATGTAAGTATGTAGCAGCTTGGGTGATAGCAGGTGCCACCATGGATTCGTTATTCCCAACATTCTCTAGTAAATGAAGGAGACATACCCATGGGGGGGTCATCAATTTTATTTCGCATCTATGAGCCTTTGTAGACTACGGCGAACACCAACTGTAGGTGGGGAAAGGTTGGTTGATTGGGAAGAGAGGGTCGAGGACCCGAAGTCTATCTACTTCCGTACATCCGTCGTCACTCGGGCCTATCCACAACCCTACCCTATCTACAACCCTACATCACCTCCCGGTTGACAAAAAAGAAACACCGTATCTCAGTCTTCCCAATCCTCCGGTTCGAAAACCGTGATATCCGCCCCGTCTTCTACCTCCATCACCCACGCTTGCCTCTTCCGTCGCTTCTGAGGCCTCCCCGGCTTCTGCTTCGCCGTCTCCACTGCCAACTGACGCTTCAACTTCTCATCAGCCGCTTGAAACTCTTCCAGTATCTCCTTTCCTCCGCCATCGAACATCTCCCCTGGCTCCCATGACAACTCATCATCATCCTCAAATTTGACCTCGTACTCAATTCGACCTCCCTGGTCAGGGTTCCGGCGCCATGAGCGAATAGCTTCCACTCCATAATCCGCTTGGGTATCCACCCCACGTCGTGTGACACGTAATGCAGGTGCCGGTGCCTGTGGCCAAGAGTGATCAATCATGGAAGGTTTAAGCAGGGCAGCATTCTGTGTACGTGCCAACTTCCAGTGTGCTGGCAGCAGTACTTCGAAGGCGTTCTCCCCCTGCTGCCGGCCCAGTTCAAACTCTCCGATGTACTTCTGGTGTAGGGCCTTGCGGTGGTTATCAGTGTCGGTAGCGTATGTTATTGGTAGGTTCTTTGTTGAAAGCAGAACCTTGTCCCCTTGCTGAAAAGTATGTGGTTGCCGATGCTTGTTGGCCTCCGCTACTTGCTGTTCCTGCGCGTGCTGAAGATTCTGTCGCAGTAGTGTAAGCGTGGTCACCATTTCCGCTGCAAATGTTCGACCATCCGCAGGAAATTCCACCTTTGACCTGCTTCTCAGATCTTCTCTCCGGCTGCGTTCTTTTCCCACGCTCGCAAGGGCATCGAGTGGCATGCGAAGGACATAGGAGAGATCAGCTTCAAATGGAGACATTTCGATTGACTTCTGTCGGGTTGCGTTGTATGCGAATTCTGCGAGTGCCAGCAGTTGATTCCATTCATTCTGGCGTTCTCCCGCATAAGCACTCAGATATCTCTCAACAATCGAATTTGCCTTTTCTTCTTGTCCATCAGTCTGCGGGTGAAATGCTGTTGACATACGGAGCTTGGTGTCGAATTCACTCATAAGAGTCTGCCAGAATGTGAATGTGAATCGCACATCACGATCAGACACAATGGCATCCGGGAGCCCATGATACCGTACATAGCAGTCGCGGAATATCTCAGCAAACTTGACTGCAGTTAATTCTTTTTCTTTGGCTGCGATCCAATGTGCCCGCTTGGTCAAAGCGTCGACAATAGTGATAATTGTATCGCTCCCATCCTTTGTCGTCGGTAGCTTGGTAATGAAGTCAATATTGATTCTCCGCCACCGCTCGTCCGGAACGTCCAAGGGCTGCAAGAGTCCATATGGCTTTTGATTTGTTGACTTTGTGCATGCACAGGTCGCACAGCCCTGTACGTAGCGTTTGACTTCCTGATACATTCGTGGCCAGAAAAACCTTCTTGCAACAGCTTTGTAGGTCCTTGTGACTCCGAAGTGGCCTCCAACCGCGGCAGCATGTGCCTCTCGCAGGATACGGTACTTGAGGTCCTTGACTTGCGGTATGACCAAACAGTCGGTATTGTTGTGAATAATCATACCATCATCCAAATGGTAGTGTCGGCCACGTGAATGCTGCCTGCGTATGCCTACTTTATGCTGTCGCTGCTCTGTAGGTGACTGTTTATTGCCAGTGACTTGCTTTTCCTCCGGCTGCAGATGAGACAAAATATCGTGGTGTCGATCAGAGCACGGCCAACGCGCTCCAGCAGGATGGGTTTTCATGATTGGCCATGTGCTCTCAAGCCCATGATCGTGAACGAAGCCGAGGTTATGGTCGAGGCCTGAGTTGCGATTGCGTACTCTTTCCAGTGTTTGAAACGAAAAGGCCGTCCGTCGCATACGATACATACTGGTACATCAGGTAAGTGCTGGCAGGTGGTTTCGTCTTTTCGGCGCAGTTTGGCGCTTGTTGTACCGGCTGAACTCACGCTCTGCTCCGGATAGGCAGAACTCTGTCAAAGCATCACCGCCGACGGCCGGAGTTTGGGCTTAGGGCAGGGTTTCGCGACCTCCTTCCTTCCCGATGAAGTAGCGAACTCCGCTTCCATGACGGTTCATATGCCCATATGCCGTAGATTAAGCGCGGTAAGTTCCAACCGACGCGACGCCGTGCAGTTTGTTACACCTTTGCACGTCAGATAATGCATTGTTCGCGTCGCATCATGCGAAACGTTACGGTATGTAGCGACGTTCGTTCGGCTTCCGAAGCAAACCCATACGGCGGCCAGCTGGCGACCACCGTGTTCCAGTCTGAGCGTGGAATCTGGAGGCGTAGTAGGTCAACCGGGACATCTTTTGGCTGTGGAGATTGGGGCAGATTTACTGGTGAGCGCATTAGTAGAGCTGGCCGTATGTATGCAGAACAAATCACCGTGAGTACTGACCTTGTTGCTTTCCAGGCTGAGAATTCCCACTGGGTTCAGTCGCCAGAGACAAGCCCACATAGATTTCTCTTCCAACGACTCTTCCAACTACTCTTCCAACTACGCAGAACACCGGGTTTCGTGCGTCTCTGCATCCAGAAGTTGGGAATCCAATGCGCTCGAAGCAGTTCCAGAAGTTGGGAATCCAATGCGCTCGAAGCAGTTCCAGACTCTTCCGAAACGCGAGATTGGCCCCTGCCAAGTCAGCTCTCGGTGTCTCATCGATCGGAGACGAATGGAGGGATCCGGTTCGCCTTTGCAATCCCAGTCAGCATCGTGAGCTGAGTCCGTGGAATACATAGGTTTTGCTGCCCGTCAGGGATTGAAACACTCGCGCGGGAAGAGTCTTCTTCAGCACCCCATGTGCATCAGGCAACCAACAATGCAGTCTATGTGGAATCTTGGTTTCCGAAGAACAGCCCAGATTGATCCGCAGAGCACGGGGACCTTTATATCCCACCTCCATCACTTACCTTTTCGTGTCCGCTTCTGCATTGCGTGTTTCCCGGTGATCACCAGCAAGCCGTTTTCCTACCGTACATCATAATCTTCGGACGGGTCGGTGACCTTTCTTCGTTTCCGCTCTATAGTAATCTTCTTTGAGCCCGCTGTCGCGTATTCTTTATTTTCTAAATCACCATCACCATCTCATAACGGCCGCGCTATGCCAGTCGATACTCCCCTCACTTGTCCGCAGAGTGGACGCACGGGCTTAGGTTCCTGTTCCGTCTCACACGCTGGAAATTCCGCTCGCACAAGAACGGGGCCGAGAGGATGTGCGTTCTCTGGATTCCAGATGGAGGCACAGGGCATGCTGTATAATGTTAGTCACCTCAGCTCCCTATCATGAAGACACACTAACAATCTCTTTCAGTCACCCCAAGGACCCGATGCAGCCGCGCAGCTACACGCTCAGGAACAGAAGACAATGGTGGAGATGTTGATCCCCACCGCACCCACAAAGGAAGCCGTAAAAGGCCTCCGAAACGCCGACGGCCTGTGCCCCTCAGACCACGACATCCTGGCCGCTGCCCTGGGGGCACCTGCTCGGCGTGTGCTGATGAGGGCGGACGCTCTCGGTCCAAAGACGGGATACCGTGACGGCTATCTGACGAGCAAGTGGGGCTTTTGCCCACCGGATCCCAGCGCTTCTCCGATCGCTCTTGCTGCTTGCCCGGGGCGTATGTGGTCGGATCTGTGTGGACGCATGCCCGGGCTCGTTGGAAGAGGAAAGATTCGAGAGGCTATCCTGGACCTTCCCACGGTGATGGGAACGGAAGACGTTATCCCGAACCAGGCCTTATGGGCCGCGACGATCTGCTTGGGTATTCTAGCATCGGTATATCGATACGAGGAGAGGAACGACGGTCATGAGGGAATAGCAACCATCGGCAGTGCCGCAATAGCATCTCAAAGTGCCATAATGCAGGAGGACGAGTGCGAGGAGGAGTTGAAAGGAATTCCCAGGAATATAGCGATCCCCTTTCGGACACTGTGCACAAGGATGGGACGGCCTCTACCGCATCTGACGCAATACGACGTTTCCATTTACAACTACAAAATCAAAGATCACACCAGCGTATATCCTTACGTCGCCCGAGCGGAAAATATGGACCTGAGATGGCCAGTCTTCCAGGATCGGGCCGAGGCGATGTTCCTCTTGTGTATGGCGGAAGTGCATGGGTGCTTCACCGATGGTGTGGAGATTGTTACGAGGTGTCAAGAGATGGTGATGGAGAGGTTTGTGCTTCACAATCTTCAACTGAGATGGTATTCTAACGATGATGGTGACAGAGACAACGAAGGCCTATTGGTTGAGTTGGTGAAACTGAAGGGCATCATCGACCAACTCGGATACGTCTTCCATAAAATTAGTGTTAATCCCGGGAGTGGAGAGCTATATGCAAATCCCGTAGAGTGGGGCCAAAGGTCCGACTCCAACCCTACTCCTAGTCCATACATGGTTTTGATGAGATTCTCACGAACGGCTGTAGATACGCAAAGTTCAGCGCGCCATTATCCAAGAGAGTGCCAGCGCTCTCGGGGCTCGCTCTTCCTCTCTTTCAGCTTATGGATGCGTTTCTCGGCCGAACAAAGTACGACACCTTCCTTGGCCTGGAAGCACTGCATCTGAGGGCGTGGTTGCCTCTCAACCACCGCGCCTTTATTGCTTCCTTCGAGCAGTATTACCAGGTCCCGAAGTATGTGGCATCTACAGGTGACAAGCGTCTGATCGGTGTGATGGACGGGATCGTGGAGTCCTACGCTGGCGAACGCGGTTTCATGGGAACCCATAGATGTATGTGCTCATGGGGGGTTCCAGGCGAGTGAAAGCAACTGATACCTGATTCAGATAAAGTTTATGGGTTCCTTGAAGTGGTAGCAAAGACCGGCAGGACTGAAACTAACGGTAATGCCGGTGGCCAAGATACCGAAGGCCGTCCTTGGGAAGAAGTCCACCGAACTCTTTCGGAATCGATGATCGAGCGGCTGGACCCATTCCGCAGTTCGATATCGTTGAAGCCCCATGAGATGAGGGGCTGCTTTGAAGAGTGCCGGTTTAGAGCGACTATTGCCCGCCGCGACTCCATCGACAGAGATCCGGACCGTTCGACTGGACAAGTGACGATCGATTTGAGAAATACCGGCATGACATTTTGCCCTGGCGACAGACTAGCCATCATGCCGCTAAACCCGTGGAGAGAAGTTGCAAAGTTGGCGCAAGTTTTGGGTGCGACCGACCGTCTTGATGAGATTATTTCGCTGGAGATGGCGGATGACTGGAAGCGGTTCTCGACGCATGTGTCGGATGTCACGCGGGATCCAAAGACCGGGGAGTTCAGTTTGAGAGACATCTTGCGTCGCGGACATCTGTCTCCATTGACAAAGGAGCTTGTACTAGCTGTGAGTGTCATACTTTTCCTACCAGAAAATAGAGATGCTAACAGAGGAGCACAGATACATGTGATGCTCCGCGCTTCCTCCTACGCGCTATTAGAAGTTCTATCTGCCGAGGCATGGCCTGTGAGTGGCTCGCTCGGAGATTTGCTTCTCGTTGCACGATCAGACGTATCTTCCACCCTTTGGGATCAGGCCTTCCCCAGTGACCTGGCATGGCTCCCCAAACTGGTTCACGTAGAAGTCCCGAGAACATACAGCATCTCTAGCCATTCATCCGAGCTCCTACCAAGCTTTATCAACCTAACAGTATCCCGGGTGGAGCACAAGCTGTGCTCCCTACTTGCTTTCGATGGAAGTAAAGATATAGTCCGGTCCGGTGTCAGCAGTGGCTTCTTGAATCCACATCCAGATGAAGAGGAGGACGAGGTCAAGGGGGGGTTCAAGGCCGTCAAGGGCATTGAGGCAGAAACGGTAGCGCACGCTTCCACTCTCGATGTTTGATGCATTCTGACTCTTTTCAGGTCTTGATTGGAATATCTCGTCCCCTCAACTTCCAGCTTCCTATCTCTCCCGCCGCTCCCGTCGCCATGTTTGCCGGCGGCTCAGGTATCGCTCCTTTCCGGGGATTCTGGCAGGCAAGATTCGCCAGCGGCGCCGTGGGGAGGAACATCCTCTTTCTCGCTGTTCAATCTCGCAAGAAGTTCGTGTACGAGGAGGAACTCCGTGAACACGTGCGATACGACGGCCTCGAGCTACACACATCGTTCTCTCGGGACACGAAAGGTCTCGTTTACGACCAAAGCACACAGGACCTAGTTGAGAGAGAGACGGAGCCACGATACCTGGACGCCGCCATCATCGAGAAGAGAAATCTCATCTGTGATCTTGTCATGTCGACGAAGCAGGGCGGGCTAGGTGGCTACCTCTTCATCTGTGGCTCGGTCTCCGTCTACGAAACGGTCATGAGTGGGATAACGAAAGCGATGTATCAAACGAGGGGGGTTACGCAGAAGTCGGCCGAGGCACTCTTGGCTACTGCTTTCGCCGAGCGCAGGTTCATGCTGGATATCTTCATGGCCCCAAGGGCAATGTCGTTTAAAGAGCCCATCATCCCGATTTCCACGCTCTCTCGTTTCACGGGCCACAGAGAGGGATCAAGGATGTGGACCGGAGTACACGGCGCTGTCTACGACGTGACCGAATTCCTTCCAATCCATCCCGGAGGCTCGATGATCGTCGCCGGCAGCGCAGGGCTCGATGCATCCAAAACTTTCGATGATCTAGCCCACACCACCAATCCAGAGGTCACAAGTCTGCTTTCGAAATATTTTGTTGGTCACCTCGCTGCGAAACCAAATTTCCACTCGCCAGAATTGGGTGTGCTGTATGATGGCTGGCTGGGCTATCTCCGAACGTGTGTAGAGAGCTTGACGACGCTTTCCTTCGAGGTCAAAGCCATTATGGCGGATGCAAACATCTGGTTCTCGGGTGGAATGCTGAATATGGGCGGTGTTCGGAAGTTCTACCAGTTCCAGTCCCGACTGATGCAAGACGGTTTCACGACTCTGTTCGGATCGAAGTAAGTCCCGCCCATGCTGATCCAAAACTCTCCATACTGATCAATACCAGACTGCAAGAGCTCTACGTCAAACTTTCCTTCACGCTCGTCTCCGCGCACAACTCCGATTCTCGCCTGCCAGACGTAATGGGCATTGTCGCTCGTGCCCAGTCTTCGGCAGCATCCACCACTGCCCAACGAGAGATCGCCCAAGTGGGCGAATATGTATGCGACAGCTCCACGGCGCAGTCCTTCGAGCGGGGCATAATACAGTACGCCCAGGCCGTCACCGAACTCGACGTCCGCTTCCTCGAGCAAGTACGTGAGGAAATCTGCACTGGCATGGACGGCTTCGATCTGGTCATGTCTCTGAAGGGGGGAGCGGCATCCGAGAAACAGCGTCTGTTCAAACTCGCCGCCTTCCTAGTCTCCCTCCTCGAACGCATCGCGGAGCGTCTGGACACATACTTCGTCGAGCTCTCGGCGCAGTCGCTCTACCATCCCGAACTCGAACACAACCCGGCGCGCGCCCGGTGGCGTCTGGTTCGCCGGAGGATACAGGACGGAAGCTTCTTCTTGTACACGCAGGACCTGACCCTTGACTCAGAGCACTTTGATGCGTTCCCAACCAAGCCACTCTCCATCCAGAAGGTCCCACGCGGGAGACAGCGAGAGAGCATTTCATTCGACCGAGTCATCTCCCAAGCCAACGCCATGGTCCAACAACAACAAAGCCCACACGTTCCATCTCGCTCCCCGCGACTCCACTCTCCATCCGCGCCCAGGAGACTAGCAGACTCGCACACCCTCCGAGCCTTCGACACCGGCCGCGGTGCCAGCAGCTACGAAAAACACCTCGACCGCAAAGCGGTAAACCGGGTGAGCACGTTCCTCTCCGGGAACCTCAAGGCGATCCGGCGGCTCAGCCGCGTGGATCTCACGAGCCTCGAGCACGCCATGGGCCGTCCCAGTGCAAGGGAAAGGGAAAGAGAAAGAGAAAGCGATCGGGAGGAGCGGTCGGGGAGCCGGGCTCCCACACCCGTGCAAGTGGAGCGGAGGACCCATCTCCGCGACGAGAGTCGCGGCCGACGCGCGCACTCCCGCGAGCGCAGAGTGGAGGATCTTTCAAGGAGTGCTAGCAGTGCGTCCTCAGGGTCTGGGGAGTCGCGGGGGTCGGCGCTGCCCGGGAGTCCGAGGGACTCGCTCAAGGTCCCGCTGAGAAGGGTCGGCACTGGTGGGTCCGCCAGGAGGATGGACAGCTTCAGTGTTTCTGGGAGAAGCGACGGCGCCGCCGCCGCCGAGAGTGTAGCCCGCGCGTTGGAGGGATTGAGGGTTAGAGGCTAGCTATGTAGACGGTGTTTTGCTTGCGGGAATTGGACTGTTTTGCTCCCATTACTTGGCCGAACGTGATACATACGGCCTTCCGTTGTAATACCCCATCTGACATACCCAGTGCCATAAACACATGACCATATTTCCCCCGTTTTGCGGCCTAGACAGGCTCTACCTAGCCGCAAAGCTAGTCTTCCGATCCTATGGGACAACGAATCTTCGGTCTGTGAGGGATTCCGAGAACTCTTATCGTCCAATATTTGTCAGCACCAGAGTGCAGACAGAACTCTAGGCGACCATGCCGCAGCATCACCCGCCATTGTCGGCGAAACTGGAATTCATCATGTGCCCGCGAGTGAGAGCCCATGAGGGGTTGTGGTTCAGGTTTAGCGTGATGGGGGAAGTGTGGTTACATGTTCATAAGATCTCGACCGTGGACGTTTTCCCTTCTCTATTCATACGGTCACACGATTTCGATCTCTCAGTAGGTATGCGGAGTTCCATCTACTTCCGACCCCTTCGTCGGTTGCCAGCGTTGCATAATATTGTACAATCAAACAAGTCATCTAGACCGCTCTCAATCACCGCCAAAACTTTATTCCATGTACTATAGATTGTAGTATATCCCCTGCGCCTACAGTATCAAATAACTCGCGCTCAAAAAACTCGGGCCAGTCCAGATACCGATCCAGAATAGTACATTTCCCAGCGTCTTCCGATCCCTCATGAGCCGGGTCCTACTCAGACTCACCAGCGGCAGCTGGAACATCTGCGCGAGCAGCAGGTAACCCCTTAGCTTGCCAAAGATGCACCACATGACGAGTTCGTGCACGGCCGCCGAGATCAGGAACGTGATCAAAGTCGCCGTCTCCCGCGATATCTGGAACGTTGAGATGCTGCTGTGGTAGACGTGCCGTAATAGGAAGTTGTGCACCGGCTTGTTCCAGTCCCGCGCGAAGGCGTCCCAGGTTGTGGCGTTCCTGTGGAGGTTAGGGAGGTTTGCAGGAAGAGGGAGGAGGAGACGTACCACCAGTCGGAGGCGAAGCCGCGGTCGGCGAACCGCGTGAGCTCCCCCAGCAGGTTGAGGATTAGCTCCCAGATTAGGTACCAGACACAGAGGTATTCACCCTGTCGTCGTTGGTTAGTGTCTGCGGATTACCCACTTGGGTGGGTAAGTAAGTACTCACCATGAATGGAAACACCAACTTCAGCAGGATCCACGGAAACTCCGCAAGCCTTGCGGAGAGCGGGAGGGAACGCAGCGAATGGCAATGGATGACAACGGGGTACATAAAGTGCTGCGACACGACGATCATGATTCCCAGGACACCGAAGGTAGCCGCCGTCTTCTCGGCGACATATGACCAGTTGATTGAGCGCGTACGTGGGTACGCGAGCTCGTAGACTAGTGTGGGGAAGTGGATATATTCGAGGTAGTTCGAGAAAGTGAGGTTCTCCGGGTAGGTGACCCGTGGAGAGTTTGTAGCTTCTAGGGAGAGCTCGGCATCGCACGCCTCGATCTCGGCACGTACGAGTGAGGCAAACCGGCTGGCCTGCCGAGGATCGAGCTCATCGGGGAACTGCGAGATGTCTAGCAGGCCGACCGAGGAGCGCCGGCGGTCCCGGAGCGAGTCTACGCCCAGGAAATCCGCGCCAGTCGTGGTTGCCCCCGCGTCCTCGAGATGTGCGAGCTTGTCTTCGAGGACCTTGCGCCGCTTCGAGACCTCGCTCAGATAGCCGTTGTAGAAACTGTATGAATGCTGCTTCATCAAGATGACGATGCAGTGCAGTACCAGGAAGACGGTTTGGATCCACGGCCACTCTCGGTAGAGCGTGTACGAGACGATCAGGTAGAGGTACGCGGCTTCCCATAGCGCCTGGAGTATCCACCCCGACTTATTCCAGGAGATGACGCCACTCATCACGGCACGCTGTAGCGGCACGTTCCAGAAGGTACTGCCGTAGAACATTATCGCATCGGCGAACAGGCAGTCAAAGAGGTGCGTCGGCTGGAACATAATCGACAGAATGTCAACATCGAATATCCGGCCAGTAATTCTATAATTCTCCGCCGCAGTCTTGATCATGAACAGAGCCACGCCCAACCTAGCCCATGCCATTAGCCATTGCAAACCACCCCGCTCCGCAAAGGGCGCCTCACCATATGAGCACATAAAACCCATGAAACGGACTTTTCGCGCTCTCGGGATTCATCGAATCAAACATAGTAAACCGTTCCACGAACACCAGATCTCCAAACCTCCTCCTCCTTCGCCTTCCCCCATCCTTCTCGTCCTTCCTCCCCCAGACCCGTTCCCTCGCCCCAGCCGCCAGGAGCTCCCGTATCTCATCGTCAATCTTGAGCACATACCGGCGGCCGGTCTCTCCCTTCTCGGCGGGGATCCTCTCAAGCGAGACCAGCAGTCCGTCGGCCGCACTCTTCCGCCGAGGATCGCTCAGCGAGCCCGCGTCGTTGCCCGCGAGCCCGGGGAAGCTGCTGCGCCGGTCCGCGCGCGCGGGTAGTCGGTGGTCGTCGAATTCGTGGTCCGACTCGGGCCGGGAATCTGGCGGCGTCTCGACGGCGGAGGAGTCATCCCCGTGGGCTGCGGTGGCGGTGGCGTTGAAGATTATCGGCCGGAATATCGAAGCGTGCTCGAGGTGGCCGACGAGGTTGGCGTTGGACAGGGACGAGGACGTGGACGAGGAGGACGAGGACGAGGACGTGCGTGAGGACGCGTCGAAGGTTCGAGGCGGCGGGGGATCGGAATGCTCCATCGCGACTCTGCAGGCTAATGCTAAAGAGCCTCACTAATCGCTACCGTACCGTATGCACTGCCGGCCCAGGAGTGCCCCGCTTCCTCTGTGCTGCAACTGGAGGATCAAGTACCGTATGTACCTACAAGGACTCGAGAAGGAGCTGAAGTCTCGAACGAATCTTGTGTGGATGTCCGTAGTGAAATCTGCCAAAGCTACAACTGGTGACGCAAAACGGTCGCGGGCGGGTTTTATAGGCCCATATGTAATCGAATCCAGATCGATCCGCGATCCCTCCCTCCCGAGCACAGTCACCCCTCCTCCGTATCGGGGGTGTTTTTGCAGATTGTTTTCCTCCCCTCACCTCACCTGGCAGGGCGGAGACGCGCTCATCCGAGCCCGAATTCGCTCCGGATCCCGCTGATAAACACACATCTCGATCTTTTCCTCTCGGTAACTGTTCTGCCCGCCGACAGAGGACAGAGATTTCGATACGTCAGACCCAGCAGCAGCAGCAATAATGCTCCGGGCCAATCAAGTCAGGCCATGCGATTACATACGGTACCGTACTGTACATACCACAGGCTCCTCGAACAGTCGAACTTCGAAGAAGAGGGGCAGAAAAAGCTCCATCGTATCAGCAACAAGCTGCTCGCTCTTCACTTTGGAAACCCTTTCTTCCGTTCCTTCCTTCGCAGTCCTGCACGACGGCGTCACCGGGCAGGGATCTACATGTAGGAGCCCCCGCACTTCGGAGTTGCGCTGCAACGATATCTCCGGCGTCCGCCTCCCGGCTTCGGGTTCGCACGAAAAGTAGGGACTGGCTCATTTGTCAGCACAGTCGCACGTTTAGTAAGCCGAGGCCGCTGCTGTTATGAGTGATTGGCTATGCATGCTCAATGGCCATATTCCCGGCAGACGTATGTAGGGTATCGAACGTGAGATTCAATTGTTTCATTCATTCACTCATACATGCGCCGCTCTATGTATACGTCCCTTCCCCGCCCCCATTGATGCTGCGCACTCCTACAGCCGGGCACTTGCCTTTACAAGCCCTAGCCCGTCGCCTTCCTAGCCGTCCAGGTGGAACTGGAACCACTCGAGCGCCATCTCGAACGCCTTCTCCTTCGCCCGCTTCTCCCAGCGCTTGGACATATCGCCGCGGACGGAAAAGCCGTGCTCGACGCCGCCGAAAAGGTTGATCTGGTACGTCGCTCCCATCTCCTTCAGTTTCGCCTCCGTCTCGTGGCGCAGCTCAGTCGTGAAGATGGAATCGGTTTCTAGAGTCATCAGCCTCGTGATACCTACCCAGTGGGGGGACGGGGCGGGGACAAACCAGCAGCGGCAATCGCAAGCGGGCCCTTAATCTCGGCGAGCTCCTCGAGGGAGACAAAGCTCGGGTGGGCGACATATCCCGCCTGCACCTCATTCGCGAGCAATCTAATGACATACTTCGCGCCGAAGCAGTAGCCAACAGCGACGATCTTCTGCGGCTTCAGCTCGCTCTTGATTCCCTCCAGGACTTGGAGGACGATCGGCTCTACTTGCGGGAGCATGTGGTTCTGCACCCACCCGGGCAGCGTCAGGTCCGCAGGAACCCGCGCGGACGCGTCCATCAGCCATGGATCGCCCCGGAAGAGGTCCGGCATCACCACGTGGTAGCCGTGAGCTGCGTACCCGTCCGCCAAAAGCTGCGCGTTGATGAAGCCGTGCCCGATGATGTCCGTGAGGAAGTAGAGGACCTTGGAGGTGGAGCCCGAGGGGGACGGACTGATGTAGGATTCGACTGAGGACACTGCGTCAGCGGAGCCACCAGCAGTGGGAGGGGCGAGATGGTTAGTTACCGCCGGCAAAGGTGGTGATCTTTCCCTTGGGGGTGCCATCGTGGATGTGACCCTCGCCACAGCACTTTCCTGGAGGGTTGGAGGCCATTGTGTTGTGTTGTTGTTTGCGTGTGTGGGGGGGGAGTGTCTAAGTGCTTACTTTCCGGTAGACAATGCTGAGGTGGGATGGGATGGTGGCAGCGACTGGCGGAGTACATAGGCTTTTTATCTATCCCTTCCCCGCATTGTGCACTAGACATACATACGGTAGATAGGCAGCAATTACCTACCTACCTCAGACCTGACCTGACCCAAGCATCTATCCGCGAAGTCGAACCGTCGATCTCCCCCCTCGCCGACTATAGATTGATAGATTGTGCCTACATGGCCCTGGCCCTAGCCTGCAGGTCGTCATGCCGTTCAGGCCGTCCTTTCAGGCCGTCCAGACCGTTCGGTCACACAGCGACAATGATCAGCATCAGCATCAGCATCAACTCGTATGTATGCATTTACAAAGCATAGCAACCACTGCTCGCGCGCCTGTGTAACGGTCTCTAGTCTCCAGTGTCCAGTATCCACTCTTCGTCAGTATCCACTCTTCGTCTTTCGCAGCAGCCTCTCTTCTACTCATCCGTGATGAAAAGGAAGCTGGGGGAGAGGTGGAGAAAGCACTCGCCCGAGACACAAGCTTCCCTAACTACTTTCAAGAGAAGTTTCCAAGAGAAGTGGGGTAGGTACCGTACTGGCGTCGTCTGGACGACTTCCGTATTATCCGCGCAAGTTCGTATGTAAGCGCCACGGCCGGATGCGGACTAGACGCCGGTGGTGCGGGTCGAGGATCGGATCATCGGATCTTTATAAGTAGAAAGACGGTCAACGACTCAACGGCCTGCCTCCTTGAGGATTGAGGCTCGAGGCTTGAGGCTTGACGACGTTCGGTGTTTACATGTGTGTACCTAAGGGCCTGTTCGGCTGCCCGCTGCCAGCTGCATGTATTTTCGAACCTGGGGTTTCTGACGAGTTGAAGGTTACCAAAGCTGCAGCTGCAAACTCTCTGCAAACTCTCATCTCCCTCGTTGACCCTTTCGGCAAACTAGATTTTCAACAGCACGCCGCACTTTTTATGTGTTGTGGCTCAGTCGATAATAGGCAGTTTCTCGAGTTGTGAGCTTGGGGTGGTCACTGGTGTGTCGAACGCTCACCTAGGTCATCCATCGCCCGGAAACTGAGGGTTTCAACTTTCAAACTGCATCTCGATTTTGGGCGGTGGATTCAAAATGCAGCTAACATTCGAACAGGCCCTAAGTATGCTATGTAGATGCATACACGGGTTCTTCACCCATGGGCCATAGCCCATCGACGGCAGTCTATGTAGCATAGGTATGATATTACCGTGGTGAGACAGGCAGACAGACAGACAGACAGCCTACAGGTCCGCTCGTCATACCGCAGCTCTGATACTTACAGTCTTACTGTACTGTAGACATAGATAGCACAACGCTCCCGCACATCCCATCTTATCAATTATCACGTCCCTCTCCCAGGGCTAACTTCCGATGATGTAGCTACCATACTCCCGACTCCTCTCTATGTAAGCCCTCTCGCTCGATCCGATCACGAAACCTCACTTGGCCCACAGTCCTTACAGTACACACGCACGCACGCAAAAATGGACCGCAAAATACTATGCAAATACTGTATCATACTATGCAAATACTACTAGTATGCACAAGAGGGCTCTCAAGAGTCCCGTCCCAATTCCCATCCTCCATAAATCCTCCATCCGTCCAGCCATCCTCCGTAGAATCCTCACCACTCAATTGCCATACACATCCACATCCACATCTTCCACTTAAAAAAAAACCTGCGCCCTCCAGTGTATAATTTGTCAGTTAATTTGTCAGTTGTCAGTTCAATTCCACCATCCATCCACATCGAATCATCATTAAACAAGTCCCAACTTCTCCCAATCAAAAGAGTAAAGAAAAAGAGAAAACAATAAAAGAGAGTAAGAGAAACGGCCCACAGGCTTGACGCAAAAGTTAAAAAATATTAAAAACGAAATGATAAATGGAAAACGATTCTTTCTCCCAACGAATGCCTGATATCGAAATCGCCTGAGTATTTCCCGCCACCCCCTTCACCACCATCACAACCACGAGCCACCAGCCACCACCACGGCCACTGTCTAAAACTGCCAAGAAAAATGTGAAGCTGTACAGAGCAAAGAAGATCAAAGAAGAAGAGAAGAGAAGAGCAAATATGAAGAGAAGAGAAGAAGAAAACTAATGTTGCTGGAGCCTAGGAAAACCCGGAATTAAAAAGTCAATGTAATGTTCTTTTGTAACCCCATTTGCATGCCATGCCAGTACAGAAAGTTGCTCGAAAGAGAAAAGGGAAGAGAAAGAAAAGAGAAGGAAGAAAAAAAAACCACCCGTTCGCAAAAAGCCAATGAATGCCTCGCAAGAAAAGGAAAAAAAAGAAGGAAAAGGAAAAAGGGAAATGGTGGAGAAGAAAAAGAAAAAGGAACAGACGCTATTAATGTACAACCCAGAAAAAAAAACCAAACCGACGCCTCCCCGTAACGTAACAGAGAAACCAGAAACCAGGAACTGCAAACCCAGTCCAGTCCAGTCCCATTCATCAACATGAAAAGCGCGCGCGAACGAAACAAAACACAAAACACAAAACACAAAACACAAAACATCCATCCTCCATTAGTTAGAATCCACGGAATGGGTCATCGCCTCCGCGCCAAAAGTCTTCCGGCGCTCCATAGAAGCCCGCCCCCCGGCCCCAGTACGCCTCATGCCTACTCGCCCTGCGGTCTCGTTTTACGTGGTAGCTGTCGGGCCTCGAGCTCGTGTCGTCGACATCGTAATCTTCGTACTGCTGGGTCTGCCGGTCGATGAACGCCTCCATTCTTACGGTCCCCACAGGCCCTGCGTCCCAGCCGCTCGCACCTCCGCCAGCATTGCCGGCGGCATTGCCAGCGCTGCCAGCGTTGCCAACATAGTCTCCACGAGCGAACGACGAACTTGGCGACGGCAAGCCGATGCCGCCAACACCGTAGAACGAGTCCGGCCGGAACGAATCGCCGTTGGTCGAGCCAGCATTGCTAGTACTGTACGATTCCAGACTCTTTTCGTATCCTCCTCGGGTTTGTGGCCGGTGCATGTTGCTGTTGCTCCTCCTTCGCCTTGAAGTCCCGGGGAACCGGGGGATCGTCGGCGGTTCGGCCGACAGAGTTTCCGTGCTGGCCATGGCGCCCGGATTCAACAACCCAGGACTTACGGCTGCAGACCCGTGGGCACTCGGGTATGCACTGTTGTTGGCAGAAGGAGAAACTCTACCCTTGCCCTTGGTAAGTCGCACGGAATCTCGCGTTGCGCTAAATGCATTCAACCTCGCCGGGGCTGCTGGGGGAACTGGCGGCGGTGCGGGGTGACGGCGATCCACCTGGTCGTATTCAAACGGCATGGGCGGCGGCAGCGCAAGCAACCCATCATTGGACTCCGCCGAATGACTCAGGAAGCTCAACGCAGTCAGCCAAACGTAATGGCGCTCTCTACTCGGTGCCGTAAATTTCAGTGCCCTCGCCGGGGTCAAAATGAGAATGCTCCTATTGAAAACTGTCTGTGCGGCCCCCTTTGGCAATGGAGTGTCATCCTTCACATCAAGCACAGATTGAATCAGGACTTTCTTGGTCAGCACCTTATCCATAACATTGGAGTATCCGTCCGGACCGCCGAAGGGATGTAAGATTGATCGCTTACGTTTTCTACCACTTTTACCTAAAAGTGCGCTGCCGCTTGTGGGTTGTCGACTGGACCACATGACAGCCCTTTCGTAAGGCGCCAGCCATACCCAGCGTTTGTGTCGTTGGCCTCCTGCGGAATCATCACCCTGGGGATTGGCATCGGAAACTCCAAAGGACCTCCTCCGGCGGACATATTTCCACATCCACTCTCCGACCATGGTCTGGGCAATGGCATCCACAACACTCGTCTGCTGAACAGTTCCCCCAGAAACTTGGCCTGGGTTGTTGGTAGTCACGGTGGTGCTGGTATTCAAGGTATTGCTGGTATTGTTGGTGTTCATGGTGTTTTGAGTATTGTTACTAGCCTGGTGCCTGTGTCTGGACTGTCCAAATCCTCGGCGATCAAACGCAGTCGAGGAAATCTCATCCCTAGGTAGGGGAGGTGGTAATCCTGGACTTGAGGGCGCAATTGAGGAAGTACTCAACGGCGGAGGCGACCTTGTGCCGTCGCGAGTGGAAGGCAGAACAGTAGCCGACCTGACCTTACGGATCGACTGCGGCCTTGGCGGCTTTGGCCTCGAAGAGCTACCTCGTTTCAACTTTTGAGATCCAGTTGGACTAGGCGTGGCTCTGTCGCGATCGCTCAGGTAACCCGGACGCTTCGAGCTGTGTCTGGTAGGAACCGGGAATGGTGGTCCAACCTTCGCCACCGCCGAGGTGTTACCGCTTTCGGAAGTGCGGTTACTCGTCAGGCTTGGACTACGAACCCGACCGTGTGCAGCAACGCCGGACGCAACCATGGCACCCCGCCGTACACTGGCTTGCCTTCGTGGTATATCGGCGTCTGCGACTGCCATTGGCATGTTGAGCTTGAGCGCCGGTGTGTTTCGTCGCGCACCCCTCGGCTTCGGTGCTGAAAGTGCCGTCCTGTACTCGCTGCCACTATCACCCTCATCTGGGAACCCGTCGTCTCCGGAAGAGCCGACCTCGTTATCGGGAGAGAGGTCGATGTTGTTGAAGAGGTTCTTCGGTACCATCTCCTTCCGACTCCTGGCTCTAGTAAGATAAATTTCATCGTCCGTCTTTGGCGAGCTGTAAATCTGCGTAGTGCCGACTCCCATATCGTGCATACCCGGTTCGGGCTCGGAGGGAGCGGGGATTGGTGCAGTGACGGAGCGCCGCGCAGTTCTCTTTGAACTCCTCCGCGGGATGAAAGCTGGCGACTCCGGTGGTGTCGGTTCCACTTCGACCGGAACCGGAACAGGAGCCTTCGGCAGCAAAGCGGAAGGCAACAGATGCGGGGCAAACTTCCGGAGACGTTCGTCCAATCCGATCTGCTGTGTTTGCATCGATCGTGTTCTCATTCTCTGGGGCCTCGTTTGTGCCGATGCGTTCCTCATGGCCGGCTTGGGAAGCGGCGGTGTTGGCTCTGGTGGGCTGACCATGATCGCCGGCACTCGGAGGATCGTGGGCTTGGGCGGCCTGACAGCATCCGTTTGAATGCCAGCAGACTGCATCAATGGCTTGGGTTTCTCAAGCAATGGCGTGGGGGGCGGAGATGGGAGTCCGTTAGTTTGCATTTCCGTGGAAACAACGATAGGCTGTGGCTCTTCCATGGTTTGCGATTCCATCGAGATGTAAACCATCGGTTCTTCCACCGCTTGAACCTCGGTGGAAACATAAACGATGGGTTCGGGTTTCTCCTCCTCTTCTGTTTGCATTTCTGCGGAGGTAAAAACAATGGGCTCCTCGACGGCCTGCACTTCTGCGGAAGCGTAAATGATCGCGGTCTGCGATTCGATGGAAACCATAACCTTCTCCAAGGTTTGCGATTCTGTGGACACCATGAGATCCGCGGTCTGGACCTCCGTTGATACCATGGGTTCTTCCGAGGTTTGCGCCTCTGTAGATACCATGGGCTCGTCCAAAGTTTGCACCTCCGTCGAAACGCAAACCGGCGGCGGGGGTACTGTGGGCGCATCCGTAGCCGTGGAAACGAATAGTTTGGGGTAAGGGTCTTCGTATGCGTCCGAGGCAGTTGACATGTAGGCCACAGGCTCAGCATCGGTGGCTGTGGATGTGTACTCCTTCGCGGGGGCCTCTGTGATCGTATCCGTAGCGGAGGAAATGTACACTCTCGGCTGAACATATTCGTAAGCGTCCGAAGCAGTAGAGGTGTAAACTTTGGTCGTGAAAGCGTCCGAAGCGGTGGAAACGAAAACCTTAGGATAAGGTTCTCCGTATGCGTCCGAGGCGGTGGACACACAAACAGCAGGCTCGGGTTCCTTTGGTGCATCGATGGCCTTGGAGGCATAAACCACAACCTCAGCATCGGTAGCCGTCGAGACGTACTCGATTGCCTTCGGTGCGTCGACGGCTGTGGAAACATAGACCAAAGGCTCGGGCTCCTTTGGTGCATCGGTACCCGTGGAGACAAAGACCACAGGCATGGGTTCCTCCGGTGCATCCGTGGCGGTCGAGATGTAAGCAAGGAATGGTGGTTCCGTGTAAGCATCCGTCGTCCGTGGCGCCAGATCTTCTTCCTTGACCATGGCGATGGCCTCCTCCTTTCCTTCCTTGATTAGGTTTAATTCCTGGTCCACCCACTCCTTTAGCTCCTTGATCTCGGCCTCCTCGGCGGACAAAACGCGCTCCCGGTCCTCCAATTCGATTTCCCGGTCGTCCAGTGAAGCGCTGCGTTCCTCATTTATTTCCCTCATGACATCGGCCTCCTGCCGCAACTCCGTTTCCCGCGCTTCCAACTCAATATACATCGACTCGAGCGCCGCCCTCCGCTCATCCAGCCCAGTTGTCCGCCCATCAAGCTCCACCGACCGCTCATCAAGCTTCACCGCCCGCTCATCGAGCTCCGACGACCGATTGGCAAGCTCCACCGACTTGATTTCAAGCTCGGATGACCGCACATCGAGCTCCACCGCGCGAACATCGAGTTCCGACGACCGGACATCGATCTCGAGCGAACGCGCCGCAAACAGCTGTTCCTTCTCCTTTTCCATAGCGTGGAAGACCTTAGCCTCTTCCTCGAACCTCTCTACTCGTGCATCGTGTTCCTGATCCATCTTTACGCCCTGGGTATTCAAGAAGTCCAACTTCTCCTCGAGGTCGAATGCGCGGTTGTGAGCGGTGTCGAGCTCGGAATAGAGAGCGTCCATTTCCTCCGTCTTCTGCTGTATCGTGTTGTAAGCCCTTTCCAGCTCGACCGCCCTCTCGTCCAGAAGGTCCTCCAATTCCAGCGCCCGCTCCTCGAAGTTGATCTCGGGTTCGCACTGGATGCCCATGTCCGCAAGTTCCGGGAGTTCGTCGACATCCTCGACCGATTCCGTGTCCGATACCATATCTTCCGGCTCGGCATCCGTCTGTTCTCGCTCCGTGCCGGTGCCTTCGTCGTCCTCGGACTGGTCAAAGTTCAATTCGTCTGCCAAGCTCAGCCCGCCACCGTTCCCGTGCAGCGATATACCGAGTCTCTCCGCCTCATCGTCTCCCATCATGAGACTCGACGGGCGATCGCCGATGCTCATGGTGGAGGATCTGATGCTGCGGGTGTCGGAACCTCCATGAAAGTCGCCGTAATCTTCCGACATTACCCTTTGATGTGAAGGATGGTGCGCCATCGTCGGAGGAGCCGGTGGAGGAGGCGACATAGCACTCGCTCTAGCCGCCGCGATCTCGTCCAGGACAGCCTTGAGCCTGCCTTCGGCAACGTGGGCCCTTCGCTCGAATCCTCTCTTCGCCTCCTCGAATCTTTCGCTGTCCCGTTCCTGGGCTTTCCTTAGTTGCTCGAGATCCTCCTCAGCCGCTCGCCGCGACTTAGATAGCCGCTCCATCTGCTTCTTGGAATCCGCGAGTGCTTGGACAGCTTCGTCTCGTTCCTGAGCCACCACCGCCATGGCGTCGTCCTTCTCCGCCCTAGCGAGCTGGCGCTTGACATCCCTCGCCTCTTTCAGGGCGGTTGCCACGGCCTCGTTGGCGTTCTCATGTTCGACACGCGTTGCATCGAGCTCGTTCTCGAGGGTTTCGACGAGGCCGTTCTTCGACTCGAGTTCTCGGCGCAACGACAAGATCTCTGCGACCAGGTTGGCGTGTAGGGTCGGCGTGAATCGACGGGGGTCGAGGATCGATATTGTTTCGTCGAATGCGCCGTCGTGGATCTGCGAGCTCATCCGCCGACGGTCCGGAGGAGGTATAGGGTTGCCGGCCATGTTTGGCGACTGGCCGCGGCTCGGATGGCGGGAGAGCATAGGTGATCTGTCGTAAGGGGTGCCCCTCGGAGGGGGGAGGGGAGCCTCGGAGGCATAGTCGGTGAAGTCGTCAAGGTCTGTCTCCATGATGCCGGTCTGTGGCTGTTATCCGCCAGGGGGTTTCCGACGCAGTCCCGTGGTGTTGTGTGGTAGGGAGTACAATCCCGACAGGTGGTGAATCCCGATCCGTGAGATGGGGCCAGGCGTTGGCTAAGCACTTTGTTTTGGGCGGACAGCCGTCCCAGCAGCAGCGGAGCAATCGATTGGGGGGGGGGAGGGGGGGCCGTGCACCTTCCAGGAGGTCAGGCGTGCGTAGCGAAGACGACGGGTAGTAGTAGGTATGTAGGGCAATTCGATATGGAATATGTAGTTCTATGGTGGTTCAACCTCTAACAAGGCGGGCCCTGAAGTTAGCACTGGGACGGTCACCGGGACAGGCTCGGTGAAGGGAATGGGAATAACAAGACAGGATAGCAGGCGGGTAGTTCACGAACCTGTCCAAATCAATTGAACGCCAAAGCAATGGACAACACCAGGTAGAAAGCTATGCAAAAACGAAACGGCAAACACGAAAGCCAGCTGGCCGCTGTTTAGTACAAATATCGTTCAAATGAATGCTTTCTCAACGGCCGTGCAGTGCTAGAAGTAGTCGATATCTAATGATGAGGGGTGGGGGGAAAGGGAGGGATCCGGCTTGGACGCAGCCACCCGTCTTGCAGATGAGTGCAGAGAGATATCTTGGTGTGTCGAAGAAAGTTGTGTAGGGGGGGAAGATCCGCAGACGAGAGAGGATTGACAGGTCAGGTATTCTTCTTCTTCTTCTTCTTCTTCTTCCGTGCGTGGGTGAGACGCGGTACTCTATACTGGGGTGCTCTAACTCCTGTGGTGTCAAGAAGCTGGCAGGATGCTGCGGTCGTGATATGGGCCCCGTCGAAAGGTCGTCCGGCCTGTCAGTCTATCCAAGCAGCTACCGCCTTTCAAGCTGGCGAAGACCACAGACTCTGACTGGCGGGGGTGGAAGGGGTGGGGATTATAGGATAGGTAGCGGTGGTGGTGACATTCAGCGAGAGTCGACGGCGAAAGTGATGACGGAGGGACGGGGGGTGTGGTCTGGTGGTATGTATAATGGCCGGCCGGACACGTCGGGGGTGTTTATGCAGGTCCGCGTCTCTACCGAGCTGCAAGTAGGGTTATTATCGAAGTAAACAAGTAATTGCCACAGGCGTCGCCGCAGAGTCGTTAAAGGTGGAGACAGTCAGGTGAAGTTGAGGAAAGTCCGAGATGCTATGGAGAGGCACCGGTGGAGTGTACAGCTGTAGGGATAATGTACGGAGCGAATGTATGGAAGAATCTAGCAATGTCAACACACACACGTCCCCTTCTTCTTTATCTTCTTCTTCCTCTTCTTCTCTTCTTCTTTCTCCTCCCTCCGCCAGCTACCCTCTGCCCTCTCGACTGTGAAACGCATTCCAAGTTCGACATGCTCCGTCCTCTCTTCATCCCCCCTCCGTCCCCACCCCCTAATCGATCCGCCACTCTGGGTGGTGTATATAATTATACCTTTTTCTATGCCTTTCGACCACCACCACCACCTCCACCACCACCACCGCTGCACTGCACTGCACTGTCAAGGTTCCGCCGGCTTGTGGCGAGGGACTCGGTAGGTAGGTACGCGGACGGGGCGAATGCTCTCAACTGAGAGCAGAACGAACGGAACGAACGGAACGAACAGATGAGCCGGCTTTGAGAAGACACTGACACGCGCGCTTCATACAGACAAAGACAAGACAAGACAAGACAAAAACAAGACGAGACGAGGCGAGGCGAAAGAATCGAATGCGACCCAGCAGCAGCAAGCAGCGATGGAGAGAAGAGAGAAGCTTGGGAATTGCTTCCACGTTAGCGGCGAGGCGAGGACAGTCTACGGCTCCGCCTATGCCATACTATAATATGCGGCCATTGCTTTTTTCTATTTTTTCGTGTCTGGGCACGATATGGGGGGGTGGATCCTGGCTAAGTAGAGGAGTAGAGATATCCAATCCGATGGGGCAGCGATAGAGACTGCTGCATGCCCGACGTTGGCGGGTGTGATGAGAGCGAGCGATGGCGATGATGCTGCTGCTGATGATTGATGATGGTTAGACTACTAGTATGACTGAGGCGCCTGCTCTCCACTGGAGGAGATGCACCGATGCACTGAGGGCCGACCGTAACGTCGCAGTTCATCCCCTCATTCTACGGGCAATTGGATGTCGACGGTCGCGGTCGTACATCATAGTCGCAGTCTCAGTCGCAGTGCAGTCGCAGTCACGGTCGCGGTCCCCCTCGTTCGCCTGGCTTTCTCGTTTCCTGTGTGGCTTGCTGCTGGGGATGGGGGGGGGCTTACTTCTGCTTTGCGCGAACGTTAAGGAGTCGAGAAGGGGAGAGACGAAACAGGGCAGCAGCGAATCGAAGTGGAGGGTTGGGCTGCTTTTTCCGCGACTAACGAGCTTCTGGGTGCGTGCTCGCTCGTTCGGGGCAAGCCGCGTCTCTGGGCGAGTTGACAAGTTGAGCACAGACCGACGGCCGCCCAATGGGGACCGAGACCAGCAGGGAGCCGATATTAGGTGATTGGCTGCAGGCCTCCTCCATCCAGCATCATCCACCAAGCAACAGCGGAAGGGAAGGGCTGCCGCAGACACGCCACTTCACTTCGAGCACCGCACTCTACCGCACTTTGCTGTGCTCCACTCTGCCTGCTCTCTGCTCCACTGCCAAATTGCTAGTGCACCCATCGGTACGGCTGCTTGCTGGGAATCGAAACTCCCGTCGGCCTTCTTCTTCAGGCCGTTCGGGCGGCCTCGGCCAGCCAGCACAGCTCCCATCCTGTGCCGAACACACACGAAAGGGGGGCGGGCCATGTCCGGGAGGTCGGTCTCCCCGCAGCAGACAGAGCCCGATGGAGAGGGAGATAGGCAAATTAACTAGCACTCCCATCGTCATATCAGTGGCAGGTGCAATAGCTCTTCGACTCCTTTAAAGCTTTCGTCACCGACAAGCTCTCTCTCTCTCTCTCCCTACTATTCCTTTTTCCTACGCCGTACCCGGCTCCTGCAGCATCACAATTATCGGTCCCTGTCCTCGCCCCCCTCCCCCTCCCCCCCCCCTCCCCCCCCCCACATGCACCTCCAGCCAGACGAGACAACGGTACGGTTCCCCGCGAAGATGAAACGCAGCCTTCCACAGTCACAGGAGATGTGCGATGGGGCGGCCAGCGACGACGAATAACCATGTCCGCGACGGTTGTGAGCACTGAGCACCTATATATGCTCATCACGGCCCCGACGAGTGGATCGGGCAGCTATACATAGTCGGCACCTCAGACGTGACGGAATCGACATCGACATCGGAGTAGACGCCGTGGTCGTGCCGTGGTCGCGGTCATGGTGCTCGTATGCACATATCTAGAACCACGTTTTTCAAAACTCCCAAAGCCGCTCTCTCTCTCTCTAAACCCCTTCCGTCTCTGCAGTAGAGTAGGGTGTCAACCGGCGGCGGAGCATTTGGTTTCCCTTGATTTCCCTCCTTAGAGTACCGTAGTTAGCATACATGTCGACCAACAAACAACCAAAACCAAACCAAAACCACCCCGGCGAAATTGGAATTGGATCATGACAAGCGGTGCAGCGGCGGCAGGCTTCCTACCGTACCGGACTCCTGCCACAGAAATTTGCCGTTCGGAGCAGCGGAGAGCAGCGGAGAGGAGATGAACTGAACTGAACGGAAGGATCGAGAGAGAGAGGGAGAGAGACACGGCTGGCGGTTTGGGGGTGTTGTTCTGCCCATCCTGATATCCATTCCCACTCCCTCGTCATTATCGTCACTTTCACAGGTCCATCGTGCAAACTTTTTTTTCTCTCTCTCCCTCTCTCTGTGTGTGTATCTCTCTGCACGGGCTCACCACCCACAAAAAATATCTCGTTGCTGCACTTTTTCCCCCCCCCCTCGAGCTCTCTCGCGAGTTGCATGCTCTGACCTTCGAGGCGCGGAATTTCAGGCAGGGAACGGAGATTGAGACCCTATCGGACTAACCGGGGAGAGGCTGGCGTCAAGGGCTGGGCCAGTGAACTGTGGTGTGGGCCTGCCCCTGCCGAAGAAGAATTCTCGGTTAGGCAGCAGGGATGAGGAGAGAGAAGAGAGAAGAGAAGAGCTCTCGATGTTTTGTTTCTTCCGCTTCGTGGTGGGTGAAGATGGGTGACATCGCGTACTATTCGGTGCTATTCGAGGTGTCTCACAACTTTCAATATCCTCCGGTGACGATATGGAGAGGAAGTGAAAGGGGAGGTGGTGGAGGAGGAGGAGAAGCAGGAGATGGCGAAAATACAGCCGTGGAAACATCGGCTTGCACTCTGGAAGAACATGAAACCGATCGAGAGACGAGCCGTGTGAGCCAGTGAGCCAGTCAGTGATCCAGCCAGTCAGTGATCCAGCCAGTCAGTGATCCAGCCAGTCAGTGATCCAGCCAGTCAGTGATCCAGCCAGTCAGTGATCCAGCCAGTCAGTGATCCAGCCAGTCAGTGATCCAGCCAGTCAGTGATCCAGCCAGTCAGTGATCCAGCCAGTCAGTCAGTCAGTCAGTGAGTGAGTGCGGTTGCACCACATCATCGACCACTGCTCACTGTGCTACGATATCATATCGGGAACTGTTCCATCAAGAGTGGAAGCCAATCCTATGTAGAAATCAGGAACGGTTGTTGCAGAAGAAGAAGAAGCATGTTCTGTTGCCATGCTCCGTCTGCGTCTTCTCTGTCTTCTCTCCTTTTGCCTTCAATTCTTCTTCTTCTGCAAGTGTTCCAACTTTTCCAACTGCATGAGCGGGGGCGGGGGCTGCTGCAAGGCAAGGCAAGAACTGAAGAACAGAAGCCGATCCCGGGAGACGGTAGGCACTACACACACACGGCGAAGATGAAGGCTTGTCTGTCTCGGCAACACCAAGTTCCAACTCGTGTGTGTAAGCCGCAGCCTGCGCGGGTCCTTACAATCAGCCTCCCTTCCCGTTCGGCTTTTTGTTTTTGTTTATTTGTTTATCTGTCTAATCAGTAAGCCTCCCGTTCGGCTGGCTGGCTGGCTGAGGGCTGGCAGCGAGCGTCCGCGCCGCCTCCTTAACTTTCTCATCACCGAGCAAGAGAGAGAGCCGGGCGCATACATAAAAGCAAGTGCATACGTCACAGTGCGAAGAGAACCTTCCACATGTGTTCTACATAGTTCATCATGCATAGAGTACGTACGATAGTGATCTGCTCTACCCTATTCTCTGGATGTATGTAGAGTACCAGTAGAGTACAGTGCCATTAATCGCCCGTTCGGTACATATAGTATTTTGCTCCTGCTCTTTCCGTCCATTCTCTTCCATTCCAAGCATGTCACGACTCACCTCGGGTGTTTCCCGTATGCATGATAATCAATATCGAACATACTCTACATACTCTACATATGGAATGAAAGCACCTCCTACAAGTGGAGTAGAGCAAGTATCTCTTCTTCCGCCTACCACTATACAGATATACGGCCGCGGAAAGCCCCATGATGGCCTTCTTGTTAGTTGCAAGTTGCAATCCTCGGTCAGCGGAGAATATGCACATATATAGCATCGCATCACGATCATGATCACGCACAAATCGGAATGAGAAGAAAATAGAGTACCTAGCTAGTAGCTGGCTAGTAGCTGGCTGGTGGTCCTGGTCCTGGTCCTTGTCCTTGTACTGGTCCATGTCCGTGTTCTCAGAAAGCCCTGGCCCTGGTGCTGGCCCGGGTTCTGGTCCTGGCCGCTGTGTAGATGTCTACAGCTGCCGTTGAGGAGAAGAAAAGAAGAAGAAGAAGATCGGATTTCCCTCCTCTTCCTCTCCAAGTGCTCTCCCGGTGCTCTACCGGGCATGGATTCATCCATGAAGATGGCAATGAAAACGGCCACCAGAAGAAGAGAAGAGGAAGTTATATGGGCCGATGATATACCTACTCTACTCTACATAGAGCGGCATTTACTATACTATAGACTACCTACGTTTTACGGCCGTCCCCGAGCCCGTATATACACCCCCCATACACACCGTATCCACCGAGTGCCGGCAACTTGAACATTACCCACGCTGCGGCAGAATAATTTTCCAGCCGATATCGGTATATAAAGTACCCTGACAAAAAGGATTGGACAAAGCCCGTTTTACACCAAAAATGCCCATTTTCATGCAACCCAAACATACCCTCCACCTGGTGGAAAAAAATCGTCTCTTTCACAGAAGCGTTAGAATCACGAGCTTCTTCATCAATAAAAACTTTGACGACTTTCATCACGGATTGGGGCTCTATGACGTTGTATTGTGCAGGAGTTGAAAAGTGACATGACATTTTGTATGGGGCTCCCATACAAAAAGCTACTTGGCAACCGTTAACTTTTCCCCCGTATGGTATTGCTCCACAACAACGATTCAGAACTCCGTGAGGAGTTCCCATATCGTTGACGGTATAGTTATAGAGGTTTCCCGATGGTCTCTGATTTTTTTCGATACGTTGTAGTTGTTGTATCGGTGACTGAAAATGGTCATTTTTGGTGTAAAACGGGCACTGTCCAATCCTTTTTGTCCTAGTACTGTAGGAACATACCTAGCTACGGCGGCGGCTATTTTAGCATGAGGCGGAATGAAGAAATCTCGCAGTACAGTGCAGGCAATCGAGATCGGGATCGGCGTGGGCTTCCCCTGGAGCGGTGTATACATAGTAGGCATGTATAGTAGGTATAGCAGGTATTAGTTACAGCGATCGTGAACGCGGAATATCTCTCACTTCACTTCACTTCATGAATCACCGCCGATGGTTCCTGAAGTTGTTGTTGAATACCTACCAGTACATACGAAGCGCAACACAGCCCGACTACACTACATATCTAGAGGGTTATATATACATATCCACTGCTACATATACCTAGTATATCCGCTGACGCCCACACCGGCCACCGGTATGCTCACACATCGTGTGCACCTTTCCGCAGTGGCCCCCGCGGTCAGTGAGTCATTACCCATGACCAACCGCACCGGCAACCAGGTTACATGGTATTCACGCGGCGGGGGCGGGGGCGGGGGCCAAGGAGCGGGAGCGGGAGCGGCAAGATCGACGTTTCACATTTCTGGCTTCCTTCTCGTTTTGGCCTTACGCGTGGTGCTCGGTGCTCGGTGACCTAGAGATGGTGGATTAATCGTTGTGCGCAATCATGCGGCATCACTCGTTGGGCTGCATGGGCAAAAAAATTGCCACAAACTTTAAATTCAGATTCAATGTCGATTAAACATCTACATCGTAACTCGTAACTAAGAACGTACGCATCCTCTCTCCCAGTGACAGAAGCGGAAAGCAGCAAAGCAGCAAGGCACGCATGTAATCGGAATATTGAAAGAAAGAAGCACAAACTATACGTCAAAGTAAATCACAATCCCATGTCATGCCAACCATAACGCCCATTTCGCCCGAATCCCCAAAGCAACCGCAACCGCAACAAATTCACGTTCACATTCACACAAGCGCATCCTACAAGCGCACGGCACCCTCGGCCGATCATCCCTACCCACCGCCCACGAGATTCACCTGATCGTCGAGATCCTCAGCATCATCGGAGAAGCTGTTCCAGTTATCCCGGTGAAGCTTGTCATGTTGTGCATTCGGTGACGGGGGTCCGTGCGAGGACGAGAAAGCCTGAGTGCCGAAGTCTCTAACCTCTGGTGACAGTCTTCTCCTCACCCTTCGACGGACTTCCTCTTCCTCGTGATCCACCCTGGCGCGAGACGGCCCAGGACGCATCAGAACACGGCCAAAATTGCCCAGAAGCGTGTCGACCAGCCACGGGTTTCGGAGGGCGTCCTCAACGGTCGATCGCTGATTCCAGTCCACCTCGACCATTCCCGTGAGCCAGGCAGCTAATCCTACATCTTGGGTGCGCGCGAGATATCCGCCGAGAACACCGGCCTGGTCGGATAAGCGGACTTTGCCCTTTCCCTTCTCCCAGCCCCAACGAGTGCTGAGGCCGACGTAGTCTCCGAGCCAATACCTGCCGCCCTCGCAAGACTTCACGGAGCCAAAGACGTCAATGAGTCGTCGAATTGCCGCGTCACGTCCCTCGAGCGGAGTCCGCATTATCTCGCCCCCTTCAATGCCGCCAGGAATGAAAACGTCATCTCCAAAGAGGAGTTGCAGGGCAATGATGCCCACGCTCCAGATATCGATGTGCTTGCCGACCGGGCCACTACCGAGCAACATCTCGGGAGCACGGTAGCACGGTGTCTGCACGCCGTAATCCTCCTCGTAGCCGGCCCACCCTTCCTTCCTGATGGCATTGGAAAAGTCAATCAACTTGACACCCATACCCGAACCCATCGTCGAAAGCATGTTGGAAGGGGTCAGGTCGGCGTGGATAATATCCGACTCGTGAACTTCGGCCAATCCGGAAAGAATCTGGACCATAATCTTGGCGAGCGCGCGATGCCGGCGGGGGCAGGCAATCGGCGCGTGATTTTCGTCACAGACACATTCCGGCAGTTCGATCGGCTTGTCGGCGCACAGCGGTTCCATAACTATATGGAAAACATCCGTTTCATCATCCTCCGTCCAGAAGCACTCTATCGCACTGACGATGCGTGAAGAGAATTTGAAGTCGCTGACAATATGCCATTCGGCAGTTCCGATCCCCGCCCACTGTGGGAAGAACCGTTTGATGGCGACCCACTTTTTTTCGACCGTGTCGAAGGCGTTGTAGCAAGTTGAGAAGTTCCCAACTCCGTTAATGTTCTTGATGTTGTACCTGTCAAGGAGAACTTTGCCAACGAGACGATCGCTAGGCACATTTTCGACACCCTCGACGGGTACGGTGGGGGTAGATCGTGGCTGCGGCAGCGAAGTCGGAGGCTCCCGTCCGACAGAGCTAGGACGGTGGTGCCCCAGTGGGGAATTCGAAGTTGGCAACTTCTGTTCCGAGCGCGAAGATTGAGTAGATTGATCTCTCGGCTTGTGCAACTGTGAGGTTCGGCGATTGTGATCGTGGCCATCGGTGGTCTGGACCTGGGCGCCCTTTTGTGCTATTCTGCATGTCAGCCAATACACTTTAAACATACGCACGATATCACTTACCACCGAGACTTGCTCTCTTCCTCTTCCTGCTGCCAGAATCTGAGGCGGTGCTATGATCGCCGGTATTATCGACTTCAACACCGACTATGTTGTTTCTCTCCCCAGGACTCTTCGACCTGACAGGAGTGATGTACGGGTCCGCGACCGACTGTTCGTAGGCAGGAGAACTACTCCTCATCCTAGAGGCAGCTGCTCCGGCAGCGTTGTTGCCTGAGTCGCGCCGGGGGTGCTTAGTGGTCTTCCTCAGTTGCTGGCCAGCCCGCGTCCATCCGGGATCGTCGTCGTCCATGATAGTAGCTAACGGCAGCGGAGAGGTCGTCGGTGCCTTGGTGTTCGCATACGCAGAATCGGGTTTCGTCCGAGTGGTTCCGTTCGGGCGCGGGGCATGCTTTGCGACAACGGTAGAAAGACCCAACGGGGAAGGATGAGGGAGTCGCGGCGCTGTGATTATCCCGGCAGGCGTTTCGTCACCTTCGGACTTGACTGTGGGTGTCACTTGTTTCCTGGAAGTCTGTGGTGAGGGCGGCGCTGTCCCGAACCGAGACCGCGGGCCAGACTTGGAGGATAGCGGGCGTTGCCTGGATTCCGCCATTGTAGACTTCATGCGCAGACGTGTGAATTTGTTTTGGAGGTTGCCGTGCGAATTAGAGCGAACAGGAGTGGGTCACGTTAATTAGTCGTTGCGGTGGTAATGTGGAATGAGAGGTGAGAGAATGTTGGAATGAGAGGTAGGAGAATGTGATGTATTGGTTGCTGTTACGGAGAAAGGAGGATAAGAAGAGGAGGATCGCGGGGTTGTTGGGGTTTCTTGATCGGGAGACGCGATTGATTTGTGTCGTGATTTCGCGATGAGGAAACGGTAACACAGAGACCACCAAGAAAGCTTGGCAGTATGAACCCCTCCATAATTAACGTTGGCCGCTAGTGATTCAGAAACGTATATAGGAGGGAAAGGAAATTCATTCAAAGCATGACTGTGGGAGTCTATATATATGACTGAAGCTGTAGTACATGGGAACGCAAGCCTGGAATTCTATCTCATATAGCTCATACCATACTTTGCATTGCGAGTGCAAGGTAAACGTCGATACTCGCGGCAAATCAACCGCCGCAGTATGTACATACTTTCGCACCATAGTGGCAGCAATATCGTCGGGCGTCCAACCTTACGCATAAGCTAAAAGCTACTGCATGTCAATAGCAGATGGTGGAGTGAGCTGCTAATAAAGCTACGATGGTTCGTTGGAGTTTAATGATGGCGATTGAAGACGTGTTGGACGGCATGGTACTGTACAAAAATTCATGATCTTGTCTCATTGCATCATGTCTGAACGAAGATAGAGAATGAGAGAAGTACAGATGCCGCCCAACAAGACCAAGCAAAGAACCAACGCCAAACCAATGCTCCCAAACATACTGAAAGTAGCCAATCCGATTCTCATCACAACAAATGCATGACAGAGAGAGCAGGACTAGATACCCATTCGGTAAAAGGATTGTACCAGATCAAATTTCACCCAGAAGCCCAGGAGCCAAGGACCCCGAAAGACATTTATTTTGGAGGAAGATGATTCCAAGAACAAGCCGATTGAGAGCCGAAAGTGAAAACCCCAAGTACACCGTCAAGAACGAAACCCTTTTTATTTCTCCTCCTCGGCGAGGTCTCCCATGAGAGCATTGCGCTTCTCCTGGAGCCTGTTCTGTCTCCTCTCGCGGGCAGCCTTGGTCTTGGCACGCTTCGCGTCCATCTCCTCCTTGAGGACACGCTCACGGGCCTTCTCGGCCTTAGCCTTGTGGATCTGTACATGTGTGAGTTTCTAACTGTGCATCAGGCAAAGAGACCGGGAACGTACGTGCTCAACGAGACCGCGCTTGTGCTTGAAAGCGTTACCCTTGCTGGAGTGGTACAGCTCGTGGTAAAGGTGCTTGTCAATCTTGCCGGAAGCCCGGTACTTGACGAGCAAGCGACGGAGGACACGCATGCGGCGCATCCAGAGGACCTGAGACGGCATACGGGCGTTCGCGGTACCCTTGCGCTTACCGTAACCGGTATGACGACCAGCACGACGAGCCTCCTGGAGGTCGCGGGTTCGGCTACGCGAGTGCATAGCGTTGGGCTTCTTGATGATGAGTCCGTCCGAGACCAGCTTGCGGATAGTTTGGCCTATTTTTCGTCAGTCGATCGTTCCGAAGTGGCGGTAGAGGAGCATCGAGTAGGGGGTACGCACGCGAGTTGGCGTTGGAAATCTCGTTCATCTCGTTAGGGTCCAGCCAGACCTTTCTCTTTCCACAGTCCATGACGGACGCAGCGAGACGCTTCTGGGTTCTGAGGTTGACCCTAGATGGCGGAGAAGCATTGTCAGTCGAATATTCTTGTGCAAAAAGTTGTTTCAATGTTCAATTCATCGCCCCATTCGCCACTTCCCCGCCACCGGACCCCCAAGCTCTTTGAACACATAACTAAACTCTAACAGAGCTCTCCGACCCAAGCTCAGTCGTCGCCCATAGCTGTCGCGTAGTAATCGTAGCCGTGTCTTTCGAATCGTCGTCTTCGCCGTGTATGCGAGGGCAGGTTCCGTCATGCGACCATGAGTGGCGAATATTTCCTCCTCTTCCTCCTCCTCAAATCCACCATATTTTGCCATATAAAACACAAACAGCAGCGAATTATCGCGATCAAACTCACATTTTGAATAGTGTCCCGGGGTCTGTCGCTGGGTGTCGTTTGTCGGGGTTGTCGATGGGGGGGGACGGGTTGGGTTGTCGATTACTACGGACAAGTAGAACCAAACCAAGCGCTTGCCTGACACACAACTTGCGGCTCGGCTGAATCCGTGTGCGTGGTGTGACCGCGCTAGGGCTTTGCCCTATCCCCAGCGCACACAATGAAATCTTGGCCTAATCTTTGTGCGATTTTCTATTTTGTCTTTTAGCAACATCAAAAAGGTCAAAATGCGGAGTTTTCGACTGCTGTTGAGCGACTTCAGCGTAGCAGAGGCTCTTGGAGGATATCTTTTTGCATTTCGTGATGCCGATTTGCCTGCGTGGGTGCGAGTGAGTCATAATGAGCACACAAACGGTGTATGTGACGCATATTGACGTTTGCCGGATGCAATTTGTCAAGACGAGTTTCTTCCGCACGATGACTCGTGTTCCACACCTCTCGAGACCGGCTGCCGAGTAGGCTTCGTATTTTCACGGACTCTGAGCGGTCCGTTGATCAAGAAAGAACAGTTCTGTAGAGGCTTCTCAACCCACGGCTAGCGCACTCGCATAATCCACAGTCCCGAGTAAAGTTCGCACCCTTCTAGAAGCCTTGGGATTCCGACAAGGCTTAGATTCCCAAGCTTCGCAACCAAAGCTGAAGGAATTCCAGTCATGAGGCCTAAGCTCGAGGGTTGTCCGTTGATCTCGTGCTTCAACTGTGCTGTTGGAGGGCTTGAGCGGGCGCGTCTGTCTTCGACATAAGCGAAATCCCAGACCGCCTCATCAGAGTCGGTGAAGACTTCCACCTACATATTCGTGCTTTTAAAGATCTCTCTCTCTCTCTCTCTTTTACTAACCGAAGTCTACAGGCTTTTCCGATTTGACTGCCCCTGTCCAGCGTCAAAAAGACGATGGCGAAAATAACCCCCCAACCCGCCAGTGATGACCACTCATCCATCGGTGCCCCTCGAGATGAGTGATTGTGTCTTTCACAGCCAATCGCTGTCTGATCTCCGAAGTCGACTCGTTGACTGCTACCACCGCAAGAGCACGGCCCAGTTCGGCATGAACGGCAGTCGCAAAGGGTCGCTTAACAGCAGCGGGCCCTCAAACAGAGATATCATCTCCCGAAGATAGAAGGCAGTTCATAGTTTGGTGACGAATCGGCCCAAAAGCCGCCACCAGAACCGCGAATATCCGACAGCCCTGCCGCATTCGCAGTGATTTCTTATGATACAGGACTAATAACACCGGAACATCACTTCATACGACTCGACCTGCAGCCTGTACTGTACTTCCGTGAACACTGTGTTGACAAAATCGAACCCTCTTCCGAACGTTTGGCCTAAAAGGCCGGCTTTTTGTCCCTTCTCTGTTCTTCTCTTGAGTCTTGACAGCTCGAGATCTATTCTTGGTGTCCAAATATCAGACAGACCGTCGACCGTACATATATCGGAACCTTTGTACTCATGATGGTCCGCACGGCGATCATATAGGCCGCTCTACTGGACTAGGCACCCCGACACTTCAGGCGGAGTGATCGCCGTAGATGTGCGCTGACAGCTCTCTCCTTTTTCTCATAAGCGCCGGGACGTGCTATGGATATACCTAGTAGAGTAGAACCATAGGTACCCCCGCTGCAACAGAGAAAGCTCTCCCTGCATCAGCTTCCCCCCATCGGCCAACAGACGACTATCACGAGCCAACCAAAGAGTTCAAACACCAGAGGAATAGATGGACCATATACCGCTCCCCTCGTCTCCCGTGCGCGCGCCGCTGAAGGTTCCATTTCTTTGCACCTCGAAGTACGCCTACGACAACCTGGGCTTCGCAAGCTACCCCACTCGCGCAGGTGTGGACATTTCCGGGGCAACGTCTGTGGACGAGCTCGCAGCGTTCCTACAAGCGTGGCTATACTTCGGGACGCTCCAAGAGGTGTTCGAAAACATCTCGGGCGTGCCATTCACCCGCGAGGATTTTCTCACCGAACAGGAGGATGGACAGCGGGTGATCACCACCGAAAACCTCCAGCGGTATATATGGTACTGGATCGCGAGCGAGGTGCGGCTAAAGGGCCCCGACGACGAGGACGAAAATCTAGTTCGCCTAGAAAGAACGACTGAGTGTCTTGCACGGGTGAATGAGGTGGTCCACTCGCTTGGCTACGTCGAGGCGGCAGAGCTGGATCTTGTGCTGCTGTCGATCGTTCTCCTGGCGGAGGCCTTGGATAAGGCTAGACCTCATGTTTACGCGGTGTACAAGGTCAAAACGTTTACTTGGGATGTTGGAGGGTTCGTGAAGAAACTGCTCCAGGAGGCGGGGTGGTGCTTGGGAGAGGTAGCTATGCTGGGGATTAATACCCCGTCAGTCATAGTGTTTGTGAGCTTTCTTGACCGGAAGGGACTCGGGAAAGATCATTCAAAGTGCTCGGATGTGTCTTGTGTCGCCAATCAGATCGATGAGGATACGTACGTTACGAGACACGCTCGAGAAAGTTACTTGACGGTATTCCCCCCCTGTGCTTAACTCGATATTCAGTGGTTCTAACCGTACATACTTCCACCAGAAACTGGGCGAACGGGTGACTAGCAGTGGATGCGGATGTGAACACATTGTCGTCGAAAGCCCAGCGAGTCATCCCGTCTCAGCCATCCTTAAAGCCGGAGGCATTCCGGTCATATCTGTGGCAGCGATCACTTCCGATTCGAGCGCTCCAATCGTGAGCATCACCGCAGCAGACCCCTCAAAGCCTTACGTAGCGATTTCGCACGTGTGGTCGGACGGCATGGGAAACCCGCGGCAGAACGCGCTTCCACTGTGCCAGTTGCAGAAGCTGCAGAAGCTGGTTAACGGCCTCTACGAGCCCGAGAACCACCCAGTTCCATTCTGGATCGACACCATTTGCGTGCCCCTCAGCAACGACATGAGAAACATGGCGATCCAGCTCATGGCTAGGACATACGAGGGAGCGGGAAAAGTCCTGGTGCTCGATTCCTCGCTGACGGATCCCGGCGTGCACAGCGCTCCCGAGGAGCTGCTGATGAGGATCCGCTGCTCTTCGTGGATGCAGCGGCTCTGGACGCTGCAGGAAGGAATGTTGGCCGATGAACTGTACTTTCTGGTCGGGGATGGCACGGTGCGAGTGAGCGTATTGGATGCACAGTTCCGGGAGGTGAACTCGGTCACCAAGAACCGGCTCCGGCTCGTGGGCGCGCCGGACTTCGGTGCGAACGACGTATTTACGGTGAAGATACATCGTGCCCTGGCCGCTGATGACGTTTTCATCGGCGATGATGTGGAAGCTATGGAATATGCGCTCCAAACCGTCGGGGAATATCCCGATTGCCCCGACTACGACGATGAAATGCTAATGCAACGACTGGAAACGTACAATGATTACGCGAACCAGATATTCGTCAGTGCAACTACTCAGATTATACCAATCCGGCTAACCATGCCGCGCATGCGAGGGGAGCGCGGGCTGGAACTAGTCGCCGCCTCGCTCAAGGGGCGGATGAGCAGCAAGATGGCGGACGAGACGATCTGCGTATCGGCACTGCTCGGAAAAAGCCCCAAGAAGCTACTCCAGATCCCAGGCCACGATCCGCTGGTCAGGATGAAGGCGTTCTGGGCATCACTCTCCACCGTCTCGCCGAACATCATCTTTGCCAATTCGCCCAGGCTCCAGGAGGACGGGTTCCGCTGGGCGCCAGCAACTTTCATGACCAATGAGGTGGACTACGGGTCCAGATTCTTCTCCGTCGGCATCACGGCCCGCATATCGCCCGAGGGCCTGGCGTTCTCCCAGTTCATCTCGTATTTCATCGCGGAAGACCGGGAGGATCTCGGCGAAGTCTTTGATATGGCACAGGAGGGTTCAGAACTGGTGTTTAGAGTGCGAGTGCTAGGCCCGCGTGCAGACAGGATCCGCAGACCAGCGTTGATCGTCGAGAATCCCCCCGCTACGAATCCTATGACTCGCGGCGTTTTGGTCTCCTTGAGGTCCGAAAGTGCCGCCGGAAGTGCTGTGGCTAGGTTCGAGAATAGGGTCGTCGTCGAAGCGACGCTTGATCGGGCTTCTGTAAATGGAAATACTGTGGTCGGCACTGTTCGGCAGTCGGTTGATTTGCAGTGGTGTGTGGGATGAATGGTGGATATATCATATACCTAGGTCGACGGGTTGGCAGTCGGGATTGGTTTCTTTACGAATGGTACATACTTTCGCTCTTACCATTTCTCTTTGGCAAGGAATCTAGCGGGAATAGGAGTTTGGCATGACCGAGGGTCCATTCAATGTTGATGATTTGGTGCCATCGCACCAGGATTGTCTATCTGGGCCACTTCTATGATCCTGCTGCGCCATGAGTGGATAGGTAGATACCCGTAACTCTGCAAATACACAATCGATAAATGCGAACGCCATAACGGCACCAATCCGGAGTCCGAACCGTCACTCTGGGTGGCCGACTTGATACACACCGAGGAATAGATACGGTAGGTAAGCCACTTCCAGTTCGCAAATTCAATGCAGGCATAGACATTAAGCCATCTCACCGAAATCCCACGCTGCAATCTAGCAGGGCAGAGCTTACATATCTACCCGTTTGTGTCGGGAATTCATCGATCGTACGTTCAGTTCGCACTCGCTCATCCAGCACAGGTAGTCAGCCGGCTCAAACCCTCAGCCCTAGCTCACTCCACCACCTCCACTCACGTGCAACCTGTCATGTACCAGGATAGTAGAGCTGGAGTCTGGAGTATGTAGGGCTGGTCCCGCTGAGTCGAGAAAGTGCTATTTTGTCATGCTTTCTCATTCTCATTATCTTTCACTCGCGGTGGACTGCTCGAGTACTACCAGCTGATCCAACACTCCCGCTGACAGATTTGTGGCTGGTGAGTAAGGTATGGAATTGTCCGCAGGATTATTGGTGGGATGAGCTGTGTACGGTAACATGTATGACTTTCCACCACCAATCACCGATCACCAATCACAAAGCCCAGAAAGCCCATCAAACCCATATGTGGATCTCATATGTACCAGTACCACCTACTACCCTACTAGGTACCTACTACCCACCTGGGTATATATCAAACACCGCCGGCCCCTTCCCCCTGCCGACCGATCAGCCGTGATAACGTTTTTTCCCTGCGCAGGGGAAGGCGGGTGCGGGTGGTGTGCACTCTACTACCATGTTGCTCTGTACTCTATCATACATATGCCTGCGCCCGGCGCACGCGTTGCTAGAATTTTCAATTTGATGCTCGATGCTCGCCGCAGTGTGGGTGTGAGCCTTGAGGCTTGGGGATGAGATGAGCGATATGATATGTAGAGTATATCAAGGAGGAAGGAAAGAAGAAGGAAGGATGCTAGGCTGCTGGGCCGCCCAACGCCTGGTGCGGCGGTGCGGCGGTGCGGCGGTGCCGGGTGCAGCACTGTAATCACTGTACCAAGTACTCTATGTATGATGTACGTATGTAAGCCGGCGATCAAATACTCTACCCACCTACTCTGCCGTACCGGGGCCGGGGCCGCACAAATTTAAATTCGCAGACGTTTTCTACTGTGGAGTAGTACGATACATACGACGTGTGTGGACAGTTGCCCAATACCAAATGTCCAACAGGATTGGAGGGAGAATCGGGGGGAGCATCGGGGGGTGTTTTTCTCTCTTTCTTTCTCTTTCTTTTACATACCTGAGTAGACTTGTAGTTTCGCGGGTGTTCAGGCTGTTCTACCTAGTACCGGGTGAATCGATACTCTACTATACTCTAGTTATGTGGAGATGTGGAGCTGTGGAGATGTGGGCTTATTTGTGGCTTCATGTGGCTTATGTGGATTGGAACTTGGAATTTGGGACCGCACACTTCACCGCTCGCTCGCGCGCGGATTCATTCCGTCGAGTCGAGTCTCAGAAGAGGGCTCAGAAGAGGGCGGAGCCGCCGCCGCCATCCCGCCGCCCCGCCATCCCGCCGCCCCGCCATTGCATCGCGATTTGCGCCCGTCAAAGCCGTGATATCTGTTGTAGAGTACCTATACTTTTGAGTATCGCCATCTCCGCAGACCACTCTGCCTGCCTGTCTGTCTACATACCAGTACCTGGGTACTTTGTAGACTACCTACCGGTATGATACTTTACAAAGTGGCGAAGATGTCGCAGGCGTCGCAAGGCCACGGCGCCTAGTGCTATTAGGGAGGTTCTGCAACCCCTCCGCGAACTACAACTACAACTATCACCACAGCAACGGACATGGGTCCTACTTGATTGAGGAAGGTCATCAGGCTAGCTGTCGTGTGGGCCGGGGTCATCGACGCTACCAACAACTACTGAAGTTCGTCAGTAGCGCGAGTTAGCTCGATTTATTCTGGATCATAACAAACACGCTGATTGGATGAAAGCGCCAAAGACAGGGTGCAAACCATGTCGCTGTCTCCAACGCTTGTCTCTTGCGGTATCGCTCAGTTGTGCACGGCCGCGCCACCACTCCATAGTTTTATTGCGTGTTTTGTAGTCCCAACAGTAGTTCTAGTTGTAGTTGTGGTTCTAGTTCGCGGTGCAGAACCTCCCACTTTTCAACAATTAGCTAAACCCCTCTGATACCCCCTGATAGTTGTAGTTGTGGTGCGTGGAATCTGCAGAACCTCCCTATTTAGATTGTATGTATTGCACCATGATCGCACCAGCCAATGCAGCCATAGCCGTGGCCCGCCAGCCCAAGACTCCAAGTGCCACATTCTTCGAACTGCCGAGCTCGTGCCGCAGGCCGACGACGACGACGACGACGACATCACGTTTCACGTTTCATGATGCATAAGGCGGTTCCTTCCCTGGTCCCCTGCCATTCGAAACGTACTCTACCGTATGGGACGAGAAGGAAGGCATACGGTAGGCGGGCTGTGATTAGGATTCTCGGTGGGATGTCATGGCATGACGGAGGGGCTATGGAGTCACTGACTGGGCGATCGAGCTCCTGCGCGGGGGAGGAGGGGGGATGGGAGGGGCTGTGGAATGCAAGGCTGCGTTAGTTACGCTGGTTGGTTGCGTTGATTGGTTGCGTCGATTGCGTAACTTGCGTTCACCGCCGCGGCGCCGCCGACATCATACATCATGTTACATGATACATCGCACATGTCACCTGAACACTCCGTCGACTCTCGACCTTCGAGTCGAGTCGAACGTCTAGGGAGCAGGAGTGAGAAGTCAGCCTCAGTCAGGATCGACTTGCAACTCGCAAGCATGACTCGCGAGCATGTGAAAGTGAAAGTGAAAATCTTCGCTGACGGACGGTTCTCTCTCTCAAGAACATAATCTGATGGTCGCACTTTACATAATCGGAGGGTGAGCTGCTGTTGGGCGGGCGGCTGGGTTCCTTGCTTCGTCGCGCCCAACGTCCAGTCGCCCTTCAAAGTGCCGAGGCCCATCCTGGCAGTCTGCAAGTCTGCGGGTCTGCGACCCCACTGCACGCTGGAGATGGAGATGCAACATCGTACGGAAGATACTTTTACCAGGTCCAGTGACCATGACCGCCAAGCACCCCCCCTCCCCTCTCCACACTATGGACATCGCGAGGTGAACGCCGAGTCGTTACTAACGAGTACATAACCGACTAGTACCGTAGAGTATCTACATGAGCAGAGTACATATGACACCCAACGAGCGAACGCGATTCTCTATGTAGATACTCCAACACCGGTACATACCCCGCCTCAGATGTTCTCGTAGTTCTCGTGGAGCCGTATGTAGTGGCGGTGAGCAGTCCGCAGGCGCAGGCGTGCTCATCACCATACCATATGTATGCACTCGCACTCGCCTCTACTCGTACTCTACCTACTCTACATACAAGTATGCAGTCCACCTTTAAGCTTACTTCTAACTGGCGGAACATTGCGTGCGTGCACGACAGCAGTTTTTTTTCCTGCTGCTCTCTCTTCGGATAGATCCGAAGAATCGATGGATGGATTTATCCAGATTCCACCAGGATAGCGATTGCGGTGGGTGGGGTGGGGTGGGTTCGATGTCCAGGAATCATGCGGGAGGCTCCAGCAATAGTAAGCCGACGCCCACAGCCGATGGGGGGGTTTTCTTTCTTTTCTTTCTTTCTTGCTGTGCCTGCCTGTTTGCCGGTTGGTCGGGCGTACACCTGGCGATCTGCTGTTGGGAGTTGGGAGGGACGCGGACAGGGACGCGGACGGCGACGGTGGCGGGAACAAACACCAACTCGACGCGAGTGCTTGCCAGATGAAACCCCCCCCCTCGAGAAGAGTTTGCTGAAATTCTGCAGGCTGTCGGTTAACTCTGCAAACTAACGGTGTAGATATTGATTGCTTGGTTGCTTGCTTGGTTGCTTGCTGCTTGCTGCTTGCTGCTTGCTGCTGCAGAGGGGGAAGGGTTCACATGCAGATGGATGCAGCACTGGTCCGTTCAGTTCACGCGGCCTGTCCGCCCTTGCATGTTCGTGTTGCATGAGAGAGGTCCACGAGGAGGGTCGACGACGGAAACGGGTGACACAGAGCACACAGAGCAGTGCGAACCTACGAGGGGGGGCAGGTGATAAAGTGGTTGGTCATGTATCGAGATATGCATAGATGGAGTGTCCCGTGAAGCAAATGGGAATAGAATGGAGGACGAAGAAAAAGAAACAAGAGAACGAGGAGCTGCTGCTGATGCTGCTGCAAAAGCACTTTGATAGATAACTGTCCTGCCGTTTCTGCAATCTCCGCCCTCGCCCTTCTCCTCCTCCTCCGCCCCTCCTCTCCCGCTCACCCAACGGCGTTCATGCTCAGCTCGTCCTTCCAACCCGCGGTCGACCCAGATCTCGTCTCCTCCTCTCCACCAAACAACGACCACGACCAAGACCACGGCCACGGCTTCGGCTTCGGCTTCGGCTTCGGCCTCTCGCCTATCTATCTATCTACACGCGTGAACCACCCCCCGGTTTAACTCGATCCGCACAAGCCGCAAAACGCGAGAGGCAAAGGCAAGTCCCGCGGATCGAAGCCAATCCAGTCCAGTCCAGTACGGCCCCATCCCCCTCTCCCAGCAGCAGAAGCAGCAAACAAAAGGAACGAAAAAGGGCTCGAGTTGAGACAGAGGAGAAGCGGTCGGTCAAGCAAGGCAGGTACTCTGGGTACTCTGGGTACTCTGGGTACTCTGGGTGCTCTAGGTCACTCCACCCACCACCACCACCGCGGACTCTCGCCGCCGCCCCCCCCCCCCCCCCCCCCCGCAGCTAACTAACGCCCTCTTGTGCTCTGAGTTTCCAGACCCGGACCGAAAGTGGCTTGGGTTCTCTAGTGTGTGTTTGTGTGTGCATGCGCGAGTCGGTGATCAGCGAGCGCAAAGGGCAGCATCGTGAGGTTTGAACTGCAGTTGCAGTTGCTTGCAGTCGGGCCTGCCTACATACCTACGCTCTTGTGCA